CAGAAGGCATATAACCTGCATGCCATATCATATTGGGTCACAAATGCTATACAAAATTATTGCAGAGGCCCAAACTTAAGCAAATCATGTTTTAATGCTACTTAATATACTAATGCAGGTTCTATGTAGATATTTTCAGAGATAAACATACACACTAATGCAGGTAGAGTGTCGACTGTGAGTTCATACAAATACTTTAAAGAACACAACAGAAGAAAAAGAATTCAGCTCAGGTGATTGCTAGGAGTGCAAGATTGTTAATAACAACTAAACAATATGACTACCACCAAGCAAAATGATTATTTGCATCACAGGAATGTATCAAAAGATATTAATCTTGTTATATCTAACCATTATGAGAAGAAAGATAAGGATAAATCAAAATGGACATGGAGGAGATGAACCTTGAGGAGCAACAGATTCTGTTGGTGGTGGGAACCACACTGACGTTACCCCAATTTTAGATAAATCAGCAGCTTTAGGAGCTAAATCCAGGTACCACTGCTTTCTCCAGCTTTCCCAATTGAAGCCTTGAAACTTCAAAAGCAAAAGTATAAGAGTCACTAGTGGTAACAATCCATGAATTGCATCTTTCTCTCAAGTAAAATAATCAAAGATAAACCTCTAGTTGATCGCAGTTGAGAGAGAGAGAGAGAGAGGGGGGGGGGAGAGGAGGGAGGAAGGAGAATAGGCATATTTTGATGACATTAAATCTGAACATCTAACTTGAGAAATAACAAATTTTAGCTATGAGGGGCTATCTTCACTCAAAATAATGAGTATGTGGCAGGAGCAAAATCATCAGTTGGAAAGAACAGCCTCTTGAAAACCTCCAGAAACTGAAAAAATATACGTGGACAAATTGGGGACACGCATTTTGTAATAGTACTTCTGCACACCAGAACCGAAGTTCAAAGATAGTCTTGCATAACAAATCTTTACTACTTCTGGGATGACATATTGATATTTCAAATAATGGGTATCAACATACATACCACAATCTCGCGCCCTGTTCCAGTTCCTGACTCTGCATTGAAGTCAATGCACAATTTCAAGTCAGATAACACTCTGTTTCAGACACATGCTTTCTCAGTAGCATGAAGCAATTTTGAGAATACAAGAAAACTGACCTAAGTTTGTTTGTTCTGGCGTCTTCTGCCATTGTATGGTCTTCCCTTGAAGAACATGCTCTAGGGCTTTCCGTTTCTTCTCTATTGTTTCCTTCTCAATCACATGCTCAATAAGTATATCACCCTCCTTTGGCTTTTCCTGAGCTATAGACCATACTTCATTAGGCTTGGGCAAGTCCAAAGATCTGAACTTTGAGCTCAACGCTTCAGCTACATCAATCTTTCTTGGTGGAAACCTGGGACGGATAGTACGAATTTTCCTCGCCATCCATTGAGGTATCTCTCTGCGAGGGCCATCACTTAAAAGTTTCCATTTCTGCGAATCATCATCTGTCAAAAGGTCTATTCGTCCACCATTAACAACATAAATGGAATCTTCATCCCCTTCACCTAGTGGTCTTTCCTTACATAATATTGATTCTGCCATTTCTGCTCTCTGTCTCCACATCTTTGTAGTAGCTTCAGATGCCTTCAATGATCTCCGCAGAGCTTCGCATCTTCTCAAGTAGGCATCATCTTTGGAATGCGCCATTTCTTTGGCAGCTCCAATAGCGTCCCTAATGCTTTGCAACTCAGCCTTAAAAGCCTTTGAAGAATTCTTCTTTCTTTCTGATGAATCTTTCTTCATTTTCTCTATCAAAGACATAATTTCCTCCTCTTTCTGGAGAGTGTTTTTCTTGCTCGACTCCTGAAATTCAAGCAGTGCTTTCTCAGCATCCTTAGCTCGGAGCTCAAACGCATTTGCATGTGCATGGGCCTTTTCCAACTCTAACTTCAACCTATCAACGTCACTTCTTGTAAGCAGTAACTGAGATTCTAAATCATTTACGACACCCTGTAACATAATATTTTTTGACTGGATGGAAGCAAGCTCATCCAGTGGATTCATACCTTCAGTAAATTCTGATACTGCTTTTGTTGCATGCTCGCCAGCTTTTTCTGCCACATCCAGTGCCTTCTCTATGGCATATTTTGATTGTTCAACAATTGACAATATACTCCCTTCAGTCACATCCCTAATTTGCTTTTCCATCTCGTAAGCTGCTTCAGCAGCTGCAGTTTCTGCAGCTGAAACCCTTAACTGAGCATCTTCTAGAATGTGAGATGTGGCCTGCTGAAAAGCAATTTCTGCTAACTTTTCTACTTGCACTGCAAGTTCAACAGCATCATTTTTTGCAAGGACTAACTTAGATTCCAAGCTGAACTTCTCTTCAACTGATTCCTGCAGCTTCTGATCGAACAAAGACTTGGCTGCCTCAACTTCTGCAATAGCCAGTTCCTTTTCATGCAATATGGTAGCAACATATTCCTGTTGTTTAGCTTCCGAACAGGCCAATTTTTCAAGCAATTGATCTCTCTCTTTCTCAATGGCTTCTTGTCTAGCTTGGGCCTCAGAAAGAGCTTTTCTAGCGGTCATTAATTCATCTTCTTCTATGTTCAACACTTCATTTCTTCCCGAAGTTTCAACCACATCTGCAAAAGTGTCACTGGAATCATCCTGCCATAGAAATCAAAAGACAAAAAGTCACATGCCTCCAATGCTTGGTGCTTTCCGGTTACTCCATTAGCTTCATATAAAACTAAAAGTTAAAACGACTGATAAAAGCTGTGATTACTAGTATGCAGAGAAATATATCATCATTCCTTCAGCATGAAGAGATATACCATGCTTGAAAAAATTCTTGTTCTTGATTTACATAGCCAATGAGGTTTGCAGAAAGGGTTCCTGCAAGATTTCCATTTGGTCATGATAAAAACTTAAACTTCAAATAACAGGCAATAGTTTCCACAACATATAAAAGAAAGTAGTACAAGGTTACCAAGCAAAGTACAAAAAGAAAATAGAAATACACAGGAGCAGTCGCGAGATATTACACACTTTTTTCTTTTCGAAGCAGTTCTAAAGATAGGAGGACGCCGCCCCAGGCATAAATTCTTATCATACTTCCAATGTGAACCTGAATAAGCAGTGGGGCAGTGGTGAATGATCCCAACTGCCATGTCAGGCAATGAAATGCTACCCATCTCTTCCTGTAAGGAAATCAAAATTTTGATTTGTAATAAGATATTAGGCAGGCACACCAAAATTTAAAACAAATAAAAGAGTTTCTTTGACCCAAAGTCTATATAATTCAAGTTTCACAATATCTCAATGAAACATAACATCAACAATTCAAGCAATGTTACCCAGAACCAAAACCAAATTCATCAGACAACATAGTATTTACAAGCATACATGCATGTACACATTAATGATCCATTTCTCTTTGAGATTCCTAATAAATCATATATATACGTATATGTATATTATATTTAGATAGGAAATGATTAAAAAAATGTGTAGATATCTTACCTGATGCAAATGCTGAAGCTTAATCTGAAACAAGCTGAAGAGACCCCATGATTTGGCTTGTTCGTGAAAGAGAGAGAGAGGAAGAAAGAAAGAAAAGTGGGGAATTCTGTTGTGTGGATTTGAACGCGAGACAGAGCAGAGAAATAGGAGATGTTAAATGTAATGGCGCGGGGACTGAGGGTGGCATTTATATGCCGTGAAAGTGGCAACGCAAAACGGCTTTCACTCGAGCTTGGGATTGGGACTATAATATTATTTGACCGCAATTTTAATTGACTTAAATGCCCCTAATTTTATGTACACCACACCAGTATGATAATATCTAGCTTCCGAAAATAAAAAAGTATGATAATATCTCCTTTTTTTATAAAAGGAAATTAAATAATAAGAGAGTGAGAGTTGTTTAATTTTAGATTTGTTGGTCCTAAGCCTTTTTAAGAAAGACAAGAACCTTATGGAAGCAGTACCCCTTGATGGGCAGTTCAGTCATTTTAACGGCTTAGTTTGCGCTCACGGGTTGTCAGTGTCACACACACTCCACAGAGGCCCACCTGTAAAAGGAAGCTCACTTTTCCCAAATCTGACTCTTTTGCTTTTCAAACTCAGAGAAAGTGATGGATGTATCTGAATTATTGTTGCGGACAAACTCAATTCAAACGTAACTTTTAGTCCGATTATCTTTTGTTCATACTTTCAAGTTTCAACCACTGCTTGTATCTCATGGAAAATTATATAAAATTAATTATTTTTTTATACTAGTGATTTGGGGAATGGAGATTAGACGACTAATTTGCAAATCAAAGCTCTTTTTTATTAGACTAAATCTCGTTGGCAAAAAATTACATAAATTAATAAATAAAAGTTTAAGTGATAATAGTCCAGATCATCAAATAATAGTTTGATTGCATGATGGTATCTTTAGATAAATTGAAAACTTAATAAAAGAAATAAGGGTTGGTTGCCTACCATCGAGAAAATCCTACTAGAATTTCCGTTCACAAGTATCAAGAAATCTCCCTTTTTTTTTAATAAATAGTATCAAAAATTTTGGCGAACAAATCAATAATTTTTTAGTAACACATCTTTGATGTGATATCTTACATTACATATGCATGGCAGCAGGTTTGAAGACCTAAATTAGGGTTTAACTTTATAGTCATCTGTCTTGGCTCAGAAGATAAAGATGATGGAAGAAGGATCGAACCACTCGGAAAAATACAAGCAAACTTCGATAAAACATAAAATTACCAAGGAATATAAGATAAATCATGCAATTGTGCATGGAGCGGATCCATGATGAATGAATATTACTCTCAAGAGTCCAGACCACGATCACGTATAAAGAGGTAAAGCCTGTTCTATTTGCTACAACCATAGTGTGCCATGGACTGAAAATTAGCTCTGAAACTATATATCTCCGGCTCCGGCCATGAGACAACTGAGCACCTAAACCCTTGGTCAAACCTCCCCTAGATGCAAACTTAGACTGCCCTATTCGCACCACCATTTCCAGAAGATCATGAGAAATGTGGAGAGAGCTTTGAGGATGTTCCCAGCCATGCAACTTCCATCTTCAAATCACTCTCCTGCTTATAGCTGAAAACAAAGGCAAAAGTACAGATATTATAATCGAGCAGGAAACTAAAGCCAAATACAATGAGACAGAATCATTGAGCTTTTAATGCCACATGTGAATACAGTAGAAAGTAGGATCATCAAATCAAAACAAACTTTTAAAATAAAGCTCATCCGTGTAGGTATGCACCCAGATGAACATAGATATAAAAGTGTCTTGTTCCACTGATGAGTTAAGTTACTCTTATCCAAGATTGAGTTATAGCGCAGACAACATTCAAAAGAATCTATTTCACTTGAAGGTTTTAAAGGTCAATTAAAGTTTCTAAATAACCTATAAACTTTAACTTTTTACCTCTCACAGCACAGAAGCCCCAGAAGTCATGCAAAGCTTTGAATCTGCCCCACCACTAAGCACAGTATCACCTCTCCACCAGTCAGCACATAGTGCCTGAGTTACAGCAAAGATCACCATATTATCAAAATTTTGAATTTCTTTAGAATAATGAAGAAATGATAAAGGTTAGAAAGAAAGAATAATGTTATACCTTGTCTTTGTGCGCATCAATGACAAATAAGGGCCACTGCAAGAGAAAATAATATTATTAAGTACCAGATTTATTTAAAGGTCACGTTGGGCAGCACTCATGAACCATTGTTAGATAGCAAAACAAGGAGAAGGCATTACAGCAGTTCTCAAATCCCACAGCATAACTTTTCCATCATGAGATGCAGAAATTAAATGAAACCAAGACTTCTCATGCCACTTGCATGCCGTAACCCAAGAAGTGTGAGATGAGAATTGATAGACAGGAGCAGAAGTTCCTAGAAAAAAAAATTATGTTAGATGTTTGTGTGGTTGAGTTTGTGTCCGTGTGCACGTGAAACAGAGAGAGAACAAAGCACTTAGCTCATCTAACAGACCTGGTTTACGAGGATCCCATATCTTAAGAATAGGGTCAGAACCACCAGCAGCAACAAGAGCGGAACTTTCACCTCCAATATCAAGACAGTTGAGGGCTTTACCGCAGAACTGTATAGCAAGAGAAAGTTACCGTTTAAACTTTCAAGAAATCTGAGAAAGGAAATGCAAGGACTTTGTTCTGTAGCATGTGATAGGTATTTGATGCCACATACAAGCATGGTTACAGAAAAAGACTTCGGACAACAGAGAGGTAAGAAAAAATCTATTTGCACTTACTATGTTCAACGAGTCTTTGCCAGTCTCGGCATTCCACCTTCTAATAGAGTGGTCCCACGATGCAGAATATATTGTTTCACGCTCCGGCCACTTTACAGAAGATACACATTGTGTGTGGCCCACTAGAGAAGAAACAGCCTCCCCCTAAACAGGAAAACCACACAATGATGATTGATGCAATAATCTTTTAAATCTTTCTAAAGAGGAAACACTTCATGTATTTCTAGCTAAACTCTCAAAAAAAAATTTAAAAAAATTCAATATGCAGCTAGGCATCCCCATCAAAGGAATGAATTAAATTCTGTTTGTTACATAGACATCCCCTTCAAATGAATTGATCTGTCCATTACCTTTACATATAACATCAAAATACTGCTTTGCATTAACAGGAACAAATGTAAATAACAGGTATAATTAAAGAAACCATCAATAATTCAGTAATGGAAAACTTCCAGTTGAGAACAAAGTGTTATGTTCTAATGCCATTTGTGTGTACTCGAAGTTGTATAAACAGTGTACGCCCAGAGTTAAATATTTAAAAAGCCTCTCCCACATAGTCAATTGAATGTCACCCCAAAAATTATTAAACCCTATATATAAATTTATAAATACATATAAAATACCTCCGACTGAGATTCCTTAGCTTGACCAGTGGTTTTTCTCTTCTTTGTTGATACAGTGTCACCTTCTGAAACTGGCTCATTTGTCTGCCACAAATTGATTGTGCAATCCCAAGAGCCTGAACAGATCTAAGTATATGTAACCAAAAAATAAAGAAGAGGTGAGTGATAAACTTGACGTCAGAGCCCAATCTCACATACACTGCTATGTAACCGAGAAATAAAGAAGAGGTGAGTAGACAAGACCATGTTTCCAGAGGTCTGAGCAGCAACACTTTGAACAGATGCTCTATGTCCACGCAAAATTTTGAATGCACTTATCTTCAAAGGATTTCTTCTGGTATCTTCTGCATTGAACTTCCCCCAAAAAATGAATAAAAATATTAGTGAACGCGTAGACTACCATTATAAAAAATAAAATAAAAAAGTAAGCACATCCAATTACCTTCCACAGTCTAAGTGTCCGGTCTTTCGAAGCAGTAGCTACGGTAACACTATCTGCACCTGCATAAAAATAAAAAAAATAAATAACTGCTCAAGCAATGGCGACGAGACCTAAAGAGTTTTGGAAATTGAATTACAGATACTTATGGCTACCTTCTGGATTGCTTATGCTAACAGAAGAAACAGGTTCACTGTGTCCTTCCAGTATGTGTGTACATACACCAGCAGCTTTCCATACCCTAAAAGAAGATCAAAATCAAGAGAGAAAACATCAAGCTTCCTTATTATGGGTATATCAAGAATTATTTGATATACACACAAGAAATCCCAATGTACAGAAAAAATAACAAAACTTCTTAGTAAAATTACCTTCCTAAACCATCATAGCACCCTGTTAAAAAAAACCTGCCACAGAACACAAGTTACAGACATTTTAGAATTTAAGATAATGTTTTCATAGATAACTTCATCTCTATTGCACCATGAAGCAAAAGATGCAAACGCATCTAATAAATAACAAACATACTGAGAAATGACAATTGAAGGTTTCCTCTGAAGAGATTTGGGAGTTGGGGATCAAAATTCCCCAGCTCAAATAAATTAATCTCACATCAATTTTCTTTATGACAGATAAATTATTACTTACATACTGCACCTACCAACATGTGATCAAGAAATTTAATTTGAAGGTATAACCCATGCCATGCAGGACAAGAGTTTATGACAAGAAAAACTTAGGATCACTTAAAAATGACTTCTGTGAAGAAATGAAGAACACATCACAATATGTTATGTGCACACCTGGGACTAGAACCATCAACTGCACTGACCCAGTCATCATGTAACGAAGGTTCTTCTTCTTTGCGTGGAACTACAGCCCGTATGTATTCAATTTCCAATATTGTTTCCTGTAATAGTCGTAAACCTACAGTTAGCTATCAAATAAAGACGGTGGAAAAACTTTTCTCAAATCAGCTCGTTAAAGCAACATATGCAACTCTAGACTCATTCCACTCTAGCTTTAGAAAGAGGGACCTTCCGACTTGACACCAAATGAAAAATGGACCAAAAATAAATCTCAGTTCCAGAACATCGCATCAAATCAATTTTGCAGATTTGTGATACCCAAAAACATAATTGTAAAACTCATACTATGTGGCTTGCTGGAGTAATTTACCCAATTAGCTCAACTCTTGTTGGTTCTTGAGATAAATTAAATAACGTACCCCATTCTCTCTCTTCGCACTCCTCTTTTTTACTTCCCATTTTGCTTACATAGTATTTTATCAGAAAATACACCTATACAGAACATAGGGTACACAATTCCTACAATCATCGCAAATTGAATCAGAAAGGGGAGATAAGTACCGCAGAAATGCCCTTGGCAAGAAGGAAGTTTTCAAGCGACATCCGAACCAGCTCGCCATTGATAAGAAAATCAAAAGGCTCCACTTCCCAATCAGGATTCTCTAATCACAATTACCAATGAGCATTAAAACACATTTTTTATTATAAAAAATTCCAAATATGCATAGCAAGCAACCAACAAACTTACAACACTAAAGTAAAATCCTTTTCCCCTCAGTTTCTAAGCAGCCAAACAGAGTATCAATGGATAAAAGGAAAACTTTACGTGTGAATATGTTAGAGCTTACCTGTTTGGATAAGATTGTTAACGACGCTGGATAGGCCAAATCGGGTGAAATTGGAGGCGACGGAAATGGAGGAATTTGGAACTTTGAAAGGACGGTCGAGCTTCGTGATGAAGCGCACATGGACCACCCTCGACGCGTCTCCTGAATTTCCGTCCGTGTCCATCTCTTGTTTCTCTGAGTGAAAGAGAAGGACGAGAGAGAGGTGCTAGCAGGGTTTAAGATTCAAGGGATGGAAGGAACTAGGGTTTAGTAACTGAAAGAAAGAAGTCGCGTACCAAACGCACCGTTTTGGATTTATGGTCCACTACAACCTATTGTTTTTTTTTCTTTTTTTTTGCACGCACAAATATTATAGTAGTTCTTTATTTTTTTTAAGCAATAAGATTTGATAATTATAGGGGTGGCATTTTATATCGAAAAAATCGCAAAAACCAACCGACAATTTACTGCAATCGAGGGAAACCGCGAACAGCATTTGCGGTTACGGCTGTAATATTTGATTTTCAAAATTTGTAGTTACCGCAAACTGCGACTGTATTTTTTTTATAAAAAAAATTGCATTTTGTAGATAGCAGTGGTGCTCAAACAACACAACGGGGTCCTTCAAATCCACTCACCACCACAAACACTTGAGTTTGTAACAATGGTGCATTGTATTTTCCTTTTAGTTTGTAACTTTAATTAACTTTGACTTCGATTTTTCCTTTGGGTTGTAACTTTAATTCATTTTGCATTGCATTTTCCTTTTGGTTTGTAACTTTAAATGATTTGGAATTGGAACTGGAATGCTTGAGAAGTTGAGGAGGTTGTGAATTTATATATGCTTGAGAAGTTGAGGTTGTGAATTTATATTTTTTAGTTAAAGTCTCAAAATGTTTCAAAAGAAGCATAAAAATTAGGCCTAAAGAAGCATAAAAATTAGGCCTAAAATGTGGAAGATTGGATTTTTATTACACAAAAAGAACTTGCGGTTTTAAACTACTAATTCACGGTAACCGACCATTTTTTGTGGTTTACCGCATTGCGGTAAACCACAAAAAGCTGTCGGTTTGCAGTTTCAAAAATCATCATACCATAAATAGTCGGTCGGTTTGCGGTTTGGGCAAAAATTCAAGATTACCGAACCACAACCACCTCTAGATAATTATGTTTAAGGAAATGTTTAATCATTGGCTAAACAAAATGTAAATGTAAAACACACATATTAACAATAAATAATTATACAATGTATCATTTGCCAAGTAATGTATGTGGCACCCATGGACTTATCCAAGTTGACTAAAGCCGATGGCTAGAGCGAACGTGCTCCCCACTCTTTACCTGATTTTGAATACCCCTCCCCATAGTTTAGATTAGTTTCTAAAGTAAATTATTGCTTGTATTAAAATAAAATAAAAGTAATGTAAATGTGTGTTTTTTTTTTTTTTTTTTTTTTTTTTTTTTTTTTTTTTTTAAAAAAAGATGAAAAGATCATTGATAAACAAATTCAAATTACAAAGAATCGAAAACATCCAAGCCCTCTGAATCAGGAGGGTTACATCCTAAACTAGTATTACAATTCAAAAGATGAAAAGTCATTGATAAACAAATTCAATTACAGAGAATCGAAAGCATCCAAGCTCTCTGAATAAGGAGGGCTACAGCATAAACTACTATTACAATTCAAGCACAAAGATAGGACCAATGAGCCAAATAAAATACAATGAAACCAACTCCTAGAAGCAAACCAGATAAAACATATAGAGCATCAAACATCATGAAAAATCATTGCCAAAGGAGAGAGGAATATTATTTATTTATTGTTCCTAATATCATACTATTTTTTGGCGAACTGTTCCATCGGTTATTCAGATTCACATTGCAAATATAAAAGAAATCTAATTCTGGAGTGGCATCCTCTGAAATTCAGAAGCACTACAAATGGAAAAAAGTGTTACGAAGAAATACATCACTGTTGCCAAGGAGAACAGGCCTCTTAGTAGCAGAGGACAAGTCCAACAAATTCTGCAACAGTCTCGTCCTCAGCAACAATCGTTCCTAGCAAACCCTGCAATTAGTTTCGCAACAGAGGTGGGATTTTCAACATGAGGGAGGTGACCACTATCTGGTATTAGCCGCATGATTGCGTACGGAAGCTCACAGCGTAGCCTCTGCATTTCAATTACAACAAGGTGAAGTATAAAACATTGTGCCTGAAATAAATGTTCAGAGTTACTTGTACTAATGAGCAAACATTAAATATAGCTCCAGCCGCCCTCCTAAGAACAGCAAGAAAAGAAAATTACTGGAAGGAGGGGTTGCAAAATGCTTATCATGAATTGCCCATTTGGAGGCTGAAGTTCTCATTCACCTTTTTTTTAATAAAAAAAAATCAGAATAATTAACTTCAAACAGGCTTGTTCAGTTTTGAATCTATTTTAATTGACTGCCAAATAAGTCTGTTGCAAACTTCAAATAATACCAAATCTCTAATGCACTTTTTAAAATCAAGAGCATAATTTCAGTCTCCTATCTGAAAATGACTTTGAAACATGCTGAGGCCATTCGTTACAAAATGCATTTGTGTTGACCTGCTTAGTTTAGTTTTAACCACAGAAGTTAAGTAGCAGCTCAAAACTGACCAATATTTGTTTGTAGCTGATAATATGATCTTGCTCGCTGCAAATCACAAGTGCTTTTTGCTTCACCTGTAAAATAAGATTTCAGACTGCATGTCCTTCCTAGAAGCTTAGTTGCCCCCAGATATCATATATTAACAGGACTTCAAGCTACTCATTGCCCATCCGGACTTACGGAATTCTGTTTTGCACTTATACCATATCCATTAATATGTTGAGAGTCTACCTGTTTTATTTGGGAAATAACATTGTAGCCTCCACTACTCATAAAACTGACTGTTGCATCTTTCCACCAAGGCAGCAAACAGTGTAAACGGCCAACCTGAATAGGGCAGGATCTCTATCAGATTTTCATTAGACCTACTTTAACAAGATAGACAAATATGCCAAGATAAAATTTTCAAAAAATGCATTAATTGTCTGTTCCATTGGAAGAGTAAATTACCAAAAGGATAAACTCACATTAGTCCAATCAAAGGTTGTAGATAATGAAATGCCATTGAAGGCCAACAAATTTGCATAAAGGCGTAGAGGTATGCTCTTCAATAAAGAAACCTGGTGAATAAAAAGTTCAGAATCATTACATTAAGGAAGTTCATTATAAGAAAATTTCATGTATGATTGACATAATGGTGTAGTAGGCAGGACAAAGCAATGAAAAACATCCGATTTCCGTGCCTCCTAATGTTGACAAACATCGCATGATCTCGCATCATATGCACATAATGATATTTTAACATCACAATAATAGAACATCGTCCTTTGGAAATCATCAGGTTTGATGATATAATTATAGAAGTAAAATTCAAGCATTTTTGGACACCCACCCCAGCGTAGGCTAAGAATTTAGGTAACTTTGCCAGGTCTCCAGTGCCTTCTGCATACACACTTGCATTTATTAAAACCAGCTTTTCAACCTGTAAAATAGAAAATTAAAATCAGCTAGACTCATCAGGCAAATAACAACAAGAGTGAGGGCCAACAATTTAATGGGTGGAGGAGCAGAGTAAGAGTGCAACGCAGCAATCTTAAGACACCAGACGCATAGACTCCAGGTTGCCTCAATAACTCCTAAAAGTTAGCTAATTATCTAATACATGCAGGTATATAAGTTTTAGTATTTGTTCAGGAAATGATGGTCAACTCAATTATGTCAATACTCAGATCACAGTTTTTCAAATCCACTCAATTTCAAACCACAGACGTTTTTCTGCATCGAATGTTTCTTGATTTATTTATTAAGAATCGCAGGTTTACAGCACTTTGCAGAAGCCTTAAAAAAATTCCAAACTTTTATTGTAAGTTTATCCAAAATGCTATAGTCTATATATAGCTTTTAAATAGAACTCCGGCATCAACTTATATTGGAGTTTATGATAGAACCGCTAAAATGGTCTGAATTGAAAATTAATCCATGGAAAGCACACTAAATAATTTATTAAACAATGAATGTAGAGCTAATGAGCTCAAAGTAGGAGTTACTTACAGCTATTGGATGGTGGACTGCAAAGTCAATTGCAACCGAAGCACCAAGGCTTGGTCCAACTAATATCATTGGCCTTCTGATGTAGGACTTCCAAAACTATATTTGAAATGTGAAAACCAGTTATATCGTTGAGCTCAAATAATAACATTAGATTTCAATTTTGACAACAGATGATAAAAGTTTTAATCCAATGCCAACTATGTAATTAACATAGCAAAATATCCAATCCATTGTAGACAACTTTCTAGCTGAGCTGCCAACCAAAGATATTATTACATCATATGCTATATAGAAACAAACAAACAGCATTTTTCACCAAGGGCATAACTTTGAGACAGAAACGACGTTCTCTGGATAAAAGAACAGAGTAAAGAAGAAGAAAACCACAGTACATGATGGATACCTGATAGAGATGATGACGCTTGGATGCTGCACTGCACGGTGGGCGCCTTTCTAGTACCAATAAAAATGATTAAACGGATGAACAATGAAGCATTTGTTGCAAAAGAGAGATAGGATAAAAATAAAAGTCCAATCCAGACCAAATAACAAAGAGGAAAAGACAGGTGAATGAACCTAAATCAGAGAATCCCCACCCAAGAACATCAACAGCCCAAGCCTCCAACCCAGCTTCTTCAAGCAGGGGGTATGCGCACCTCCACTCTAAACAAGAACTAACAGATGCAAACATGAAACATGTTCAGCAGGACATCACAATGTAATGGTCAATTTGCAATTTGCAAGGATTAAAATGAACCTGTCAAAGCAATGAAGGAGAACCACTGGATTGATCTCACTTTGTTTTTGAGGTTTCACACAACTACTCATAATAAAACTTTCAGAGGATCCAATCTGCAATTGTAAGTGCATTAAAGAAATAAATGAATAATGTTCATATTGTCAGCTAACGTTAACTCAAACTATTTTCAGTGTTGCAAGTAAGTACTTTGAAATGGTGCTCAATGCTCATTGTAAAATTTCAAGTGAAAAACTTTTATTTTAAAAAATAATAATAATTTGGAGAAATTACCTTAGTTTCAGTTAAAATCTGCCACATGGAATTACTATTATGACCTTTTATAGTTTACTCTAAAGCTACAGTTCAATGAGTACACCCCAGGACAAACAAAGCAAAAGCCGCCAAGCCTGGTAACGTGGGCTTGTAACTAAACAGAGCATTAAAGTGATTAGTTGCCATTTCAGGTGAGGCATAGTGATCTTGGGTTGTCTACCTAAACCTTGATCTTGGTGGTGAAGTCGCACAAAGCACGAGCCTAGGGTCCCCCAACAACAAAGGTTGGGTAGCAAACATCAAAAAAGGCAAAGGGAGTTCTTCCTTTCGTTGAATGACATCAGGTAATCAAGTAAAAACAAAATGCACTTATTCAAGCACTTGCCTTTCACACAAAGACAGAGTTTGCAGGTTGGAAATAACGAAGGAAGAAGATGAAAATGGTGAAATGAGGAACCTTTTTTTATTAGAAAAATGGCTACCAGCTACCTCAAAACAAAACGTACACAACAATTAACAAAGATCTTTGGAAGAAAAAACAACAAAGAAGTAAAGAAAAAAAAGAAAAGAAAAGAAAATTAATAGCACCTACCTGTACGGGGAGCCTCTCCATCCTTTGAGCCAAGGTTCTGGCATAAGGATCTTTAATTTTCTCCACCTCCTTTGGAAGAAATGAGGGAAACCCAGTAGTACTAGAAGCAACTGCACCACTTGAATTACTCACCACACCCCTGCTGCTGCTGCTCAGAAGACCCCTTGAGCCTCCACATTTCTTTGCCATTGTGCTCACTGCTGCTTCTGGTGGTGGTGGGGGCGGTGAGGAGGAACCCCACACCAGAGACATCATGTTCGGAATGAGCAGAAGGAGTCGTAACGTTTTACAGAGAGCACACAGAACCTATATATTGTGGACAATGCAAAAGCTGGTTCTTTAACAAGGTGTGGTGACCACCCACCAGGTGCCAGTCTCTGGGGTTCGAAATCTGTTGAAAGCACTTTACGATTTGGGACAAGCTGAATCCCGAAGAGGGTGTATGAAGACCTCGTGGTATTTACCAAACAAAAAAGATGGTTCTTTACTGAAGTCGTAATAGGAGCCGTAACCAATTTCTTTACTGAAGTCTCAGAGAGTGGGACCAGAAGTACTTGTCAATTCGACCTTTTGACAGCGTCAGAGGATGCGTATTAAACGCTGGCATTATCTTGGGCAGATGGTGCATTTATGTTGATTGCGTTGTTTGAACTGAAACACAAAAGATGCACAAATAATAGTGCACACTGAATGAAGACTTTCTTGTAAACAGCTACATTCCATTCGGATGAAGGATTACATAGAATTTTAAAAATAACAGAATTTAAATTTCCCTTATTTAAATTTTTAATAATTAAAAATTTCAATGTTTGAATTTATATATCAAATTCTGTAAATTATATTTATGGAAATTTTGAAATGACGCTTATTTTAGTGGAAATTAAACTCGGAAATTTGATGCCTCAATTTCTATGATTTTTTTCTTGCATCATATAATAAATTTCTTACTTAAGTTGTCAAATAAGAGATTTGTCAATTTCTCCTCTTAAATTCTCTACTTTTAATTAAATTTCAAGTTATTTTCCCTTATCTAAAAGGAGGGCTATAGTCCAACTATCCAGGAAAGAAACAACGCACAATGCACGTTTGCAGATTATTCACTGAAATCATAATTTTTTGATACAAGCAATAATCTAAAGTACTTTAAATTTATATAATATACGAGGAGGAAGACCCGAACCGTAAAGAGTTCTGGGCTAAGTTTATTGTCTATTTTATTGGGCCTTGTTTCAGGGCCTTTATGTGCCGTTGGGCTTTGGCTTCGCACTGGAGAATATTATATGACGTTGAATATAAAATACTTGAGGCCAGATTTTATGAAAAAGAGACGAAAAAGGAAAGAAACAAAAAATTCTAGAAACTAAACAGAACCAAGAAATCAAAACAAAAACAGAAAAAATAACCAAGATTGATATTGCGTAATCTCTCTGCGAAAAAAAGGTGAACAGAAATCAGCGATGACAGAAGATAGTGGCGCTAGGGTTTCCTCGGATGTGCCCAATGATGCCTCACAAACAAGGCAAAGGTACCGTCCCTCGCATTCGACTAAAACCCTAATTCAGTTGACAAATTTAAATTTCATATCTTTCAATTACGACCTTGTAATTTTTTCACTGGATTTTCTTCTTATGTTTCAAAATTTAATTCACTATGTTTTTGTTTGACTGCCATAACATGGTTGAGGGTTGTCGTTGTTTGCTCTTATGCTGGATGCATGGGAAGGGTTTTTAGGGGGTTTCTTCTTTTTCTTGGGAGTTTTTACATATTTGCAATTTTGGTATTGCTTGGTGTGAGCTCTGCATCATGATAGTTCGACTATCAATTTCTTTCCAATTTGCAAGACGTTGGTGGGGATGAGGGTTGAAATGTGCCCCCCTTTTGTTAAACAGTGTTTGAATTGGATGTTTAAAGATGGAAGGATATAGACCGACGTTCATTACTTGAAATAGTTTGGACACGAGGACTTGGTTTACTGTTAAAGTTCTGCGGCCAGTAGTGTTGTCTGAACCATGATCTTGATTGCCCAAAAAAAAGTTAGTGAGGATCGTTTAGTTTTATTATTTAGTTTAAGATATCTAATTCTGGGAATTGTGATTAGGGCGAGCTTGAGCTTGCGCATGCCACTGTTCATTTGTATTTCAAATCATGTGGTCCCCCCAAAATTTGCTAACCTTTAGCACTTTCTACAGGAAGAAAAGAAAGTGGGATCAACCTGCAGCATCCTTGGTTTCAGCTGGTTTAGCAGTGCCTGGGGCTTTCCCATTGGGAAATGCGGGATTGCTTGGTGGGATTACAGTTCCTGGCACACCAGTGACTGGTGCTCATCTGATGAATCCACTTGAGGCAAGTAGTCCTACCATCCCTCAGGTGTATCAGATACCTCTGATACCGCAACAGACTGCCACAGTCATCCAAAAATTAATTCAAGTGAGTTACCTTTTGGGTATTGGCTATTCACTTTTCATAGCTTAAAAGATCTATTTTGCTTGAATTTTGCTGCATTTAGTTTATATTGCGCACATGAAGATTTGGAGCTTGCATAAATTGAAACTTCCACCATCCAATCATAATTTATTATTTTGGGATATTGTTTTTCATATAGGATCCACTTATGCACTAATTGTTATTTTCTTTCTTGTATTCCAGTTGATGTTGCAATTGATTTGTTTCAAATTTCTTGTTTGTTTTGCTCAATGATTTATAGCCAAAGATCCAAGATGAGTTAATAGCACGAGAAATTGTTATCAACGATGCAGAGTCTCTTGTTCGTTATAAGCTGACAAAACGCCAAACACAGGAGGAGGTCTATTTTTTTTTCTTCAAAAGAAAATATAGTGACTTAATGTACATTTAGTTTGTAATGGATGGTTCTTTTGTTTGAGATTGATGGTGTATATTACTTGCAGATCCAAAGATGCACTGGTGCTGTGGTGATAACAAGGTTGATTGGCTTTCAATGGCAGTACTAGGTGCATTTATAGTTGTTTTTTTATAGCTCACGCGTCATGTGTGTAATGCGTATACTAAATTGCCTTTACAGGGGCAAGTATCGTCCACCAAATGCATCAACTGATGGTGAAAAGCCATTATATCTTCATATTTCTGCAGGGGCTAATGTAAGTAAATTAGCTTTATTTTTGGAGCATAAGTTGTATTGAAAATCTTCTCTGTTAATCTGACTGTTATGGATGTCTTATGTTTGATAATGAAAGTGTGCAATAGATTTGGTGAGAATTTCTTTTGTCCACCCAATGATTAGATAGTTTTTTCTCAAAATATGTATCATCATCATATGGAAGATATTTTAAACTTATCTCATTGATGTCGATTGTGAAGATTAGATAGTTCAACAACAATCATTAGAACTGTGGGCCATATTGCCTTTTCTAAAAGTCCCCCGTCTGTCAAAGTGTCCATCTTTAATAAAAAAATTCATGGAGGAATTTGGATTTGGTTTCTTCATAATCATGGCTTTCCAGTTAAAAGAGACAGCAGAACGGATTTTAGCAGTTGACCGTGCAGCTGCCATGGTTGAAGAAATGCTGAAACAGGGTCAGAATCCGACTATGAGCAACGGATTGACGGTATTATTCCATTAAATGTCAACTTTTTTATGGTATGGAAAATTGATTGCAGAAATTCTCATATTGAATCTGGTTACTCAGGCACCGAACACTTGTGTGTATTTGGGCTTTGACGCAGATCCGTCATGGAACATTGCTGCTCGTATACGTGGGCCAAATGTGAGTTAGTTTTTTTTCCTCCCCTCGTCCACCTGTCTTATCAGTAAAATAAATTATGGATTTAGGATTTAGCAGTGTCCTTTGTAGTCAAGTTAATAATTTTCAACCTCTCTTTCCATCTCATCTCTCTCTCCCCCCCCCCCCCCCCCCCCCCCCCCCCCCCCCTCCTCATGTTCTACAACTCTACTGTTGGCCAGTGTTCCATTTCATCTGTATCATATATTATCATGTTGACATTGCTTTAAGTGTCATATGCACTTACTATATATAATCTGTATGCTCGTAAGAGGGTTGATTTGTTTCTTTTTAAGCAGTTTATTTTGCACATAATGAAGATAAGAGATTCTAATGTTTGAAGCTTTCTCTGACATCTCCATACAATTGGGAGAAATTGTTTTTTGTGTTGGTGGTGGTTTGGTTTGGTACATGCAGGACCAGTATATAAATCACATTATGAATGAAACAGGAGCAACTGTGTCACTCAAAGGGCGTGGTTCAGGAAATCTTGAGAGTGTAAATGGCGAAGGTATCACCTTTTGTATGCAGTATGATCTTATTGCAAGCTTCTTACTCCAGCATACTGATATTTTGTTGGCTATTGTTACCTATTTTCACTTATTTTGCTTGCAGAAGGACAGCTACCATTGCATTTATTCTTGTCAAGTAATAATTCAAAAAGTCTTGAAGATGCTAAACTTTTGGCTGAAAATCTTTTGGATACAATCAGTGTAGAGTGTGGTGTCTCCAGGTAATTAGATTTTCAATTGTCCTAAGGCATTGCATGGCTAGAATTGTTCTAACTTGTGGCAAAATATGACAAGAGGGATTTTCTCTCTGTTCTTGGTTTTACATTCATTTTGGGAAATGAAACATGTTATTTACTTGTGTTTCCAAACCTTTCATCATTGAATCAATTAGAGATAATCATGTTTCAACTGCCCTTGGTAATAACTATTTGTTTCACCCAACTTGTTGGATTTTAATCTGCAATGGCAGCAACTTTGAGTTTAGGATTCTGCTGGTTCTGCTCAATGCATGAATATCTGGTTTCCATTAGCTTTTATGGTTTGTGCTGTAGCTTGTAATTAGGTATGGTATATAACTTGTTGCCATTTTCTGTCATAGGGTTTCATCATCTAAGGTTTGTAGTGCTGTTCCACCCCCACAGCAGGTATATAGTGCTGTTCCACCACCGCATAAGTTGTTGGCTGGAGTTCAGAGTTCTGGAACTGAGGTAAAAACAATTACAAATTTGTCGTCTCCAACTGTGGGTGCTACACCAGCTCCGGCAGTTTCCTCTGTTGGAACGCCTGTGGTCGCTACTGTCTTTTCTCAAGGGGCAATATCTCAACCTGGAGGGTTGTTAAACTCTGTGCAATCTCAGGCAAACATTGGTGGTTATCCCCAACCTCTACCTCTATTATCTAATGGAACAAGCTACAATGGATATGGTGGGATATATCCTCAAGTCACACCTTTGCAACAAGTTGCTCTTGCCCTTAGACAGTCATCCCCTATCCCTTCTACAGTTGCTCCCACAACATCAGCGCCAAGCACTGAACCAAAGTTGAATGTTAACTCCACTTCTAGTTCTGAACAGGAGAAACGACCTCCACAGTCACAGAGGCGGAAGTTTCAGGAGTTACCAGTTGGTCCTGCAAAAGTCCATCAGGTACCATTGCATGCTCCCTGGTTGTTTACTGGTCCTGCATTATTGTTCTATCCTTTATATATTGTTCAGTTAGTATGTTTGGGTTATAACCACAAATACTGCTAAGTCTCGGTTGACCTTGCAAATGCCAAGTCAAGCTAAGATAGCTTGATTAGCTAGTTAACTGTCCATATAGCTTGGACTAGGGAGAGACTAATTTTCTTGACATTACTGTTGTCTTTGGGTAAACTTCCCATCAACTAAGATACCAGATGCGTCCATACGTTTTTTTTTCCTTTTTTTTCTGCATGCATATATATATATATATATATATATATATATATATATATACATGACCATTTAGGTAAATGGATGATGTTGCTAAATGTTCAATTTTTACTTTGAATTGGTCTTTTGTCATCACTGTAATGTAATTGAATCTTGTACTGACTTGCAGTGCTTGCTATTCCAGGTATTTTCTCTGACCTTCTATGAGGCTAACATGCCAATACTGGACCTCTCTATTGGGCCACTGGTTTGTATTTTTCACAGGGTTTTCAATCTTGGAGGCGCCATTGGGGTTCACTTGTGGCTTTGGAGCTATATTCCACATACAACCTAGATTTCATGCGGTTTAGTTTAATGTTATATACTTAGGTCAAGTTATGATAATATATTTTGTTTTCTGTTGGTTATCAGTTTGTGATAAATCATTCCAGTGTTGGAGTTCTTCATTTCTTAGTGTTTCCTTCTTGGGCTGTCACCAGCAGCATGCACAGCCAAAACTCCCAGAGAAGAGGTACCATCACGACCAATGCGAACTTCACGTGCATCTCATGAACACTCCATCGTTTTAATGAGTCAAGAGTTATGCAAAATCTCAGCTACTCATACTTTGTGGCAGTTGTATCGACTTAAAACTAGCTTTGGTATTGATGGTTGAACCTCTTGCTTGTGAGAAAATTGGATGTGCATGCTGGTGGGTCCTACTAGTGGAATTTGATCTATGATTGCTCCTGCTGTAAGCAAAAGTTTATGTGTACTAGTCATTATATGAGGCGGTTCACACTTCCTTCTATTTGTTGTATACCTTTATGAACTTGGCCATATCCTTGAAAGACATTCTAGATGCTAGACTTGCTTGATGATATGAAATCCATTGTCTCTACTAACTTAAGTATGTCCTTTATAGAGTGTTGTACCTTTGTGCCTATATGATTTTGGTTGTTAGATAAATTAATTTTCGCAGTTGCAGATATCAGTATTTAATCTTTAGGTTATTATTAATCAACTTTATTACATAACACCTCCATTTTATGGTTATTGAACTGTTAGTTTTTCCCTTTGGTTTCTTTTCTCCCTAACTGGATGCAGGAACTGGAAATGTCAAAGCCAAATGAAATGTTGGCAGATTTGGGTCTGAGAAATGTATCAACTATGCCAGCTCCGAAGAAATTGGTCCAGCCAGCATCAAATGGAATGCCACCACCCCTACCTAGAGCAATGCCGCCACCTCCACCAAAATTCACCTCATCAGCACACGTTCTGACCAAAACAAAATCTGATGATGTCCCTGGTAAGTTTGAAGACCTGCTCTGCTTGTTTTTCTCTTTCCGGTGTGTGCTAATTTTGATGGGAAGACTAGAGATGTTATTTGCATGTTTGTTTTTTGGGGGGTGGGAAGTTGGAAAATGGTATATTGTTTGTTCTCTTTCCTTGTCTGTAATTTCGTTTGTGATTTTATACCGATGATGTATGAATGTCTGACCAAAAAAAAGTATAAATATATCTGAACTTTGGCTATCTCAGATACTTTGTTCAAGCTGATGGAATATGGTGAGGATGATGATGACTCTGAGGAAACTAACAAAGAATTACCCACAAGCAATTCTGGTGCAGTGATAGCTCGAAAGCCTTTCTGGGCATTATGAGTTTTCAGTTAGCATAAGCTGGTCAATTGTTTGCGACAAACTAATGGCTCCTGATCGGAATTTCTCTAAATACATGCAAATGAATGGATTCATCCAGCTCCATGTGGTGGGATATTGGTGTCATGAGAAAGCTAAAGGCAGTGCAGTGGATTTTTGCTGTTTTACGTTTTCGGAAATTCAAGATCTGTTTCTCTTGGCCGTCATTGGGCTCTTTCCTAGAGAATGAAGGGAAGAGCTATGTTGCATCAAGTACATGTGTAGATTCGTAGTAGTTTTTCTGTGTTTTGGTTTAAGGGTTAGTTTCATTAGATTGTCAGCATGCTTCACTGCCAAAGGTTATATAGGAATCAGTAAGATCCAAAGTTGTGTATTATGTATCCACAAGGCGTTCGTGATTAATTTTCTTTGCTTTTGTATTTCCCATTAACTTAATCCATTTCTGTGAATTTCTATCCAGTTGAAGACTTGAAGCTGTTTTTCTTCATTAGATGAGTTAATACTATTACTGTGCTTACTCAATCTGCTGAGTTATCGATTAAAAGGTACATGTCATTAAAAGAAGGGAGTTTTACTAAAACATCCAAAATGGGGGTTGAAATTATAAAAAAATCCAAGTACTATTTAAACATATGAACGCACTTAAAACCCATCATTACACACACTTAAAACCCATTTATAAACACATTCAAAAAGTTGACTTTGGGGTTGATTTTGGGTGTGTTTCTATGTTTAAATAGTGCTTGAGTTTTTGTATAAATACATGTCTATGATTGGGTTTATTTATAAATTTGTATTAAAAGAAACCCCACTGAAAAATTGAATTCATGATGGGAGGGGTCATTGCAGAATTGATCCACTTGTTGGAAAATAAATGAAGTGTCATTGCAGAATTGATCCACTTGTTGGAAAATAAATGAAGTCGAACAAGAAAAAGGAAATCAGTGAATTTTACTAGGTCATGCAATGATGCACAATACTTGTTCAAGGCCACTTGTATGGGGCCTTGACAGGCCTGACTCAGCCTTAGCTCTGAAGGGGTTCTTCTCAGCCACAGAATCACAGACAAGGCGGCTCCCTATTCAGTGTCTCCTACAAGTTACAACTACCTTCACATTGATGACATTTCCAACAAAAACACACTTTTCCAGGGGCCCACATGAAAATATCAATTCCCAAATTCCTGTTAAGCCGGACAGGCAATGAAATGAAATGCAGCTCCCCTTGCCTTGAAGTCTCAATGCATTATGACCACATGCTTTCTTGCAACTCTGTTTTGACAATTCTGCTGCTGAATAATCAGACCGCTTCTTGTTGGCCTCAACTTTCTGGGTTCTGGGTCTTTGATTTTATATTTGACTATTTGGCGCTAAATCTTCTTACATGCTATCCTGGTGGACTTTATCAGAGTCTCTCAAATTTGACAATCTATAACATGCATCTCAATTACTTAAAAGCAGAAGAGAAACAGATTTAGTTAAAACACACAAAGTTCCATATGAATTGCCGCTAGCATCCAATACATATATCAGTTACCACATGGACTACAGGGGTCACAAAAAATGAACCTACTTCATCATATTACATCACACACGAAACTACGGAGGGAGAGAACCCCTTTCAATTTCATGGGGGATCCTAACCTGTTTAACAATCAAAAACATACATGAGCAGAGGGGAACATTAAATAAACGCTTTCCCTCCGTTGTAAATAATAAACATTGACAGTTTTATCTACTCTGGCGTCACCTCCTGCTGGAATTCTGTAATGATTTTGAGGATCCCTCAAAGAGATCCAAAAGGTAATTCTGCAAATCATCAGCACTGTACTTGATGAGCTTGTCACTTATGTCGTTGGAATGTCTTCCCACGAATGTCCTGTAAGCTTGGACTACATTCAGAGATGTCGAGATTTGCACATCTTCTCGAAGCTGAGGATCCGGAATCAACCATGTTGTTTGGCTCTTGTAAATCTCCTCGAAAGCAAGATAAAAGCTGCGGAGCCTTTCCTTAAGGAGGGTTTTAGAGATGGAATTTGAACCAGGATTTTGAATGCCCTCCTCTTTCAGCAAAGAAAGAACGGAACTCCAACTAGCTCTCTGGTAGTTCATTGCATGCTGCTGAAATTTCCCATTGCACTTCCTAATCCACCCATCTCCAAAAAGGAGCCTTAGTTCATCCCCCTTAACCTTCTGAGCCATGTAATGCAGATTGTTCATCAAAAATATGTGTTGCAAGGAAGCATCCTTATATAATTTGGACTTGTCATCAAGGTTGCACTCCAGAGTGGAAACAAGTGACTGGTAGTGGCGAAGCATTGGGGAAATTCTGCCTGAAGTATCAGTGCTTTTGTTCTCCTCTTCTGTGGTTGGACTCGTATCAGGAGACAGTGAAATGGAATCACCTTCATCACAGTCATCAAGGAGCACATTAAGGGTCTCACTGTAGTCTGTAAGAGTCCTCAAGTAGTTCATCACATATCTGGTGAGAGGGTGTATTCCTCCTCCAGCAACAGGGTTAGTCGAGGCGTTTGATGCAATGGCATTCTCGAATTCACTAAATGTTGCCTTCACAGAATCACCCAATCTCATCAGAACCTCATGACACTCAATTCTTACAGAAGAACCAGCCCCATCCACGTATAAACCATCTATATCAGGAAGAAGATCCGCTAGCACCTCATACATGTCAAGAATGCGGAACAACTTTTCTGGTTGGTGGGGACCAATAGACATGGCTTCACCAAAATTCATAAGTTGCAGCATTGAAGGCTTTGATGCCTCAACAAAACAATCTAAATAAACTGGTCCAAGCTCCCCAAAAATCTGATCACTGAGCCATCTCTCGCTAGGAAGATAAACCCGCACAAAGATCTTCATAACCCAGACCCATCTTCTGATTTTGGAATTCAAGCAACCCCACTCCATCTTCAGCACGTCCTCAATGCTCAGTCTCTGGACTTCAAGAATGGAGAGGCACTCATCCAAGGCATCCCTTCGGATGCTAGTATAAGCTTGGATACATTCCTGATCATAATGGCAATTGAACATCAAATTTGCTATGCCTCTGAGCTCAGGAACTACATCTGGATGAACCAAATCAATGACGACTTCCTCAGATGCTCTGCTAACACTATCTCTTTGAAGTGAGTCCTCAAATGAATCATCCCCAAAAGAGATTATTGAGCTGCCATCCACAATATCCTCTTCACTTGAACGGAAAGACATGTGCTCAGGTTCGAAGGGTTGCCTGTTCTGAACAAGCATGTATTTGAACTCTTCCTCCAGCCTAGCCATAGCTGTTTGAAGAACATCATAAGCTTTCTGTAGCACCTCATACTCTTGATCATCTTTATTCAAACGCAAACCCTCTAACCTTTCGACAAACCTTCGAGCCTCCTCCACAGCTTTGACGTACTCCAGAGATTCATTTGGGCCTGAATTCCATATCATAGACTGATCTGCCTCCCAACTCATGACCCTCTCCTGGATAGAATTAAGACGATCTTCAATATCACCACTTTTCTCACCCTTTTTCTCACTGAGTGAGATCATGGTGGACAATTGGGTGCCAAGATTTGCCAAAATTTCCCTTTCACCATCTGTAAGGTTCTTCTTTGATCCCAATGCCCTCGCTATGTTTCTCGCTGCAGCAATTAAGTCGTCTTCTCCTTCCATTTCCGGACGCATAGACTTGCAATCCCCCATAGACATACAAGAAACAGAGCAAAAATGGAGACCAACAAGTCTAACTAAAACCTTTTCAAATCAACGGCAAGAACTGAAAAACTTTGGCAATTGAACCGAAACCTCCAATTTCCAAAAATCAGAAAGGTAAACAATACCCTCTTGCTGGCACAAACCAAAATCAATGCTTTGTATCCAACGAAGTAGTTTATGTTGAAAACTGGCGAAGACCCAACACAGAACACCTATGAATAGTTGCTAAAATGAAGTGGGAACCCAAAAGAGGATCGAGGAGATAAGAAAAGTCCTGTCAAGATGCAGCAAAGGGCCAATCTTTTTATTGTCAAATAAGAAGAAAAAAAACCAATCTTTTTAAAAGTTGGTCATGAGTGGCAATCACTATAAACAATTAGGTAAAGCAAAGCAAAGGAACCCAAAGTTGAATAGAAAAGATGTACTACACAAGGCAATAATACAAAGGAAAAAGCCTACCTCTTCGCAGTCTTCAAACTTTTGCAGGTTGCAACACATGCAAAAAGGAGATCAAAGAGACACAGAAGCTCCAAATCAAAACGCAAACACAGACAAATTTTCTGCTTCATAAATCGCATGAACAGTGTTCAAATGAAGCTGGAGAAATACCAATCTCGAAACAAAGAAAACAACAGACTTCAATTCAAGCAAGATCTACCCGCCAGTGAAAGCAGTCAAAATGAACACTTATGATGAGGGGCTAGACATGAAAAAGAAACCAACTTTCTCGGCTATGAGTCTGGGGTTCAATTTAAGCAAACTTTTCTGGACTTTAATTTTTGAATTTTGTGGTCTTTTTCTTTTCTTGCATAATTTAAGCCTCGCGGGTTTGACCTTCACCTCGGTTTGAGTCTACTGCCCAACTTAGTTACGCAGACTACGATGCTTACAAAGTTATATTATATACACAACTACGTATCAGAAAACAGAATATGTGACGTAATATATGGTATTATTTAAAACACTCTTGCAAATATAATTTTTATTTTTATTTTCCAAAAAGATAAAGTATAATATTGTGTTACTCTTCTTACCATAGTGGTTTCTCTCTCCACTCCTCATGTGTACAATATTCATAACTACAACCGTCCTTCACATCTTTCGATTTTATTTTCATAGATTACACACACCTTCTTGTGTTTGAAGAAAACCATGTACGTCCACCCTTCAAAATATGTTAAGTAATGAGCTTGTAGCTTTCTTAAAAGCGTTTGCAGTCTGAGGTTATATGTTCGAATATTTCATTCCCAAATATCACTAAAATAAATGTCATACATATTAATTTGTTAAGTATTCTTTGACACCAAATTGATAGTCGATATGATATATTGAGTTGTTTAGAATTTAGACGGAAATTAAAAGAGGAAAGGTGTCAAAAATTTAACCATCACTTCTAAATTCTTGTTTTGGAGGTCATTTTCGATAAGAGGAAAAAGAAAAAAAGCTTATCCTGATTCCTGGCTGCTTTTGTCTCCTCCACCCCATTGTTACCTTCACTTGCTATCGTTTTCACCATTGTCATCGTCTTCATTGAAATTTTTTATTTCCCAAACAAAATATCTTCTTCGTTTTTTACTTTTTTATTTATTAAATATTGTTTTTCCAGAAGAGGTTATTTTCCTCTCAAAACTTTTTCCTCCAAAACAAACTGACAATAGGATCATGGTTGGTCAAAGTCAACCTCCAAGTTCATGAATCTATATTGTTCCACCAAAGACACGTTTTAGAAATAAAACAGAAGCTCCAAAAAGTAACTACTTTTCCGCTGGGCCTTGATATGTCGTTGCAAAAGGCCCTTCATCAAGTTTGCCTTTCACAGAAACTAGGTGAAATAGATATGCCTTTGGGTCAGTAATTAGCATAAGATTACTTATGAGCTCATGTTTGTCCAATTATAAGGGTAAGTTTGTTAAAAAAAAATTCAACCAAACGAGAGTTTATAGCTTCAGTGATAAAGCACTTAACCCGAGACCCAACAAAAAAGATCGGCGCTCTCAATATCTCATTTCTCTTTTAATAAAACTCTTAAAAATAATAAGTGAAAACATTTCAATCATCACTTCCCACTTGAATAAGAAACAATGGCCAAGGGAGTTTCTACACTAGGTCTAGCGAAAGCCAAACTAGACGATGGGTTATCCCACAAATTACAAACTAAACTTTCTTCATCTCAGGCCATTTGCCTAACATCCTAAAACACAATCAAACTCTCTCTCTCTCTCTCTCTCTCTCTCTCTCTAGCTCTACTTGTTTCTCAACACTAGTAACACATTTTCTTGTCTAGTTAGGACAATAACAATAATTCAGAAGACTCAGGTATTAAAATGGCAAGGAAATTTTTTCCTTTTCCTGTCTTTATATTTCTCTCTCTTTTTTTTTCCTTTTCTCTTTGGTTTTCAGTTATCATGAGGACTTTGGAAGGGGCTTCCCTTGAATGAATGATTTGAACAAATGAAGAGCTTCTCTTGGCTTGAAAAGTGGGACTTCATGACCTGCTCCTCTCACTGTTGCAAATGTCAGCCCTTCATACACCTCTGTCCACCCTCCCACCTTCACAATCAACATATCATAAATTCATTTTCACAATGCAAAAGAATAATTCATGAAAAAATTGTTTATATATATATATATATATTGGATTGGGATTTATCTTACTGACCTGCTTTTTAGTATACCAGGGGTACCATGGAATTTTGGTTGCTAATTTGAGTTGTGCAAGGGAGTACCTAGTGGCTGTAACTGGCACCACTGAATCCACATCTCCACTGCACATATGTATCAGTTCAAGAAATCATGAACATGAATTAAATATCACATGAGAACAGAGTTTGATTGTTAACATTAACATTAATTATATATACAAGTTAATTATACCTGAAAACCCAAATCCTCAAACCAGCAGCTATCATGTCCCTGTAAATAGGAAGAACCGATACATCTGTGTCGTTCCAATTTCGATTCAAAACCTCACTGCAATGCTTATCATAAAATAACACAAATCATCTGTTAAACTAAGATATACTTAAGCCCCCCCTCCACCTCAAAAACAAGAAATAAAAATGTTGAGTTTTGCATTGATCACCTGCAAGCAGTCCACTTATAAGGAATTCTGGTTATGTTGGCATGGAGAGCTTTCTGCACATCTGGCCTGTTGTAATAAACTTCAGCATATTTCTCCGTACAAGGATCATAGCCAGATAGTTGCCGGAACATCTAAAAACCAAAAGTAAAACACCGATTAAAATAAGGTTACATTCTTTTTACGTACAAATTGAAGATACTTAACGAAGTATTAGTTATTAGTATACCGGTCGATGAGGCAGACGCATGCTACTCTGCCTTGTAGAAGTGCTTCCATCAGAGTTGTTGCAAGGGGGTGCGTAAATGTTGTACTGGTCTATGTTTCCAAACTCCTTATCCATGGCGTAGCTATACAATGATTCGCATTCATCGGAGTTCTTCTGCCTGCGAAAATCGCACGTGTTGATCAGCTGCCGGTAGGTTTTATCAGAGATCATGGCATGGCTCCACCAGTATGTCACCGTCCCTAGGTTATCATAGTAGTTATCTGTCACTGCATTACCCACCTGCATTTTATGTCAATTACTTTGATGCTACACTATTAAGGTAATACGAAACATTATATGATACAAACTCGTATGACATACGAACGCATTTTTAACCGTGCTCACTTATTTGTGAACCTGTATCATAGCAGCTTGTACCATAAAGTAACGTTTCATGTATATATATATAACATACAAATGATTTTATAAGTACCATTATTCCTTTAAGATTGATTGGGTGCTTGGATTGTGAATTGTAGGTCAAAATTGCTTTGGCCAGCTGAGGGACATAATGGCCAGCATAGCTCTCGCCTGTAAGATATACTTCTCGGCCCTTGTATCGTGGGAATCGATCCAACCATCGGATCAAGAATTGCAATGAGTCCTTTGCTGAATCAAAACACTCCCATAATTAAATTGTAGGCCAAAAAAAACAAAAACAGATGAACCATGGTAATTGAAATATATATTAATAATCGAGTCAAAGGGTCAAACTGATCATGACCAGGCAAAATTATGTTATGTCATCTTAATTAATCGAGGCAATTTGTATCCAATAACAAGAACAAGGCAATAATTGAATCACTTGTCATGACTTTGGACCATAAAATCATTAATATAATCAATACGGCAGTTAGCTAGTCGTGATCAGCATATGTAGCACTCAATGAATAATCATAAGCACTCTATTATGTGATTTGTTGAGTCGGGTAAGGTGTGTTGTCTTCCGTTGTAATTCTTCATTTTATTAATAAAATTTCTCTCATTCCGTCAAAGTTTTCTTTATAAATAAATATATATAAAAAACACTCGTGCTTAAAAATAAATAATGCATAATAATAACTACTAGTGATTAATTAATTAATGACTGTAAGAAGTAAATGGTTAATTAAGAATAAATTACCGGTGCGACCGTCACCGGTGTCAAAGAGATCGGAGGAGCGGTTGCTGTAGGAGAAGCCGACGCCAGCCGGGGTTTCCAAGAACAAGAGATTGGCCACAGAGTTCCATGAGAACTTGTTCAAGTATAGCCCCGAAGCACTCTTGTTTATTCTAAAGGGTCCTATCTCTTCCGATGCACCATATGCCACAGAAGAGCAACCAGGGCCTGATAAAAAATAAACATTTTAATTAGACCTAATTAAACATATTGCATTATTAAAATAAAATAAAAATAAAATATAGAAATTTAATGTTGAAAAAAGTATATGGGGCCAAATGGGGTTTGTCTTTAAGCCATGCCAGGCATGCCTAGCTCTCCAGCTTTTCTTCTGCTAAACTTAACCACTGGTCATGAATGATGCCATGGATGGTAGATACTGACAATTGGTGCAAATGGCTACGGCTAATAATTGAAGTTTGTTTTTGGTTGCTCTCAAAGCATTAATGGCTCATTTGTCTGTATACTACATGCAATTCAATTTCAGAGAGAGAGAGAGGGAGAGAGAGAGGAGGGGAGAGAGAGAGAGAGAGAGAGAGAATTATGGGTTTCCTTTTTTTCTCTTCATCTGTTATTGGAGCTATTGGAAGTAAAGTTGCGTACTTTTAAATATCTCTAGCTTACATATAATATTAGTAGTTAGATCATCATTTCTTGGCATTGGGTAGGCCCTGATGGTGGGCTCTCCCTGTTTCAAATTTCCTTCTTTTTGTTCGTTTCTGTGTATAAAAATTGAAGGCACACCTAAAGGAACTGGGTTTTGATTCAGAATCAGAACAGAAAAGAAGAAACTGAAACTAAATGAAAAAAAAAGGGTACATAGATGCCAGAATGCATAAACAATATTTACTTGTAAAAGTAAGCATGTTCATAAATTTTCTACATACACACATATAATTTTCTCATCGTGTCGGCAACCATATTCCCTGTCCATGGACATTTAAAGCATAGATAACCTACCAAAAGAGTAAATATGCTGCAAATACATATCACTTGGAGCAATATAACAGTGAGTAAATATTAACTTTTCAAACCCACTTCAAGAACAATGTAAATCCAACAAACACAAATATTCTGATTTTGCATAGAAATTCTCCTATGCGGACGTCCAGACATTATTATTCTGCGGACGCTGTATATATGTGGTAAAGTTAGAATGTGGTTGCTAACCTCCATTGAGCCAAACAACAAGAGGTTGCGACAAGGGATCATGAGCAGCCTCAGTGAGCCAGTAAAAGAGGGCTCTGCCAACATGGTGATTTACAGTGACATATCCAGAAAACTGCTGAAAAGAGACGTTGGGTTGTCCAGGGAGCCCCACAATCCTATCAGCTTCTTCTTCTTCATTTGCTACTACAATTCCATGGCTTCCAGTAAGCAACCCAATAAGAAGCAAAACAAAGATTATTAGGATCTGTGTTTTGGCCATGACCCTGAAGAAGAAGGAGCAGCTAAGATAAAAATATTGTACTAGCTACTTCACTCTTCCTAGTTGTGTGTATTTGATGGGAAGTAAGACTCTGCTTTTCAGCATGGATTAAATAGGAGAGAGAGAGAGAGAGAGAGAGAGAGAAATGAACAAGATCTAATAAAATAAGGACTGAACATGGAACCTAATAAATTTTGTAAACTATTGGAAGAAGTACTCATGCACATTGAAAAGACAATTATACCCCTATGAGAGCCCATATTTTGGTCAAATCCAGCTGGCCTTAGCAAGCAATTAACAGAGGATAATTTGCGATAAAATGGACCCAAACATAAATTCTGTGATTTTTATAGCTAGAGGGGGGTGGGGTGTCTCAACCTGTCTTAATTATAGGAGCAATTATGGTTTTCTCATGCCCCTAAAACGGCTCCTTTAATCCTCCATTAATTCCTCTTGTATTCATATACGGTATACCACACGGGAGACGACTTTGACTAGCCTGGCCCTGGCCAGCCTCTTTCTTCTATCTTCGTTGGCTTTATATCCCCTCTTCCTCTTCCTCTCTTTTTTTCTTTTCTTCTTCTTCAATTTTTTAATTGTTTTTTTGTTTTGTTTTGTTTGGATAACATTTAATGTGTTCATTCTGATCAGATTTTTTGCAAACTTTAGTTTTAAAAAATTAATAATTTGTGTCATATAATAAGGTAGTTGGATAATATGTAATGTGAGAGACCTATTATTTTCGCGCTTTATTTTGCAGTCTTGGGTAATTATTGTTCTCCGTTGCAACTAAGTTTTTCTCTGTTACATAGAGGTAAGAATTGTTTCTCATTGCAACTAAGTTTTTCTCTGCTACATAGAGGTAAGAACAGCTAAAAACTGGCTGCTAATTGCTTAGAAGTTTTTTATTTTCTATTCTTAAGACATTATGTATATGCTTGTGGCAGTTCTTACTTAACTGGACTTGCAATACTCTTGTTATATGTAGGTTCAATTGTCAAAATACTCTTTATGTTTTTTGGTAATATGTGGATTTGATCGATGTCAGTCTTCAAACTTTAGACATGCAGATCTTTAGTTGTATCGCAAAGTCAACAAATCTACAAAACCGACATACTCTTAAAGTTTTCAAATCTTTTAGCTAATGTTTTTTACATGGCCTTCTTATATATCGCATGAAACATACAATCTTTCAAGTACATATGAATCATGTGATTGTTCTTAAGTTACCAACTTCATCCCTCAAATTAACTTTTGACTTTCATGAAAATCCATGTTATGTAAGGTTTCTTGTCTCGTCGATCTAATATTATACAGATATAGAGTAAGAAACCATAATATCTACACCATATAATATATGACGAACGTAAAACTTACTGTTTTGGAAACTTTTCAGAAAATATATATAATATAATAAAGCAGTTCCACATAAAAATAAAGGCACTTTTTCTTGTATGGTTGTCTTTAGGTGCACGCGAGGGCGGTTTCATTGATTTCTAAAAATAGCATGGTGTGTGTGTGGCCATGGCGATGATAGAAGCTCTTTTGGACTTGCATTGCCTTTGAAAAAAGACTTCATGAACAACAAGAGCTTCAGCCTCCACTATTTTGTATGCAGCCAAAATTAGCAACTGTTTTCCATAACCATCATAACCTCCTGCAATATCTATCTCTATACAATCATTATATATGTGTGTGTGTGTGGACGCTTATCTTTCATCAAATTGAGCCTTTTCTTTTTCTTTTTTCTTTTCCAAAGTTATAATTTTCACTATGTGCTTTGCTGGTACTTGGACCTTATGGGGGTAAGCTTGACAAGGACTATAGAAGTTTCTATGCTTTGTTGCCAAGATGGTATACGCTTCTGCTGCATGCACTTTCTTGTCTTCCTTTAAGAATGTGTACTTGGAATATATACATATGCATATATATACTTCTATATACAAGTATTTATACTATATACATACACACACACACACACACATATATATATATATAGTGTGTGTTACGTGTGTGTGTGAGAAACCTCATCTCCTGTAGTTTAAACTATCGCTTGTACCCTTAAAAAAAATCAAGATATATCACGTTCAAACTAGTAGTAATATATGTTAATTAATAAATGCAAAAAAAAATGTATATGTCAGTAATTGTAGAGTAGAGTAGGCGTAGATGGACGAGTGTGGAAATAATGATGATATTTATGACTGAAGTAGAGAGCAATGAGCACAGCGCAGAGAGTGGTTGGAAGAAGTGGATGATATTTTTTTTGGGTGAAAGAAGAAGTGGATGATATTGAAAGCCTTAAAACACTGTGGTAATTATTGGAAAGAGCAACAAAAGAAAACCAAGAGATGAAGCAAACTCAGAGAGAGAGAGAGAGCGAGAGAGAGAGAAGAGAGGTGATGGTCATTTTCAATTGGTCAGTGCTTTCGTCTCTCTCTCAACACTCATGAACCTGCAGAAACCTTGAAATGCTCATATGTATGTATGTATGTATGTATGTATGCCTGCTCATTTGGGTTTTTGAGATACCCTTGATTCACTTTCTCAAATGCAGAAATTATTAATGAAAGTAGCCTCTTTTATATATATAGGAGGAGAACTCCAATGTTCTACCAATATTAATTATATTGAGAGCTACGTTGCAGTAACTTTTTTGTTTATTTTTGGGGCCTATGAAAACAATGCAGTTAAAATCATGACATGCAATCTCTTGCTTCTCAAATTCATTCACTCAAAAGGTTCGCATCTCTGAGTCTGTGTGTGAGGATCTGTAGGAGGAAAGAAGGTAGCAGAATCAGTCTGTCCGGTCCCACTGTTCTCCTCCTTATATACCAATATATATATATATATATGTATATATTTTAAAGCTCTTCTGAATGGTAGTTGTGAGCCTGCAGGCTGCAGCTATAAGCACACGTATACTGTGTGTATGCCCTAAGCATGCATCACTGTCCAATCGATGCTGCCTTAGATTTTGAAGTTGAACCCCATAATTAACATTAACTCATGTCATCATCAAAAACTGAAAAACAAAAAACATATTAATATTGTATACAATATTCCAATCCACAATATCCAAAAGTTGAAAAAAATAATGGTTCATTGTCTTCTCACTTTTATCGCGAGTGCTTCTGAAAAGTCAAAACCATATGCATTTCTTAAAACTCATGATTTTGAAATCCGAAATGGAATTGCTTTGCTTTGTGTGTTACATATGTCATAATAAGGTGTACTTTATAATATCATAATCATGCTTTGCAATTAAGTGTTTGACCACATCATAATCATATATATATATATTAATATTGATATTCAGATAATATTATTGTACGGACGTCGTGTATATATAATTTCTTAGATTTACCACATCATGCTCGTGTTGTTGATGCTATGAGCCTATAAGTCGTTTGATTGCATCTTACTCCTCCTGTCTGATCTGATCTGATCAGTGTGTGTATGTGTTGTAAATTGTAATTAAAGGCATCTAGGCCAACAGCTAGCAATTTAGATAGATTATAGATATATTTTCTCCTTTTTTGGTTTCTTTTCCAATGATATGATGAGATATATATTGATAGATGGCTTCGCAGGGCACGTACGTGGTCAGCGCAGGGATTCATGGCCTGGCGTTGGTCAACCTATTAGTCTTTTCAACTTCTAGAGAGGTTACAATTCCATTGAACCATAATGCATCATCATCAGCACAAAATTTGATAGATAGGTCCAATTAATGTTGCCACAGTGAAACTTTGACTCAAAAATAGTAGAGAATATACATACGTGACAGTGGCAGGGAAGTTATTATCATGCAGATACTATTATAAAGAGGGAGGAAAATAAAAAGAAAAAGTCACATAGCTTCCGCATGATATAATAAACGTCTCCACATCTGCATAAGAGAAAATTTGTATATATATTATACCCTAGCTTCTTGTTTAGCTTTGATCATGCGGAGGATGTATAATTATTGGATAGTTTAAAGATTTGAGAGGCCCCCTAGGCTGGCTAAAGCTAAGTGATGCAGAATTGTAGCCATGGTATGCGGGTTTTCGGGTCAATTAAGTTTGTGGTCAAAGTTCTCAAAACTTTAATTATTATTAAGAGAGGAAATTTATAGCTAGAGTACATAATCTGCAAAGTTTGAGATGGATAACGCACACGTGTACATACAAAGAAAATCATATTTTATATATATGTGTGTGTGTTATGTTGAAAAGAATGATTTTGCCGTTTGTTGGTCACAGAGGTCAAATGTTTGTTGGTCAGAGGTCAAATAAAGAGGGCATGCAATAATAGTGTATAAAAGTTAAGCTAGCTATCCTTTGCTTCTAGTTGAAGATCAAGATATGGATTTATATAGGGAAGATGATAATTTGGGTCCCTGATGCATAATATGCATATGCATCCACCAATTCCATGGATCGGTCCTATGATTTATATGAATGTAAACCCATAAAATTGTAGAGAAGATGCCGCCAGCTGCTGCGCTAAACCATCATCATGCTTCATATGTATAGGCTTAATTATAGTAATGGTGTCTGAAAATATGCCCAAAGTTATGCTTTTGTTTTTAAAAAAAATACAATGATAGCCTAAAATTATAAAAGGGAGCTTTTTCACACACACATGATTAAGTTGACATGAGGTTTGACTTGAGACAACTTAGAGCAAGTCCACCGCTAGACCCCAAACCCTGGTAGCAGCCCCCCAAGCCCAGGTTCCACCCTTCAGCACCAAGCCTGCAGCCCGGGCAAGCCATAGGGTAGTTCTTGACTAGGCTATAGCTCGACTTGGCTGATGTCAGCGCAGTGAAATCAAATTTTTTTTACCATTGGCGCGTGTTCACGTTTACTGCGTTGACGTCAGCCTTGACAACTCCCAATGGGAAGATGCCACATGGCGCTTCCCGAACGCTCCGATTGGTTTTTGCCCAGAAATCCGATGGTCTTGAATTTTTTGGCTAAAAAAATTGCAAAAAAATTCTAGATATTTTCCCTATAAATACCTAAACATTTTATTCACTTTCCACATCAAATCTTCATACAACTCTTCTCCTTCCAATATTTTTTAATCTCCACTCATATTGTTCTTCCAATATTTTTGGAATCCACTCATATTGTTCTTCCAATATTTTTTGGAATCCACTCATATTTTTCTTCCAATATTTTTTACTCTCCACTCATATTTTTACTCCCCACTCATATTTTTCTTCCACTTTCCATTTGTATCAAAAAACAAATGGCCACTCTTTTTTAAATAAATATTAGAAAATCTTATCTGAAATAAGACAAGTGGCAACCGAGAATCTCATCTGAAAATTTTATCTGAAATTTGATGGACACGTGGCAACCGAAAATTTAATTATAAAATTTTATCCGAAAATGTTATCTGAAATTTTATAATAAATAGTGACACGTGGCAACCGAAAAATATTATCTGAAAAGCTATCAAAATTAATAGTTAAGTATAAAAAATAGAAAATAAAGTAAAGTGAATAGTGTTTGCCCTTGCCTTTTGGGGTGGAACAAAAAAAAGTAAGGCTGTGAATAGTGTTAAACCTTGCCTTGCCTTTGCCTTTTAGGGTGGAGGTGCTCTTATATGCAAGTTAATGTCATTTTTCACTGAGCTACACACTGTTAACAAATTTTCGTCTTTAAATTCTAATAATAATGTCGTCCTAAAATTTGGACTTGCATTGCATTGAGTCAACAGGGATGGGCATCTCATCCGAATTATCGTGTGTACCAACCATACCGTGCGGACGGTTTGGTTTGGTTAAATAATTATTTTTAAATTTTAATTTTTCCGATCCGATCCATACCGAAATGTTTGGTTTGGTTAACGGACACAATGTTCCTAACCCGATGGAAATCCGTACCGATATGATATTTATACTTATTTTATTATTTAAATACAAAACAAGAAACCAAAGGTAAATACAATCAGCATTTTGTATCACTCCTTTATCACTATTGTATCACTTCTTTTATCCCCATTATATCACTGCTTTATCACCATTATTTCACTTCTTTATCACCTGGATACTGTAGCACTTTCTGGTCAGAGAGGAATTTATAAACTTTCTATGTTTTCTAGTTTCAACATTTGTCCCTTTTTTACTTGTAACTTTCCAAAAGTTGATCATTTTTATGTTCTTTATATGGTTGGATTCAGCATGAAAACTAAAGAACCCAAAGTGGAACAAATGTCAAAATCATTTACATAAATGTAGAGAATTCAGTAAAAAAATACACTTAAATGTTCAAATAACAAACACAAGTGGCTCCTGGTACATCTTGAGTACATATTGAATGATATAGTGACTAAGTTATTTGATTTCATACTTGGAAGAATTAGACTATTGGATTTTTATATTTTACAAGGATAATTTGGTGTATTTGTTCAAGAACTTATGTTATGTGAAAGTATTATAAATTGTATTTTTATTAGTATGTTTTTATTACGGTACTACCGATATACCGAACCAATCCGAACCGAATATTAGGTTAACCGATCCGAAGTCTACCGAAGGCTTTGATTTGGTTAACGGAAGAGAAAATGGTCTACCAAAGTCTTTAGTTTGGTTAACGAAAGAGTCCTCTACAGTTTCGAACCGATCTGTGCCCATGCCTAGGTCAATCTGGGTAATATTGTTGCCTAAAAAAGTAAGGAACCTAGGCTTTGGTGGAAAGCTCATTGTTGGCCCATTCCCAAGTGGATATACTTGGTTTTGGGTGAACCATTGTAAATGTCCTAAAAAAACCCCCCAAGTACAACTTATCAACATTTTTTTCTCTTTGTTTTTGGTATTACTAAAAAAGCTTTTTATCATAAATGGTCCTTCAAGTTTGCGAAATTATCATCTTTCGTCCCTAAGGTGTTTTTGTGACACTAATGGTCCTTAAGGTTACCCTCCACACATCAAAATGGTCCTTGTCATGAGCTTCCGTCAAATTTTATGTTAAATTAATGACGTGACACATATATAAAGCCTACACATATAATAGTATATAGCCACAAGGCTTTAAATAAAATATATAATATATTTTAAAACTTAAAATCCATATAAAAAATTTTAAAAGAAAATTAAGTCTTTTTATTAAATATATATATATATATTAAAACTAAAAACTAAAAATCCTGCAGCCATCCCCTCATCGCAGACCCACTCATCGAGCCCCTAAAGCCAAGGAATTCCAAGAGCTACAAGTGTTCAAGAAGGAAATGGCCTCTCGATTGGCGGATTTTGAAGCCGAAGAGTTGAACTTTAACTTGGTGATGGGAACTAAAGTCAAGGAATTGCAAGGCATTGTACAGGAGGTTGAGCCAAACAAACAAACATTGATTGAAGAATATGACAGAGAGATGAAATCCAACGAGCAGAAACTTGGTTCGATTCAGAAATTAGTGCTGGAGTACTCGAATGCATTTGAATCGAAAATAAAAGATTTTAATTTGCTTGAGAGTGGGTCTGCGATGTGGGGAGGGGCGCTGGGAGAGGGAGAACACAGAGGATGGCTGCAGGTTTTTTAGTTTTTTATTTATAAAAAGACTTAATTTTCTTTTTAAATTTTTTATATGGATTTTAAGTTTTAAAATATTTAAAATATATTTTATATTTTATTTAAAGTCACATAGTTCTATACCATTGGTTGTGTGAGCTCTACATATGTGACACATTAGAAAATTTGACGGAAGCTAACGGCAAGGACAATTTTGATGTGTGGAGTATAACGTTAAGGACCATTAGTGTCACTAAAAACCTTAGGGATGAAAGATGATAATTTCGCAAACCTAAAAAACCATTTGTGATAAAAAGCCTACTAAAAATTGACTTTATTTTGAATCTCGAGTTCAACGAACCCAAGCCTGACAAGGCCTAAATTCGACCGTTGCAAATTTTCTATCCTCATCCCAAACGGTAACCTCTGACACCAATTTATTCAAATTTTCATTTCAACTCTCTCTGTCTCTCTCTTACACATCAAAACTGTGGTCCAATTTTCCTCTTTCTTCATTCTTGACACAAGTAAACTGATACGTTAGTGTTCAATGGAGAACGTGCCAGAAATGCCTCCTCCTAAAAGCCCAATTCAATCATCAGAGATGATGAACTTCTCCGAGTGCATAACACCACCACCACCTCCACTCCAACACAAGGATGAAAATTCTCAAAACTCCGGCAACGATTTACGCAAACCCACCACCCCAGATCGCCTTAAAGTCCCCAAGGCATTCAAGTACCCAGAAAGGTATCAAATCTTCCACACAAAATATTTTAGTTATATAAGATCATTGTTTGTCTAAACTTTTTCCTATTTAAAAAAATTGTTTCTCAATTTTGTAGGTACACAAGCCCAACTGATTTGATGATGTCCCCTGTAACAAAAGGCCTTCTTGCCAGAAACAGAAAGGGTGGTGCCCTCTTGCCACCTAGCAAAAATCTACTCAAGCCCCAAGGTATTGAATTAATAATTAATCACTCAACAGAATTGTTGAAGTAACAAATCCTGATGCAGAAAGTTCATTTGGGTAGCAATGTTTTGGTGTAATTAATAACAATTGGATTTCTCTTCCTTTCTTTTCTGTTGTCATTGCTGCAGATTCAGGATTTGCAGCTGTGGGATGTGGTCCTGCTTCAGAATTGAATTTTGGGTCCAATAAATGAAGACTGTTGAGGCACCTTTTGGGACTTCTCCAACAGCTTTTTCTTTCTTTCTTTCTTTGAGTTTTAACTGTTTCAGGGTTAATGACATTTGGTATTGTGTGATTTTTGTCTGTATTTTAATATATTTGGATAGAATTGTGAATGAAATAATGAGATTCTTCAGCATGCCGTAACCCTCACTTGTCTTTTGACTATTCAAGGCATTGTGCTGGTTGAAACCATGGACAAGAAAGAACAAAATTTTAAAACCAACAAGCAAAACAAGCTACCCAAGAGGATGCAAATTCTTACAATTTGTGGTCACATTCTCAATTTCTTGAGCCAAAAACTTTCAATTTCTTTGAGGCACACTAACCACTACTCCAAGTTGCTGAGCTTCTTTAGCTACATACAAAGCATATTGGCCAATGCCATCATGGAAACAGAGCCTCAATTTCATGCTTCTATATGGGTGTGCATAACAATTGATGGGGGGGGGCTAAGGCTCGAACGCTTTTCTCACTCCAATCGAACTTCATACCATTGGACTGAGCCAACATCTCCATGGATTTCAAGTTCACAAACAGACCTCACTAGATAGGAAACAGCATCATCAATGCTTTCAAATCTTGCAAGGTCAGGGGGAAGGTTCTTGGCTGGCCAGTTTTCCAGCCGACCTTTTAACTTAGCCCTCAACTCTTCCTCTGAAACAAACTTCTCATCCTCTCCTGGTTCCAGCAATACATAAGTTTCACTATTGTGATATATCCTTCTCCTCCTCACTGCACAAACCTGACAAAAATTCCAAGAATTATTTTTCTGAAACAACAGAATTTCATGCTGACTCTGATACGTTAAATGAAACCATGATTGTACTTGTTAATTCTTTAATATTACCTTGACAGCATCTCTTTGTTCACTTCTTGTTTTAAACAGTTTCAGATGGACTGAAGAACTCAGGTTCTCAGTTATGCCTGTCGACGACATCAGGCGAATCGATGGAGTTCGAATATAGTGCTTTGTTGCTTGTTTGCCTGCATAATTTGAATGGCCATATGCTCATGTGATGAACATAAAAAGTAATTAATGCAAATTGAGTGATTAGTTCATCCCCTGCACTATCAATTTTCAAATTGTCAAAAGGTCTAGATGTGAAAAAAGAGCAGCAGAGCTTACAGTTAAAAGACACAACTCCACCATGGAAATGGAATAACTGTTTCTTCAAAGCTCCTTCCATTGGAGCAATTTGGCCTCCAAATTTCAGCATCTTGGTGTAAAGATTGTATGCAAACAATATTTACAGATAACATGCTAAAACTGAGCCTCTTGTAGCTTAAACTTCTCAACCTCATATTTCACCGTATTTACAATTCTACCCTCCATCCATCCTTCGGACCAATTTTTATTTGGGCCAATCTGGGTGGCCCAAGTTCCAGAACATCATTTTCCCGCGCGACCTGTTAGTTCGTTTCTATCGGTTTTTGTTCACAAGAGGTCCAGTCAGTTAGTCAGTTAGTAGAAATGGCGCTAGATGACTTTGATCAAAGTCGGTTACGTTGTTTCACATAACAAAGTACGAAACCTTCCGAGGTTGTCTCCTTTCCTGTCCTTTTTAGCTCCTTCATTTATCTCTGACTCATCCAAACCCTAGTTGTTTGCGGTTTTCTTCCTAATCCCAATCCCCAACCCCCAACCCTAAACATCCTATTTTTCCTACCATTGCATTGCACTTCATTTTTCTTTTGTTACCCTTGTGCTTATCGAGATCCAACTTTTTCCTTTGATTCTGTCCAGAATCTTAAAGAGCTTCTGGGCTTCATTTGATTCTTGAGAGCGATGTTTTGATTGAAGCTGAGGATTGATTTTCTAAAGGGTTCTTGCAGATTCAAGTAATTACCTTTTTGTTAACTTATGCTGATTATTTTGGTGTTCCATTTAGTGGTAAATCTTCTGCTCAAAACCCAGTTTCCAGAATTAAAGATATGCGTCTCTTAAGGATTTGATTTGATACTGAATCTTTAGGGATTAAAACTTGATGTTACAGTGGCATGATTTAATTTGATCTCAGGGTTCTGTTTGAAAGTTTGAAGATTCATTCTCTATGATTGTAAGATTGTATGATTTTGATGTTTAAAGTGCTGCCTATATGAAAGTATCAGTTGAGTTTATATGCATCTGATGATTATTGAAATGCTGTTTTTAGTCCTTGAGCTATTTGCATAACCAACATTTTTATTCTTTCCTATCTTAGAATAAAATTTAGATTAAGCCCCATTTTTCTTTTTCCCCTGCAGTTGAAAACCAGTTAGAGACAGGCACAGGAGATTTTGAGGATTATCAGGTGTTGCAAATATTAAATAAAGTCATGGATGATGTGCAGAAGAATGATGACAGTAAGCATCTAAAGGTGCACTTCGAATCTGATATGGTTAATTACCGCCGAAATTCAAGCTTCCCATCATCTTCTTCATCATCATCATCTTCAACTTCATCGTCACCACGTTCATCACTGGAATCAGATGTTACTGACAAAGCAGATGTTAATGGCTCTTTCGAAACTACACAACATGGCCAGGAGTCTCAGGGTCCTCCGCCATTACCAGAGGCTTCTTCTTCTCAGACTCTTACTTGGAGCCTGCAAAGTGGATCATCAGGACAATCCTCTCAACTTCAGACGATGGGGAGGCCTGCAGGATATGATCCAAGTCGAATCCCAACGTCTATTTTCGCCAGTAAACCTTCAACAGGCATGGATTGGAGTGTTGCTTCAAATGAATCATTGTTTAGCCTTCATGTGGGGAACAACAGTTTCTCAAGAGAGCAATTTTCTATGCTGTATAAATCTGGAGAACTGACCTACCCTGATGAGTTGTTTTACATTCCAACTCCACTTCCCACAGTTACTGAAGCAGAGACTGTTGAAATGAAGATTCACAATGTGGAGAATGAGACTGTTGAAAATAAAGATCCATACGTGGAGAAGAAGAGTGTTGAAAATACGAGTGCAAATGTGGATAAAGAGAAGGTTGAAAGCACGAGTGTAAAGGTGGAAATGGACTCGGTAGAAACAGAAGAAGCTGCAGATGAATCTGAAAGGACAGATTTAAGTGATATTCCTGGTCATCATGGTAGAAATAAGGCGCCTCTTATTGTGGAAATCAGGGGTTCTGCTACTTCTTACCGTTCTGATGACAGCAATCACAGCACCAAGTCATTCCAATTTCCACTGTAAGCGACGTGACTTTCATCACATAGTAGATAGGATCATAGCAATGTTTATAATTTCAATTATCTGCAAATGCAGGGGCTAACACATATACTTGGATGCACATTGAGCCTTCTGATAGGGAAGGCAGTTCCTCACAAACTTAAACAAAACATATAGTATCAATGTTTCAGTCAAACCATGCACCATGCAATTTTAATTTGGAAAACTATCAAATATGATTATTGCAGGGTAATTTGCTATCTACTATATACACTGGTCATCTGAAGCATTGCACTGATAACAGTTGGTATTTTCAGGTTGGCAGGTCATGAGGCTGGAAGACATAGCCCTGCACAGATGACCTCAGTAAAGCAGCAGCCAGAGCATCACACACAGCAGGAGATGCATAAGCAGGAGGAAAGGCCTGAAACGCCTGATACACCTGAAACACCCCTAAAGGCTACAGCTCTATCATCCAGTTGGTTTTCTTGGTTTTACTGTTGCATGGTCTGTCGTTGAGAGGAGGATAGATTTTCTTCCAAATGATCATGCCGTGATCTCCTTCAATAAAAGAGAAGCCATAGAAATGATGAACCAAGAGAGTGAACAATTGGAAATTGATGCACATAGATGATGACAGATCTAAATGGTGTTAAATGGTAGATGTGGTTTCAAAACTGATGTACAGACATTCGTATACGGTATATGTATATGTTGGAGAAATTGGTTTGCACTCAACACTAATTCTGCTTAATATGTATCTTCAATATTGCAAAATCTGACTCTTGTTAGCCATTTCTTTGGTTTGGTGCCTATTTGCTGCATCTGACACATCACCTGAATCTGCTTGAAATACAATAATTTGATGATGGCAATTGAAACAAGGTCTAGAAATCAGAATTCAGAATGTGGTAAACTACACAAAAATTGGGTATCTAACAGCCAACCTATTAAGTTTTTAAGTTGCTTTAATTCCTGTTTAAGGCAGCCAGTTTGGTAAGGAGCAAAAGCTCATGCCTTTGGTTCCCCAAAGTAAAAGCTGCTGGTTGGTTGATCTGAGCCTTGAATTGATTCAAATCTGGATCCTATCCTATCTCTAAGAAATGATTTGCAAATATAAGCAAAAGCTAAGGGGCACACCAGCACAGCAAAACCTATAGTAAGCTAGCTAACCATAGTTTAACTATGCATGTTAATTAGAAAACGTCACTCTTACGTCAGGATTATGTAAACTACAACATGTTCAATTTGTCAAGTTGGCTTTTCTTATGAGCAATGAGGTGAGGTGAGATGAGAACTTTCTGTTTCGGTATGTGACAAAAGAGAGAGAGCTAAAGCATCCTGTCTGGATGCCGGAAAGGCTAGATTTTTATAATTAGTTGCTTTTCAATAGGCTAAAGCTATGCGTGCATCCATGCCATGCCCACTATGATAATTGAAATGTAGCATTTTTTGTAATTTTCATTTTATACTAGTAATAGTCTAAATTGTTATAATTTACAAGAGAGGAGAATCAAACTTAGTGAAGAAGACGAACATATTATCTTAATTAACTGTCCTAACTCACGTCACGTCCACGAAATATAGCACTCTTAATTGCTCCAAGTTTCATACTATTCATAAAAACTTACAAATCAGGCAATGGATCTTCTCAAACAACTAATAAAACCCGTATATAATATTACTCACGCTATAAGGGACACAATATCAGCAAACCATCCATAATCCTTAAGTATGGGATTTGATTACGATTGAGTATCTTAATTATTCTTGTAATAAATAAGCAGCATCAATCTCTACCACACAGTAAGTGATCAAAAAAAATTATTTGCTTAGGGTTAAATTGTTTTGATTCTGGTAAGTATAGCATATATTCCTTCTGCACAGCATATATATATATATATATATATATATGCGTCACTTTTGCAGAACATCATGTGTGCCTCAGCATAAATTCTTATGTAACCCTAAAAGACACACACAGGTTAAAAGGTGATGATGCAAATGCCCCTAGTTTACCAATTAGATGGAACGCATCATACACTTCTCTACCCTTCTTGTGCAACTTCCAATTTGAACTTAAAACACACATTATTATGAAATACAATCACTCGCGTAGACGCAAGTGATTCTTAACCGTCCATACAGAAGAATTTAACAAAAGAATTATTTGTATTAATAACTCTTCATTTTACGCGGGTGATTCTTAATTATCCATACAAATGAATTTAACAAAATGATTATATGTGTTAATAAGTCTTCCTAGTAAAATGAAGTCCAAAGTTCCCAATTTTCCATATTATCTAGTAAAAGTAGTAGGCATCAATCGCATTCCGAGCTAGAACTGTCCAAATTAAATCCCATTAATCATTCATAGACTCTGAGTGAGAGGGGCAGCCGGCAGCCAAATCCCAGTGGAGAACAGTACAGGTCCCTTTTCTTATCTGGACCTCATGAACACTAGAGTAGACCCAACCAACACCATCATAAGGCCGGTGGGCCCCACTTCAACCCTTCTGGAAGGACATCCCACGTGGATTCCTTTATCTGCAGCCGCGTGTACAGAAGCTTTGAGGAATCTTTTTTCCTTCTTTTAACCCTTCTGTCTCTTTCTCTCACACTCAACTAAGCCCAAGAGCTTCTCCCTCCCTCTCAATTGACTTAAGGGTCTGATGCATTTATTGACCGGCTGTGGAGCCCACCCCCTAAAAATGTATGTCTTGTGGACCCCAGCACCCACCATATACGACAAAACCCTTAAAATGTAAAGAATTTCTTTTTTTATAAATTGAAAAAAAAAGGAAAAGCAAAGAAGAAGAGGAAGAAACATGAAATAGAAAAAAGAAAAGAAGAACGCGTTTTCTTCTCAAAAGAACACAGTTGAATGACTTGAGTCTTCTCTCTCTTCCTCCGTCTCCTTTATCTCTCTCTCTCTCTCTCTCTCTCATCAGTACCAACGAAATTAGGGTTAGGGTTTTCATAAACCCCTTTTACTCTTTCTGTGCTGCATCTCGAAGAAAGGGGTTTTGGGGTTTTGATCTCTTGGGTTTCGAAGACCCTTTTCTCTGCTGCAGGATCGACATGAATTGCCCAATTTCCGAGAGGAATCCAGAGTCTTTGAGCGAAATCCAAATAGGGAAACCGGGCTGTTAGCTTCCTTTTATTCGATTTCAATTTCAAGATAAGAAAAACAGTTCCCAAAGGAAAAGGCAACGGAATTTGGCACCATCCCCATCTCCTACTGCTACAAAGGTACATACAAAATGTCAAATTTACCCAATTTCCGATTTCGATTTAGTTCAGCTTCTAAATTGTTGAGTATACAGTACAGCATTAGTTAAAGCAGCGATCTTTGTGTCCGTACAGGAGGCTGAACTGCAAGCGGGTGCAAGCGAAACGAAGGTAATGGGAATGAAAATGGCCCTGTCGATTTGATAAAGCCACCCAAGTCCAACATTCATGTAAGAGCGAGAAGGGGTCAAACTACTGACAGTTGTAGATAGTCTAGCTGAAGGGGTAAGAATTTAATTCCTTCCAAATGATTATATTCTTAAGCTGTTTCCTTCTTTTCGAGCTTTATGCTGACATTGTGCGTTGTTTATGTAATTTTCGTAGAGACCCACTTAGCTGTCATAGTTTCAAGAGATGGGTATTTCCCCTTCGTCCTCTTCAGTCACCAAAGAGCAGTTTTTTCGCAAATCCACTTCGCCAGGGCTTGTTCTGAAGCTCGTGTTGCTCTTATGGGTCTTCTGCGCCTCTCTGAACGGCGTCGTTTTCGCTGATGCTGATACTGACGCATCGGTGCTCCTCCAGCTCAAGAACTCGGTCTCAGACCCGTCAGGCTTGCTTTCCAGCTGGAATCATTCGGTCAATTCTGGTCACTGCTCATGGTTCGGCGTCTTCTGCAATTCAAATTCTCAGGTGGTTGCGCTCAACATTACTGGGAATAGTGGAGGAGGCGAAGGTGAAGGTGGATCGAAATCTATTGCGTGCTTAGATTTTGCTCAGTTTCCGCTTTATGGGTTTGGAATTCGGAGGGGCTGTTCGGGTAGTAGAGGAAGGTTGTCTGGGAAGCTCCCCTCTGTAATTGGGAAGCTCACTGAGCTTAGGGTCTTGTCGCTTCCCTTCAATGATTTGGATGGTGAAATTCCTAGTGAAGTTTTGGGCTTGGAAAATTTGGAGGTTCTTGATCTTGAGGGCAACTCGATAACTGGGTCTCTGCCGTTTCAGCTTAATCCAAATCTGCGGGTTTTTAATCTTGGGTTCAATATGATTGAAGGTGGGATACCGACCTCGTGGTCAAAATCTGTGAGCTTAGAGATCTTGAATGTAGCTGGGAATCTTGTGAATGGGACCATTCCGGGTTTCATTGGTAGGTTAAAGGCTGTGTATTTGTCGTACAATTCACTTAGTGGGGATGTTCCCAGCGAGATTGGAGACAATTGTGGGAAGCTGGAGCATCTTGATTTGGCGGGTAATTTCTTGGTTGATAAAATTCCAAGCAGTTTAGGAAATTGCAGTCAGTTGAGGACGCTGATGTTGTATTCAAATATGTTGGAAGAGGGTATTCCAGCAGAACTCGGCCAGCTTCAGGCGCTGGAAGTGTTGGATGTGTCAAGGAATAGCCTAAGTAGTTCATTACCACGAGAGTTGGGGAATTGTTCTGAGTTGTCTGTCCTTGTTTTGTCGTCTATGTTTAATCCGCTACCACGAGTCAATGATACAGTAGTGGACTCTTTATTGGAGCAGTTGAATTCTATGAATGACGACTTCAATTACTTTCAAGGTGCAATGCCTGTGGAAATTACGACCCTTCCAAAGCTAAGGATCTTGTGGGCACCAAGGGCAAGTATTGAGGGCAACTTCCCGGGCAATTGGGGTGGTTGTGAGTACTTAGAAATGATCAATTTGGCTCAGAACTTTTTACTGGGGAAATTCCTAGTGGGCTTAGTCGCTGCAGGAAGCTTCAATTTTTTGATGTAAGCTCTAACAGGCTTAGTGGGGAGCTTGTTCAGGATCTTCAGGTTCCTTGTATGGTTATGTTTGATGTCAGCGGAAACATCTTGTCAGGTTCAATACCTGAATATTTTAACAGCACTTGTGCTCCAGTTTATCCCTTGAAAGATTTTTCTTTCAAAGATGATGATCCGTCCTCGCCCTATGTAGCATTTTTTGCATCGAAAACCCAAGTTGGAAACCCGTTGCAACTGTATGGAGAAGATGATGGTCTTACAGTACTGCACAACTTTGGGCACAATAATTTTACTGGCACTTTGCCGTCACTGCCTATTGCACATGAAAGATTAGGGAAGCAAACTCTTTATGCATTCCTTGTTGGAGAAAACAAGCTTACTGGAACATTTCCAGGTAGTTTGTTTGGGAAGTGTGAGGGATTGGATTCATTGGTTGTTAATGTGAGTAACAACAAGCTATATGGTCAGATTCCTGCTGAAGTTGGCACAATGTGCAAATCTCTTAAATTTTTAGATGCATCTCGGAATCAGATTATTGGTCCCATTCCCCCTACTTTTGGGAAATTAGTGTCCCTTGTTGCCCTTAACTTGAGTTGGAACATGTTGCAGGGTCAGATCCCCACCAGTCTTGGCCAGATAAGGGATCTGAGGTATCTGTCCTTATCTGGTAATAACCTTACAGGTACCATTCCATCTAGTTTGGGGCAGCTTCACTCTTTAGAAGTGCTGGAGCTTTCTTCAAATTATCTCACCGGTGAGATACCAAAGGATCTTGTGAACTTGGGAAATCTGACCGTTCTTCTGCTGGACAAAAATAATCTTTCTGGTCAGATTCCATCTGGTTTGGCAAATGTGACTGCACTCTCTTCTTTCAATGTGTCTTTCAATAACTTTTCCGGTTCATTGCCTTCAAATAATAACCTGATGAAATGCAATGCTGCTATTGGAAACCCATATATACATTCTTGCCCCATGTTTTCTCTGACACAACCATCTTCAGATTCTCAAGGAAGAGATGGTGATTCACAACCTTATGCTGCTTCACCAGTGGGAGTTCCAGCTTCAAGGAGTGGGAATTTCAATTCAATTGAGATAGCTTCCATTACATCTGCATCAGCCATAGTTTCAGTGCTTCTTGCTCTGGTTGTTCTGTTCTTGTATACACGAAAGTGGAATGCAAAGTCTGGAGCTCTAGGGTCTACCAGGAAGGAAGTTACAGTTTTCACAAACATTGGGGTTCCATTGACCTTTGAGAGTGTTGTGCGAGCCACGGGCAGTTTCAATGCTAGCAACTGCATTGGGAATGGAGGTTTTGGGGCAACTTACAAGGCAGAGATATCTCCTGGAATCCTGGTGGCAATAAAACGACTTTCAGTTGGAAGGTTTCAAGGAGTTCAACAATTTCATGCAGAAATTAAGACTCTTGGAAGGCTTCGCCATCCAAATCTTGTCACTTTGCTTGGTTATCATGCCAGTGATACAGAGATGTTCCTAATATATAATTATTTGGCGGGTGGTAATCTGGAAAAATTTATTAAGGAAAGGTCTACAAGGGCTGTGGATTGGAGGATACTTCACAAGATTGCTTTGGACATAGCTCGTGCACTTGCCTACCTACATGATCAGTGTGTACCACGTGTCCTTCATCGCGATGTCAAGCCCAGTAATATTTTGTTGGATGATGATTTCAATGCTTATCTCTCTGACTTTGGTTTGGCCAGACTTCTTGGAACTTCAGAAACCCATGCTACTACTGGTGTAGCTGGAACTTTTGGATATGTTGCCCCAGAATATGCGATGACTTGCCGTGTTTCAGACAAGGCTGATGTGTATAGTTATGGTGTTGTGCTTCTGGAGTTGCTCTCTGACAAGAAAGCTCTGGATCCCTCATTTTCTTCATATGGAAATGGATTCAACATTGTTCAGTGGTCATGCATGCTTCTTCGACAAGGCCGTGCAAAGGAATTCTTTACTGCTGGGCTATGGGATGCAGGTCCCCATGATGATTTGGTAGAAGTTTTACACTTGGCGGTTGTGTGTACGGTTGACTCTCTCTCGACCAGGCCTACAATGAGGCAAGTTGTACGAAGACTTAAGCAGCTTCAGCCTCCATCTTGTTAGCTGCCTTATGAGGCTTGTATTGGTTAACATTAGTAGTTTGTAGAAAGAGAAGCGCCATTGTAATATGTGCTTGTGCACTCAGTCCTCTTTTGGGACTGGCCTTAGGTTGATTTCTAAACCTTATTGATCCCACTTGTACATTGTAAAATAGTTCTGCCCCCAATTTTTTTTGATGTTGTTTCTCTTACTAGGGGCCTTGCCAGTGAGTCTGCAGAAGAATGCAGATGTTTCATTTCCTCGTCTTATACGTGTATATTCAGCTTCATTTGTTGTTCAATAAAGCAGAGTAGATATATTTTCTGGAAAGTATTGGCTAAAGTGTTTACTGTGGCCAACTTATTCATATCCGTTATATGATTAGCCATGTGAACTTCCTGTCAAAGGAAATTATATCCAATTCGATATCTGCTTGTCATTCTGCAATCATTCTAGCTTCAAGAACTTAGTGGAGGATAGTTATCATACAGGTGCTAGCAGTTTCTATAGGAGGGGATGATATTAGAGGTAAAGTCCTCATTCTTTTTCTCTTTGTTATTACCATGTTTTGATTAATGAGATTGCATAAACTATGTTTGAACTTCCAAAAGTATGGTCATAATAGATGTTTCTTGACTTTGCATGGAGAGATTTGGACTTTGCTTATGATACCATTTCTGCCTTTGCTTCCAGGCCAGACGAGCAGATGACAGCTTCATCAACTGTAGATTCTTCTTCAACGAGGCCGTGCAAAAAAATTTCTTTACTGCTGCGTTGTGAGATGATGCAGGTCCCCTTGATGATTTTTAAGGAAGTTCTAGTCTTGTTAGTTGTGAAGCAGATCGAACTTCCTGTAAGTGAAGCAGATCGAACTACGGGTTAAGCAACTTCTGCCCCCATCTTGTTAGGTGCTTTGTGAGCCTTGTCATATGTTGGTCAACATTAGTAATCTGTAGAAAGAGAAGCGCCATCAATTGTTTCAGGGGCCTCGCAGATGAACCTGCTGCATCATACAGATATTTATGTTCCTTGTTTTATACGTGTGTATATGAATGGCTTATTTGTAAAATAAAACAGAGCAAATTAGGTTTTCTGTAAAGTAAGCTCTGAAGTGTTTGGTGAGGCCAACTTATTGATATCTGTTATGTGATGAGTTGAAATTCCTACCCATGTGAGCTTCCTACCAAAGAAAGATGCTATCCCATCCTATAATTTCACTCTGGCTTCCACAATTTCTTCCATGTACAACTGTATTGAACTTATTTTTTCCCCTTTCGATTACAATAATTGTTGGTGGTTTCGCCGTCCACGTCAAGTTTATTTGGGTAGTTAACAAGCAACTCCATGAACCTTGTAGTAATGCAAACAAGGTCATTGTTTTCATCTCCTCAATCGGCGTCTGCAGATAACCTAACTGGTAGGTAGAAAAAACCAGAACAGTAGGCAACCAACCTTCTTTGCTCCACAGAGATAAATCCCTTACTTTCGAAACTCTCGGTTACCTATATTCCACTTCCTCGCATCATTGCCACGAATTAAACAAAATAAATGACTCAACAAAAATTAACACGCAACGACCTGTCTCCTCTAGTTATAATCATTATAGCCTTCCAACACAAGGCTTCATGTACCGAATTCAATACAAGTGCCCGTCAGTCCCATTGAAAGACAAATTTAAATAAACAAAAGAAAACGAAAAGGAAAAAGGTAAAAGGAAGGAACATTGATGGATCTTCTTCACTTTCTCCCTCGTCCTTAGATAAAAGGGTTTGACATGATCTACAAGGGCACTACAACTACAAAAACGGAGATGGATTGACTACTATATGCTTCAAAGGGTGTGCTACATCACCACCGCCGGCATGCTTCACAAACTCGGCGGGAGAGAGAAAGCTGCCATGACAAACACATACTATCCTCACTTCCTCACCCTTCTTGTACCTGTAAAGAAACCCTTCTATTCTTTTCCCATTGGGGCCATCACCTTTTGTAGACACACAAGGCATATTTTCCAACACATTCCTCACAATGTTGTTGGCTCCTTTTTCTGGAACTGTGGGTTTATCACAGTTAATTTCCATTTGGACTCTGTTGAACTGACCTGATCTTTCGGTGGTTATCATTCGAGGGGTCACTAGCAGTTCCTTATTATCAGTCTCTGGAGAAGACTGAGCATTGGCATGGCTTCTTGGTTCAGTGCATTTGTGCACTCCTGCACATCAAAAGGTAAAATGTCAGAGGGTAAGAGCTTTGACACTAGAACATAAAATAGCTTTTAACAGATTCTATGTTTCCATAAAATGATACGCAAGTCCAGTGGCATGGCATGAGAAAACTGGGAGACAAAACATCAAGTGAGTCTATTACAACATCGACGATAAGGAGCATTGGTGTTGGGGGCAGTAAAGCAATACAGAGGGATCTGGGAGAGCATGGTTGAACTGCCCTCTATCGAATGTCAAAGGCCCCTAAACAGTGTCGCTCACACGACACACCTAATCTAGAATTCCACTTAAAAGAAACATTATCATTATCATGAGGTACCCATTGAAAATTTAGGCTACAGAGTATTTAAAGTTAGATCAGTTCTTACTCAATAGAACACTTGGAACACATGTTTGGGGCACATCAATTACTGGACCAGCGTATACTCGCTTGGTTACACATGAACCCCTTACAACACGGCTAGAAGCACGCACTAAATTGATTCATTGGGGGAGGCAATTCAGAACTCTCAAGAGTGGCTTGCCGTTTCTATTTCATTTAAAAACGTCAAAAACATAGAAGGGGAATTCTCAAAGCATGATGAGACTGACATTCTCCTACAAACGCAAAATCTATAGGTTATAAAGATAATATTCTTGGCCAGTTCCAAATCTAAAGACCGTGTTTTCGAATTGAGCCTCCGGTCTACTTATATGGCCTTCACCACACAATCATTTACAAACTACATAACATGAATCAAAATCCTACTAGAAAACCTGCCTAAAGCATCCAATTTTTCCAATTTCAAGGTGAGATTTGATTCACACAAATCATAGAAAATTAATGTTCAACAACAAAATAAAACACACACACACACAGAGAAAACAGCTGAAACCAATAATCTCAAATTGAAATGAGAGTACCTTGAGCAGCAGCAGCAGCAGCAGCAGCATGGCTCTCAGATTCTGAAATCCCAGATGAGCCACTTCCTTGAGACCCAATTGTGCTCTGAGATGCTGGCGGTGGAGGAACCGGACAATTACCCTTATCACCAGATACCCAAGTGGGGATCCCCATAGCTCTAAACTCATCCACCACCTTCACAAACTGCTCTTGTCTATAACTTTGAACCCCATTCATGGCTTCTCCTCCTCTCCTATCTTCCTCAAAGTTCTCTCTGCTCCGATCTCTGGGCACCTTCAAATTCCTCTGCTGCTTCTCGGACCTCTTTCTCTTCGCCTCCATTCTCCTCAAGCTCTGCAACTCCTTCCTCTTCCTCCACTCCTCCTCTGTTTCCGTAGGCAGAGAACAAGTCCTCATCAGAGGCACCATGCACGGCGCAGATACACCACATGTCGTGTCCTCGTCTCTTGCTGGGGTCGACGCGAAGTCAGGGATTGACGACGAGCGTTTGAGTGGCAGTAACTTGGCTCTTGGGTCCAGCCCAAATCGACCGTTCAATGAAAGCCCGAGGCTTAGCTCAATCTCCTCAGAATCTTGGGTTGGCTCCTCGAATTTTCCAGGAAAATCATTCCCGGAAACTATTTTCTGCAGCAGATCTCCCGGAAAATTACTCACTTGCATTGAGAACACCTGTTGGGTTGCTCTGTTTCCACCTTCCTCTGTTTGCGCCATTGAAAAAAAAATTGCAGAACGCCAGAATCCAAACCAGATTGCTCAAATTAAGAGGTACCCAGATGAAAGAATAATAATCTTTTTTAAAACCAGGAAGTATAATTCAGCAGAAAATCCAAGGAAGCTGAGAAATTGGTAACTTTATCCTATGTTTTTCTCTGAATAGTAATTCCAAGCTTGTTCCAACCAAATACTGCAGCATAAAGCCTACATTTTCTTCCACTTTCTCGCCATGAACTTCTCAGAGAAACAGAGAGAAGAGCCATCAGTTGTACCAAACAACGAAGAACATAAAGCTGAAGAAAATTGAAACGCACGTCAATGACCCCATGAGAAGCATTTTCGCAGAAGAGGAAAAACCAAATAGACTAGGAGCGAAAAAAATAATTAAAAAAAATTAATTTTTGGCTGCAGAAGACAGAAAAGTGCAATACCGAAAAAGCCCTGGAAGTCGTAGACACCCGACACGTGGCGGACATGAAGAGCCCCGACAAGCACGTGGCTTATAGAGACGCAGATCTGAAGGACACGCCGAACAGGCGTTGCCAACTCTTTGGTTCTCTGGATTGGGTTCCCAGAGAACACGTGTTACACGGGAGATGCGGGATCTGACAGGTTGCCACGTCGCCCAAATATCCCCTCGTCGTCGTAGCGAAGAGAGTAGAGCCGCAATTCGCTCTATCCACTTTCGTAATATCTATCCCATCTCTAAACGAGCTGGATTCCAGAACGAGGAAAACTGACGCTCCCAGAGTGCGCCACGTGGATGACGCCTGGGGATCCGGGTCAGAGTCTTTTCCTTTCGTTTCCGAGAGGAGAATATTGTCGTCGCGAGTGTGGATTGGAGTGCTACTCGCTCTGTAAGGAGCACGGTTGCTAATTTAAGCAGAATTAACCTAATTCATTAAAATCTTATTGGATGAGTTCTCTCAATCAAATGTTTTTAGGGACCATTGAATTATGGGGAGGAGAGTTACTAAACTATTAACAACGGACAATAACAAATCGTTCACATTAACAGTTAACAATCGTTCATGCAGGTTGAGATCCGAATAGAATAAGTTATAAACTCACTTGCACAATTTGCAATTACAATTATATCCCCTTGTGGGGGCATGGCTAGTATGAAATTAAGTAAGACAATCAAATATTTTGGCAAAAGCAAAAATGATAAACAAGTTGATTAATTAATAAAAAATGTGACAATAATGTATGTGAATTAAGGTAGACAAGGCAGAAGCATCCCCGGAAGACTTGAGGGAGGTGATGAAACACAAAAGGGAGATGAGGTGTCAGGTGTGGACCCCAAGAGAGGAAGCAAGAGGGCCAACTTGCACATTTCTTTTTCCTCTTTTTATCAGATGAAGACTGTAAGGCATCATAGTACACGCCACGTGTCGACATGCAGTTAGGAGGGGGGGCGTGTACATATAGGAATGGATGGAGACAGCGAAGCCAAGTTGCGGGACAACGTGTACAGGGAGAAGATATCACAGTGGATTCGGGCCCATGGGGAAAAGTAAAGATGACACTTCGCGTGTCGTACGCACGCGTCCTGTCAGAGCGATTGATTAAAAATAATGATATGATAAAGATTGGATGATTAGGGGATATTATTTTGTCACTATTTTTAATAATATCCTTTTCTTTTTGGGAATACCTAGTTATCTTTCAAAAGCATCAAATTAGATAAAATAATTTTAATTTAAAAAAAAATAGAATCTTTCCTATTGAGAGACGCAATAATATATTAAATTTGCACAACGCGGATGTTAAGACTCGAATTCAGAACTTTGCTTAAGGGAATAATAACTTCAAACTTCTATACTAGTGGATCCTTCGTAGATAAACAGAGTTTTAATTTTTTTTTTTATTACATTGGGAGGAAAGACAACCCACCTAGGGTTTCGATCTTGGGTGCCATCGGTGCTATGGGGGGAGAGGGAAGCCACCACAACTGTGGTTGGCAAGAAATTTTTAATTTTGGCCCAACACAAATTATTGATAAAACCTAATTGTTGTTTGCTCGTATTATAGCACAAGGATAAATGAAGATGAAGAAGACGACATTCAAAATTTCAAACCAAACAACCAAATAGAGAATGTATTCAAAATTCAGGTATAACCCCAAAACTACCAATCTATTAAAGTGTTAGGATCTTCGGATTACAGCTACTAGACACTACAGCTATTCTGATCAGAAAACAGAACCCAAAAAAAGAAAGAAGAAAAGACACTAAAACTGTGCAAACTCCATCATAGTAATCTCAGAAGTTTCTGGTAAAACATGAGGATGGCCTGAAGTTTCTGAACAATTACATGATACCCAATTGAGACAAAATTCTATAATGGTAAAATAAATCCTAACCTACAGCAAATGCCTCTTCATCTCAAAGTTAATCCAATTCAACTCTCTCTCTCTCTCTCTCTCTCTCTCTCTCTCTCTCTCTCTCATAAGTTATGATTAAAGTACTTACCAACACTTCCAAGCGCACCAATCATGAAATCAATTTTGTTAAAATATTCCCACAAAAAAGAAATCTCACTACGCATTCTATTAGCTCTACGCAGAAACAGCATTCTGCTTTGGTCCTCCACTTGGACGGCCACCTCTCCCTCTCCCTTGCTGATAACCATCTCCACCACGCCCAGCTGGACCCCTGCCTCGGCTTGAGAATTCACCCCTGTTCCCATACTCGTTTCTTCCAAAGCTCCGGCCACCAACATAATTACCACGGCCTCTAAAGCTGTCACTCCGAAACCCTCCCCTTCCAGGAGGAGGAAACCTACCTCTTCCACTGCTACCAACTGGAAAAACCAGCATCATGGAAAGAAATGTCTTTAAAATAATACTTATGAAGCTTAGTAATCCAAACTTAAGCAGTGTCATCAAATGTCTAGAAATTTAGGAGCATTTCCTTGCATGAGCTTTTTTTTTCCATTTTTTTTGGAGAGGATTCTCCTTGCATGAGCTTTTTAAATATTTTCAAAATAACACATTAATTAAATTAATGAAGGAGAACTGCATAAATCGTACACTTTTTCCTTACCTCGAGTGGTCGTTCTCTTTATCTCGATGACAGCTTGACGGCCACCAAAACTGATGGGTGAAGCCTGAAACATTAAGTCTTTCTCATTAGATACACAAGAAATCCCAATCAAATATCAGAAATAATATATAAACAAATTACGACTGGAAGTTCTACAGGCACTCTAAACCCTTTTAAAGTAAGAAACTATGACAACTCAATACACGTGTTTAGAGCCTTAGACTAACATGCTATGAAGATTATTTACCCATCAGATAAGATAAAAGAACCTCTAAAATTTGGCTCAACAGTGTACCACAGGACAAGGCAGAGGACCATGGAAGAAAGAATTGCCATATCCTATTCATATTGTTCAAATCAGAATGACTTGATTTTGACGAGGCAGATAGAATCATGGAAATTATTAATACAGCAGCATCCACATCCTATAGCACTATTCATGAATGGCACTATTCATGGAACTTGAATACAGAACATAGGAAATAGACGTTAAACACCTACCTGAATGGCACTATTCATGGAACTTGCAGACAGAAACTCAACAAATCCAAAACAGTATCCCTGCAGCTGCACACACAAATATGTCAGAAAATCTATATCTGAGCAGGAGACACTTCTGGCACGGAAGACATCTCACATTAGAGACTAACCTTCTTATTTCGAACTTGGATACCTCCTTGCTTTATTGGTCCAAATTTCTTGAATTCTTCCTCAAGCTGATCAGCCGTCACATTTAAGGGCAAATTCCTTATGTAAACAGAATAACCCTCAACTACAATAAATGCAATTTTGTCATTATAGAAAAGCAATTAGATGACTAAATTCAGATAAATGCAAATTTACAAATTATATTCAGTTATATGAAGATTTTCAAATGGAAACTTGCAAATATAAAGAGAATAAAAAGGGAGAAAATTCAGAAAAGCCAAGCATACCTTCCTCATTAGTATCATTACTCTCTGGGGTACTAGTGCTAGTTGGCGCTGATGCTTCAGGCACAGAAGCAGGTGGAGCCGATGCAGGTAAATTATTCTCCACTTTCTTAGGAGCCACTCTTACGGTATTAGTAGGCACATAAACCTTATTTGGTCCTGGACTCCCTTTGGGAACTTTTACCTACAAAACATTCCATGAACTTCTATTACTATTTCAACAACAATTCTGGCTAAGGAGAAATTTGTGTCCGTTAACTCACAATTGATGCATATGACTTTTTTGGAGCATCCTCTTGGGCTGTAGTAGACGTGGGCTCGACTGTCACAGGGACATCGTTCCCATTTGAATAAGATGGGGGTTCAGCATCAGACTCCTTCTCATTAGCTGATTGTCTCTCATGGTCTGATGTGTCATAAGCTTTCTCAATACCAATTTGATTCTCTTCAACTTGAGTAGTTTCCAGATCGGGTGCAGGAGGATCAGGAACATGATTTGGCTCTGTAAACAAACAATAAGAAGTGCAACAAGATCCTGGTGCAATATAAAGACTAGACTAACAAAAAAGAACAAGAAAAAGGTAAGATAGGTTACCAGGATCTTGGTTTGAAAGGACTGTTGTGGCATCATTAACTCCATTAACTGAATGGTTTTCAAACAGTTCTCCATCTTCTACGAACCTAAAGACATCGTTCAATACAAAGAACCCATTGTCTTGAGGGGCAAGAAAAAATGATTGGGCGAATTTCCTTTTCAAGTTATCCTTGCTCGTTAAACATCCAGTAACTAACACAGTCACCCCTTCCTTATAAGACTTCTGAGCATCAGCGGTCTTTATTTCAGCCTTATATTCGTTGTAATTTAAGGAAAGGATCTTCTCATTGATTCCCTACTCGAACAAAAAATTGAGGGGCAAAAAAAAAATTGTGATGTCCTTGCAGCAGGTAATGCTCATAATAATTAATATTCAAAATATGTTAATTAGTCATCTTGAAAACTTCAAGATAATATCATCGTTATCAAATAAAACAAAAATGGTAAAAGAAGAAAATTTTGTGTACAGATTTCCATTTATGTGAATTTGGCTACTTGAGCACAACCACTTATGGATATTGAGTCCAAAAACACTTTAAAAAACAATATATCCAGTATGTTCAAGTGCCAAGCAGAGGCATGTTCAAGAAGTGCCAGTAATACCAGTATTCTGACATCGACCATCTAATCTATGTATTCGCTATCTAGGGTACTCGATAAACAAAGAACATAAAACAATTTCTGAATTATCTTTATGAATCATGTGTCAGCCCTTAAGGAGGAAATCACCTGAAATTGTAGTGACTATATGATTCAGAGCATAACTGAGACCTAAAATTACCATATCTCTGAGGATTTAAGAGCATGGCAGAATCATACAGGACTATACATTCAAATAAGTATTAAAAAAAAACAAAAACAAAAAATGCAACAGATAAAATCAAACTAAAAAATATCATGTGTGAATAATCAGGTAAACAACCTGTGGACCATAGAGAATCCTCAACATCTAACAATAGAACTGCCTATATGAATCACCAACATACATTTGTTTATTTAATGTACTCCTTGATGATTATAGCATATTTGTCTAAACGTTATTGCTTCATGAAAAGTAGAACCAAGTAATCGACCATGGGAAATGACACCCAAAAGAAAAACTTACTTCCATAGTGGTCACTGATGTCATCACACCATTGGAATCAGGCCGGCTTAGAACACTTGAATCCTGATAAAATCTATGGACCAGGCCCGGATTATTGTGAAGAATATGGTAATACTGCTCAATGAAAGCATTTCCAACAAGTTGGGCACTGGGAGTCGGTGGAGGAATTGATGTCTGCAAGGCCATTCTGCCAAAAGACTGAGAAATGAAACACTACTAAACAATTCCTCAATATCTCTTTAAACCAATAAATGGAAGATAATTAATTCAAAACACCAAGGTGCAGTGAGTTAGCAATATAGCTCTAGGCACATATAATGTATTTGACTTTACAAAATCAAAGACACAAAGAACCCATGCTTAAAACTAGCCCTTCATCCCTAGATCAGGGAAAGAATTATCCCTAAAGTAAAGTAACAACTGCAAAAGAGAGTAGGAAACTAGCACCACAAAACTATGTACCAATTTCGATTACATTGCATGGAAACAGAACATGGAGGAGTTAGCGATATGAAATACTGCTACATTTTCTTCTAAAGAAAACCTCAGAGACAAGGGAGAGAGAGAGAGCTGGTTAAATGAAACAACCACATTTTGAGAAAAACCCTAGAAGCACAATAAATTAAAATGATATTCCATAAAACTGAAAACCACATAATCTGCTTTAGTGAGTACTGAATATTTAGGTAAATCCAAAAAAGTTGGCACAATAACTTGCAAAAACTTAGATCCTCGAAGCAACAGCACCACATTATTTGGATTCAGACCAAGCAAAGCTCAAGACCTAAACCCTAAACCAACCTCATACCACAAAATAAACAAAACCCATCTCAGAAAATTAGATAGAATGATAAATCAATACATAATCAGCCCAACATTCAGAGCCGGCGAGCTTAAAGTTACAAAATTCATTAAATTAATTCTACGACCTGTATAATGCTTGATCACACAAACAAAAGTAAACATTTGAACACTAATAATAAAGAAAAAAATAGCTTTCAAAAGACAGACCAAAATACAACCTAAAAAAATCAACAATAAGGGTGCTAAAGAACCCATTAAATGAATAGTACATGGAAAAAATCAAAGAAATGAATGCCAAAAAAGTACCCTTTATGAAATGCTATAGCTTTGCTAGAGACAGAGATTGGGAACGATGAGATGGTAGGGTACCTTGTGCTTCACCAAAGAAGAGTGAGTGAGAGACTGTGAGAGCGAGAGAGAGGGAAAGACGAACAGTTGGCGCACGAAATAAAGAAGCGTCTGAGAAAGAAAGCTAACAGCGAACTCTGATGCAAATTCACACCAAGGGGTGCACAGATTGGGTCAAGTAACCTTTTTTTTTAGGGAGTTTCACTAAAACACCCAAAATGGGGGCTGAAATTATAAAAAAACCCAACACCCAAAACACTTTATAAACACACCCAAAACCCATCATTACACACACTCAAAACCCATTTATAAACACACCCAAAAAATATACAATTGTTGATTTTGAGGTTGATTTTGGGTGTGTTTCTATGTTTAAATAGTGTTTGGGTTTTTTTATAAATACATGTCTAGGATTGGGTTTATTTATAAATTTGTATTTTTTTTAACACCTGGTCAAGTTTTTCCTCTTTTCTCTTTTAGGGTTTTTGGTCAAATTTTAAAAGTTTTTTCTTTTGCTTTTTTGTTTTACAAAAATTGAATTTTGGATGTTTTGTTGAGCTAGTGGTTTTTATTATTTTAAAAAAAACGATATTCTACTTTAATTTAATCTAAACAAAGGATGATTCGAACTTGAGTACATAGTAGGGAGTACATCCGTTCTAGTCAATTTGACTAAGCCCATGTCTGCTTGTTGAGCTAGTAGTTCACCATTTGCAATTCTAAAACTAATATTACAAACATATATAAAGGTTGTTGCAAATTATCTCCACTTTCAAATTTAATTTAATATCGTTATTGTCAATCTGAAACAGTCATCACGCACCATTCTAAATGTAATTTGCTTCTTATATATTTACAGAAGAGGAATACTAAATAACCCTTTAGAGTACCAATAACAAATATAAACATCCAATATATTTTACATTATTATTTGAAGTTGAAGTCTATTGAATGGCAGGAAAAGTCATGTAGACAAATATACTACTGGAGAAAATAAAAGTTTGGCGCTTTTAGTTATAATAAGAATAGGGCTCTATACTAATAGTCTTTAGCTTCAAGTTAATTTAGGTGATTGACCAATCAAGTGTTGTGGGACATGCTTATATCATTAAAATCCCAGGCTTTTTTTATGTTTGGTGACCAACCAAAATCACGTGTATACGACATTTTGCTGACAAAAGATATCTTCATAAAAATAAAAAAAAAGCTCCAGGGACTTTGTAACAATGTGTAAATCTGTCAATGTGATATATATCAAGCCCCATTACTTGGATCTTTTGTCTGCAGCATGGGAGGCCGCAGGTTTTCTCTGCAGATGTAAGCACATGACTTCATGATAATGGTTGAATATTTCAGATCAAGAACACTGATCCAATGTAATGCTCCTGTGGAGCTCATTGCAATGGCTTCCCCTATCTATTTTCATCATAAATTAAAATTATGGAGCCTTAATTCAGACTTCAGTCACATATAACCTTTGCAGCTCCTAGCAATTTTTTTATGATAAAATGGAATACATGAAATACTCAAATGAACATGAGCTGTGATTCATGAAATTCATACAGAATCTGTAATTTCAATTGCAAGAAGAAAAATAAAGATGCATCATAAACACAGAGAAAGAAGTAAGGTACTTTTGTTCAAACCAACTGTTGCAGAATACCAAAGATGGCTTCAAAGGTCTTCAAGACCTCTCGCAAATAGAGAAGCAAAAGCCTCCATATAATGTTTTTTAAAAACCAGCCCAACCTCAGCACCACCAGCACCATTCTTGCTATCTGAAAAGGAGATAGCCCCTGTCCTGTCTATCAAAATGAAGTCGATCTTCGTTGGTCTTCCCCATCCAAAATCAGTTGCCTCATAAATCCCAAAAGTATGTGACCCAGCAATGGAATGAACTCTATGTGTAGTCTGCAGTGCATTGAGCATTCTTGAAACCCAAGTCTCTGGCCCATCCAAAACGGTCTTGTCCAAACTTTTTATAGATTCACTAATTGCATTTAAGGCCACAAACAACCCATCTTCTCCCAATAGGCCCTTTGTTTCTGCAACTACCCCACGGCCTGCGATGCAATTCCCAAAATAGGTTGCAGGCAGAGGAGGGTCTAAGCGAGACCTGCAGTCTGCGCTAAAGACCAAAAGTACTTTCTCCGCTTTTATTTCCTCTGCCTTGACTAAGCAAACCCATGTATAAGCACATGTTAGAGAAAACGTTGACAAATGAAGCACGGAATGATCTTGTTGTTTCTTCTTTGCCATCATAGTCATCACTGATTGTCTTAATGCTTCTATTTTTGCTCGTGTGAATTCAAACGTACCTCGAATCGAGTCTAGTGGAAATTCTTTAACCCCCAAAGACATCAAGCTTGTATTATTGGGCCCTCCTGCATTTAACCATTCCTTCAAGTAGATTGCTTCAATGCCGGCAGGGTCCTTGACGGCCCTCCTGTCATAACATGGTTTTGGTGGCTCTGGTAACAAAGATGAGGACAGTCCTCCATGTTTGCACAGGTGAGCCCAATGTTTCAAAAAAGATGTTGAAGTTTTGCCATCAAGGGCAGCATGGTGCACGGCTGATCCAATGGAAAAAACCACAGTTGGGGAAAATTGTGATTTGCAACGCCATCACTGCGGCTTGGTCATGAGACACTGCCAATTGGGGTATAAGAGGATGGTATTCTGGCTTCAATATTGAAGTTGTTGGTTGAAACTAGATGGTAGAAATCAGCATCAGATTCAGCTATTGTAAGCGAAAGGGTGTCACCTTTGACATAACTGAGAAAGGGTTTTTGGGAGTCTTGGGGCCAAGTGAGGTTTCCTGCAAGAGGCAGAAAGTGCTGGAGGGTGGGAGAGAGTGAGGCTTTGAGTTTTGGAAGTATGGAATCGAAGAAGAGGAGTGTGTTGAATGAAGATATTTCATAGAAGAAAACGCGTTGGATGGGAGGAAACCTTAGCCAGAGAAGGTCAAAGAAAGTTAGAGGAAGAGACTGATCATCTGGGGAGGTTGAGTCTGGTGAGCTTGGTTTGGGAGCTACCCAGCAAACCTCAACTACTTTCATTGAGCTTGGTTGTGCCATTGGAGATAGAAGCTTTGATATTCTAAGTTCACACCCTTAGAATATATATTTGGTGCCCCAACCGACGCACTCAACAGCCTGGCACACTAGGATGACACCCACATAAAAGCAATTAGATTATCAAAGTCAATACATATGAATATTGGTATCAAGCATTAAGAAATCATTGATCCAAACAACTCATAGAATTGTTCAAAATGTGGATTGTGGAACAATTCTGTCCTACTTTATTGATCCAAACAATCATTTAGTTCATGGTTGAAAAATGAGTTGTGATCCAAATCAATGTGTAAATGGAATATAGTAACTATATACATGAAAATGAGTTGTGATTCAAATCTTAGAGCAGTAAAACTCCATGCAATTTATACACCAGTTTGTCCCAAACAAAATATACAGAGATATATAAGCATACTAAGCCAAAATACAGAGCAGCCTGCTTCAAACAGCAACATCTTAACAAGATTAATAATTGAGAGCATAAGAGTTGCCCCAATGACCAATGAACTCACAATTATTCCCTAAAAGATAAAGTGAAATATAAATTTCTATTGAAACCAGCTATAGTATAGTAGTGTATATGAGGCTAAGGGGAATCAAAGGTTTTCAAGACCTTTAGGAAATAGAGAAGCAAAAACCTCCATGTGATGTTTCTTCAGAACCAAGCCAATGTCAACAGCTCCACCTCCATTCTTGCCATCTGAAAAAGTGATGGCTCCTCTTCTACCTATAGGAACCACTTCGGTACTCTTTGGTCTTCCCCACCCGAAATCAGTATCGTACATCTTAAACTGATGTGATCCAGCGGTGGTAAACACTCTGGAATGATCAGTAGTAGCCTGAAGATCAGATTCAGAAAGGTACAAACTTGAAACTAAGTTCTCTGCCCCATTCAAGACCCCGTTATTCAAACCTTCTATGGCTTCACTGATCGCATTTACAGCCACAAAGAACCCATCTTCTCCCAAAAGTCCTTTTCTTTCTGCAAATGCTCCATGGCCCGTTATGCAGTTGCCAAAATAGGTTGCAGGTATAGGAGGGTCCAAACGAGACCGACAGTCCACGCTAAGCACCATAAGTATTTGGTCGTCTTTTATTTCTTCTTCTTCTTCTTCTTCTTCTGCTTTGACTAAGCAAACCCATGTGTAGGCACATGTTAGACAAAACGTTGACAAATTTAGAACAGATTGATGATATTGTTGATGTTTCTTGATCATGACAGATTGCCTTAGTGCTTCAATTTTTGTGCTAGTGAATTCGAACGTGCCTCGAATCGAATCCGGTAGCGCTAGAGATTTATAGCGGGTGGCAACCATCAAGCTTCGGTTGTTGGGTCGTTGGTCCATATTCAGAAACTGGTTCAAGTAGATTGCTTAGAGCTCGAGCCCAGCTGGGTCATGGATGAAGACCCTTCTGTCATAAAATGGTTTCAGCTGATCAGGCAACAAAGTATCAGGTTCATGTTTGCATAAGTGGGCCCATGATTTCAGAAACATGAACAAAGTTTTGCCATCAAGAGCTGCATGGTGCATGGAAATTCCAATGGAGAAGCCGCTGCTGTTGGGAAAGAGAGTGATTTGAAAAGCCATCACAGCAGCTTTTTCACGAGATATTGCCAATCGGGGTACAAGAGGATGGTATTCTTTGGCTTCAATGTTGAAGTCGTTGCTTGAAAGACGGTGGAAATCAGCATCAGAATGGGCTGTGGTGAGCGAAACGGCGTCGCCTTGGACATAACTGAGAACGGGTTTGTGGGAATCTTGGGGCCAAGTGATGTTTCCTGCCAGAGGTAGAAAGTGTTGGAGGGTGAGGCTTTGAGTTTTTGAAAGAGTAGAGAATCAAAGAACGGTTTTGTGTCAGCTGAGGCAGAGGAAGCCAATATTTCGTAGAAGAAAAGGCGGTGGAAGTGTGGAAACCTTAGCCATAGGAGGTCGAAGAAGGTTTGGGGAAGAGAAAACTCTGCAACATCTGGTTGTGGTTGTGGAGCTACCCTGCAGACCTCAACTAGTTTCACTGAGGTTGAGCTTAGCTCTGCCATTGGACTATTGGAATTAGAAACTATTGACCAGCGGACCCCTTGGAAGCCGGAAAAGTGGCTGGGAAGGTGCTCCGGCGACCCCTTGGAAGATTGGTGGGCGACTCCAATATGCCCACCAAGTGTTCGACGAAACTTCCCGACGAAACTTCACCCTTCACCCATAACCACTGCTGCCCTTTTCTTTGAAAAAACGCATGGGCATTGGGCACCAAGTTAGGGATGCGCTATGTTGTTTAAAAAAGCAACTAACTGGAAGTTTTTTCGGTTGAGTTTTTCCATTTATACTCCGCACTTCTCTTTATTTACCACATATTTTAAATTCATCCAAATTTCTAATTCAAATTTTTACAATTTTTAAGAAAACTCCACTATCTTTCCAAATTACCCCTAAATACACACCCAGCGTAAAATAAAATAAAAAACTCATCAACCCCACAACCCGCTATTTTGCCCCTCACCACTCTACTTTGAAGCTTAGTGACTAACAGATAATTTTAGCTATCATTACTTATTGTAAAATAGAGAGACTCACAATCTTTACCTTCCTTAAGAAGCCATGATCAAATTCTTGCACAAAATTCAAAAGTTTGCTTGGGGAAATTAGCAGGTGGTCTTCCTGATAATGACTTTTCATATTACATACCTCAATTGACGACCCACAAGCCACTATTTGCATACCGCATTTAGGTTTTGTGAAGAGAAGATGAGAGTGTAGTGGAAGAGATGAGTAATTTGGCAGTAATAGGGTGTATAGGAGTTTGTATTTTTGTAAAACTTAATATGAAAAGTGGTGAAGTGTGTGTATAGATATACTAGGGTTAAGTATTAAGTTGGATGACTTTTTTTGGTCTTTTTACACAATAATAAAACTTAAGAGATTAATTATTTAAGTATTAGGGTGGAAAAAAAAAGGTGTAAGGTTTAAATATATTTTTTTTTTTTTTTTTTTTTTTTTTTTTTGTTTTGGTAGAAATAATTAGACATGATTCATTTAATGCTCCTTCCTTTTCACATTGAAGTTAGAAATAATAATATAAATTCAAGAGAAATACTTAGAAATCAGTATAAATGGGAAAAGTGTAATTAGTTTTATTGCTTGCATGACATGTCACTCTACGACTATAGGGAGATCACATCCATTGCATTTTGCATAGTACCTATCCTGAAGGTAAGTTCAGTATTTCTTTTGACAGCCCCACGACCATTTCAAAGTCCTTTAAAATCAACAATAGTTGCTAAGATATCATAATATGAAAGTTTGTCGTGGACAACTTGTAATGTTGTTTTACTTTTCAATATTGTTTTTATTTTTTTTAAAAATTGACGGTTTGAATTAGCGAAATACAATGTTGAGTGAGCCCTATAAGGATGTCCCTCAAATAAGCTCTTGAGAGATCTCTCAATAAAAGCTTCATGTACATATATAATCAATTAAATATAATTTAAATTATAAACTAAATAGATAACAAAACATATAATTTCCCAAAATATTAATATATATATATATATTTAAAATACGATTTCACATATATATTTCAACTTTGGTTGAATACCATACATTAAAATAGTGTTTTGGAAGAGAAGGAAAGTAAAGCACGCACATTGTTTTTGACTGGATAAAATACAGAGGAAAATAAACAGATATTAGAGACAGTACATAGGAAAAGAAACAGAGCTAGCTACCTCGTCCAAAGAACAACATGTTCACAAAGGTAATTACTGAGAGCATACAAAGTTTGTTAACTTTTATAGTTGACCAGGAAAAAAAAAACTAAGAAGTTTATTTGATGCAGTACATAGGAAAAGAGACGGACAGAGCCACCGGCACCTGGTCCAAAGAAAAACATCATCACAAAGCTGATTGTTGAGAGCATACAAGGTTGGTGTACTATTGACCAACGAATCCCAAATTATTATTCCAGAAAATATAAAGTGCAAAAAGAAAATGTTGTTGCGGAGGCTTCATGCGCTTCAAAGGTTTCGAAGACCTTTAGCAAATAGAGAAGCAAAAACGTGCATGTCATGTTTGTCTAAAGCCAACCCAACTTCAATAGCCCCAGCACCAGTCTTGGAATCTGAAAGGGAGAAAGCTCTGGTTCTATCTATGGAAACAATCTCAAATTTCTTTGGTCTTCCCCATCCAAAATCAGTATCATAATTTCCGAACCGATTTGAACCAGCAATGCTGAGCATTCTTCCCTCACTTCCCAAAGCAAACAACCTTGAAACCCAATTCTCTGCCCCATCCAAAACCCCCTTCTTCAATCTTTCTGTAGCTTCACTAATTGCATTCACGGCGACAACCAACCCATCTTCTCCAAGCAAGCCTTTCGTTTCGGCAACTGGTATACATCCTGCTATGCAGTTTCCGAAATAGTTTGCAGGTATAGGAGGGTCCAAGCGAGACCTGCAGTCCATGCTAAAGATCAGACGTGTTTTGTCAGCTTTTATGTCCTCTGCTTTGACTACGCAAACCCATGTATAGGCACAAGCTAGAGTGAAAGTTGACACATGAACTGGTTTCTGCTCTGCCATTTTAGCCTTGAACGATTGCCTCAGTGTTTCTATATCTGCTCGTGTGAATTCAAAGGTGCCTCGGATTGAGTCTGGTGGTGGTTTCATCTCCCAAAACATTAAGCTCCTATTGTTGGGACCGTCCTTATTTCGATAGTCGTTCGAGTAGATTGTTCCAAGCTCAGCTGGATCCTGAATCACTCTGTCATAAAATTGTTTCAGCTCATCAGGTAGCATTGAATTAGATTGATCATCATGTTTGCAAATGTGAGCCCATGATTTTACAAATAAAGTTATACTCTTGCCATCTAGGACTGCATGGTGTATGGAAGTTCCAATCGAAAAGCCACAGTTGGGAAAGACAGTGATTTGCAATGCCACCACTGCAGCTCGTTCATGAGAAGCTCCCAACTGGGGTACAAGAGGATGGTACTCTGTGGCTTCAACAAAGTCACCACTTGAAAGATGGTAGAAGTCAGCACCAGACTCTGCTATTGTGAGCGAAACGGTGTCGCCTTGGACATAGTTAAGGACGGGTTTTTGGGAGTCTTGAGGCCAAGTGAGGTTTCCTGCCAGAGGTAGAAAGTGCTGGAGGGTGTTAGAGAGTGAGGCTTTGAGTTTTGGGACAAGTATGGAATCAAAGAAGAGCGGTGTTGTAGAGGAAGTAGGCATTTGGTAGAAATAAAGGTTCTGGACCGGCCCAAACCTTAACCAACGGATGTCGAAGAAGGTAAGGGGAAGGGAGCTCGGGGACGCGAATGCACCGGGTGAGGGTGGAGGAGGAGGAGCCACCCTGCAAACTTCAACTACTTTAACCGAGCTTGTTGGTTCTGCCATTGCCAAATGGAGGTGGATCCTTTTGCCCTCTTTTTATCACTACTACTAGACAGGTCAGGTGGAATCTGTCCAAGTGCTTAGTGTTGTACGGAGGCGTAGTATATATGTGACCTATATCAAGCAGATGCAAAATTTGACAAATATAAATAAACCAATAATACACATGATTTATACTAGTTCGACTTTGTAGCCTATCATTTGAGCCAATACACCCAATACACTCTCAAACATTTGAGCCAATAACAATATTCAGATTCTTGCTTGCAAACAATTATCAAAAGAGATCTAAAACAAATATACCAAGCAACTCATAAACAAAAAGAGGAAACAACAAGAAGAGAAGAGAAACTTACGAACTCTTCTTGTCGTTCACAAAGTTGCTAGCACACCTAATAAGAAATGGAGACAAATATAAGGCAAACACCGAATGATCAAAAGAGGCAAGATAAAACTAAAGTTGTTGCATGCAGCACCGTAGAAGCATAGGAGAATTTATTCTCTCTATTTAAGAGCAAAAGGACGTGTATGTGGTGAAATACAAAATGGGGCTGATATCAGGCCACGCCACACAATAGAAGCCACAAAACCACACTTGGTTTGGCATATCATCATTTTCAAGTTTTATAAATGGGGGATCACCGTACCGGTAAATGTCACCATTGGATTGGTTTTCAATTCGTCCAACGCCGTACGATTACTACTTATCACCAAACCATAGCATTATAGACTTGATTAGTCTAATGAATTTGACTTCCTGTTGTGTTCAAATTGTAGACTTGATTACATGTGAATGACTTTGTTTCGTAAGGTTCTAAGACGAATAGCTTAAGAAGTAAGGATATCTTAAGAGTAAATATCTTCATTGCACTTCCTATAGAATGAGATGTATATAAACAAAGGGCTTCTTAGATCTAAGTCCAAAACGATTAGCTATCATTGGGTTTAGTCCACGTGTTTTTGGTTTTAGATGCAAGTCCTTTTACATTAATTACTTTTTTTGTTGTGTCGATTTTACCCTTTGAGGTAAATAAGGAAAACACATTTAAAATCTAAATTTAATGCATTATTTCCTTATAATTGAATTTCTTCATTTAAATTTTGAATTCTTTCCTTGATAATATTTACCTAATATATGTATAAAATACAATTTAATTAATGAAAAGTAAAGACCCACATATTATATCAATCGATCAGACAAACACCCACATGAAATTATGTACCTGACATATAGGTAAATAGTGTTATTATTAGCAATGAAAAAATCGTAGTGATAAATCGTGTTACCTATAAGTTAGGAACCTAATTAAAAGATTGTATATAAGTTAAGAATATAAATTAGAAGACTACCAATAAGGTAGATACAAAAAATAGACAAATAAAAATTGTATGTTACCTATAAAAAAATGTACATAAAATACTATTATACATTGTCAAAAATATGAAAAAACACATATATACCTATGCAATAGGCAATAGAACAATATACCTACACTATAGGATTTCTACTATATATATCTACAAGAGTATGTAATATACCTCTACCATAGGGTGAACAAAAATAAAAATTGTTACCTATAACTCATGTACTAAACGATGTGTTTGCAAACTAATCTGGTTTGCAAACTGATCTGGTTTTTCCTTGCATGCTTCAAATGATCTAGTTTTCCTTGCATGCTTCAATTGGAAACCGCAAATATGCATAGGTAGTTGTTTTAGAGGGAAATGCTGTTTTGGATCATTATTGATCCTTCTAGCTGCAAGGAGATCAAGTTCTCTCTCTCAAGTTGAACCCTTTGTGTCTTACAATATAAATTTAGCAAATGAATGTCATCATTCATCACTACCTCTCTTTGATATGCTCTTGCGTGTGATGTATGTTTCCGTGTGCATACAGAGGTACTAAAAGTTCCACAATCAAATGCTTTGGTCGACAATGTATAATAGTTTGTAACAACGTAATTTTTGGGATATGTTTGCCATTTTTTTTTCCTTTTCTATTCAATGACAAACGTTATAAATGGCTAATTATTATCACATAAATTATTATTACCTTATTCAAAGCATAAGAGGCAACATTGGAACAGAAAATGATTTTTAAAAATAAAAAATAAAAAAATTACATCACAAAAGATTAAAAAAGGAATGTAATCCTACGTGGCATAAAAGTCAAAGGACTTGTATCAAAGTCACCAAATTCGAGGATTAAACCCAACTTCTCAATGGAGATTTGGATCTATATCAACTTTTCTAATAAACAAATGGTACCATAAATGAAAGTTAGTCTTTCATATTTATGTATTTTTATCAATTAATGAGAGTATGGTAACTAGAATATGTTAATTATGTTTAACACGGTTCTATTACTAGTGCAACACTATCGTCTGGGACACAACCTGGAACTAGATGTGTATAGTGAGGTATTGTGTGAACACTATCATATGGGATTACACAAACGACTAAGCAGTTGAAGACATCGCATTCACTGATTATCCAAGTAAACTTGATGGTATTACACTAGGGAAGGTTCAAGGCCAATAGCTACCTATCCTAACGTGGCATCTTTCCAATTGAACTCTCTCAAGTGTCTGCATTTTTATTTTTATTTTGTTGATTAATTTTTTACATCTATGTGGGGATTGTTGGAAAATTTTAATATTTTAATATTAAAAGATTTCTTATTATAGGATGTATAAAATTAGAAGTTACAGTGAATGGGTTTTAAATGAAAAGTTATATAAGCAAGAGTTGTACACTGACTTTTCATTACGAGACACAACCCCTCTAAACAGGTTTTGTTAGTATTATAAATACTGCAACACATTGAGAATTTAATAAAGAGTTTTTTTTTTTGGTAATAAGTGGGGCTAAGAGCCCAAAACAACAAGACTAAGCACAAACAATACGGGACCTAGACACCCCAACATCATCCGTAGCCAAATAATTCACAAGAAAAGTTGGCACCTCAGCAAACGATTGCACCCCAAGGCAGGGGTGGTCCTACCCTAACGGCAGGGTAGGCAGCCACCTACTCCATTTTTTGCCAAACTAAAAATTATCCAATATCCAATACAATCAAATTTCTTCTCTGCCTACTCAAACCCAACCCACCAGGGGCGGTCCTACCCTAAGAGCAAGGTAGGCAGCGGCTACTCCATTTTTTGCCAAACTAAAAATTACCCAATACCCCAATACAATCAAATTTCTTCTGCCTACTCATACCCAACCCACCAGGGGCAGTCCTACCCTAAGAGCAGGGTAGGCAGCGGCTACTCTATTTTTTGCCAAACCAAAAATTACCCAATACCCAATACAATCAAATTTCTTCTGTCTACTCAAACCCAACTTACTCAAATTTTTCCCTTTAACAAAAACAATAGCCCAGCACACTTAAACTTTCTCCTTTAACAAAAACAATAAAAAGCAATATAAGCATGTGAAAGATGTGAAAGTTGTATGGAGATTTGTTTTTCATTGCTAAAAAGGTGGCAGGAGTGTCACCTCTCCGAGCCGGGCACGGATTAAGAGAAAGCTCTCCCTAAGAGCTTCGTTACACATGTGGAGGATCGAACTCGGGACCTCATTGAGGAGCCCGATCACATTCGCCCAACATATGTGGCCTAGCCCGTTCAATTTTTCACTAGACCAAACCCACTTGGGTATGGATATTTTTTTCAACGTTGACTAACATTGTGAATTTTGTTAGTGCTTCTGTTAAGTGCCATAATGAGTTAAATTTAATTCGAAAAGCTGAACTCAAAGAGTTGTTGGATTCTGGGGAACTTGAGACAAGTAGAAGACTTAATCAAGGTCGTAGTTTGAAACGAGTTGGAGCCACTCGTTGGGGATCTCATTTTGCCTCTATTACAAGTTTGATGAGTTTATTTAAAGAGACTAAAATACTTCTCCAGGAAATCAGTGATTGTGGACCTAACCAACAATTTCGTGGCGATGCAGAGAGTAACTATATTGCTATGATGTCTTTTGAGTTTGTGTTTTCATTGCTTTTGATGGATAAAATTATGGGATTGACCAACTTTCTTTGTCAAGTGTTTCAGACAAAAACTCAAGATATTGTAAGTGCTTTAAACTTTGTTGAAAATACAAAATCATAGTTCCAAGATATGAGGGCACATGACTGGGATAATTTATTCATGAGTGTGGTATCATTTTGTGAACAACATGGTATTGATGTTCCTGTGAACAAAAAGATTTTATTACAGTTGAACATTACTATCGCATTGATGTATTTAATGATGTGATAGATTGCATATTGAGGGAGTTAAATGACAGATTTCTAGAGCAAATAGTTAAACTTTTTATTCTTAGCTCAACATTAGATCCTCGTAATTCCTTCAAATCATTCAATATTGGGCATCTATGTAAACTTGCTGAGAAATTCTATCCTGCTGATTTCAGTCCAAGTGACTTGAAAGCTTTAGAAATTGAGTTGGGGTATTTTCAAAATGATATGCATCATCTTCCTTGCTTTAAGGACCTCACCATTCTTCCTTAGTTATGTCAACAATTGGTGGAAACAACTTGGCAGAAAACTACTATTTTCTTTACAGGTTGATTCAGTTGATGTTGACTCTTCCTATTTCTACAGAAACAACTGTTGAGGCCCAAAAAATCCACGGTTGGGCCCAAATAAATTCTCAGCCCAAAACGATATATTATCTAGAAAAGACCCGATTTGGAGCATACAAAAGTCCGCCATGCACAAGTCACACTCCACGTGCCATGCCAAATAAATAATCTATCATGCTAGGAATCGAGATTAAGATGATACAATGCATTAGCTTTGCAAATCCATGCTAATTATCCCGTCAAGCATAATAATTAAAAGCATGCCAAGCGACATGCCACGCCAAGCAGGAAGTCATTATTGCACACCCAACCATGTTACAAGCCTAAGTGGGCTCAAGGCACTTGAATGCACGGGGCTTGCTTGAGTGGGTTGTGGTATGGATGGTAATAAGTTGTCATGAGGCCCATTGATGGCCCGAGAAATGGAGGTTCCGGGTTGCTTGGGAGCCTCGGAAGTCAAGCCAATTTCTTAGGCCCAAACATATAGGTAAGCACAAAGGAGAAAATAGTCCATTACCTTAGCCAAAATAGCTTATTAGCTTAGCCAAATTAGCCCAACACCTCAACAAAATAGGCCAACACTTGGTGAGGTTAGCCCATTTATTTGATAAACCAACCCATTGTCCTAGAAGGCCCATGTAACTAAGATAAAGACCTGCAAAAGCCTCAACACTTGGTTGGAAAAAAAAACCACAAAGGGAGCTTGGAGGTCCACTTGCGCAGAGCTGCTGGGAGGCTCCAGCACATGGGAAAGAACAAGTTTCAAGCAAAAAACATCTGAAGGACCAAATGATTTTAGCACGCAGGCTGCCAGGAGGAGAGGCACCCTTCAAACCAGCATGTATACCCATTTTCTTTCCTTCATCAGATCTATCCATGGAAGGAGGAATGAAAGAAAAAGGGAAATAGCTAAGAATGAGAGTCTCCCACTGAAACAGCTGCGGGAAAGGGCCTTGAGCACTCAAAAACCCCTGATTTTGTGCAAATGGGCAGAGAGAATTTCACCAAGATAGGGAAAGTCAAAGAGGGAGAGAAGAAAGAAAGGGAAAAGCTTGGCCAAATTGGATAGAAACCCTTAGGGTTTCTTAGAAAAGAGTAGCTTCCAGCGGCAATAAATAAGGCCACTTCTACCCAACAAAGAAACAACCACAACCAGAGAGCAAGCTTCCTCTCTCACCTACAAAACCCAGCAAATTCGTGCTCAGTTCATCCTTCTCCCTCTTGTTTTTCCTCTTGGCAGATCATTCTGATGCTTGACAAAACCTCTGTCGAGTTGCCGGAAAAACACTTAAGCCACCCATTGCCTAGCCTCTCTCCTCTTCTCAGCCAAAACCTTTGATAATCCTTTCCTCCTTTTCCTTAGAACTCTTATTTTTCATAGAAACTCACAGCTCTTTCCCTTTAAGGCTAAACTCATGACAACTTTGCTCCCATGCCACAAGCCTCTCATGCCAAGCTAAGATTCTACTTGTAAGCACTAAGAATTCATCTGTAAGCTGTTGTTATTTTTGTGGGTAAATGTAACCAAGGTGTTTCCTAAGGCCCTACTATCCTTTCGAAGCATTCTTGGGGCTTGATTTCTAAACTCAGGTACATGGGATAATTTCATCAATTTGCTCCTTACGACAGCCCAGCCCACCTGTAGTTGCGAGAAGAAAAAAGCCCTTACAACAACAGAAAGAGCTTTTTCATGTATGATAATTATTAAGAATAGACTTCGGAGCACCATAGCTAATGAATTCCTTGCTGATTGCATGATTCTCCACATTGAAAGAGAGTTTGCTAATAATATCGATAATGAAGAGATAATTGAGGAATTTAAGATTTATAAGCCTTGTAGGGTAAAGTTTTAGATTTAAATAGTTTAGTTTTGTGTTACATTGCATTTACTTTTTTTGTTTTTTTGTTAAGCTTTTATTTATATATAGATATGCATATTTGATGGTAAGGCTCTTTACGTCCCCCTGACTAGGTGTATCTTTTTATTTTTATGAATAAAATTCACTCGTACCTTCGAGTTTTTAAGATAAGTTTCACCTACTTGACTTTTGAATTATGGATCCGCCACTGTTATAGGATGTATAAAATTAGAAGTTATAGTGAATGGGGTTTAAATGAAAAGTAATATAAGCAAGAGTTGTACACTTTGACTTTTCATTGTGAGACACAACCCCTCTAAACAGTTTTTTTTAGTATTATAAATACTGCAACACATTGAGAATTTAATAAAGAGTTCTTTTTTTTTTTTTTTTTGGTAACAAGAGGGGCTAAGAGCCCAGAACAACAAGACTAAGCACAAACAACACGGGACTTGGACACCCCAACAGAATCTGTAGCCAAACAATTCACAAGAAAAGCTGGCACCTCAGTGCAATAAAGAGTTTTTCATTCACTGCATACATGAGTCTTTGTCAGTAAAATATAGTCTTATATTGAGACATAGTTCAAGCACAAGTCTGCATTCGTTGTTCTTGTGGCCTGGAGTGCTACTATCACAATAAGGAAGTTGTTGTATCTTGGGAGATGTTTGCCATTGGAACCTTGAAGCACCAGTGAGGAGCAATTTCATCTTAAAGAAAGATAACCAAGTTCTAGACTCAACATTATTTTTTTTTTTTTTTTTTTTTTTTTTTTTTTTTTTTTTTTGAATATATTATGATATTAAACTTCTCTTATATTGTTCTAATTATTTTAATGCATTTAATTTGGTATTTATTTGCATGAATTAAATTATTTCTTCTTCTTCTTTAAATATAGCAATTAAACCCCTTATTTTTATAACACCATGATAACCAAATCTTGCGTACTTCTATAAAAATTCATATGCGTAACAGGACATGATTTCTTCTAGTTATTAAATACTGACATAAAATTTAATTAGTAGTAATTCTTAATTAGTTGTATTGCTTTTCTTCTCCAAATTAATTGTTTAGGTTTGAAAAAAAAAAACGAAAAGTGAATAGTATTTGCCATTTGCCATGACAATGGGTGGAAACACACCTTACTTTGCAAGGGCCGCCACTATTCATGTGAATCGTATCTGCCCTTACCCTTTGCCATGGCAAATAGATGGAAGTGTTCTTATAGTTGACCAAAAAAAAATACACTAAGAAGTTTATTTGATGCAGTACATAGGAAAAGAGACAGACAGAGAATATAAAGTGCAAAGAAAAACATAATCACAAAGCTGATTGTTGAGAGCATACAAGGTTGGTCTCCTATTGACCAACGAATCCCAACTTATTATTCCAGAAAATATAAAGTGCAAAAAGAAAATGTTGTTGCGGAGGCTTAATGCGCTTCAAAGGTTTCGAAGACCTTTAGCACATAGAGAAGCAAAAACGTGCATGTCATGTTTGTCTAAAACCAACCCAACTTCAATAGCCCCAGCACCAGTCTTGGAATCTGAAAGGGAGATAGCTCTGGTTCTATCTATGGAAACAATCTCAAACTTCTTTGGTCTTCCCCATCCAAAATCAGTATCATAATTTCCGAACCGATTTGAACCAGCAATGCTGAGCAGTCTTCCCTCACTTCTCACAGCAAACAACCTTGAAACCCAATTCTCTGCCCCATCCAAAACCCCCTTCTCCAATCTTTCTATAGCTTCACTAATTGCATTCACGGCGACAACCAACCCATCTTCTCCAAGCAAGCCTTTCGTTTCGGCAACTGGTATACATCCTGCTATGCAGTTTCCGAAATAGTTTGCAGGTATAGGAGGGTCCAAGCGAGACCTGCAGTCCATGCTAAAGATCAGACGTGTTTTGTCAGCTTTTATGTCCTCTGCCTTGACTACGCAAACCCATGTATAGGCACAAGCTAGAGTGAAAGTTGACACATGAACTGGTTTCTGCTCTGCCATTTTAGCCTTGAACGATTGCCTCATTGTTTCTATATCTGCTCGTGTGAATTCAAAGATGCCTCGGATTGAGTCTGGTGGTGGTTTCATCTCCCAAAACATTAAGCTCCTATTGTTGGGACCATCCTTATTTCGATAGTCGTTCGAGTAGATTTTTCCAAGCTGAGCTGGATCCTGAATGACTCTGTCATAAAATTGTTTCAGCTCATCAGGTAGCACTGAATTAGATTGATCATCATCATGTTTGCAAATGTGAGCCCATGATTTTACAAATAAAGTTGAACTCTTGCCATCTAGGACTGCATGGTGCATGGAAGTTCCAATCGAAAAGCCACAGTTGGGAAACACAGTGATTTGCAATGCCATCACTGCAGCTTGTTCATGAGACGCTTCCAATCGGGGTACAAAAGGATGGTACTCTGTGGCTTCAACAAAGTCACCACTTGAAAGATGGTAGAAGTCAGCACCAGATTCTGCTATTGTGAGCGAAACGGTGTCGCCTTGGACATAGTTGAGGACGGGTTTTTGGGAGTCTTCGAGGCCAAGTGAGGTTTCCTGCGAGAGGTAGAAAGTGCTGGAGGGTGTTAGAGAGTGAGGCTTTGAGTTTTGGGACAAGTATGGAATCAAAGAAGAGCGGTGTTGTAGAGGAAGTAGGCATTTGGTAGAAAAAAAGGCGCTGGACCGGCCCAAACCTTAACCAACGGATGTCGAAGAAGGTAAGGGGAAGGGAGCTTGGGGACGCGAATGCACCAGGTGAGGGTGGAGGAGGAGGAGCCACCCTGCAAACTTCAACTACTTTAACCAAGCTTGTTGGTTCTGCCATTGCCAAATGGAGATGGATCCTTTTGCCCTCTTTTTATCACTACTACTTGACAGGTCAGATGGAATATGTCCAAGTGCTTAGTGTTGTACGGAGGCGTAGTATATATGTGACCTATATCAAGCAGATGCAATTTTTGACAAATATAAATAATTCAATAGTACACATGGGGTCGTTTGGTATAGCAAATTATCATGAACTAGACTAAATATTAAGATTGTCTTGAATTGGCTTGTCCTGTTATAAGTTAAATAACACTTGTACTATCTTTGGTATATGTTTCATAGAGGACTAAAATTTTTTATAAAAAGCAACTCTTTTTGGTGAAAAGTAAGTTTTTAAAATATTTTTTTGACTTTTCTTCTCTCTCTCTTTCCTCTCTTTCATCTTCTTCCCCTCTGCATCTATTTCATCTTCTTCTATGCACCTACTTCATCATCTTCTTCTCTATCCTCTCTCCTCTTCTTCTGTCTACTTTTCTCTTTATTTTTATTTTTTAAGAAAATTTTCTCTTCTCTTTCTCTCTTATTCATCTTCTATTTTGTTTTCTCCTTCTTTTCTCTATTTTTTTTTTCCGAAAATTTTATCTTCTCTCTTCTCTTATCTCCTCTTCCTCTTCTATCTTGTCAATTCCTTCTTGGGTGGTTGTGGCTGGTGGTCGTGGCTAGTAGTTGTGTCTCGTGATTGTGGCTGGTGGTTGTGGCTGCCACTTGGGGGTCGGTGGTTGGTGGGGAGTACACCCAATACACTCTAAAACATTTGAGCCAATAACAATACTCATATTCTTGCTCGCAAACAATTATCAAAAGGGATCTAAAACAAATGTACGAAGCAACTATCATAAACAAAAAGAGGAAACAACAAGAAGATAAGAGAAACTTACGAACTCTTCTTGTGGCTAGCACACCCAATAGGAAATAGAGACAAATATAAGGCAAACACCGAATTATCAAAAAGAGGCAAGATAAAACTAAAGTAGTTGCATGCAGCACCATAGAAGCATACGAAAAAGGAGAATTTATTCTCTCTTTAAGAGCAAAAGGACGTGTCTTTGGTGAAATACAAAATGGGGCGGATGTCAGGCCACGCCACACAATAGAAGCCACAAAACCACACTTGGTTTGGTATATCATAATTTTCAAGTTTTAAAAGTGGGGGATCACCGTACCGGTAAATAAATGTCACCACTGGATTGGTAATCAATTCGTTCAAGGCTTATGTACTAATTATAGGTAAATGTCACCATTGGATTCGTTCAACGCCGTACGATTACTACTTACCACCAAACCATAGCATTATAGACTTGATCAGTCTAATGAATTTGACTTGATCACTCATGTGAATGACTGACTTACTTTCGTACACTACACCAGAACACATCTATTACGGACGCAAGTAGTCTAAGCCCTCATTGTAAATAGTGTTCCTTAATCACGGCATACATAAACGTCGTAATAAAAACTTAAGACAACGTTTCCTGTGAGCCGTAATTTAGTTGAAACAATTACGACACGCTTTGGGCCCCTTAAAAGAATAATTACGGTGTGTTCCATGCATCTTCTTAAATGACTAATTATGGCATAGAATGCACGCCATAAAAAAGTAATTAATTATCATTTAAGATGTTCAGTGCACGATGTGTTTAACTTTAATTTTTTTTTAAAAAATTATTAATTCCCTACTCCTGTTTCATATTTACAATATACTTATATCATCTATTACTTCCCTAGATACAAAATTTAGATTTGGATTGAAGGTTGACATATTTACAATATAAAAATATCATTTTGCCCCTGCATTGAATAGAAAAAGTTAACAAAATTGACGGCATGAGCATTTGTCATAACGAAAGTGAAGTTGAAGGACCACGAGAATGATTTTGAAAATTGAGGAACTCAAATGCAAATCATGTCTAAATTCAAGAACTAATAAAATGATTAAACCCCCCTTATTTTTCTAACACCATGATAACCAAATCTTGCGTACTTCTTCTATAAAAATTCATATACATTACAGGACATGATTTCTTCTAGTTATTAAATACTGACATAAAATAAAACCTTGCATGATATGCGTGGGAACATTATATATTTAGAATCGACAAAATATATATATATATATATATATCAGTGTTTTCAAAGGCATGCCTTCGCGCGATTCGAAGCGCGCGTCGGAGCGAGGCGGGAGGAAAACGCCCGAGGCGGTCGGCTGTTTCGCGAGTTGCACGTTTAGCGTTGGGAAGGCGTGAGAAGGCGTTGCAAGGCGTGGCCAGCCAGAGTGAAGCATTGCAAGGCGCACCTGGAAACTTCTGAACCAGAAGAAATTTTTCAGTCTGCAACTCGTCTGCGAGGAAGACGGCGTCGCGAGGAAGACGACTCCCTTTTTTTTTAGGTTTATTGTAATGAAACGACGTCGTTTGATTGTAGTGTTGAAAAAAAATCTTAAAGTGAAAACGACGTCGTTTCACTGGTGTTGGAAAAAAACACGCTGTTTCAGTTTTTTTATTTTAAAAACGCTGTTTTTTTTTTTTTTTTAACACTTTTTTCATTTTTTTAACTTATCTTTTTAATATTGTAAAAATTTTTTTTTATTTATATAAAACAATTTATTATTTATTTAATATTATTTTTTTTTTCTACCTTTTTTTTTTTTTTTTTTTTTTTTTTTTTTTCTCTTCTTCTAAATTAATAATATTAACACATGGACTATATATATATATATATATATATATATTGTATAGTACATATAGAACCCTAATTTCTACCCTTAGCAGATAACTCCATCAATTTCAAGAATTCTCTTCATCTTTCGACTGCAAGTAAGTCATTTGTTTTTGTATGTACATGCATCATACTTGTATAATTTGACTGTAATAAATTGTAATTTGAAGTTCCGTACAATTTTTTTCAATTTTATTTATTTATAAATATACTAGTTATCTTATTCGTTTATGTGATATAATAGAAATATGACGTACATGCATCATACTTATATCTTAGAAATATTAATGGTATTGTTTTATAGCTATGATATTAGTGTTGAGGAGTGGGATGAGTGAATTATGCTTTTGTTTTGATGTTGAATAAATATTTTATGTTTTGAAATTGATTATTATGCTTTGAATGACAATTAGTACTTATGTTTGATTATATTTAAAAGACTGTTATGATTGAATAAGAATTAGTTGTACAATTTAATCGTATTGTATTATTCATAAATTTTTTTTATTAAAATAAATTAATGTTCAAAAGGCTTACGCCTCAACGCTTCAAGGCTTACGCCTCGCATAGCACTACTAAAAACGCCTCGCCTATACGCCTCGCCTTTGAAAACATTGATATATATATATATATATAGAATGTGATTATTAAATCAAAATTCTTCGACGCCACATGCTTACCACTCCACTCAGAATTATTCCATCTCACCTGCTAATTGAGTCTTAATAGTTAAATCAAAGTGATGTAAAGGCGACCCATATTTAAATAATAATAAAAAGTTCCCATGACAAATATAATTACAATGAAAAAAATAGGATGAAAAACCAGAAGCATTTTGTCTGCTTTTATTTCATCTGCCTTTTGACTAAGCAAACCCATGTATAAGACAAGTTACAGAAAACGTTGACAAATGAACTGAGTGATCTTGTTGCTTCTTCTTTGCCATCGAAGTCATCACTGATTGCCTGAATCTTTCTAGAAGAAAAGGCAGTTTTGAAGTAGAGAATCAAAGAAGGGTTTCGAGTCAGCTGAGGCACAGGAAGCCAATCTTTCTAGAAGAAAAGGCGACGTTCACAAAGTTAATTATTAAGAGAAGCAATGAAGTCCCAAATTATGGATGAGGAGGCTTCAAGCTTTAAGGGTTTTGAAGACCTTTAGCAATAGCAAATAGAGAAGCAAAAACCTGCATGTTATGTTTGTCTAAGACCAACCCAACATCAACAACCCCAGCATCAGTCTTGGCATCTGAAAAGGAGATAGCTCTGGTTCTATCTATGGAAACAATCTCAACCTTCTTTGGTCTTCCCCATCCAAAATTAGTCTCATAAACACCAAACCGATGTAACCGGCAAGCGTAAGCATTCTCTCACTAGTCACAGCAAACATTCTTGAAATCCAATTCTCTGCCCCATCCAACACCCCCTTCTCCAAACTCTTTATAGCTTCACTGATTGCGTTCACAGCCACAACCACCTAGGCCATTCCCGGTAGGGATGGTTCTCACTCCATGACTCCTCCACTTCACCGAGGCATTATGGGTCGGACCACACTGAGGCCATTATTGCTCAGTGATGACTATCTCAAACTCTATGGTGCTCTGCTCGGCATGAATAATTTCTCCATGACTGCTCCTCATTTGTCCAGCACCAAATACCACCTAGCACCAAGCACGACTTGCCTCTAAACCTGGCTTGAGCAAGATATCAAACATATGACAACTACTCCGCTTCGCCAAACCCTTTTATGGACTTGTAAAGTCCCCAGCCAAGGAACTACTCTTAGACTGCGGACTTGGGGGCTTGTTGACGCACAGTTCTGACCAAGGCCGACATTGCTTTTGGGCCTCACCATTACGGGCCCAAGGGTCTCATTATGCCCAGGCCTATTGCCAAAGTCGGTTGGGAAAGGCCTATAAGAGGCAAAGGGGCTGATCACTCTCTCACTCTCTCCAGGACACTCGGCTGAGAACCAGCAACTCTCTGCTCCTCTCCCAAGCTCCCTCTTTCTTATTTACTAAGGCTCTCAAGCCTATCCCAATGTAATACAACTCTCTACACATATATATACAACTATTAAACCAGTGGATGTAGCCCGAATTTATGGGTAAACCACTCTATCATTACGTTTTACCAATATAATTGCGATATCACGACTATTCGATTTATATGGGTTCAACACTGAACATTATGTGCGACATTGGTTTGTAATAAAAGTTGGCATAATGAGTTGTCAAGTACTTTGATATTATGAATAAGTCCCACTGTAATGAGTCGTCAACTTCTCCTTTATTCGTTGAGAATTGGAGACGGAGACAAGAGAATCTGAGTCACACATGTTGTTGCAGCTTTTTCTTCCACAAATTGACTTGCACTAAGTTCGAGTTCCATTTTTATAAATTAGACTAATTTATAATCATTTATACTATCGTTTGTCAAATAAAAAAAAAAAAAAAAAAAAAAAAAAAAAAAGAATTGTTCTACGGCTCTTCCTTTAACAAATTAACACCAATTTCATGCGTGGATTCAAAGGTCTTGAAGCCCTTTAGCAAACACAGAAGCAAAAGATTGCATATGATTTTCACAAAGTGAACTCCGAAGTTATTACTCCCCAAAATATAAAGTGGAGAAAGAAAATTCTGTTGAAACCAAGCATACTAGTATATTGACGAGGCTTCAAGCTTCAAGGATTTTGAAGACCTTTAGCAAATAGAGAAGCAAAAACCTGCATGCTATGTTTGTCTAAGACCAACCCAACATCAACAACCCCAGCATCAGTCTTGGCATCTGAAAAGGAGATCGCTCTGGTTCTATCTATGGAAACAATCTCAACCTTCTTTGGTCTTCCCCATCCAAAATCAGTCTCATAAACACCAAACCGATGTGAACCGGCAAGCGTAAGCATTCTCTCACTAGTCACAGCAAACATTCTTGAAATCCAATTCTCTGCCCCATCCAACACCCCCTTCTCCAAACTCTTTATAGCTTCACTGATTGCATTCACAGCCACAACCAACCCATCTTCTCCAAACAAGGCTTTTGTTTCGGCAACTGCTGTACGTCCCGCTATGCAGTTCCCAAAATAGTTTGGAGATACAGGAGGATCCAAGCGAGACCTGCAGTCCACGTTAAAAACCAGACTTGTTTGGTCACTGTTTCTTTCCTCTGCCTTGACTATGCAAACCCATGTATAGGCACATGCTAGAGTGAAAGTTGACACATGAACTGAACGAATATCTTGTTGTTTCTGCTCTGCCAATTTAGCCTTCAACAATTGCCTCAGTGTTTCTATATCTGCTCTTGTGAATTCAAAGGTGCCTCGGATAGAGCCCGGTGGGGGATTCCTCTCCCAAAACATTAAGCTTCTATTGTTGGGACCGTCCTTATTTCGATAGGAGTTCGAGTAGAGTACTCCGAGCTGAGCTGGATCCTGAATGACCCTTCTGTCATAAAATTGTTTCAGCTGATCAGGTAGCACTGAATTAGATTGATCATCATGTTTGCAAATGTGAGCCCAAGATTTCACAAACAAAGTTGAAGTCTTGCCATCTACAATTGCGTGGTGCATGGAAGTTCCAATGGAAAAGCCACAGTTGGGAAAGACAGTGATTTGCAATGCCACCACTGCAGCTTGTTCATGAGAAGCTCCCAACTGGGGTACAAGAGGATAGTACTCTGTGGCTTCAACGAAGTCACCACTTGAAAGATGGTAGAAGTGAGCATTAGACTCTGCTATCGTGAGTGAAATGGCGTCGCCTTGGACATAGCTAAGAACGGGCTTTTGGGAGTCTTGAGGCCAAGTGAGGTTTCCTGCTAGAGGTAGAAAGTGCTGGAGGGCGTTAGAGAGTGAGGTTTTGAGTTTGGGGATAAGTACGGAATCAAAGAAGAGTGGTGTTGCAGAGGAAGTAGGCATTTGGTAGAAATAAAGGCGCTGGACCGGCCCAAACCTTAACCAACGGATGTCGAAGAAGGTAAGGGGAAGGGAGCTCGGGGAAGAGAATGCCCCGGGTGAGGGTGGAGGAGGAGGAGCCACCCTGCAAACTTCAACTACTTTAACTGAGCTTGGGTTTGCCATTGCCAATTGGAGATGGAAGTTAGAAGCTTGAGTTATTCTGATCTTTTTGCCCCTTTTTATCACACTACTAGACAGTGCAGATGGAGTAGTGTTGTACGGAGGCGTAGTAGATATGTGACCTATATCAAGCAGAGGAAAAATGTGACAAATATAAACAAACCAACAATTCACTGAGATTTATACTAGTTGGCGTATCCACAAACCCAAATACACCCAATACACTCACAAACTGGCAAACAAATAGCAAAAGAGATCTAAAACAATTGTGCGAAGCAACTCATAAACAAAAAGAGGAAACAACAAGAAGAGAAGAGAAACTTACGAACTCTTCTTTTTGCTCACAAAGTTGCTAGCACACCCAATAGGAAATAAAGAGTTACAAATGTAAGGCAAACACCGAATGATCAAAATAGGAGAGATAAAACTAAAGTTGTTATATGCAGCACCACAGAAGCATACTAAAAAGGAGAATTTATTCTCTCTTAAAGAGCAAAGGGAAAAGAGAATTTAGTGAGGTAGCCTATTAGAAGCCACAAAACCACATGGGTAAAAGTGAACACTTGGTTTGGTATATCATTTTCAAGTTTTAAAAGTGGGTACATACGATTTGTAAGAGAAACTAAATTGAGGATGAATTGAATTGAGGAGGAGTTTGATTGAGGAGAATTAAATTGGATTCTTATTGAAGTTGTTTACTAAACCATATAGATTGAGGGGAGTTAAATTTCGGATTCCTATTGAAATTGTTTACTAAATCATATGGAATTAGGGTATGAGTGGTTTTAATTACTAAAATCTCCTTGTTGTTAGGTTAAAGTAGATGACAAATTTGGAATTTTAAAAATTGTGTGAGGATATAATGAGTAAAAAAGATGAATTTCTAATGAGTTAGTTCTCCATGAATTAGAATATCACCTCCCACTCAAGAATTGAATTCCTCCAAAATTAAGAATTCAATTCCTAATTATTATTTTTAACAACCCACAAATTCTCAAATTTTTAAGATTTGAAAACATTTTTTAAGTTGCATACCAAACAACTTTTTGAATCTTAAAAATAGATTTAAGAACTCCTTGTTTTTAAGAAAAATCAAAGTTTTTGAGTTCCCTATTTGAATAAGATACCAAACGCCCCCTAAAACTCTTTCCTCTAGCTTCTCTAAGGTGTGCTGGAAGTGGGCTCCTCATAGTATAAATCGTGCGGCTCACTTGGCTGCAAAGATAGGATCGCGAGCAGTGGAACTTGAGTGTTGGGTCGAGAGACCGCCACCCTCTCTAGTTGGTGCGTTGGTGTCTGACGGCCTGCCTTGGCCCCCAACTTTTTGATTTTTCGTCTGAGTTCCTAGTGTGTTCTCTGTGGCCCTGCTTACACCTTGGTTTAGTTTATGGTGTTTACTTTCCCTTTGTTTTTATATGCCTCTGTTTAGGGACAGAGTTTATGAGGTTTCTATGAAAGTCAATTGAACCAAAAAAACAAAAAAAAAAGTCGTCAATTACTCTATTCATTGAAAACAGATATTTATCTTTCTTTATTCTTTTTCCTTTTCCGTCTTCTTCCTCTCTCTCTCTCTCATTTTTCCTTCATATTCTTCTCCCCCTCTCTCTTTCTTTCAAGAATCCGATTCAAAGTAGGCGTTGTCTTCTTCCCCAAGTGCACAACACCTTATATGCAACACAGATGCACAGACATGAAAGTCCATTCTAATACCGCCTCCCTCCCCTTCCTCGTTTGCAGGTAACAAAAATCAGCAAAAGAAATTGATAGCCAAACCAAATCAATGGACACTAAGCAAACACCCACGGTCAAATAAAAACAACCCAATCACCCATAAAAATCATCCAGTCTCTGAATACCCAAACACTGTGAATGCAATCCCTAAACCCCATTGACCCAATCAAGAACAAGTAGGTGGCAATGAAGATGAAAACATATCTTAATTCTGATTATATGTTTATTTACATGGACGAACCATTGACATTCACTCGAAAACCTTGTGGATGTGGGATTGCAGACACAGAGTCTTGGGAGGAAGGGGCTGGGGAAGACGTTGCCTTCCCTATTTTATTTTATTTTTTCATTTTTGTAGTTTTAACAATTTAATTATTTTAAACTATAAATAAATAAATTTTAATTAAATAGTGAATCACGTGCCTAACATGTGACATTTAGATGAAAACTAATGGTATGGGCTAAATTGACCATTTAAAATAATATGATAGCTAAATTGGCTGAATAAATAATTCAAGGTGCTAAGTTCGATAATTGAAATAGTTTAGGGGTATTCCACAGTCTTCCCTAACACAAGCTAGTCTTTTTATAATTTTTTTACAACAACCTTCTTAAATAAATAAATACGTCAGTATTTTTTGGTTGAAAAAAAACGTCTTGTTTTTTTTCTCTAGAGAAATGAAACTCCTATTTTCTCTTTGTTTCTATTGGTCATTGACAATGGCTATGTAAACATCACATGTGCAGCTTCCGCCTTTAGACAAGTTTCACTGTTTTCGTGCAAAATAATCATCCTTCAAGCATGGTTAACTCTCAATTAATAGTGGTCTAATTTCTTTTGTGTCTAAAAAACAAACGTTCTCTCTTTGAAAGAAAAACATACATTCTAAAATATAAAAAATTGACGTTTGTTCTTATTTAATTTTTTAACAAGGTGGTATAATAGTTACCAAAAAAAAATGAAGGAAACAAAAAAGCTAATACATTTAATAAGGGTAAATTTGAAAAACAAAAAGTAGCTAGTGTGGTGCATTAATAACATTGTTTTAAGTGTAAGGAAATCAATGCATGTCATGAGAAGAAAGGAAAATGTCCCAAAAAAAAAAAGGTTAGAAAGAAAATTGCTAACATTCTTCAATAGGCAAATAACCTAAGAGCATCTCCAAAGGAGATGTCAAATACCAAACATCAAATTTAAATTTTATGGCTGATATGGCAATTTGACATCTTAGAGCATCTCCAACCGATGTGTCAAACGTGTCACATAGACATTTAACAGCTATAAATAACATCTCATATCACTCCAACTGATGTGTCAAAGCTGATGTGGAATGAAGGCTGGAGGTTGAGATGTTATTTTTGACATCCCAAAAGCAATATGTCAAATGAATATTTTATTATTTTTTCTTTTCTTTTCTTTTTAACTAAAAATGAATCAACACTAAAATGTAATAAAATAATAATTTAATTTGACTTATCGAGTGGAGTGTAAAGCTGTGTAAGATGTCAAATTACCACATCAGCCATCAAATTTAAATTTGATGTTTGGTATTTGACATCTCTCTTGGAGATGCTCTTATACACATTTACACTCCACCCGATATGTCAAATTAAATTATTATTTTATTATATTTTAGTGTTGATTCATTATTAATTAATAAGAAAAGAAAAGAAAAAATAATAAAATATTTATTTGACATCTTGCTTTTGGGATGTAAAAAATAACATATTAACCTCTAGCTTTCATTCTACATCAGCTTTGACACATCGGTTGGAGTGATGTGAGATGTTAATTATAACTGTTAAATATCTATGTGGCACGTTTGACATATCGGTTGGAGATGCTCTAAGCTTGCCGACAATAAGAGAAAAACAAAAAACAAAGCAAATGAACAATTTTAGAGAATTTTCTTCTCTCTAGCTGAATGATTTCTTGCTAGTTTCTCTCCCAATTCTCATTTTTTTATTTTTCTAGACTGTTACTCTTTTCAAAGCCAAAGAATGAGTGGCTGTTCAAAGAACCCTACTGATGGAGGCATCCAGTCGAGTCAGAAGACCAGCCATCTTTGCTAGCCTTTGTTGTCCCCAACGTGATGGTGCCAATTTCCCTTGCAATTTATCTGCCAATCAACCATATATAAAGCTGCCGACAGCAACTATGCATGGGGTGCATTATTGAGTCAAATAGTCAACAGAGAATATTTAAATCGAGATTGTTTAAATAGCATTAAAGAGCGGTCACGCACGCAACTTCTTTTGCTTAAAATAATAAACAAAATGAGAGAGCTGTTCTAATGCTTTTCCTTTTGTAGTTGTAATTTGGCCCAACAAAATGAGAGAGAAAAAATGAACATTGATCAAATTATTCATCCCCCAAAAACAACGCGAAAACATTAAGGGCCCGTTCGGTATCATTTTCAAGGGCCATTTTCTGTTTTTGTTTTCTGTTTTCATGTGAAAACGTGTTCGGTGGGTTGTTTTGAGAAACAAGCTGAAATTGTTTTCTGGGAATGAAAATGAAAGTACGAGTAAATGTTGAAAACGCCAGAAAGTCGTTTTTGTTTTCGGCGTTTTTGTTTTCAGTCTCTCCGAATCAAAGCCAACTCTCCTCCGTCACTTGAGCAAACAATCCAATCAAATTGTATCCAAAACAATCAAATCTCCTCCTTCCAACCATAATCAGCCCCAAAATTTCTAGAAAAAAAAACTCATAATCACACAAATCTGCAACTAAGAAAAAAAGACAGAGAGGAAGAAGAAAAGAACAAAAAGGGGAAGAAGAAGAAGAGAAAGAATCAGAAAGAGGGAGAAGAAGGGAAAGGGAAAAAAGAGAGAGAGAGAGAGAGAGAGAGAGAGAGAGTTGCAGAGGGAGAGATGAGAGAAACCAGCCACCACATACCCAGCTCAACCACCATCACCACCCAATCTAACCATCACAACCATTAATTAGTGGAACCGGAGAGATGGGTTGATGGGATTCGTGTAATGGAAGGAAGGAGGAGTGAGAGTGAAAAAGAAGGAAGGAAGAAGAAGAGAGAAAGTAGAGAAGAGGAAGAAGGAAACAAAAGGAACGGGTCTGGGAAGGAAAGAGGAAGAAAAGAGGAAGAAAGAAAGAAAGAAAAGGAGAAAAAGGAGAAAAGAAAAAAGAAAAAAGATAGTTTTATCTTTTAAAAAACAATAGAATTTTTCATTTGTTAAATTATACATTTTAAAAAATATTTTTCAAAACAGAAATTAGCAAAAATACCCTTGAAAAATAATTCACATAATATTATTCTCAATTTGTACTACCAAACATATTTTCATTGTTTATAATAATTTTAGCCTCTAAAAATATAAGAATTTTTAAAAAAGTAGAACTAAAATTAGCAAAAATACACATGAAAAACAATTGTACTACCAGACACGTTTTATTGTTTTTGTTTTCTAAAGATGTTTTCTAATTATCTACCAGACGCATTTTCATTTCCTAAAAATACAAATTTGTTTTCTTGTTTTCATTCTCTGAAAATATTCTCAGAAAACATTCTCCGAAAACGTTACCAGACGGGCCCTAAAACTCTGCAACAAACTGACACCAATTTCATGCGTGGATTCAAAGGTCTTGAAACCCTTTAGTAAACACAAAAGCAAAAGCTTGCATATCATGTTTTTCCAAAACCAAACCAACCTCAACATCTCCAGCAATACCATCCCTAGACTCTGCCAGGGACATGGCTCCTGTCTCTTCGATAGAAACCACCTCCACCTTGCTTGGCCTTCCCCATCCAAAATCTGTATCATAAATCCCAAACCTTGGTGAACCAGCAACACCCATAAATCTCTCTTCACTGCCCACAGCAGTGTAAAGTTTTGGAACCCAAGTCTCTGCCCCATTCAAAATCCCATCACTGTCCGCACTTTTTATAGCTTCACTGATTTCGTTGACCGCCACGGTCAACCCATCTTCTCCTAGAAGCCCTTTTCTATCTGCAACTACTGCACGGCCCGCTATGCAGTTCCCAAAGTAGTTCGCAAGTAGGGGAGGGTCAAAGCGAGACCTGCAGTCCAGAGTGAAGGCCATCAAAACTGGCTTATCGCTCTGCTTTTCCTCTGCCTTGGCTAAGCAAACCCATGTATAAGCACATGTTACAGAAAATGTTGACAAATGAGGATGATGATCAGATTGTTTTTCATTCTTGATCATCTCTGCCATTTTGGTCGAAACCCATTGCTTCATTGCTTCTATTTCCGGTCGTGTGATTACAAAGATGCCGCGAACCGCATCTGATGGTGGAGATTTAAACTGGGTAACCATCAAGCTCCTGTTGTTGGGTCCGTCCAGATTCTGAAGTTGGTTCAAGAAGATTGGTTCGAGCCCGGCCGGGTCTTGGACCACCCTTCTGTCAAAAAATGGTTTCAGCTGATCTGGTAGAGATGAACCAGATGGATCATCACCAAGATGTTTGCAAATGTGAGCCCATGATTTCACAAACATGGTTGAAGACTTGCCGTCTAGGATGGCATGGTGCATGGATGTTCCAATGGAGAAGCCGTTGCCACTGGGGAAGACGGTGACTTGGAACGCCACGGCTGCGGCCTTTTCGTGAGATGTTGGCAATTGGGGTACGAGAGGATGGTACTCTTTGGCCTCAACAAAGTTGCTACGACTTGAAAGATGATGGAAATCAGCATGAGACTCGGCAATGGTGAGCGAAACGGCGTCCCCTTGGACATAAGTGAGAACTGGTTTAGGGGAGTGTTGGGGCCAAGTGATGTTTCCTGCTAAAGGTCGGAAGTGTTGGAGGGCGATGGAGAGCGAGGCTTTGAGTTTTGAAAAGAGTGTGGTGGTTTCAGAGTTTGAGATTTCATAGAAGAAAAGGCGTTGGACGGGTGAAAATCTGAGCCAGAGTAAATCAAACAAGGTTAGAGGAAGGGCTTCAGTGTGGCTGAGTAATCTTCTGGTCAGCTTGGCTGTGGAGCAACCTTGCAAACCTCAACCACTCTGACTGAGTTTAGGTCTGACATTGGGGATGGATCATGGAAGCAAAGTTGAATAAAGGGTTTAATATAATGGGTTTCTTAGATCTAGGTACAAAATGATTAGTTGTTATTGTGTTTAATACACTGGTTTTTTATTTTTACCTTTTGAGGTAAATAAGAAAAACACATTTAAAATCTAAATTTAATGCATTATTTTATTGTGATTGAATTTCTTAATTTAAATTTTGAATTCTTTCCTTGATAATATTTACCTAATATATGGATAAAATACAATTTAATCAATGAAAAGTAAAGACCCACATATTATACCAATCGACATACAAGCACCCACATGAAATTATGTACTGGACATACAGGTAAATAGTGTTATTATTAACAATGGAAAAAACTAAGTGATAAATAATGTTATCTATAAGTTAGGAACCTAAATTAAAAGACTGCATATAAGTTATGAACATAAATTAGAAGACTACCTATAAATTAGATACAAAAATAGACAAATAAAAATTGTATGTTACCTATAAAAAAAACATTGTCGAAAATATGAAAAAACATATATATACCTTTGCAATAGGCAATAGAACAATATACTTATATATCTACAAGAGTACCTCTACCATAGGGTGAACAAAAATAAAAATTGTTACCTATAAGTATAACTCCTATACTAAACGATCTGTGTTGCAAACTGATATGGTTTTTCCTTGCATGCTTCACATGATCTGATTTTTCCTTGCATGTTGAAGTAGTCAGGGATTTCTGTTTGCAAACTGATCTTGTTTTTCCTTGCATGCTTCAATTGGAAACCGTAGAAATGCGTAGGTAGTTGTTTTAGAGGGAAATGTCGTTTTGGATCATTATTGATCCTTCTAGCCGCAAGAAGATCAAGTTCTCTCTCTCAAGTTGAACCCTTTGTGTCTTACATTATAAATTTAGCAAATGAATGTGTTGGTTCGTCACAAATCTCATGGCCTGGTGCTCCGGGCCGAGGGGATGCGCGTCAACACGTGACATCCTCATTTTGGATGCGGTGCGGTTGTGCACGGGCATGCCAGCACGGTCTACCGTGCGTCGAGATGATGATGAGGTTCGAGTAGAAGATTGTTTAAATGTTGCGCATGTTTTGCGTTCGACTCCTAATCAAACGATTGTGGCCGAGTGAGGAACGAATCTCGGCCGTCAAGTTCACGACCTGAGCTACAAGGCCGTTTAGTGGTAGTGTTGGTGGTGGGTTTTAGGCGGTGCTCCGGCGCGTTGCTCAGAAAGCGACGGTCGTATGATATATGAGGTGAGTGAGGCGATAATAGAGATGGTGCTCCGGCGCCTTGAAAATCAAGGGTTGTATGATATATTGATGAATGGATTTTTCCTTACAGTCTACCACTACTCCTAAGAAAGCAAATAAAGGTATTGAAAGTGCATTACATGAAAATATAATTTGCTCCGTGGGAGGCTTTTGGTTTTGGTGTTTGAACCCTTTGAATGTAGTCCTGAGCTTAGTATTTATAGGAGTCCTGGAGGGACATTCGAGGCTGACAAGACCTGCGTGGTGGAGCCTGGCCGGGCAAGTGGGTAGTCAAATCGGCATTTGGGATCGTGAAACATGGTTGCCTAGGGTTGAGAAGCATGGTAGTGTGACCCCCATAAATCTCGGCAAATCTCGGCCACCGCCCTGATCGTGGGTTCTCCCTCTTGGCCGTGGGAACGCATTTAATGCCCTGGACTGGTGGTTGATGATCTGACCCTAAGTCGTAAGATTACTTGTGAGAATGTCTGCGCCTAACCACCCTGATTCCCATCACCAAATCCTAACTTCAGTCACTTCCCTCGTGCATTGAATGCTTCTTGTGACTAGTGGGTTTTGCTGCGAAGTCAGAGACCTTACTTCATTAAATGGAGCGTGGGGTCCTGAGGTCACATGGCGATTCAACCACAGCTTTTCAGAAAGTGTCTTTTGAGGCCTTCGGCCTCGGCTTTCAAAACTGTGGTCGCGAGGCCGAGGGGATTCTGCCTTTGCAGCTTTTCTCTTCCTCTTAGGAGGGCGGAATGCTTGACGAAACAATAGGCGCCAGAGCCGAAGGGAAGTCCCTTTAATCAGTTCATGACCGTGTTTTATTAGGCACAAACAGAATGTCATCATCCATCACTACCTCTCTTTGATATGCTCTTGTGTGTGATGTATATAGACGTACTGAAAGTTCCACAATCAAATGTTTTGGTCGACAATGTATAATAGTTTGTAACAACGTGATTTTTGGGATATGTTTGCCATTTTTTTTTCCTTTTCTATTCAATGACAAACGTTATAAATGGCTAATTATTATCACATAAATTACTATTACCCGATTCAAAACATAAGGGGCAACATTGGAACAAAAAATTATTTTAAAAAATAAAAAATATAAATATTACATCATAAAATATTAAAAAAGGAATGTAATCTTATATGTCACAAAAGTCAAAGGACTTGTATCAAAGTCATCAAATCTAAGGATTAAACTCAACTTCTCAATGAAAATTTGGATTTATATCAACTTTTCTATACATTTTTTTTGATATATTCAACGGTTCACTCACTCTTGCATTCCTTTTAAGAAACTTTTTTGAACCATTGGATTAATATCCAACGATGAGTGACCACAAACTCTTGGACTCCTGTGATCCAAGAGATCGGGACTGATATTATATATATATATATATCTAAATTATAGGTAACATATTCTTTTAACAAAAAAAAAAGTTATTAATTGACTTGTGTTTTTACATACATGAGATATAGGTACCACACTTTTTTGCCTTTTTGTTTATGAATCTAAGTTATAGGTAAATACGCTTTACCACTTATCTTTTTTATGTACCAGATATATAGGTAGCATATATTGTCCGACTTATGTTTTTATGCACCTAAGTTATAGGTAATTTAATATTTTGCTTGTTTTTTTTTCCACCTTATTTATTGGTAAGATTTTTTGTGGTTTTTTCAGCCTATGATGTAGATATATTATCCCATGGTATAGATATATTGTCCTATTGTCCATCGCAAGGTATAATATGTGGGTCTTACATTTATTGATTAAATGGTATATATTAGGTAAATATTATTAAGGAAAGAATTCAAAATTCAATTACAAGGAAATTATGCATTAAATTTAGATTTTCAATATGTTTTTTTTATTTACCTCAAAGGGTAAATTTGACACAATAAAAAAAGTAAATAAAGTCAAAAGACCTACATTTAAAACTAAAAACGCGTGGACTAAATCCAATATCAGCTAATCATTTTGGACCTAAATTAAAGAACCCCTAAAAAGTAAAAGGAGCTAATTTCCCCACTCTCATTGGTCATTGACAATGGCTATGTAAACATCACATGTCCAGCTTCCGCCATTAGACAAGTTTAACTGTTTTAGTGCAAAAGAATCATCCTCCGAGCATGGTTAACTATCAATCAATAGTGGTCTAAATTCTTGTGTGTTAAAAAAATAGACAACGGGTGGAGGCATCCGAACAAGTCAGAAGACCAGCCATCTTTGCTAGCCCTTGTACCCCACGTGACGGTGCCAATTTCCCTTGCACTTTATCTGGCAATCGACCAAATATAAAGCTGCCGAAAGCAACTTCGTATTTAAATCAAGATTGTTTAAATAGCAATACAGAGCGGTCACGCACGCCACATGCTACCAACTCCTCCGCTGAAAATGATTCCCGTCCTCATCTGCTAAATAGTTAATTATTTATAGTTGGTTGCTACTTGAATCTCAAGTGTTATCCAAAGTTTTCATGGCAGCCCATCTTTTCTCTGTCTTCCTTTCGTTCCGGTTTCTCCTCCATCTCTTGAATACTACAAACAATTATCTCAAGGCATGAGAATCACTTCTTCTGTTCAAAATAATAAACCTGAACAATGCTTGCGAGTCGCGACATTGGTTTGTAATAAAACTTGGCTCTTCCTTTTGTAAATGAGAGAAACAGAGGACCATTGCGAACAAACATACCAAATAACAACAAAAAAATGAACATCGATCAAATTATTCATCCCCCAAAAACAAAGCGAAAACATTGAAACTCTGAAACAAATTAACACCAATTTCATGCGTGGATTCAAAGGTCTTGAAGCCCTTTAGCAAACACAGAAGCAAAAGCTTGCATATGATGTTTTTCCAAAACCAAACCAACCTCAACATCTCCAGCAATACCATCCCTACACTCTGCCAGGGACATGGCTCCTGTCTCTTCGATCGAAACCACCTCAACCTTGCTTGGCCTTCCCCATCCAAAATCTGTATCATAAATCCCAAACCTTGGTGAACCAGCAACACCCATAAATCTCTCTTCACTGCTCACAGCAGGGTAAAGTATTTGAACCCAAGTCTCTGCCCCATTCAAAATCCCATCACTGTCCACACTTTTTATAGCTTCACTGATTTCGTTGACCGCCACGGTCAACCCATCTTCTCCTAGAAGCCCTTTTCTATCTGCAACTACTGAACGGCCCGCTATGCAGTTCCCAAAGTAGTTTGCAGGTATGGGAGGGTCAAGGCGAGACCTGCAGTCCAGACTGAAGGCCATCAAAACTGGCTTATCGCTCTGCTTTTCCTCTGCCTTGGCTAAGCAAACACATGTGTAAGCATATGTTACAGAAAATGTTGACAAATGAGGACGATCAGATTGTTTTTCATTCTTGATCATCTCTGCCATTTTGGTCGAAACCCATTGCTTCATTGCTTCTATTTCGGGTCGTGTGATTACAAAGATGCCGCGAACCGCGTCTGGTGGTGGAGATTTAAACTGGGTAACCATCAAGCTCCTGTTGTTGGGTCCGTCCAGATTCTGAAGTTGGTTCAAGAAGATTGGTTCGAGCCCGGCCGGGTCCTGGACAACCCTTCTGTCAAAAAATGGTTTCAGCTGATCTGGTAGAGCTGAACCAGATGGATCATCACCAAGATGTTTGCAAATGTGAGCCCATGATTTCACAAACATGGTTGAAGACTTGCCGTCTAGGATGGCATGGTGCATGGATGTTCCAATGGAGAAGCCGTTGCCGTTGGGGAAGACGGTGACTTGGAACGCCACGGCTGCGGCCTTTTCGTGAGATATTGGCAATTGGGGTACGAGAGGATGGTACTCTTTGGCCTCAACAAACTTGCTACGACTTGAAAGATGATGGAAATCAGCATGAGACTCAGCAATGGTGAGCGAAACGGCGTCCCCTTGGACATAAGTGAGAACTGGTTTGGGGGAGTGCTGGGGCCAAGTGATGTTTCCTGCTAGAGGTCGGAAGTGTTGGAGGGCGATGGAGAGCGAGGCTTTGAGTTTTGAAACGAGTGTGGTGGTTTCGAAGGAGTTTGAGATTTGATAGAAGAAAAGGCGTTGGACGGGTGCAAATCTGAGCCAGAGTATATCAAACAAGGTTAGAGGAAGGGCGTCAGGTGTGGCTGAGTGATCTTCTGGTGAGCTTGGCTGTGGAGCAACCTTGCAAACCTCAACCACTCTGACTGAGTTTAGCTCTGCCATTGGGGATGGATCATGGAAGCAAAGTTGAATGAAGAGTTTAATATAATTGATGAACAGACCTAATGAATGCTCCTTAATTCTTATTTTAAACAGCCAAGTGGTAAGTATTCTATAATTTATCATGTCATTTAATCTATGCTGCGCCCGATAAGTTTGAACAAATGTTGCTGTTATGAATTTCAGAGAGAATTTCTCCCAATGCAGGTCAAACAAAAAAAGATTCTAAAAATTTACAAAAAAGGATGTCATAGGCTGTGCTGCAGTCTTATGAAATTCCAATTCATTACTCTCTGTGTGCTTCGACTGGTACACACCACTAGGTCCCACAAGACCGAAGACATCACACGTCTAAGTTGGGTATTAAACATCAAATGTCTTTCAGCATCAATAATAATTAACATCAAATGTCTTTAGTTGGATTATTAACCTCATAATTAACAAAATGTGGCACAATAGCCTCCCAAGTCAACACCTTGCGGTAACAAAATGTCTTTAGTTGGATCACCAAATCTTGTGTCTTTAATCTGGCATTTCAGCATTTAACAACAGAATCAATGAAAACAAACTAGATAATTGTGATTCAAATACTAGATGCAGCACAGAGGAGAAAAAAAAACAGAGTTACATGGTCCATGGAAGAACATGTTCACGAAGTTAATTATTTAGAGCATAGAAGGTTTAGTTTCCTATGGATCAATGAACTCAGACATTATTATTCCCCAAAATATAAAGTGGAAAAAGAAAATGCTGTTGAAACCAAGTATACTAGTATAGTGAGAAGGCTTCAAGCGTCAAGGGTTTTCAAGACCTTTAGCAAATAGAGAAGCAGAAACCTGCATGTTATGTTTGTCTAAGACCAAACCAACATCAACAACCCCAGCATCGGTTTGGGGATCTGAAAAGGAGATAGCTCTGGCTCTATCTATGGAAACAATCTCAACCTTCTTTGGTCTTCCCCGTCCAAAATCAGACTCATAAACCACAAACCGATGTGAACCGGCAAGCACAAGCATTTTCTCACTGCTCACAGCGAACACTCTTGAAACCCAATTCTCTGCCCCATCCAAACCCCCCTTCTCCAAACTTTTTATAGCTTCACTAATTGCATTCACAGCCACAACCAACCCTCCAAACAAGGCTTTTGTTTCGGCAACTGATGTACGTCCCACTATGCAGTTCCCAAAATGGTTTTTGAGTTACAGGAGGATCCAAGCGAGACCTGCAGTCCACGTTAAAAGCAAGACGTGTTTGGTCGGTGTTTATTTCCTCTGCCTTGTCTATGCAAACCCGTGTATAGGCACATGCTAGAGTGAAAGTTGACACAACTAAACGAATATCTTGTTGTTTTTGCTCTACCAATTTAGCCTTCAACAATTGCCTCAGTGTTTCTATATCTGCTGCTGTGATTTGAAAGGTGCCTCTGATGGAACCTGGTGGGGCTTTCCTCTCCCAAAACATTAAGCTTCTATTGTTGGGACCGTCCTTATTTTGATACAGGTTCGAGTAGATTGCTCTCAGCTCAGCTGGATCCTAAATAACTCTTATATCATAAAAATGTTTCAAATGATCAAGTAGCACTGAATTAGATTGATCACCATGTTTGCAAATGTGAGACGGTTCCAACTAGGGTACAAGAGGATGGTACTCTGTGGCTTCAATAAAGCCATCACCTGAAAGCTGGTAGAAGTCAACACCAGACTCTGCTATTGTGAGCGAAAAGGTGTCGCCTTGGACATAGCTAAGAACGGGTTTTTGGGAGTTTGAGGCCAAGTCAGGTGTCCTGCTAGAGGTAGATAGTGTTGGAGGGTGTTAAAGAGTGAGGTTTTGAGTTTTGGGGCCAGTACAGTATCAAAGAAGAGTTGTGTTGCAGAGGAAGTAGGCATTTCGTAGAAATAAAGGCACTTGACCGGCGCAAACCTTAACCAACGGATGTCGAAGACGGTAAGAGGAAAGGAACTTGGGGATGCGAATGACCTAGGTGAGGGTGGAGGAGGAAGAGCCACCTTGCAAACTTCAACTACTTTAACTGAGCTTGTTGGGTTTGCCATTGCCAAATAGAGATGGAAGTTAGAAGCTTGAGAACATTATATATTTAGAATTAGATTACTTTTTGTTTTTGATTTTTATATTTTTTGGACGAAGATTACTTTTTGTTTAAATAGCATTAGAGAGCTGTGATGTGAGGCCACATTACAAGTTACAACTCCTCCACTGAAAATTACTCCCGTGTCGTCTGCTAAACAGTTTATAGCTCGTGTTAAATCAAAACCTTTCATGCCCTATTCAAAAGCCCATTATCCAAAGCTTTCTTTTCTTCCGCGTTCACGTTCACCCCCATTTCTTCAATACTGCAAACAATTATCTCAAGCCATGACCCGTTTAATCAATAAAAAGTAAAAGCTCATGAGTATACATAAAGCTTCAATATTAGTAGATTAATTTTCTTTTAAAATTTATTGAGCCTCCCTCTTATTTATAGCAAACACTTGCGTTTCTTAAATTTCAGAGAGATAGGTCAACGACCCACTATTAACAACACTAATATTGTCCCAAACTTAACCACCTATAAAGCCCAATAAGTGTAGGGTTTAACACAAAAGGCTTTGGTGATATTAGTTGTGGAACCATTTATTATATATTGTATTTTATTTAGTCAAGTTTTCGATGTGAGACTTATATTCTTCAACATGCCCCCTCATGTGGGACCATCACATAATGGGCCACACATGGAGTCAAGGCCACATCGAAGTCAATTATTCAAACTCAACACATGAACACTGCGTATTGGGTAAGGGGTAGGAGTAAACATTTAAGTCTAACATGTGAACACCATATATTAGGTAAGGGTAAAGGCCCAATTCAAGCCCAATCAATCAACCCGCTTTGATACCATGTATATTTTATCCATAGGTCAGATCCGAGCCTCTTTTTTTAGCATTCATGCATTTACACGCATTTGCAAGGAACATTCATGCATTTACATGCATAAAAGAATATTAACAATTAGATATTCTTTTAAATGCGTGTAAATACACGGATGCTCAATGCAGAGGCTCAAGATCTATTATAGCACTCTTTATAGGAGCTTTTGTTTTTTGTTTTTTTGTTGGATCTTGTCTATTATAGGCTCCTTGCAAAGGGATTGTGTTTTTGATCTTTTTTCATTGGACTTTCTGCCATAATTTCTTTATCTAATGAAATTCAAGTTGACTAAATAAAAAATAAAAAAAATACACTTCGTGTATGCAAGTTTGTTGGTAATTTTTAACAACAATATTAAAACCTTACAAGTGCACAAATCAAATGATAGTATAGTAAGCAAGCAAGGGTCGATCCCACAGAGATTGTGATATAAAGAGATGTTTATCAATGTCACGCAATGAAAATTAAAACACAAGTACTTCCACACACACACCAACAACAAGTGGTGTTTTGATTTGATTTTGTGAATAAAACAAAACAAGAAAAAGAAAACAAAACAGAATTTAAATTAGAGTTTAAGAGAAATTTGTTTAAAATCAGTCAAGAACAATAGTTATGACTCACTATCCACCTCCAAACAATCAATCAATCCATAAACAACAATAGATAATCAATTTCTAGCAAGCATATGATGACGACACTCACAACAAGATCATGACATTTGACTTGAGTTGTATGATTCTCTCTTAAGTGTATGTAAAGTGTATGACATTTACATCAATACGTGTATTCTTAATTGAAATCTAGTATGACATTTACTCAAATTAACAATCAAGAATTCATTAAGATCAAAGAGAATATGAGTGTGACAAAAACCCTAAAACATGGCATTTGTTATTAGGAATTCAAGAATCTATTTCTCATAACTAGTTCTTAACCCAATTATTCGTTGGAAACAAGAACACATTCAATATGGCAATTGACCTACGTTCTACAACAATTTAATTCCAATACATGCTTCAAAGTTAGCTACTCAAAGAAACAAAATATCAAAATTCACATAACATAGAGAAACCGAAATCATCACGCTTGTAGAAACTGAAAATCCATTCAAACTTGTTTATAGAATTGAAATCATGTTTAGGGCTTCAAGATTAAGCCCTAACTAACAAGAAATTAGTTACTCATGTTCTTGGATGGTCTCAAAAATAAATAAATAAGAACTGAAAAGTAAAAGAAGGAAGGAAAAGAAAGAACTCGTTGGCAGCTTTCTCCTCTTACACGATTGATCTCCTTATGACGTGAATCCTTTGTATGGGGGCCTTGGCTGGCCTTTTATATCATTTATATCAGAGTTCTAAACCCTAAGATTGAATGAAAGGTCGTCCAAGAAGTCTTGGTAAACAAGGAATCCAAATAGGAAAGTAAAAATCACAATTCCTAACTCCATAGGGAAATACAGCTTAGCCCAATTGTCACACGATTTGGGGATCTTCAGCCTTCTAGAAAAATCATTAAAAATATATTTTAGAAATATAAATGTCTTATCTTTCCAACCATATATAGCACGTAACTTGAAAAATTCGGGAAGGCTTCCGTTTTTTCATATTCACTTAACATGTACGAAACTGTCCTGTCTGCACGTGGGCTAACTTTACTTGTAATATTGTACCAATTGGCTTGGTAGAAAATTCTACAAAAATTACAGATTGAACTTCAAGATGTTAGCTTTCATCTCCAATTGGCCTCGTGCTAAAATTCCTCCGAAAAGTTGATTTTCCCTTAAAAACCTTCTAAGAGCGTAGAAAAGCTGAAAATCAGAAAAGTAAAGTAATAAGCCCTTTTTAAATTTAATTCTCCTACAAAACCTAAGTAAAAAGAGTACATAAATGAGTATATTTATGAACTTATCAAAGTTCTTTTCCTTTTCAAGATGAGTATATTTATCTCTTTCAAACTTTTTAGTTCTCATTCATGTCATCATATCCTCTTCTTTTCTTTTCTTTTTCAATTAAAAAATAGAAATTATTATACTCAAATCAAAACGTTTTACACCAAAAGGCGGCACAGAGATTTTATGGACCTACAAAATGAGTAATAAGATCTCCTAAAATGAAGTCTTCAACAAAAAAACCTATAAAAGGAATTGGACCATATATATTTATTGCAAATTTAAAAATACTCATAAATATTATAAAGGATTATTAAGAAAATAATTCAACAAGTTTCATAAAATCAAAACCCAATGACGGGGTTTAATATTGATCAAGAGCTCATATTATATGAAACCAATTGGAGTGTTTTCTTCTTCTGCAACTCCACTTTCCCACATGTGCTTTATGTGCTTTCTTCTTTTGCATCTACCCATGATTGCTTTTATATAAATTATTTATATTGGCAAATTGTAGACTACTTGAAATTTCAGGAATTCAATCCACCTAAAAAAACAAGCCGCGAAAGGGACGACTGGATTTTCAAAGCATGCGGACGTCCTCATTAGAGAAAGACTCTCTCTCTCTCTCTCTCTCTCTCTCTCTCCATATATATATATATATATATATGTTGAAACAAGGAAAAAAAAATTGGGGGCCTTCTTAAAATTGGGGCCCTTGCAAATTCAGGTTTATTAAATTAATCAAATTTTAGTTCTAGCAAGTATACAAATAAGAAAATAGTATAACTAAGTACATATATTGTCCTCCGGAAAAAAAAAGAAAAGAAAAAAAGAAGCACATATATTGTCCCACATAGATTTATTTAATTTTTAATATTTCTATCAATTAAACTGAAACTAATTTTAAATTGAGAAAATTTAATGGATGAAATTAATTTGAATTTGTAATTGAAAAACTTAAATTAAAGAAAGCAAAAATTAAAGACAGAAAACGCACGACACAAGAGAGTAAGAAAACCAAGAGAGAAAGACACTAGAGCATCTGATTTCATAGTAATCAATCCTACCCAATCTCTTAGTACGTATACCAATTCCAAGTAATTTCCCTAAACTATTCAATAACTAGCATCTGGCTACATCAAAAGTATCTTTACATGGAATCCTCTTTGGCATCTAGATGAATTCAACACATAAGCTCTATGAAAATTATGTAACAATCACACAAACCCTAATTGCATGGCATCTACAATTAGTCATTCATGATATCAATTGCAAGAAACAAAACTCAAGTTAGGTTTAGCATCTACTCTAACCACTAATTCAACTTAGATGGTGACCAAACATCCAAACCAAATTAAACATTAAGTGCATCAAAAGATACTTTAAAAAAAAGGGAAAACTTGAAATTAATTCATCATTTATTTTATACTATCGTCTGTATCAAAGAAATAAAAAATGAGAAACAGTTGTTCTAATGAGAGAAACAGAAAAAAAAATGAACATTGATCAAATTATTCATACCCCAAAAAGAACGCGAAAACATTAGAACTCTGCAACAAATTAACACCAATTTCATGCGTGGATTCAAAGGTCTTGAAGCCCTTTAGCAAACACAGAAGCAAAAGCTTGCATATGATGTTTTTCCAAAACCAAACCAACCTCAACATCTCCAGCAACACCATCCCTAGACTCTGCCAGGGACATGGCTCCTGTCTCTTCGATTGAAACCACCTCCACCTTGCTTGGCCTTCCCCATCCAAAATCTGTATCATAAATACCAAACCTTGGTGAACCAGCAACACCCATAGATCTCTTTTCACTCCTCACAGCAGAATAAAGTATTGCAAGCAAAGTCTCTGCCCCTTTCAAAATCCCATCACCATCCGCGCTTTTTATAGCTTCACTGATTTCGTTGACCACCACGGTCAACCCATCTTCTCCAAGAAGCCCTTTTCTCTCTGCAACTATTACACGGCCGGCTATGCAGTTCCCAAAATAGTTTGCAGGTATCGGAGGGTCGAAGCGAGGCCTGCAGTCCAGAGTGAAGCCCATCATACCTGGCTTATCGGTCTGTTTTTCCTCTGCCTTGAGTAAGCAAACCCATGTATAAGCACATGTTACAGAAAATGTTGACAAATGAGGACGATCAGATTATTTTTCATTCTTGATCATCTCTGCCATTTTGGTCGAAACCCATTGCTTCATTGCTTCTATTTCCGGTCGTGTGATTACAAAGATGCCACGAACCGCGTCTGGTGGTGGAGATTTAAACTGGGTAACCATCAAGCTCCTGTTGTTGGGTCCGTCCAGATTCTGAAGCTGGTTCAAGAAGATTGGTTCGAGCCCGGCCGGGTCTTGGACCACCCTTCTGTCAAAAAATGGTTTCAGCTGATCTGGTAGAGCTGAACCAGATGGATCATCACCAAGATGTTTGCAAATGTGAGCCCATGATTTCATAAACATGGTTGAAGACTTGCCGTCTAGGATGGCATGGTGCATGGATGTTCCAATGGAGAAGCCGTTGCCGTTGGGGAAGACGGTGACTTGGAACGCCACGGCTGCGGCCTTTTCGTGAGATATTGGCAATTGGGGTACGAGAGGATGGTACTCTTTGGCCTCAACAAAGTTGCTACGACTTGAAAGATGGTGGAAAGTAGCATGAGACTCGGCAATGGTGAGCGAAACGGCGTCCCCTTGGACATAATTGAGAACGGGTTTGGGGGAGTGTTGGGGCCAAGTGATGTTTCCTGCTAGAGGTCGGAAGCGTTGGAGGGTGACGGAGAGCGAGGCTTTGAGTTTTGAAAGGAGTGTGGTGGTTTCAAAGGAGTTGGAGATTTCATAGAAGAAAAGGCGTTGGACGGGTGCAAATCTGAGCCAGGGCAAATCAAACAAGGTTAGAGGAAGGGCCTCAGGAGTAGGTGTGGCTGAGCCAGCAGGTGAGCTTGGCTGTGGAGCAACATTGCAAACCTCAAGCACTCTGACTGAGTTTAGCTCTGCCATTGGGGATGGATAACGGAAGCTTTTATTTTTTTTTTTTTTTTTTGTTTGAAATGGAAATGGAAGGCAAGGTTGAATGAAAGGTTTGATATAAGTGTGTGGACGTGGGTGCTGCGTAGAAACCGACTTTGACTTGGACATGATTAATATTCCTTAATTCTTCAGAGGCCATGCCGCAAACGCTTGTAAAGATAAGAAGCAATGTGGCCAATCTAGTGTCTGGTTGTAATTTGTGTCTGTGGGACAGTCTTGAAATCTCTCTCTGTTTTGTGGTTATCCAAAATGAGTATCACCAGCCTCAAACAGTGAGAAGTCCAAGAATTTAGAAACCCAAAACTCTGCCCCTTCCAAAAGCCCATCATCAAAAAAAAAAAAAAAAAAAAAAAATGAAATTGTGAAATAGTGTAGTGCGCCAAGCCATATATGAAGGTTTCACAGAAGACCTTGAGCAAACAGAGCAGCAAAAGCATCCATATATGTGGGGCATTGACAAATGCATCCAATCTGACCTGACATTACTTTTCAAGCAATCAATTTGTAGCGATGGCTACTTTTTGGAGTTTCAAGTCTTCCACTGCATCCAGAGAAATTATTATACTCAAATCGAAACGTTTTTGCACCAAAAGGAGACTCAGAGATTTTAGGGACATACAAAATGAGTAATAAGATCTCCTAAAATGAAGTCTTCAACAAAAAAAACTATAAAAGGAATTGGACCATATATATTTAAAAATACTCATAAATATATTTTTAAATATTATAAAGGATTATTAAACAAATAATTCAACAAGTTTCATAAAATCAAAACCCTATGACGGGGCTTAATATTGATCAAGAGCTCATATTATATGAAATTTTAATGTATTAATATATATTAATATATTATGTTAGAGTCAATATATGACACATAATATATATGTTGAAACAAGGAAAAAAAATAAGGATATTTTGGAAAAGGTCAAAGGAGAGAGAAATATTTTTTAAAAGAAGCTAAAATGGACAAAAATGCCCTTATTTATTTTTGGATTTTCTAAGGAATCTTTTACATTTGCATGTCTTTGGTTTGAAAGTTGAGGGGTTTTTTCTGTCTTTTTCGGAAAAGTTTTGGTTTTTTCCAAAAGTAAAGTTTTTTTGTGGCTAAAACCTAAATTTACTAAAAAAATTTGGGGGCCTTCTTATAATTGGGGCCATATGCAAGGGCCGATCTTGCACACCCCAAAGCCGCCCATGACCAGAAGCTAAACCACTGAATGACCATATATGGGTGACACCATATTCCAACAATGAAGGCTATGTTGTGAAATTCAAGTTTATCAAATTAATCAAATTTTAGTGCTCACAAGTATACAAATCAGAAAATAGTATAGCTAAGTAAATATATTGTCCCACATAGATTTATTTAATTTTTAATATTTCTACCAATTAAACTAAAACTAATTTTAAATTGAGAAAATTTAATGGATGAAATTAATTTGAATTTGTAATTGAAAAACTAAAATTAAAGAAAGCAAAAATTAAAGACAAAAAATGCATGACACGAGAGTAAGAAAACCAAGAGAGAAAGACACTAGAGCATCCGATTTCATAGTAACCAATCCTACCCAATCCCTTATTACGTATACCAATTCCAAGTAAGTTCCCTTATTGATGATCAATTTCCCTAAACTATTCAATAACTAGCATCTGGTTACATCAAAAGTATCTTTACATGTAATCCACTTTGGCATCTAAATGAATTCAACACATAAGCTCTATGAAAATTATGTAACAATCACACAAACCCTAATTGCATGGCATCTACAATTAGTCATTCATGATATCAATTGCAAGAAACAAAACTCAAGTTAGGTTTAGCATCTACTCTAACCACTAATTCAACTTAGATGGTGGCCAAACATCCAAACCAAATTAAACATTAAGTGCAGCAAAAGATACTTTAAAAAAAAAGAGAAAACTTGAAATTAATATTAACTAACCCTAACAAAGAAAATTAGTTCCTTACAATCATATTTGAGATCACAATGAAAAATACATGAGTTTAGAAAAACCCCTAATTTCTCTTCCCCTTCTCTGGCGGTCCTCTTCTCTCTCCCTCCTTGTTCCCCCCCCTTTCCCCCTCCCCCCCCCCCCCCCCCTCCCCCCCAAAAAAACAACCAAAGCACTCTTATGTAACTCATAGCGAGCAAGTTCAAAAAGGGAAAGGAATTCTAATCCTACCTGGACTACAAGTCCTTTAAAAAAAATTAATTAAAACTCCCAAAGCCACTTTCCCTACACATCACTTGCATCTTCAACTCATCTCATGTCTCACGTCACTAAGCTCATACAAAATTTCCTTATTTTGCTACAGCACAACCACGTCACGTTTGGAAATTGACAAACAGGGATTAATGTCATTCTAATTTGTGAAAACTGACTACCTAATTGATAATTGTCAAACAACCTCTATCATTTGATTCTTCTCATTTTTCATGATTTCATTACCTAAAAGTAAAAACAATGAATTGTAGTGCACTTAACCATTCTAATCACACAAATTTAAGAGAAATATCATTAATTATATATATAAATATTAACATATCAAAGGCCTTCACGTGGAGACACAAAATTGAGTTACTCACAACTTCTTTAGTTAAAAATAATAAACTTGAACATTATGGGCAATGGTGCGACGTCGGTTTGTAATAAAAGTTGGCATAATGAGTTGTCAAAGTAGTTTTATGAATACGTCCCACATAATGGGTTGTCAACTAGTCCTTTGTTCATTGTGAATTGGATACGGAGACAAGTGAATCCGAGTAGGGCTCATGTTATTGCAGCCGTGCAGCTTTAGTCAAATCAAGGGTGCAGTCATTGTCCGATGTTTGGGCAGACGTCTGGGGTTCGAACCCCACCTCAAAAAAGAAAGGGTGCAGTCATTTTAGATGGTCCCATTCCCATAGCCTCCTCCCTCTCTAATCACGGTTCCCCCGGTCTACTAAATTGAGTTGCACCGAGTTCGAGTTCTCTTTCCATAAATTATATTAATTTCTAATAATTTAAATTATTATTTGTATATAAAAAATAAATGAGACGCAGTTGTTTTAAGACTCTTCAATATGCACAAATGATTCTTGTAATTTGGCCCAACAAAATGAGAGAAGCAGAGGACGATTGCAAACGAACATAACCAGAAGAACAAAAAAAATGAACATCGATCAAATTATTCATCTCCCCCAAAACAAAGCGAAAACATTAAAACTCTGCAACAAATTAACACCAATTTCATGCGTGGATTCAAAGGTCTTGAAGCCCTTTAGCAAACACAGAAGCAAAAGCTTGCATATGATGTTTTTCCAAAACCAAACCAACCTCAACATCTCCAGCAACACCATCCCTAGACTCTGCCAGGGACATGGCTCCTGTCACTTCGATCGAAACCACCTCCACCTTGTTTGGCCTTCCCCATCCAAAATCTGTATCATAAATCCCAAACCTTGGTGAACCAGCAACACCCATAAATCTCTTTTCAGTCCTCACAGAAGAATAAACTATTGGAACCAAAGTCTCTGCCCCTTTCAAAATCCCATCATTGTCCGCACTTTTTATTGCTTCACTGATTTCGTTGACCGCCACGGTCAACCCATCTTCTCCAAGAAGCCCTTTTCTCTCTGCAACTATTACACGGCCGGCTATGCAGTTCCCAAAATAGTTTGCAGGTATCGGAGGGTCAAAGCGAGGCCTGCAGTCCAGAGTGAAGCCCATCATAACTGGCTTATCGGTCTGTTTTTCCTCTGCCTTGAGTAAGCAAACCCATGTATAAGCACATGTTACAGAAAATGTTGACAAATGAGGACGATCAGATTGTTTTTCATTCTTGATCATCTCTGCCATTTTGGTCGAAATCCATTGCTTCATTGCTTCTATTTCCAGTCGTGTGATTACAAAGATGCCGCGAACAGCGTCTGATGGTGGAGATTTAAACTGGGTAACCATCAAGCTCCTGTTGTTGGGTCCGTCCAGATTCTGAAGCTGGTTCAAGAAGATTGGTTCGAGCCCGGCCGGGTCTTGGACCACCCTTCTGTCAAAAAATGGTTTCAGCTGATCTGGTAGAGCTGAACCAGATGGATCATCACCAAGATGTTTGCAAATGTGAGCCCATGATTTCACAAACATGGTTGAAGACTTGCCGTCCAGGATGGCATGGTGCATGGATGTGCCAATGGAGAAGCCATTGCCGTTGGGAAAGATGGTGACTTGGAACGCCACGGCTGCGGCCTTTTCGTGAGAGGTTGTCAATTGGGGTACTAGAGAATGGTACTCTTTGGCCTCAACAAACTTGCTGCGGCTTGAAAGATGGTGGAAATCGGCATCAGACTCGGCTATGGTGAGTGAAACGGCGTCGCCTTGGACATAACTGAGAATGGGCTTGGGGGAGTCTTGGGGCCAATTGAGGTTCCCTGCTAGTGGTAGGAATTGTTGGAGGGCGACAGAGAGGGAGGCTTTGAGTTTTGAAACGAGTATGGTGGTGTCAAAGGAGTTGGAGATTTCATAGAAGAAAAGGCGTTGGACGGGTGCAAATCTGAGCCAGAGCAAATCAAACAAGGTTAGAGGAAGGGCCTCAGGCGGAGGTGTGGCTGAGCCAGCAGGTGAGCTTGGCTGTGGAGCAACATTGCAAACCTCAAGCATTCTGACTGAGTTTAGCTCTGCCATTGGGGATGGATCACGGAAGCAAATTTTTTTTTTTTTTTTTTTTTTTTGATCGAAATGAATGGAAGCAAAGTTGAATGAAAGGTTTGATATTAGTGTGTGGAAGTGGGTGCCGAGTAGAAACCGACATTGACTTGTAGATAGTGATATTATGTTCGAATCTTAGTAGTGTGTGAAAAAAATATCATCCTAGGACACGCCTAATTAATATTCCTTAATTCTTCAGAGGCCATGCCGCAAACGCATGTAAAGATAAGAAGCAATGTGGCCAATCTAGTGTCTGTGGGACAGTCTTGAAATCTCTTTCTGTTTTGTGGTTATCCAAAATGAGTATCACTAGCCTCAAACAGTGAGAAGTCCAAGAATTTAGAAACCCAAAACTCTGCCCCTTCCAAAAGCCCATCATCAAAACGAAAAAAAAAAGTGAAATTCAATAGGGAGTGTGCCATGCCATATATGAAGGTTTCACAGAAGACCATGAGCAAACAGAGCAGCAAAAGCATCCATATATAATATATTGTTTCTTCAAAACCAACCCAATCTCAACACCTCCACCACCATTCTTGCTATCCGACAACGAGATCGCCCCCGTTTTATCTATAGAAACCACTTCTGTTCTCCTTGGTCTTCCCCATCCAAAATCAGTGTCATAAATCTGAAACCGATTTGAACCAGCAACGGAAGTCAATATAAAATAATTGGTCTGCGCATCACTGCTGTACAAAGTTGAAACCCAATTCTCTGCCCCATTCAAAAACCCCTTATTATCCAAACCTTTTATGGCTTCCCTAATTGCATGTACAGCCAAAACCAACCCATCTTCTCCTAACAGGCCTTTTGTCTCTGCAACTACTCTACCGCCCGCTATGCAGTTGCCAAAATAGTTTGCGGGGAGAGGAGGGTCCAGGCGGGACCTGCAGTCAGTCAATGCTAAAGATCATGGCTATTTTCTCGCCTCTGATTTCCTTTGCCTTTGACTTGGCCAAGCAAACCCATGCATAGGCACATGTGAGAGAAAACGTTGACAAGTGAACCGATTGATGTTGTTGTTGTTGTTGTTGCTTCTTCATCACCAAGTGCCTTAACGCTTGTATATTTGTGCTTGTGAATTCAAAGGTGCCTCGAACCGAGTCTGGTGGCACTGGAGCTTCCCAAAGCGTACACATCAAGCTTCGATTTTCGGGTCGGTCCAAATTCAGAAAGTGGTTCAAGTAGATGGATTCCATCCCAGCAGGGTCCTTGATGACTTTGCCATAAAATGGTTTTAGCTGATCCGGTAACAATAATCCTCCATGTTTACAGAGGTGAGCCCATGATTTAAGAAACAGGGTTGAACTTTTTCCATCTAGGATTGCATGGCCCATGCATGTTCCCATTGAAAATCCACGGCTAGGAAAGAGGGTGATTTGCAAGGCCATTGCTGCGGCTTTTTCATGAGATATTGCCAACTTGGGCACGAGAGGATGGTATTTTATGACTTCAACAAATTCATTGCAACTTGAAAGATGGTCGAAATAATCAGAACGATGATCACCAGAGTAGTGGGCTATTGTGAGTGAAACGGCGTCGCCTTGGACATAATTGAGAAGGGGTTTGTGGGAAGTTTGAGGCCAAGTGAGGCTTCCTGCTAGAGGTAGAAAGTGTTGGAGGGTGAGAGAGAGCGAGGCTTTGAGTTTTGGAAGAATGGAATCAAAGAAGAGTGGTGTTGGGTCAGAGGAAGGAGGCAATTCATAGAAGAATATGCGTTGAAAAGGTGGAAATCTTAGCCAGAATAGGTCAAAGAAAGTTAGCTCAGGAAGGAACCATGGCGTGGCTGGGGGCAATGGAACTTCTTGTGGTTCTGGAGCCACCCTGCAAATCTCAATTACTTTCACTACTGAGTTTGGCTCTGCCATTGCAGATGGAACCAAGTTATATGAAAATTCTTATAAATCGAGAGACCCTATTAAGCAACTACGCATAATGTTATAGCTTATTAGAAGCAACACAATTCAATAGTATTTCAAGTGTAAGATGCCACATGGCCAACACGAACATAATCGTGTTGGCCACATGTTCGTGTTGGCCACATGATCAGGAACACATCATGCATAGTATTTCAAGTGTATGATGTATTCCTTTGGACTAAGCTGGTGCTAAGCTGGTGGGTTCTGTCATCACTTTCTTCCACCGATCCGTAACCACATCCACATGTACGTTTGACTTTCTGTTTGTATAAGCATAACTTGGGTTGTATTTCACATGCATGACCTACAAGTACGATACTTTTAGCCTCTCATCGGTCGAATCTCATCAATTTATAACCAATAAACAACTGTAATGTTATATGGCTGCAACACAATTCAATAGTATTTCAAGTGTCATGATAAGATACCATGTGGCCAACACGAACATGATCAGGAGCACCGACCCGATCACGAGTGGCATGGATCACAAAGTTCTGGCCAGCATAGCATGGTCAAAGGGTGCGATCAGTCGGTCTCACCCGCCCCGATTCATTACAACAGCCCTCCCTTTTTACACCGATATTCGAATCCCTTTTTTATAAATTAGATTAATTTTGAGTCATTTGAATTATCATTCATACTTTTTTATATATAAAAACAAAAAACAAAGAGCCATTTTCTCAACCAAAAAAAAGGAGACAAGGAGCCACTGTAAACCAACACAACAAAATCCATAGGAGAACAATGAATTTTTTATTTTATACAATCGATATTTTATTTTAATTTCATTTAAATTACAGAAATGTCATTCGAGAGTTGGGAGTACATAAGCTCTAAAGGGCTTGTTGCAAAGGTTTCACAGGTCTTTAGCAAGCAGAGCAGCAAAAGCATCCATATATTGTTTTTTTAAAACCAACCCAATCTCAACACCTCCACCACCATTCTTGCTATCTGATAAAGAGATCGGCCCCGATTTATCTATAGACGCGACTTCTGTTCTCTTTGGTCTTCCCCATCCAAAATCAGTATCATAAAGCTGAAACCGATTTGAGCCAACAATGGTAAGCACTCTAACATCTGTGCTTTGCATATCACGGTATAAAGTTGAAATCCAATTCTCTGCACCATTCAACAGCCCCTTATCCAAACCTTTTATGACTTCAGTGATTGCATTTACAGCCAAAACCAACCCATCTTCTCCTAATAGGCCTTTTCTCTCTGCAACTACTGCACGGCCCGCTAGGCAGTTCCCAAAATAGTTTGAAGGTAGAGGAGGGTCCAAGCGGGACCTACAGTCAACGCTAAAGATCATAACTATTTTGTCACCTTCTATTTCCTCTGTCTTGGCTAAACAAACCCATGCGTAGGCACATGTGAGAGAAAACGTTGACAAATGAAGCGATTGATATTGTTGTTGTTTCTTCTTTATCACCAAGTACCTTAATGCTTCTATCTTTGTGCTTGTAAATTCAAAAGTGCCTCTGACAAAGTCTGGTGGCAATGGAGCTCTGAAAATGGTGCACATCAAACTTCTGTTGTTGGGTCGGTCCGAATTCAGAAATTGGTTCAAGAAAATTGGCTCGAGCCCAGCTCTGTCGTTTATAACCATTTTTCCATAAAATGGTTTTAGCTGATCCGGCAACTGGTTCGATGAAGATGCTGAAAATCCTCCATGTTTACAGAGGTGAGCCCATGATTTAAAAAACAGGGTTGAACTTTTTCCATCTAGGACTGCATGGTGCATGGATGTTCCGATTGAAAATCCAAGGTTAGGAAAGTGAGTGATTTGCACGGCCATTGCTGCGGCTTTTTCATGAGATATTGCCAATTTGGGCACAAAAGGATGGTATTCTCTGGCCTCAACAAATTCACTACCACTTGAAAGATGGTTGAAATAATCAGCATGATGATTGGAGTACTGGGCTATTGTGAGTGAAACGGTGTCGCCTCGGACATAATTGAGAATGGGTTTGTGGGAACTTTGAGGCCAAGTGAGGTTTCCTGCTAGAGGAAGGAAGTGTTGGAGGGTGAGAGAGAGCGAGGCTTTGAGTTTTGGAAGTATGGAATCAAAGAAGAGCGGTGTGGAGTGAGAGGAAGGAGGCAATTCATAGAAGAATATGCGTTGAGAAGGTCGAAATCTTACCCATAATAGATCAAAGAACGTTAGCTCATGAAGGAACTCTTGTGTGTCTGTATGTGATGGAACTTGTTGGGCCTGTGGTTGTGGAGCTACCCTGCAAATCTCAATTACTTTAACTGAGTTTTGATCTGCCATTGAAGATGGAAACAAGTTTAATGAAATGGCTTATTTTAAGAGGTTAAATGGGAGAGTTTGGAATTGTGTTTTTTTAACTTCCTCCACAAAATTGATCTAAGAATATGATTTATGGAAGCCCACAGTAGATGCTTTTACTTTACTCATCAATATAATATTTGATCCCTCAAGATACTCAGTGGCAATATTTAACCAATTAGACCTAGTGATAGTTGGCAGTGCAATGTGCATATCCAACTAAATAATTTCCAAATCTTAGATATAAAAAACCCTAGTCGTTAAGAGAGCGAAAGCTTCATATCCGGGGGTTTTTTTTTGAATTAGTCAGATCTTTGGTGTCCTTTGATTTTTGATGGATCTATGTTAATCTACTCTTCTTTTGACGGATCTATTCAACATTGCATTTGCAGCCGTTAACAAATACAATCCAATATTCCTCAGTTCTGTCAATTTGCTTAATTAAAAATGTTTGATATTAAATAATCAAAATAAATAAATCAAAAATTAAAAAGAAAATTATCTCTCCCTCCCTCTCTTCCTATCCCCACCCAGCCCGACTGCCTCCTCCAACACCCCCACCAACCCAGTCACCCGTTGAAATGTTGAGGTTAATTCTTCTTTTAATGGCTACCAGCCAAGTGAGTTGTTGATGATGTCCTTTCTTTCTCTTTTTCTTTGGGACCAAGGTGGTGGGTTCTAGCATGTGCATATCCAATTAATTAATTAATCAATCAGATTGCGAATCTAAGCTAATTTGTCATCGTTCATCACTTTCTTTTACAAGCACCGACTTTTAAATTTTAAATTTCGAAGTGGAACAATTAGTTCAACTATTTTAATTTTCCTTTTCATCTTGTTTGGAAGAAATTGTAACCACATCCACAATTTATAATGGTCAGACACATATGTCAAATATTTGACAATTTCTGCTGTTTAATATGCAAGGCATGAATTTCTAATTGTAGTTTAATTTGACATGTAAAATAATTTTGATTTAAGATCAACACATAGGATTGGCAAGACCTTCAGCCAACAGAATAGCAAAAACTTGCATGGAATTTTTTTCCGAAACCAAGCCAACATCCACACCACCAGCACCATCCTTAGATTCAGACATTGACATGGCTCCTGTGCCTTCAATGGAAACGACCTCAACCTTGTTTGGCCTTCACCATCCAAAATCAGTTTCATAAACCTCAAAGCGGGGTGAGCCAGCAACTGAAAGCACTTTCTCATCACCACCCACGGAGTACAAAGGCTTGATCCAATTCTCTGCCCCACTCAAAACGTTGCGTTGACTGCCACGGTCAACCCATCTTCACCTAAAAGCGCTTTTGTTTCTGCAACCACCAAACGAATCACTAAGCAAGCAGTTCCCAAAGTAATTTGAAGAGATAGGAGGATCTAAGCGAGACCTGCAGTCCACGGTAAACCCCATAAATGCTTTTCCGCCTTGTATTTCTTCTGCCTTCACCAAGCAAACCCAGGTGTAGGCACATGTTATGCAAAACGTGGACAAATATTTTTGAACCGATTGATATTCATGTTGTTGGTTCTTCTCTTTCACCAAAAGCCTCAGTGCTTCGATCTTTGGGCGTGTGAACACAAAGGTGCCTCGAATCGAATCTGGAGCTGGAGTTCTAAATTTAGAAGGCATCAAGCTTCTATTGTTGGAACGTCCGTCCATACTTAGAAATTCGTCGGAGTAAATCGCCTGTAGCCCAGTCGGGTCTCGGATGACCCTTCTGTCAAAAAATGGTTTCAGCTGATCCGGTAACACTAAACTGGATGGATCATCATCAACATGTTTGCAAATGTGAGCCCATGATTTCATGAACACGGTTGAGGTCTTGCCGTCTAGGATTGCATGGTGAGTTGCAATGCCAATAGAGAATCCGCGTTTAGGAAATATAGTGACTTGCAAAGCCATGGCTGTGGCTTTTTTCTGCGAGAAAGCCAACTGGGATATAAGAGGGTGGTATTCTTTGGCTTCAACATCAAGGTTGTTGCTTGAAATATGGTCGAAATGATCGGCAGACTGGGATGAGGATATGGTAAGTGAAACGGCGTCGCCATGGACATAAGTGAGAATGGGCTTGGGGGAGTCTTGGGGCAATGTGAGGTTCCCTGCTAGTGGTAGGAATTGTTGGAGGGCGATAGAGGGCGAGGCTTTGAGTTTTGAAACGAGTGTGGTGGTGTCAAAGGAATTAGAAGAGATTTGATAGAAGAAAAGGCGTTGGACGGGTGCAAATCTGAGCCAGAGCAAATCAAACACGGTTAGAGAAAGGGCCTCAGGTGGTGGTGTGGCTGAGCAAGCTGATGAGCTTGGTGGGGGAGCAACCTTGCAAACCTCAACCACTTTGACTGAGTTCGGCGCTGCCATTGGGGATGGATCATGGAAGCAAAGTTCAAACAAGGGTTTAATATAACTGATGGAGGGAGAAAAATGCCGGCTATTTGTTAACTTGTGTCAGTCCATATCGAATTGACTAATGGGCAGTAGATATGTGCATATCGAATTGAAGAATGGGCAGATCTCATCATCAACCATTCATCACTTTGTGTTCACTAGCACGATGATTAAATTCAAATACATATGTTACACTTCAAATATTATTTAATTGTCAACAATAGAATTTCCTTCATTCCATATCTTTGAATAGAAATTAATTAATAATTCTTTTGGAAGGGGAACCACAAACCTGTGTAACTTTTGACGTTAAGCCTGGAGCTTTAGGGAATCGGGCAAGTTTGGGCAGACAACGTGCGTACCATGGAGATGAAGGTGATCAGATGTTGTTACCAAAAAAAAAGAAAAAAAAGAAGGTGATCAGATGCATATATTATTATTTTTTTTTATACAATTATTTTATGTATAGGCACCCACACCCCTACGTCGCCATTCCCCTACCACTAGCAATCCCACAACAAATATCACATGTGATGGCACCACCACTATCACAAGACGATAAACGTTAAATTACATGTTTTTTTTTTGGGTCAAAACTTTAAATTACGTGTTTAATTTCGTTATAGCCAACAATGAACGTTACAAATTCTACAACATTATTTTTCATAATTTTAAATTTCATCCTTTAAGAATTTTTTAGTACTTTTAAATTTCCTCATCCAAACACACTGAAGATGATTGAGTCAATTAAAGAAGTCAATTGATTGTAGCAATGATGAATTAAGGAAGTTAATTAATCACTCAAACATTGGATGTTCAAATTGGCATTTAAAGATTTTCGAGCAATAATATATGTGTGTGCACGCCTACAACCTATAAATTTTTTAAAATCAACTTAGTGCTAGTTTGAGATTGCTGTCACTTGTTAAAAAGTTATTTCTATTGTGTTTTGAAAATAATTAGTTGTAAAGTAAAGTAGCTCTAAGTTTGGTAAGCAATATTTTTAAAGTGATGTTACTACAAATTATATTGTTTTGTAAGGAGACATTACTTCTGTGGATTACGTTGTTGCTCATAACCATTTGAACGTGAATCCTGCATTACATATAGCTTCATGTCAAGCAAATATTTCTAAATAGGCATAAGCTATAAACAATCCTGATTCAATGAATACCTTATTCAAATGTGCAATGAATGCCTTGATATTGCAATAACAGACTCTAAATCGTCGTAGTGGAGGGAGAGTTGTCCGTGCTTTGTATGGGAATTGTTGATATGAACAGTACAAATTTTAATACGTAGAAGTTTGTATTAGGCCTGGTCTCAAGTAGCCTGTTGGATTTGTGGTTGAAGTCAAAAACCCATCAGGTCTCAAGTGGCCTGTTGGATTTGTATCAGGCCTGGTTTCCTACTCTCAACAGCCCTCTTAGTAGATATTTGGGCTTTTAATTAGGACTGCTAAGCATGACTGATTATGGCCCATCTGTAAAATTAATTAGTTACTAGTCTCTAATTAAGAGCATTTACAATGGACTCTTTAAACTACATTCTGAGACAAATTTTAAGGAGGAATTGAAAAAATACAACTTCAACCATGCTCCCTATTCACCTTCTAAATTATGGCTCCCTATAATTTAATGCTGCTTTATTTAATGAGTATTTCAAATCTTTAATTAATGCTAACTATTTTTTATATTATTTTTAAATAGAGATGGACTAATTAAAAAAGAGTTATAGCATTTATGACTCCTTAAACTAGAGAGCATGATTGGAGTTTAAATTTTATAAAAAGCTCCTAAACTAACTTTTACATGTTTTTAGCTAAAATTTAACTAAAAAATAGAGAGTACGATTGTGGACGCTCTAAGTTAACTCATTTGAATTGAAGGTGTACTTTTTTTTTAAAATTATTATTTTTGGGTTAGAATAGATGCTTTATTAAAAATAATAAGAATTATAAGAGTGTATAAAAAATAACGCTGGAAACAATAAATATTATCCAAAATCCAAACATAAGAGACAGGAACAAATGCGTAATCGAAGGGATACTCTTATTCATTACAAAAATACAAAAAATAGGAAATAGATGCCTTTTATTATGTAACCACATTGTTGGAATGTCCCTAACATAGAAGAGAGTCCTATTTGTACCTTCATAAAAATTATTCTGTATTGTCAAATCATGAAAGAAGTGAAGAAAAAATATATATAATTACACTCCAACCTTAAAGAAGTTAATCTTAATAACAGAGTAGGATTATTGGATATTATGTATGTAACTAATACTCACATTCGGTCGCCCGTTATATTTTAGTGGTAGAGCACTTAAGTATCGATGATTGATATACTCTTGTTGATATTAATTGTTGAATTAATATCTTAATTAATCATACATATATGGACAGATTAGAATATTTGGATTAAGGAATATAGTTAGTGAGATGCGCATATAATTAACATATTGCTGGTAGATTAAGTATTGAGAAGGGTTGAGGGTGATGAGTCGGGAGGTGACAGAAGACTTGTGTCTGGAATCCGGGGACCATTTATTGGGGCCAACGCTCTTTATATAGTCAGTTTGTGAAGCTCTCTCAGTAGAGACAGTACTGTCTACTGTGCCCGACCTTGAGATCCCCGCCACTGCCTGTTTGATTAGGGCTCTTTCCACACACACAGACGAAAACCCTAAACTTTTCTGTCCCGTCTCTTTCTTCCCCTGCAAAAGAAGCAGCAGTGCCTCTCTCTGTTTAATTTTCTCCTCTCAACAGAAACTCTTCAGCTGAGAATTCAGAACTAGTTGTATATATATGGACAACTTTAAAAGGTTACTACTTTCTTGTTAGTTAGTGTTCCCAGTTTAACTTTCGGGAATATGTAATTAATTAGGGTTTCTAGCCAGTTCAATTTATATAGTCTTGCTTGCTTTTCCTAGGTCACTTTCTGATGGACGGCTGCAACTAGGGTTTTGAAGTTCTGATATATATACACATATATCACATGTAGTGTAGGAAACTAATAATTCATAATAAAGGAAAAGGATGAATGATGGAGATCATTAAATCCAACGGTTGAATTGGGGGTTTTGAAAAGAGAAACGAATGAATCCCATTTGATTATATTACGGCTGGTAGATAGAGTGTGTCAGCTGCAAGGTCCTCAAATCTTGAACTACTCCGTGCATATCTCTCTGCAAGGAAAAAGTTGTGTGGTCCTATTCCTTCTTCTCATTACTCACTCAGTGGGTCTTTTAAAAGCAAATGCATGCATTGGTCCCTCACCTATAAGGTAGCTTCTCACTGTCTTAAGTACCTTATCATACGCATGTTAATGCTTAACACTATATACACCACAACTTTTTGTAGCCTATGCTATATACCTTTCTTGTTTAATCCAAACTTAATCTTCTTAACCCGTATGAAATCTTCTTGTCCATTTGCTCCTCTCTCACTAATCTACTCACTTAATTATGCCATATTTGATTATGTATGATCCGGAATACTCATGCAACAAAACATATAGTCAGACTGTTCGACATGTGATATATGCTATCGATCGAAAAAATTGGACCACACATATTATTTGGATATGGGAAGAAATCTTCAATCTAGTAAGGTTTGCCCACATGAACATGTTCATCTTTCTTAGCACCATAGGCGTGCATGTGAAAGGGATATATCTAAGCCTTTTATTTCTTGAAGATAAAGCTCGACTCACCACTTTCGAATGTGCAGCATGGTCCCCAATTGAATTTTCTAATTTTGATTTTAATGTGTAATACTCTCTATGTGTCGCCTAAAAACGTGTCATATATATAACGTGGTTTTAGCATCTAGCTAGAGAATTTAATATTACACCAAATTAATAGTCGTTACTTTGTCACAATGATTGATTACTTAACATTGTGCATGCGTGATGAGAAAATGATGAGATATCGACTAGTAGCTAGTTGCACCCACATTTCATTCGAGTTGAGGGCTAGTGTACCACGTGGCACTGTATGCGCCACTGCTTTATCTTTCCTTAGCAAGGTCGGTGGAATTCCGGCGCCCTCCTTTTTTGTTCTTCTTCTTCTCCGGGGCTCTCTCTCTCTCTCTCTCTCTCTCTCTCTCTCTCTCTCTCTCTCTCTCTCTACTTCTTCTTCAATAAGTTTTTATTCTCATTCTCCACACAGCTGTAGAATATTTTAGTCTTCAATGTTGTAGGCGGCGGCTTGGTTGAGTTATTAGTTGTGCGCTCTACCAAATTTACAAGGCAATTTATAGCTTGAACAAGACAGTCAGAGATAGAGCAAATCAAAACCACTACGCCTTTCTTGGTCATCTGTCTAGTGCTCAAGCACCAAAAACTGGTCTGCAAAACAAGAAGCAGAAAATGTTTACTTTCATGTAAGTTGGGTAAATTTTACTTTCATAATTATGTGTATATAAACATCACATACCTAGCTGCATATATTTGTCACTTGATAATTACCCAATTCGATTCATTTGTGAGATATTAATGTTACTTTGTTTGGGAGAAGTTGAATAAACATTTCCATGGCTTATGGATCTATTCTTCTCTTAAGCTTCTTTGGATTTCGTAGATGAAACAATTCTACACTTTTTTTTTAATTTTTTTTTCTTTGGCGATTCATGGTGAAGCAGATTATGACCAGAACATGTACTTGGAGAAGAGGAGAAGCATATCATGAAGCAAAGTTGATAAGAGAGAGAGTATAGAAATCTCATCAGTCATATTATCTTGACCTGAAAAGATGAAATCTTCCAGTAGTTGACCAATGACGAGAGAGTACATAAGATGATTAAGAGTCCCAATGAAGCAGATTTACAAGAAGCAGCAGGCAATTCAAGCCGTGATGATCAAGCCAATAAATTCTCAACAAAAGCTAATGATTTGTCGAGTCCATCGACACCATGGCTAAGGTTGAAGGATCCAAGGATTGTGCGTGTGTCCAGAGCTTTTGGAGGAAAGGACAGGCACAGCAAGGTTTGCACCGTAAAAGGGCTTCGAGATCGGCGGGTGAGGCTTTCCGTACCCACTGCTATACAGTTGTACGACCTTCAAGAAAGGCTTGGTCTTAACCAGCCTAGCAAAGTTGTCGATTGGTTGCTTGACGCCGCGAAGCATGAAATTGATGAACTTCCTCCGCTGCCGCTGCCACCATCTGGGAATTTCGGCCTAAATCACCCATCATTAGTCCTCACTTCATCTCATGGTGTCCAAACCCATGCTCATGCCCAATTATCTCATGATAATGGAGAAGGTCCTAGTGGTGGAATTGCACCGGCCAGATCACATTTTTGGAGCACAAATTCGGATGCTATTTGGAGAGGAAAATCAAAAGAAATTGCAAGAGACACAACAAATGAGGAGGAAGAAGAAAATCCGAAAGATATAAGCACTGGATCAGACCAAAAGGAAGAAGGAACTGTTGATGGTAATTCATCATCGAACAACTTCTTAACCAGAATTAGCACCAACCATCCATTCTTTCCAGGTCTTGTCAATAATGCCATGCCTTATGCTTACCATAATTGGGATCATAATCAGCCTTCAAATTTCCCACTATCTCAATTAGGAAGCCATGGATTCCCATCCCAAACTGCAGATCTCCACAACTTCATTAACGTCGTCTCGTTGCCCTCCACATTGTCTTTATCTACAACACAATCTTATTTCCCTTCACATAATGCTGCGGCTGCAGCAGAGATCGATCCGAGACAATTCAACCACATGCATATGTTAAGCTCAAGCAGTACTTCTCAGAACCTCTTGCCAAATTCTCTTTCACCAACTCTATACCCTAATAGCCAGACCCTGAGAGCACCCCATTTGAGCATGATGACTAAGCTTGTGCGTTCTTCAAACAACACTACTGGAAGTGATCATCATCAGCCAAATACAGACCAGGAGTCCCCTTCTAGATGATGCACATGATGCAATTAATTCCAAAAGTCGTGAAAAGCAGCTTTCCTTTTATAAGAAACAAAGCATATGGCTCAGATTCTTTTGAAATTGGGAGCTAGGCTAGCTATAGCTAGGAAGCGCAGGCAAAGGTACAGGAACACATCCTACGATGCTTGTCGGATTTCAGTCAGTCTTCTAAATGTTCATTTCAGATTAAAGATAAATGTTTTGATTTCCTACTTAATTTTTCTTTGTAGTGTTATATGACATTCAAATCAATAAATAAATTAATTTATATTTAAAAAAAAAAAAAAAAAAAAAAAAAAAAAAAAAAAAAAAAAAGGTTTCGTTGTAATTCGAATCATTGGCTGCTATATATATGAATGGAGATTTTGGTATGGTGAGACGCTACCCTTCTGTTCATAACTCATTTTCAGTAGATTATTGTATTTAAATCTCTGTGCGTGCTATGTTCTTTGAAGTGAGAATTAAAAAAGTTATAGTTTGGGATTATTATCTTCTTTTTCTATGTTCGGGGATGATTATTAAACACTCATGAGATTATATGATGCATTGTTCTATCTAGCTAGCAGCTGCAAACAAAGATTTAAAACCCTAGAAATAATGAGAGCAACAAAGAGAAACAAATTGTTTTCTTTTTCTTTCCGCTAGCTAGATATCACGCAAACATGAAATTAAAGGATGGAGTCTGGAACGTCAGAGTTGAAGCTTCTTCTGATGGAGAAGAAGGTAAAGGGAAGAAGAGAGGCACAGGCTTTATTTAATTAACGACCTAGAGTGAGACGTATGAGAGAGATGTTTGAGAACAGTACTGTCAACATCACGTACACAAGATCCAACAGCATCAATATTACATAAATATATATGGAAGGAATCTCACGCTGGTTTGGATATGTAGAGGGAAAAAGGAAAAAAGAAAATGAAGAACTTATGTGCAATTGCTTTGCTGGTATAAGGGTTTTGAGAGTTTGTTGTCTTCTCATCTGTGTTGTGTCCAATGGATGCCTGCTTCTGTATACCTTAGGACTTGGAGAATTCATTTGTAGTTATCTGCAGGGAATTCGGTCCTTGATGAATTAAGGAATAGTAAAGATCATTAACTAAAATAATTCATTAGAATCAGAATAGTTTGAATCTGATATAGTTTATTCTAATTTGTGGCCTTGAAACTGAGCAATGCATTTTAAGCTACAATAAGGCCAAGATGATTGAACAGCAGTGGTACTATAGTAAGTACTGCAAGTGCTGTCTTCTGAATTTGTTTTACATATATATATATGCATAGATGCGTACATCACTTTACAGGGAACCGCAGGAAGTTGTTGCATGCAGTTGGGGCAATAATAATCGAGCCAAGAGAAAGAGGTGAATCCTCATCATATTTCTGCCAAAGTAACTTATACTATCTGCAGATGTTACTGTTGCTGGTTGACATATGCATAGGGCATATGTATATATATAGTGACAGTGAATTCAAAAAATCCCTAACACAAAATCCAAACACACGCACCCAAGTTTTCAAATTCTACCCTAGAGTATATATATTGGAGTAATTGCTCCCCCGAGGAAAAGTTTTGGGTTCGAGTAGCATCTGTATAATGTGTGTGGATTTAGTATGTTATCTCACCTACCTCAATAGGAAAGTTCGTCCATTTTTTTACACATTTGTCCCCTTAAAAAAATAAAGTAGTAGTTTTGTTTTGGATTTTTTTTTCTCAAGTGAGGACCATTTTGATTTATTTGAACATTTCATTATAAGGGAATTAATATTAATATAGCTTATTATGGAACCGACAATTAATATTAATATAGACTTAATTTTGTCTAATAATATTATTTTTTAAAATTGTCGAAATTGTCTAATAATATTAGTTGTATACATGAATGGCACGAACTCATCTTGACTTGACCAACACAATGTTACTAATTACAAGCCATATATTGCTCCACGCATTACTTCACACAAAAATTGTGTTAAAGTAAGTCAATCGTTCATGTGCGTGAGAGTATTCAATCAACAATAGAAATCGCACACATCACTTATCATAACTCTTGCAAATAATCACACCTTAACATCACATGGTAAGAAGCTGGTGAATGTGTCATGGTAGATATCATTGCTGTTATCTTGAAACCATTAGGCTATAACGAAACCATTTATTTAGTAAAACGTGAGAGAGGCTTCCAAAATGTGGAAGTCCAATTCATATACGAATGAAAGATTAAACCTGATATACTACTTGTCGTCAAGTTCTTGGGTACTAATATCACTAAAAACGACAAGTCGTGCAACCTAGGTAGGTACCACCACCAGACCAATGCCATGCGGGACAGGTGTCAACCAAGAGCAACGGTTTTCAAGTCTCTCTTCTATTCTATTCCCTTCTTCCCGTTCGTAGGTTGTTACAAACAATCATTTCCTTTCCTACAACTCCAGCTCCCAACTCCCAACTCCTGTTCAACTCAAACCTTGTCCCTCTCGCTCGCTCTCTCTCTCTCTCTCTCTCTCTCTCGATCCAGAGGTTTTTCTAGGGTTTAAGCCCAATCCAAACTCAAATCTTTTCTTCTCTAACGTTTCTTTTCTAGAAACGGTTTCTTCGCTCGTTTTCAATTCGGAGCGAATGGCGTTTCGAGCGCCACTGCATCTCTGAGCTCGACCTCTACTTGGCCAATGCGTCTCAATTAGATTGCAAAGCCCTAGACTTCGCCGGTAAGCCTCCATCCCAAAGTTTCTTTCTTTATAATTCCCGTCTTCTTTCTTTTTTATCGGTTCAATTGGTTGATTCAGTTCCAAGTGATAATTTTAGGGTTTGATTCGTTCTTCCAGTTTGGTCGCTGATCAAACTCAGAAAAATTTAATTTTCGATTTATGTTTGTAAGTTTTTTTTTGGGTGCGCCCTTTTATAATTTATAACGGCTAAGCAGTTCCATTCGTTAATTGTATGCTCCCTTTACTGAGACAAGGTTTGTAAAAGAAAGAACAAATCAAATCTTTGTAGCGAACCCAACTAGCTCAGTAAAGTTCCATTTCCAGTTTTCGTTCTTTTCTTTTTGGGTTGTTTTGGCTGTGTACGGATAATCTTATGTTGGTTTTTCTTGCATTTTCTTAGGAAAGAAACAGAGGCATAAGTGAGTGGTTGATGAAGCTTTGTGGGTAAATAATTTGGGGTTTGCGGGGTTCTCACCTAGAATGTTGGTTTTAAATATACCACGTCGGGTGGCCTGATATGAGGGGTTGAATATGAGCGATGGAGGTGGGGAGAGTGGAAGAGAACATGAACAACACAATAGAACACAGAGAAAATCGAGCGGTGATGATTTTGCCCGAGCTATTGCCAAGATTGCAGTAGCACAAGTATGTGAAATAGTGGGGTTTCAGACTTTCCAGTTGTCTGCTATTGAAACACTGTCGGATGTTGCTGTTCACTACATTCACAACATTGGAAAGACGGCACATTTCTATGCTAATTTATCTGGCAGAATGGATTGTAATGTTTTTGATATCATTCAAGGGTTGGAAGATTTGGGCTTGGCGCAGGGGTTTGCAGGTGCTTCAGATGTTGATCATTGTCTTGCAAGTTCAGGAACGGTTAGGGAAATTTCTCAGTATGTTGGTGAAACTGAGCATATTCCATTTTCCTACTCTATTCCTCAATTCCCAGTTGTTAAGGACCGGAAGCTCACTCCAAGTTTTTTGCAAAGTGGGGTAGAGACACCTGGAGAGCATATACCTATTTGGTTGCCTGCATTTCCTGAACCCCATACATATGTTCAATCACCAATATCCAATGAGAGAGCTAGAGAACTTCACACTGATATGATTGAGCAGAAAAAAAAACAGAGAAATGTGGAGCGGTCTCTATTCAATTTGCAGCGGAGGCTGGTATGCAATGGGTTGGAGGGACCATCTATTGACCCTGGAGATGCTGATAAGGCAAAACAAGCAAGAGAAAGTAACCCTTTTCTTGCTGCACCTTTGCAATATGGGGAGACAAAAGTATCTCATGTTGCTCTTCCAGCTAAACTTTCAAGTGAAGCAACAGTGGAAAAACTTGTTGCTGAGAACCGTGTCGCAGAGAAGTGTTCTTCAGTGTTGGAGACCTTTGCTCCGGCTATTGAAGCAATGAAGAGCAGTTCGTGTGAATCACAGGAGGAACATAAAGAGATTCTTTTGAGCAGGAGGCCGACTGTTCAATTTAAGATTGGAAGTGCAAAGACGTCCTTTGGTACTATGTTACATTCAAGCCCAAATAACAAGGGTTTTCAGAAAAATTATCCCTGGTTTGGAAGAGAAAATGAGAAGGACGAAAAGAAAAAGAGGGCTGAGAAAATTCTGAAGAATTCCATGGAAAACTCACAGGAGCTTGCTCAGTTGTAAATTAGGTTGTTTTTTTATTAGAATTTGTACACTTGTTTAGGAGACTGGCAATGGAAGCTGGCTCGCATAGTGTTGTCTGCATATGGGCATTATAGAATGGATATTACAAAGTTCTGGAGGGAATTTTCCCACTTTAACAAGTTTCTGAGGTATGTTAGTGCCAGTTGCTGTGATAGACCCAGTTAATGATTCTTTCTAATTGAAATTCTTTTCTCCCTTTTTTGTTTGTTCTTTTATGATATTTGTCTGAATGAGTGCACAAATATTACTCCTAACCGTTTGTATACTTTGTTGCTTTATATATGCGTCTCCAAAAAAGTCAAAATCTATGTTTGGTGTAATATTTTGGTTCATTTACTCAGTATCCCACGGGTAGAGTAATGAACAGTTAAATGTCTTTTCCTTTCTGAATAAATCGTGCATGAGAAATTTGGAAGGGAAAGATGCATACACTATGATTGTATGTTTACATGTGTGTCATTAGCTCCTATCAAAGATTTACATGTTTGAGAATAGCTGAATTTCTACCCAATAGTTATTATGACTTTACAGAAGATAAGCTAAAATAAAATCCACCTCCCCTCCTTTTTTCCAAACAAAATCTGGAAGAAAAAAAAAATTATAAAAAGAAAAAGACTATGAGGGAATGAGTAAGATTGCATAAGAATTATTTATTAAAGAAAATCAATGCTATCAGATCCCCTTCTTGGCAAGCGTGCAGTGCCTACCAGACCAACCATGCAGCTCAAGCTTCATCACCACTCACAACTTCAGTCAGTCTTTAGAGATCAACCACTTGACATCCAACACCAGACCTGGAATTTAACCATCAGAGTCAGTCCAATGCCTTGATTGATGCATGAAATCTTCCCACAAGGTGTTTCACGAACAGTCATCCTCATCATCTAGGCTACCATTTGAGTTTTTGAATCAACGCTACCAAAGCTCCCTCTCAGAGAACAGTTGCCTGCAATGCCCACCAGACCAACCATGCAGGCCAACTGCATCATCACTCACAATTTCAGTTATCAAATCCTTAAATATCAACCGCTCAACATCCAACACTACACCTGGAATTTCACTGTCACACTCTGTCCAATTCTTTGCCTGATCCATGAAATCCTCCAACAAGATGTTTCTCAAACTATCATCCTCATCATCTAGGCTGCCATTTAAATTGTTTCTTTGTAGCTGGTCAACCTCTGAACATAATTCTCTGAAAAGCTGCTGGCCTCTTGGTTTCCCTTCTGCAAGCTTGTGTGGTGAGAACCACTGCTTGAAAGAGTCTTCCACCACTAGTTTTTGAATTAGAAATTCATTAACCACATCAAATACTAGTTTTCTTTGAATTTTGTCGTCAGGTTTGGATTGGAGAATCGCTTTGCATATTTTTCCATCATCAAAAGGCTTTGTATTTGTCCTGATTTCTTCCAGTGCAAGGAACAAATGAGGGTTGATCAGGTGGTCAAATGTGTCGAGCTCAATGGTTGTCCAGGCAGATTCAAGATACCTTAGAATACCTGATGCCAGCAATATATCTGAAATGTACACGTGGTCTGGATTTGTGCTGTCACAGAGAGGACCCAGGATGGACTCCCCATGTGTGCTGCTCATGCATCCATGATTCTGAATCAGGTGCTTCAGGTTCTCTAACATTGAATGATCAATTTCGACCCCAAGACTGGGCATCTTGTTGTGTGATAACAGAGCTATGTCCATGGGGTCATACTCCACTACATAAAGATTTTGTGCTTTATCGTCTGTAGCATGAAATTTGAGGAAATTTAATTTAAAGGAATCTTGCATGTTTTATGCTATACATAAGGTCTCAATTGCACAAGAACTTTACCTTTAAAGGAATTTGATATCTTCTTGACTGGAGATGGCGAGTCATCCCGGTAGAATGTAGAATCAAGAACAGAGACAGGACTTGGTTGTTCAGAGGAAGCTTTCCCAGGTTTTCCCATTGACCTGTCATCACTCAACCCCACTGCTGGGCTCTGTGAAAGTAAAAAGAAACCTGTCAACCCAGATAAGCAAATAACTACATGTATGAATGAGAACCGGGACAACCATACCTTTTGTTTTTGGCTATGCTGGTTGAAGTGCATGTGTTTTGTCCTATCTGATTGATGAATGATTGTGACTTCTGTGTCTGTATGTGAGGCCAAGCTGATGTTACTCTCAGATTGCTGAGAAGTGGCATCATCTCGATGACTCATATCTCTCGTGTTGGTGCTAGTCTCCCTCAATTGCGCATTACTTTGACACAAACTGGGAGACTTTTGCTCAAGTTTTTTACCTGGGGGTGTTTGCTTCAAATGACTGCCTAGTGTGTTCCCTTCTGGTCATGCTTGAATTTGATGATGGAGTGCTTGGAGGAGATTGCTTCTCCAATCCAAGTTTTCTCTGTTGCAGTCTTGGGCTTGTGATTCCTGAACTCCTACTTGAGATGGTGGGGATCGCTTCCCTCATATTTTGGGACACCTTTGGTTTCTGTAGGGGTTTCACAGTTCTTGTGTTAGAATTATTATCAGTGGAACGAAGGCGTCGATTGAAAGGATCTTTGATATGATTGGTCTTTGGAGTCAGATCTTTGGCTTGTTTTTTTTCAACCAATCCTTTGCCATTATCACCAGGGTCACTAGTTCGAAGCCTCCGAAGACCTAATGTGTCGTCCATGGAATTCACTGTGGAAGCAGAGCTGTGGGTTTTCTCGATGAGTTTAGCTGGTTTCATGATGATCGGTGACTTATGACTCTTTGGAGATTGGGAACCCTTGGCTTTGGCAGGAACTGACATGTTGCTTTGTAGATTTCTCTGGCTTGCTGATTCTCTGCTGTCAGAAAAAATGCTTTTGTTGCTTATTTGAGATGCAACATTTGAAGCTTGATCCTTTCTGTCATCTAACATTTCTTCAGTTTTCTGCATTGCTTCAAGTATTTGCTTCAGAGCTCTGAGATCCTTTCCTGATTTTTTAAACTCAAGATTTGCTAGCCTTTTCTCCATTTCACCATATACTGAAGATGCTGATTTTGGGGTTTTTATAGGTTCTTCTTGATACTTGGAAGCTGATCGCTGAGAACCTTTGCTTCCATGGGGCTGCCTCCAAGGAGCTGTTTCTATTGGAAACTTAGAATTTGAGGCCGGCTTCATGACTGAATCAGTACTTCTCCTCTTGGGGGAGGTGAAGTCTTTCTGTGTTTTCCCAAGGAATACCCCAGACAAAAGATCTGGCTTGTTTTCGTTGGTTGCTCTTGAAGATCTGGAGAAGGGGTCTGATCTATCAGATATGCAGGTATTAATCAACCTTAATGGACTAACAGTGGTTGACACTGAATCTGACAGATCCAGTCCCATCAACTTTGCAACAACATTAGATGGTCTGTTAGAACTTCCAGGTTCAAGCTGCAGGTCAAGCACTTTATTGCAGTTCCCATCCTCCCTCTGCAGATCCTTGCAGAAGTAGTTTGATTTTATTTCTGGATTACAACCCCTCCTTATGGAACGTTCTTTGCTGTCCAAAGAAAGCCTTGGGAGTTCTTTCAGTTTTATGGTGGATTTTGATGTATCTCGCGTTTCTCTTCCATCATAAGAGAACCTCCTAGCATCTTTTGGTACCAAGCGCATGCAACCATCCTTCTCTTCATTGGAACTCCAAGGTGCTTGCCGAAGCTTAGCAGGAGCTTGAAATGAGTCATTAACGCCAGAAACCCTTGGCTTTACAAATTTTGGTTGTGATGAAGGCCTGGGAGAGTCTATGTATTTCAATGTATGACCGACTCCATCTTTACCAGCAGGTTTAACTGAAATGCCTCGGGCTTCTCTGTAGGTCGAGTCTTTGACAAGATCTTGCATATCAAAGGATTGCCGGCGCAGGTGCATTGAAGCATTTGGTTGGTTCATGGATAGGTCCCGAGTGTGTTCCTCATTTGAAATGGTTTGGCTGGACAAAGATGGTTCTTGCTCAGCTGCTTTTTTAAATTCAAGGGATGAGAAGCTAGATGAACAAGAAGAAGAAGAAACAGTAGTTCTTGATGATTCTGTGGAGTTTCTGTGTTTCTCTTTCACCACCTTTTTTCGATTTTTATCCTGCAATTGCAAATTGCATATAATGAATCCTTCTCTTTCAATCTGATCAAAAGTTTAAGGCTTCTATTTAAAAGTTAAATCCACTAATGTGATTAAGTGCTGAATTCTTACTGTAGCTTTCTGCAACGTGTTCTTGGACTCTACTGCGTGGTTGCCATTCTCACCTGGAAAAAAAATAATTATATATATATTAACATGTTGGTCGTTGAGAGAATGGCGTGAAAAACACAAGCAAATACGATTAACAGTTCATAAATTATGCATTATGAAACCAGAAACACTAATGAAATATGCATACGTCTTATTTAACAATTTGCAGATGGTTGTGTAAAAATATTGCTGAAAAGTGATCAAATTCGAAACTCTTACAAGTTCTGAGCTAAATTTTGCAAAAATCCAACTTCTCATTACAAACCAACGGTTTTTGAGGAACCAGTTTATTAAACTTCTTTAAGCTATATATGCTGAACTTGTAAAAATGGCAGAGGGAATAAATACCTGGAGGAAGTCTCTTGTGGCTGTTGCCATTGATACGCCGGCCGGCGGGGAAATGGTGGCGATCAAAGAGCTGAAAAATTCCACTCATGCACCCAATTTGCTTATGGAAATCTGGGCTTTCATCTGTTAGAGAGTGCAAAATCTTTGCAGACATCTTCACTTCACCTGTTCTTCCTCAGTTTCACAATCTAACAGCTTACAAGCTTTGAGCTTCCATTTCTGTAATTCCAGGTAGCCAAAGGTTTGTAAATAATTGGGTTTGAAGAATGTTAGAGGACTCAAAAGACCATATAGTTTCAAGAACAATGAGGAGTTTTATGTCTAGCCAGAAAGAACAGAGCTTGTCTGAGTTTTTTTTTTTTTTCTCAAGGCACTATTCTTGTAGCTAGTTAAAAGACTTTAAAGGACTGCATTGAGGTTTCTCTATATTAATAATCTCCTTGCAGAAAAAATAAAAATAAAACTTGAGAAAAAATGAAGTTTCTTCAAGAATTACTTGTTTATTTTGGAGCTCCTCAAAAAAAAATTTATCTGGAACAACAAAGGAGAATGAGAGGACAAGAAATAAGAAAAAACATACTAGTTGCCCAGAATAAGTCCCATACCTTACGGTGTATATATAAAAAAATAAATTGTTTTTGGGTTTCAGAAGAAGGCAGACAATATCTCCCTGCAAAACCAAAAGGAACAAAAGAGACATATGGGAAGGGCCCCAACACTCAACAGTCACCACCAGCCCCACCTTCTAAGGAGTAAAGTAGGACTACCAAAATACAACTGCACCAGAGGGTTAAGTTCTGCAGACCCAAGAAGAAATGTCCTTTGTTTTTTTTCCCCTTTTCTTTTTCTTTCTTTTGGGTTTTCTCACTCTCACAGCACAAAAGAATACTTTGTCCTTTGGCTCCCTCCAGGAAAGGCAAGCACATAAGAAGGTTTGTGGTGTATTTATTATGTATGCAGTGCTCAATACCAGATTGGCAAAGAATGAGAATTGGTGATAACCTTTTATATTATAATTGCATATGAGAGAGGAGGAGTTTTAGTAGCTAAGATTATTGCAATTTTCAAAATCATATATATTATATCAGAGAGTTGGGATCCCAACACTCTTAATTAATCTTGCAATTTGGTCTTCCTCTATTAAAAACCAATTAGAAAACCATAAGTTTTGAAAAAGAAACAAGTGTCATATATAAAATTCCCAAAGAGAATTAGAGGCTAAGATGAGGAGGAAGAAAGAGAGGTGGAGAGAGGTGGGGAGATGTGAATGGGTGGGTGGGTCAGATCACAGATGTGGTTTGTTCATATGTTTCTCTACATTTCCATGTGGGCAAAATTATGGGTGGGTCTGGAGGCAGGCAGGGCCTCTCTCTTTACATGAGCATGTGGATTTGTCAGAGGGTGTAAGAAATAAGAAAGTGGATTTGTGTACTGGCAACCTTTCTTCGCACAGCCTATAAAGCCTTTTCTCCAACCATCCTAGCCAAATTACTAACCTACCCTCCTCTAGATAATCTGACTTCTCCGATGGGAGATATTTTTCCTTCATGCAAATCACGATTTGACGCATGTGTAAAAATAATTCATCAAAAATATATATATAAAAAACTTCTACATACACATGTCAATGTCCTTCATCCAAATCGCAGTTTAATGCATGTGTAAAATAATTCATCAAAAATATAAAAAGAAAACCTTCTACACGCATATGTCAATATAAAAGCTCTTCCTTATGAATGAAGGAATGAAGTATTTTTCATCTTTCAAAGGCGACTTATAAACATTAAACAACTACATAAGAATCATTTTCTTTGCTTTGTTTATATATGATTGTGGTAAATTTTGAGTCTTTCAAATTACTACTGAATTCAAGTATTATAAAATTCTAGTAAAGATGGGAAAAAAGATGCACGTCGGTGGTCAGATAAACACAATTCTTTAAACTCTTTATGCTGAAGCTGCTGGCAAGGATCAGACTCTGCCACTGCAAAGCAGGCTTTATATAAGTATTTAAGCTGAAGATTGGTCGCAATATTTTGTTACAAGTTAAATAATTTCTTTGATGTACAGCAGCAGGACACAGAATATTGCAGATCCTGAAGTCGTTTGGACCACCATAGTTTTCCCAATATTTTTTGTGTAGAAAAGACACACGTTTACAGCACTTCTTTATGTTTCATTTGAGTAATTTTGAGCCCCTTGGAAAATTGCATATTCTCTGTCTATTTGTGTCTGTTTCTTCTTTTCTTTTCTTTTTTCTTTTTGGTGAAAATTCATTCGTAAAAGATAAAAGAAATAAAATGGGAACAGTTGCAGAATTTTTTTTACTTAAGAACGTGTTCCTAATATTAGCCTTATATATCATCTATTATGTTACTGGGCATGGACCTAACTTTATCGCACCAATGTGCTCGTCGGTCATACAAGAAAGTTGAGATTTCAATCCAAAATTAATTAGTAATAAGAGAGTAGTCCAACTCCTTATAAATCATTTTAAGATTTATTAGTTTTCCAATGTATGACAATTTCACTTTCACATTCTCACATTAATTTCTAATAAAATCATAATGTCGGCATGATCATTATGCCTGGACCAGAGAATGTACACTATTTGTACATGTAACCTCTAGTTTTGGAAACTAGCTAGGGTTAGGGTTTAAGCTTTGATGCATGAAGTGCACTTCTTTGTTTCTTTGCTATGTCTTGAAACCAAGTACAATCATTAATACACACCATTAATAGGATCTGTTAAATTTAGACACAAATTTAAAATCGACTGAGGAGTTTATCACTCACGTTTTGTTCAACATAATAATTACCGTACGTCTGATTTGAAATGTGTACAAATTTTTTTTTATAGTTTATGGCTAATTGGAAAAACATGCGTCTAAGTGCTTCCACAAGAAATGTCCTCTGTCAATATAATTCCAACAAGCAGCATGGTCTGGCATTTTGTTTATAAGTTTTGTACATATCAGCAAAAATGGGGTGGCCCAACACTTCAATTTTGTGTGTAAGTATGTCGTTCTTAGTAGACGTCCAACAAGTATTTAGGCATCTAGGGTTCCCAAAATTGTGCACAAGATATACACCTTAATTCCCAGAATACATTCCTTGTGTTGCTTTGATAAATTATCTAAACCCCAACAAAATTTTAAATCACTTTACAGAAACAGATCTGTAAATATGGTACAAATTTTAAGTAAATATTGATGTGGTTCGGAAACCATTGTTTGGGAGTGATTCTGAATAGGATAATGATTTCTATGGAAAATCATTTTAAGTGATTTTAAGTGATTTTATGGAGAAGCACATAAGATGTGCTTTTTCTCAAAATTGCTTAAAATCACTCTAAGTGATTATATGAATAAGCACGTGAGAGGTATTTCTCTCCATAAGTGATTCTGGCCCTCCCAGAATCACTCCCAAACGAGCCCACCAAGCATTGTGTGTTGTTAAAGACAATTGAGCCTTGCAAATTAATTGCCACATCCACACCACCACATACCACATGGTAATTTTGGTGAAGACAGTGAAGCAAAGAGTGGTCAAATTTACTTTCCATTATTAACGATTCTTCCTTGAGTTAAGGACATTGTTCTTATCAATTCCATTGTGATGTCTTTGTTCTTTCATTTGATTAATTGCTACGATTTTGAAGTTGCAGTAAGATAAAGAAAATGACGCACACCCCACTAGCTATAAATGGTGCCTCCTTTTTCAGCTATAGCATTATCTGGGCTATAATCACTCTCGTACTCAGAAATTTTATATATGATTAAGAAAGTCGCATTCATGATCATCTCCATTAATTCGATAAATATATGTATATATATAGAATTAGGGTAGGAGTGGCACGTGCTTTGGTTCAACATGGAGTACGGATATATTAGTCCTTAAAAGCTAGGATTGACCCATTAGACAAGCTATAGTTTGTGAGGAACATTAATTATTAACAAATACACCTTTACATTTTCTTTTTGTCGCCAAATTTAAAAGGGTAGTGGGATTACAATGAGCATAAATTCTATTACAAGATGATTAAAATATGAGACCTTTTTGGAGTTTATCTTGGACCAAAAAGAGCAAAGTTTTAACCTTTTAAGATGTAGGTGTTGAATCCAATCTCCCCTCCCATGTTAGGTGCCACCCAAAATGCAAGCGCGTAAGTGCCGAGCTTTCTATCTACCTATTATGTTTATGGAAAGCACGTTGTGGAAGCAATTCGACATTTTCGCATATACAGACCTGTAAATATTCTAATTTGTACACACAGAATATTACTAAAATCTTATATATGAACATGATGAACATACTGAAATGGTTCTTTTGTTGGCTTTTTATGAGATTGAGATGTACGTAACATACTAACATACCCACATTAATATTATTATATTGATCATATGCGAATGGAGTGAAGATCCTAAAACCCTTTTCAAAAGTATATAGTTATATGCTCAGATTTGTTTAGTATATGGTGTGATGGTGGTATGCATCATCATTTTCAAACACTACCCTGCTAGCTACTAAATAATAAAATATGAGTTAGTTTAATATTGGTACTTGTGAAATAAGTTAGCTAGAGTTTTGCTTGCATGGGAATGTTAGCTAGCTTGCTTTAATTAAACTATTGTTATTACATATAGAGGAATTTCTGGGTGCACTATATTATACGATATAATGGACCCGTTACTATAACTAACTGGTCTAATTCACATCTGCTAAAGCTACTTAATTATTATTTTGTATAGCTGATGCAATCTCTCTTATATGATAGAGAGGGAGTGATCCATCGTGATAGAGATGAGGGAGGTGGGGGGGTGCAGGGCCACATGGGAAAAGTGAAACTATCACATGATGAGGGGATTGCCTATCTGCCTTTTAGCTTAGCTTCATTTGAAGGGGACCAACTAAGCATCTCCATCATAATATCCTAAACTAGGTTCCAAGAAGAAGCATTGCAGCATCAACCCAACATGATTGCCACATGATCTCCACATCCCCACAAATTCTCATCACCCAATTAACTTCAAATCACCACATGAATAAAGAAAACTAAGGGGCTAGCTTTGTGAAAGTCAACAAAAATGGGATAATATCCCATAGATGTCCCAATTATTTATCTAATTTAAATGTACAAATAAAGAATTATATGTGCACAGAATCACGAGAGGGAGTAGGGTAGGTTCCTATACACATTCTTAGGAATTTCATGGGAGGGCCCAAAATTGTGTGCCCATTAAACAAGGTGTGTATGGATATATGGGATTGTTCCACGTTAGAGGGTTTGTTCAATGTTGGGTAATGAAGAAGTCAATATGCCATGCATCTTATTCTACGTGAGAATGAGAGCCTCTTTCATCCTAGCTATCTCACACATCTAAACTTGGGGCGTAAGAAAACTTTATTTATTTATTTTTAAAACACACCAATTATTGGATAACTTTCTCTAATTTTCTGCTTTCATTTCAAGTTTGCATTTTTGCTAATTCTTTTTTTAAGAGGAAAACCAAATTATTAGCAAGTGTCACGTGTACTAAGAAGAGGGACATTAGTGAGATTAAATTCTTTTCTGTTTTTATATGAGATTGGAGATAGCAGCAATAGCAAAAAGTCAAGCACAAAACATGTCCAATCAGTTTGCCAGGTAAGTGGGATCTAAAAGTCGCCTGCATCACATGCCAACCCTGATGAGAAGTTTGAATATACTTCCAGAATAAATAAACAAAAACTCTGATGCGACAATTTCAACTGGTTCAACCAAACCTAAAACCCCAATACAATTTCAGAGAAAAATACCTCAAGGGAGGCTGGCTACGTTTTATGAACTCCACACAAACCAAACCTACTCTGTTTTGTTTTTTTGTATTTGTGAGTGGGTGCATGGGGCCATATGTTTGTTACAAGTCCCTTTTGTCATGATGTGAAAGCTCAGAATTGCCGTAACGATCTTTGTGAACCATGCAGCTCCATGATGGCTCATGCCCCAGTCCCCTTGAAATTGGGTTACATTTCAAACTCGCAGTACACAAAGGACCTTTTGCATAATTGCTCTATTGTATTGTACCTTCTGGTTTTTTTTTTCAAGATCCAAGAGGGATGGGCACTGGACCATAAGGTCGAAGTGTCAACACCAAACCCTTCTAGGTTTCTAAAATGATGAGGAACAGAGAACATTATGGCATCCCAAAGTCATGAGTGTTTTTGGTGCACAACTTGTGGACTGCGCAGTGGTATGGTACAGAAGAAAACAGGGCCATAGTACAATTTGTTTTTATGAAATTGCAGGAGATAGTGACACTAGTACATGCGAAGCCCATCCAATGCCATTACCACGAGTCAATGGCACTCATGGGTAGAGAGATTCACATCCATGTAATATCTGTGTCACTTTTTTTCTTCTTGGTGGTTGGTAACGTATGTTTTTTTATGGCAGAGGAGATATATCACTTGTTTCTAACATGGAAGGGTGAAGCACCAATGAGATGTTAGTTGGATTGGCCAAAGTGTTTGGTGTGGTTCCAAGTAGTCTTGAGTTCAAACTCTTTATGTACTTGTATATATGAATTTCCCTCATCCCCTTCCTAACTTTGGCAACAACAAAAACATGGAAGGGTGATGCAGAAAATTATGTAGGCATGAAAACCTTGCCTATATAATTATATCGATGGCCCTAAACTTACATGGTTAAATTGCATTTTCTGAAATAAGCTTGGTTAAGGGAGCCTTTATTTGAAGCATATGCTTCACCACTGAACTGGTTCTGTCGGTAAAAAGAAAGGCCTTATAGTTTGAGCCCAAAAACATGTCCAATCACAGACAGATGGAGCCCAAGAATCAAGAGAAGCCTTGACCCTCTGAGAGTCATGCACAAATATAGGATGGTGAGCACAAAAATGTTCCAGCAAAACAAAAACCAAAGATTAAAATGCCAATCACACACAACTCTGATAAGTTTGCTCACTAAATATCTGATATCCGAAAATGAAATCAACTGTTCCATTCCTTGATCAAAAAATAAGGATGACATAAGAGATTCTCCAATATGGATGGAGCAGAAAGTAAATTTCCAATGTTTGTTTAAATAAACACTTCAATTACAAGTTTTCGTGGGGTCAATTTTTCTATAACCTATGGCTGTTTTGGCAAGTCACCAGCTCCAGTTGTTTGACAAAGCTTTGGAAGAATACGCCTTTAAGGGATAAGAGCAAACCTCCACATAAGGCACGAAGGATGGCAAGAGCAAAATATATGATATGCAAAACTCATACCTAACGCAGAACGGAAGAATTACAGGTCATGTTGGTCACGTTGGTGGTATCTACAGCATACACCGTACTAAGAACCCTGAGGTAGAAGGGCCAAGATGCACTACTTTCATTAATAGGACTTTGGCCAAATGGCTCTTGCTCTATAAACTCCTGTATATTTTCAGCAGCAGCCAACCCTTCCAGATAGACCCGAAGATCACCTCCAGGACCTGCCATATGTTGCAGTCAGTTTATTTATCAATTGCCTCTAACTCGTTAAAAATTTGACACATAATACCATTCAAACCTTCCTAACAAAGCAAACCAAGTACACAGTAAAGACATTCTGTCATCATGGAGAAAAGGAGCTAGGGATGGATGCCTTATTTCAACAAAAAGGAGTCCTGCTAATTTCAGTTCCTCCTCTCCCGTAACATTGGCCTTTTACATCTTTACCAACAAGTTATTGAAACCCAGAAAATACGAAGGTTCTCTTCACATATAATGTACAACTCCATCTTCCATATTCCATATTGGAGTAGCTGCCAAATCAATTTGCATAAAACTTTTGGATATATATATATATATATTATTTTATTTTTTCTCTTCAGTCTAACATTTGGTTATATTTGTTGCGTGTACATAAGTATAATTAAATGAATCAGAGGATTCATACTGAATACTGAAGGACCGCAACTGGGGAGATCCCATGAGGTGCCCTCTAAACATTTCTCAAAATTACATTGCCTAAAAACTTTCAAAGAAAAATATAAATAATTAAGGTTAAGCGATGGAAGCCAGAATGCAATACTTTCAGTGTATTTGCAGCCTTGTAGGGTACATGTACATTTTCTGAAAATAAAGCAGTTAGGAATCAATTTTTTTAATTACCTAACGAAGTGTCGCTCCCTCGTTGGAACGTGTATGGATGAGGAAAGACTGCAGTATGTGCCTATAAAATGAGAGTTCAATACAAATACAAAAAAAGATTTACGTAACTTATATGAGTAGCCCAAAAGAAGGGAAAAGATAAATTAAAATGAAGCTCACAGGATTAAGCAAGGCTTTGTAGGGGGAATCATCCAACAACAATGTATTTGATTCATTATAAACGCCCTTCTCCCATGGAAGACTAGGGTCGTGTTTTTCCCATATTCTCCTCAGTTCCTTAAAAACCAAGGTCTTATGCCTATTTTCTTGAGTCCTGAAACCTGTTGCAGTGCAATGGGATAGATCCTGCAAAGCCATCATAAAATCCATCAAGATTTCCACAATTAAGATGCAAGGAAATCAATGCTTGAGCTATTTTAAGTGAACATTAGATGATAATTTTAAAGAATCTATGATAAGTCATCAGAAAAGCACAAGAAAGCTAGTTGTAGACTGGTAGAGATGCGTGATTGCTTTAATTGCTTTAATTGTTGTTAGGCTGATACTACACCCTATTAAGTGATTCTGAATTTAGGAAACTATTTTTCTACCAGGATTTAACCAATACACATAGTAAAAAATCAAAACCAATATATTTCGGGGACTACCTTCGACCAAAATGGCCAAAGTCTTGCATGCCTTCCCTCTCCTGTGATCGGGATGAGGTAGATGCCTCCCAGCCCCGGGTGGGTGGGGGCTGGATCGAATCGGAGTTACAAATCAGGAGATTTTATAATTTAAATTCATTGCAAGATCATCTAATTGAGGATATGAGCAAGCAAGAAAGGTCGACTCGAGAATTTTATTACAATTTCTACACACAAGGAGCTAGATGATGCACAAAAGGAACAGGAATAGAAGTGCTTACCCAACAAAACAGCAACTTGTGCTTCATATCACCCATCAGATAATCAAGCACTCGTTCCACAATTCTCCTTCAACAAATAAATAGGTATTGCTGTCACTAATAATACCAATTTATAACAACCAACATATTGCTAAAGTAAAAAGAGGACAAGAAAAAAGTTCTTCCAAAATATGAAGGAAAAAAAAAATCAATTCAACATAAACAAAATAAAGAAAGAAATGATAGCAGACTATAGGTTACTTGGATCTTGAAGACCACACACCCACTTCGAAATGCTCAAAGCAGAACTTAAGAAAATCAAGATAGAAGGGCCTCTTGAAAACTGAACAAAGAAAGTAAAGATGCAATTAAAGACAAAGAACAAATAGAGCATTAGAAGTTTTATAAGTGAAACAATAGTACAAAGAATTTCTCACTTGCCCGGCCTGCAATTCGTTTGTCAGATGCAAGTCCCTTTGGAGGAGGAGAGACTATATCCGCAAGTAGTCCATTAATATCAAGAATAAGAAGCTTTTTCTCTATATCACAAACAGGTGCTCTCACAATTGACCTATTTGAAATCCCTGAGCTGTGGTCCACTTCATTCATAGTTTTAACAGCTCCTGATGAAATAACTACTATGTCATCACTTCTTTCATCAACTAGACTTAAAGTTGACAATCTATGCATATGCTTAGTGTCACTCTGACCATATTCCTGACGCAGGTTATCAGATAGACTAATATCTTGCAGTAGATTTGATTTCTTCGTCCTACGTCTCCTTCTTGTTTTCTTTTTCAACACTTGATTCGATTTCACATTATTTTTGGTAGTTTCCATACCCATCTCCTGAATTCTGACAAAGGAAGGCCGAGGTGCTGAATTTACTAAGAGATTAACTTGCACTTCGCCCTTGGTCATTGAAAAGGAACTAGTACTCTTGATCATAAGCTATTATTTTCTTGGACTGATCGTTTTCCAGTATTTGCCTAAGTAGGTCTGTTTCCCCACGTTTTGCAGAATCTTCAATCATTCCCTTTCTCTACTCGCCTGCAAGTTGTGGGCAGCAGGGACCAACAATGAGCTTTTAACAAGATGAGGAAATCTCATCTTTTTCAATAAATAATATACACACAAGAATCATATAATTCACATGGAAACTGTTAACGTGAATAATAAAAGAAAAGGAAAGAAATTCAAATTGTGGCTGATTTATATTATGATCCATCCATATTATTTCCTTGATTATGGTTGATAAATTGTAATTTTATCATTCCATATATAGGTGGCTGGATCTCTAATAATTTCCAGAGCTCTTCCATGAGCCAGTATACATGAAACTTTCCCCTTCCCATGGATGCAGACACACATCGCCGAACCACATCAAATTTTGTTTTTGTTTTTTCATTTAGGATTTCAACTTGGTGTCAGTGCATATTTTTTTAAAATCCAATTAGTCATTACCAGAGGAAGGATTTACTCTATTGTTGTTCAAGTGAACTTGCAAAAAGGATTTAAGAATATAAAAGAAACAAATAACCATCTGAGATTGGAACTTCAATGAAGAATTACATCCCCACAAACTGTTGGAATTCTTCAAGGCCAGATCATCTCTTATGCATTTATTTTTATAGAACTCTTCACATGGTTACCATTTAAACTAGAGAGTTTCTATGTGAGCTAGGCTGAACATAGTTTTAGAGAATGGTCTAAAACAAGCTTCAGCTTCTCCCAACCTACAAGCTCCAAGAAGAAACTCAACCTCCATCTATTTAGGGCCAAATTTTCTTCCTATGTAATAATAGAATGGTAACTGAATCCACCAAACCAAGAACCAAATGGGCTTATTGGACTGAGCTAAGTTAAACGGGCTTATTGGACTGAGCTAAGTTAAACCTCATTATGAATATGAAGAAGCTAAAACTTGGTATTTTTGCCACGTTCTTTTCTCGGCAAACAAACAGAGCTTCAAAGCAATGAAGAAAGATTCATGAAGACAAATAGAAATCCAACAAATAACAATACTTTGAAACAGAGCAAATCGTAAGCATCAAAGGTACTGCGTAAAAATGTTATATGAACCAAACGACGTCGAATTCATTATGCATATACAAATTCTCAGATTACAGCGCGAAAGAGAGAGAGGGAAAGAGAGATAAAGTTTTGACCTTTGGTGTATCCAGCGTCGCTGCGAATGACGAAGTCCTCTGAGTTCGCGAGAGAGAAAGAGAGCAAAGCGAGGGAGAGGAGTGGGGGCGGATTTATCGGTATGTTTTTAAGAAGATTTCAAAGACAATAACGACCACGTTTCACTGATCAATCGAAGACAACCCACAACCTCAAATGTTAGGTCTTGGCCCGACTTGGTACTACCATGTAAGACTAGGCCCATAACCCATGAAAAATATGATATGGTTCATTACATATAGCCCAATAAGGCTTTGATATGCAAACAAATTTTAGGCCTTGTGCTTGCCCTTTTTTCTTTTCTTTTTTTTCCTTATAAAACCCAGGGATGTTACCGTTAGTGTTTTTTTCGGGGTCAAATTGTTACCGTTAGTTGTGAAGTCACATGTAGGTTTGGGATGACCTTTATTCCCCAAACTTGCATCGCTATGTACTTCTCTAGGTCTTGTTTAGTGGGCTGGACTGAATGAGACTTCTCTAATTAAAATGAATTATAGTCTTTTCTGTTGTTTGATGAGTCTAAAATGCACTTCGGACTAGTTTAGACTCATACCCTATTGTGGATACTAATCCATTTGACAATGGTTTTATAAACCTAAGTGGAACAATTGGTTTCGAAGACACTTTTCGAAACCAAAATTCGACCAACTCCACAGAAATCTCCCATTATGATCTTCGCACCAAGTTCGAGTCCCTTCGCCAGTTGAGCTTTCTATCATAGACAGCGGCAACGAAGGAAGACTTTAACCTCATCCATAAGTAGAGAGACGAGGCCCTAAATCACAATGCCAACCTACTCAAAGTCATCGGAGAAATTCTCGGCGAAAGAGACTCTCTTCGCGACAAAATTCACAAGCTTGAAGCTTCTCTTAGAGATGAGTTTGCATTAAAAATCGATGAGGAGTTGAAAATGAAAGAGGTGCTTGAAACTGAGGTTCGAGTTTCTAGGGAGACAACTTGCGAGGAAAGAGAGAGATGGTTCTTGTTGAAGTGCTTAAAAGCTGCTAAGTTTTTTTTTTTTTAAAAGTCTAAAGCAACTTAGGTTTCTCAAAATTGGGTCCAATCTAGTGCGGCTTTAATGTAGTGTACCAAACAACTCATAGGAGTCCAGCCCAATCAATACTCCAAGTCAAATCTTAACTAATTCAGGTCATACAATTAAGATATTTGAACCTTCCATAAAAGGTTTTTTACTCTGCATTTACCGTTAGTCGTCGTACACATGTAATTCATAATTGTAGATGTATGTAGATCCCTTTATTATGCCTACATGATGCATCAATTAATGGCTATGAATCAATTACATTTCACTAAACCTAGCCCTAGTATTCTCCTTGCCCGATTACATATTTGCCTTCAAATGTTCAATGATTAAAAGTGCTTGAGACTTGTATGCTCATGTCCATTGCTAACCCACTTCTTGAGATATGCACCACGGCCTATGATGATTGATGCCTTGAGATCAAATTGTATGATCCAACTTTTCAAATGAGACTGTCAATCTCGAAGCAAAATGTTGGACCACAGGTCAAACACATGTCATGATGTTTGGGAAAAACTCTTTCAGAGAAAGCAAAGATTCTGATTGGATGAACAAATCTCTTAAGTTTTAGAAATGGTTTACCCTGCCTGTAGTACATACTTTGTGTTCTGGTCAATAGCCATGGCCTCAACTCAAATGATCAGCTGGGTTTCATGATCATGTGCTCAAATCTTTTTCAAAGTCCAGAGAGAGAGCGTGCACTGCCAATTGGGTCTTTTTCCACGTGTTGCTTGTTGCTTTGCACGGAGGATCACTGGGATCATGTGCATATCATGCACAGCATGATTAGCCTACTCTGCCCTACCCCTACATACATATTGCTCACCCATCTCCTCCTTCCTCACTGAACCTAATCTAACATATGCTTTGCTATGATGCCAAAATCTCCAAATGGAATCAAAAGCACAAGTGGTCCTAAATCTATATGACTTGTGCCCATCAGATGTCCATTTCAGAATGTGATATATGTATATATACCTATCTGTACTGGTATTAAAACTTACCCATTATATATATATATATATATATATATATATATAAAGTCAAATTATATTTACCTTCTGTGTTTTTCCATTGTTACTGCAGGCTGCAGCTAAGCTATGATTCATTCGTATTGCATTGAGTTGTATTAGACACGGGTACAGTTGGTGGGTGATGTTGGATGGGCATATTAATATACCAAATCTCTGTAACCTAACCACTACTTTCTCCACCACCCCCTGCAGTTGCCTTGCCTGCCTTGCATAAATAGAAAAGATAGAGAGGTCAAAGCAGGCCAGCACAAGCACTGCGGGAAGGAAAGATCTCAAAATTAATTCAGAAACCAACCGACTTTATTTATAACATATAAGTTATAACCAAAGCAATCATGCTGCTCATCTACCTACTGATCAAAAGAGAAAAGAACACACCGTTTTCAATTCCCGCTTCTTTATTATAGCAAATCTTTGGGATATTGCATTCATCTTTTACACAACACTCTCTGTGCTGTGGTTGTTGAGAAACGTAAAAGCCCTCCCTGACACTAGAAATTTTGGTAAAGGGCTAGAATTTATTAAAGTTGTAAATATTTTAATTTTTCTTCTTGTGCTAAGTTAGAAAAGTTGTAACATTATTTATGACATTCTTGTCATGGCATCTTTTCCTTGAAATTTGTCATGAAATTTGTGACATTTAGGCAAGTCTTTTCTATGATTCTCATGACAAGTCCAAAAAGTCGTTCTATGAATACAATGCATCCCATTTTCCATTCAACCTTGTCACAGAAATCAACAATTTCTTTTTGAATATCTATCATATGAAAAAAGAAATTACATGTAGCTTCTCTCGTAGCATCTCCAAGGGAGATGTCAAATGCAAAATGTTAAATTTGAATTTGATGGCTTATGTGGCAATTTGACATATTGGAAAAAAAGTTAACTCTACCCGAAATGCCAAATATCATATTATTTTATTATATTTTAAAAAATAATATGACCCATATTATGCATAAAATTTTAATATTTATCAGGTGAAAAAATAGATTACACATAGGCTTCCGAGAAATTGCCTCATTAATTGCATGTCCAAACAAATGCAAAGCAACTAACTAACAATTAACAGCATAGCATATACATACATAATATCATTATCATATGCCTTGACAAGCAAGGCAATATATATAAATGCCCACCGCAAATGCTAAGATTAGTCTCATTCCTAAAACGTCGCCGTCATGGATGATTCCAACGCCGACACACCATAAACTCAAATTGTCGCAGCATATGCTAGCCTTTAAGTTTTGAAGAGTCATGTATGAATACGACTGCTTAAATTAAGGGGGGTGTATCCAATTCTAACTTTTAATTACTTTTAATGAGTTTAAAAGTCTGAAGGTATTCAATTGTGACTTTTAAATAGTCTTTAAAAGTTTAATTGTATTCAATTGTGAGTTTTAAAGAGTATTTAAAAGTTTTGAGGTATCCAAAATCTTAATGACTTTTAAAAACTTTGTTAAATAAATAACTTTTCAATACTTTTGAAGCTAATTCTTACTACCAAAAGTCTTGCTAATCTACACCAGATTTTATGAAAATATTGGGAAGCTAGGAAGATATAACCAAAATGTCTCCAATTCTTTCTTCCCTCGTTATATCAAGCAGCAAGCAGATGGGTCTTTTTTCTTCATGGTTAGGGCTCCACTTTTGTAACCCATCTTGTCATCCACTTCCTTCAGTTCAGGTTAGTAAAATTTTTTGAATGTTTTTCTTCCCTTCTCATCCACACGTGTACTTTCCCTCTGTTGATGAATATTTCTTCTATTCTTTTCATCATGCTTGCATCCTGAAGCTTATCAATATTTCATCACAAAGCTATGTTTGCATATAAATATTTTATTATATTGATTGTCTCATATGCTATGTTTGCATACAATATTTTATTATATAATTTTTTGCCCTTAAACCCATTAATTTATTATTTAGGTACTGTTTCTTTACCCATAATTCATTATGTGGATAATTTTTTCATATAATATTCCCAATTTGATTACATCCCACGTATTGAGCTAGGAGAATTGCGGGAATATAGACTCTTGTAATCTGACCATTTCTGTTGGTTTGTGAGTGTTTATGAAATATTATTCGTGATTGAGTAATATTTATTTCTTTTGATAAGAATATGTTACTTATCTATGTGATTAGATTTGATAAATAAAAATTTAAAAGGTGCATTGGATGCATTTTACTAATAAGCTATTATGAAAACATACACAATTAATAAGGATTTGTATTTTTTTTTTTTTTTTTTTTTTTTTTTTTTTTTCCTTTATTTTTTTTGTTCCATGTACTAGTTCATTCAACATAAAAGATAAATGCTATTCGTAAAATTTAAAACAATAAAAATAAGTATTTAAAAGTCTATAAAACTCTGACAAAAGTATATGAAAGTTTGTCACGTAACTTTATCAAGTATATAAAAGTCATTAAGAATTTGTCAACTCTAGGAAAGTCACTCACTTAAAAAAAGTCTTTGAAAGTTAGAATTGGATACACCCCCCTAAGTATCATAATATTCTTCAGAGTTTTATAGATGCCGGCAATCTTCCAATCTCACAACCATATGGCCGACTAGGTCTTTTCTTCTTCTTCTTTTTGAACAAGAAAATATCCCAATGAACAAGAAAATTGAAATTTTATATCCACTTAAATTGTGCTTCAAGCTACTGCCTCCCACGTTAATTAAGGTTAGGAGGATGATCATTGGGTTTGAACTTGAATGAGTTGTGAGCCACCTTCCTACTTCCTAGGAAGAAGTTGGCATTTCTTTTTTCCTTTTTTTCCCTTTCCTCCATTTTTTTTTTTTTTTTTTTTTTTTTTTTTTTTTTTTTTTTTTTTTTTAATTTTTTTTTTTTTTATTATCTATTTCAAGGTAAGTGATTAAGAGTAGTTATCGCCGTAAATAGGGTTACAGTATTGCTTGTATCAATTATGAACAAATACAAACGCATAGTGATTAAAAAAATACAAATTTATAAATAAACCCAATCCTAGATATGTATTTATAAAAAAACCAAAGCACTATTTAAACATAAAAACACACCCAAAATCAACCCAAAAATCAACAATTGTATATTTTTTGGGTGTGTTTATAAATGAGCTTTGAGTGTGTGTAATGATGAGTTTTGGGTGTGTTTATAAAGTGTTTTGGGTGTTGGGTTTTTTTATAATTTCAGCCCCCATTTTGGGTGTTTTAGTGAAACTCCCTTAAAAAAAATGCAATGTTAATTTGATTGTAAAAGATTAATTAAAGCATACTTACTGATAATTTAAAAAAGAAAATTAAGATTTATAATAGTCAAAATCAGACTAATGAGTGACTATTAGTTGAATTAATTAAAAGTTTAACCCAAATGGGAAAGCCCAAAGTTGTTACCAAATTCCAAACTCATCACAAGTCTATAAATACATATTTAAACCTCCTCATCGCAAGTCTCAGACTCTCGTCCAACCGAGCCCACACCTTCTCAGCCATTTGCCATTTGCCACCACCCTCACTCTTCACTTCACCACCCTCCTCTTTTAGCTCTTTTAACTCTTCACAGGGCAGCTTCTCTCCCTTTTCCATCGCTTTCTGTCTCTACATGCTTTACCAAACCAAATGGGCAACCTCTGCGCCTGCCTCGCAACCCAACCCGCAAAGAAAAAACCCATAAAGCGCCTCCCCAACCCGCCACCGCAATCCAATACCAGCAACCGGTGGACCCGTATCCGATCCTCCAGAAAAGAGAAGCTCGACGACGCTTTGATCCAAGAACAAGCTCTCGCCGCCGCGATTCTGTTCCAGCAGCACCAGCAGAACGGTTCTTTGCCCTTTGATCGCTCTGCTTCGCTGCGGTACCCGAATTCGAGCTCCAAGAAGAGCAGCAACGCCTTGCCCCGTAGCTCCAGCTCTCGGGCTCGCTCCCTCACCGACCCTCTCCTCCAGCCTCACCAGCTTGTTAACCAGGTTTGTGCTAATTGGTTTTGGCTAAATTTTGTTAATTTGGATTTAAAGGTTGGAACTTGGAGTGGTTGTGGAGTTAATTTGCTGTTTCCTCTTGTGGGTATTTTGCAATATAGCATTTGATTGTGGAAATTAATGAGATTCTAATTTTGTGATTATGATGATTGAATTTTTTTTCTCGAGTTTTTCTTGTTTTGTTTTTGGAAAGGAAATAATGACTGAAAGGTCTAGACTTGGTTTTAGGGTGGATTTCCATTTTGTTCATACTAACTGGTTTCTTGGGTTAATTTTTTTCTTCATCCCGAGGCGGTAATATTGGGCTGTAAATATTTGTTGTTCTACTTTGTTTGTATCATCTCTTCTCTTCTCACACGTGCACAAACTGACAAACACATGCACGTTTGTATCTGCATAGGTGTATGCCTCTATTTGTCGGGACGTATTTTATGTTAAGGATATTGGACTTTTGTTTTAACTAAATTTCATATATTTGGAAATTTGTTTTTTCTGTTTGGATGAAATTTACATTTTAACGCATGCCGATGTTTATACATCATGTCGAGAACTGGACGTCATGACTACGCATTTAAATAAAGATAAAATTATCAAAGAGAATCATGGTGATGTTTACCATGTTGTTCTATGAAATTACTTTGTTGTGATTGCTCATATATGCTCCATTTTTTCACTGACAATTGATAGACAGCCACAAGATATAGAGGGAATTTGTAAAAGAACAAAAACAAAATTCCCATATTTTTTCAATTGTTGTCATTGAATCGTTGATGAATTCTTTTGGTTCCTAACAAGTTTTTGTTTGGATAGGATGTAAAGCTTGATGATCTGGAAACCAACCATTTTGTCCTTGTACATGGAGGTGGCTTTGGTGCTTGGTGTTGGTATAAAACCATAGCACTTCTGGAGGAGGTTGGTTTTAAAGTTACTGCCATAGACTTGACTGGCTCTGGAATTCATTCATCTGATGCAAACAGTGTCACAAGTCTTTCTCAATATGTGAAGCCTCTTACTGATTTTCTTGAAAACCTACCAGAGGGAAATAAGGTACATTCAATTGCTTTCCAATTATTTTGCTAATACCTAATCTTATTTGTGCTGCTGTTTTAGCTTGAATGGCATCTTATCAATAGTTCACTGCCAAATTTCACATAGATCAATTGCATTGTTGATCACAATAGTTTTGTTGCTGTCAAGTTTGTGACTTTGCATTCCTTTCAGACTGTATAACTAGCTAATGTTTTAATGTTAGTCATATAAACAAAACTAAATCATCTTTGCTTGCACTTCAAAAATATGATAATGCTGCACATTGATAAGATAAACCTGATGCACAGGTCAAATTATCTACCCATATGGAATGTATTATTTACTTTCGGAAACGTATTTTATAGAGCTGTATATGGTGATAGTTACTTGATGAAATGTCAACAGATAATGTTCATGTAGCTGTTAGCTTATTGGGTGTGTGTGTGTGTGTGTAGCTTAGGAGAATTATTTGCTTTTGCCTTTCAAGTATTTTGGATTCATACATGAGCTAAATTTATTGTTTGGTACATAGACTAATATAATTCTTGAGTATATAACTTCCTCTCTGTTTCTATCTTTTGTTCTTTTTGTATTATGCAGGTAATCTTGGTGGGTCATGATTTTGGTGGTGCATGTATATCATACGCAATGGAGTTGTTTCCACATAAAGTTTCAAAGGCCATTTTTATTGCTGCAGCAATGTTGAAAAATGGACAAAGTACTCTTGAAATGTTCTCCCAACAGGTTTTCCCTCAGCCTTTTATCTTTTAATTTGATAATCTATAATTCACACTAATGTGAATGAATTTCAAAAACTGAAATTTGATAATGTATTTCTTATCGCTTATAAAGAATATTAAATAGAAATATAATCTTACTAGAATTAGGAACCTTAAATATGCTTAGATGGATGTGATTAGCATTGTATTAGTCTACTTTTTTTGAATTCACGGCTCTGAGGGTCTTAGAGGGATGGGCTTCTGTGAGTGCTGAAGTCCTAGTCATGAGTACCATAATTCTATAAGCTTTATACAAGTTGATTGAGTGACTAAGGCTTAAAATTATTGCAGGCCACTTCAGATGATCTTATGCGACAGGCTCAGATATTTTTGTATGCAAATGGGAATAATCAGCCTCCAACTGCTATTGATTTAGATAAATCAATGTTAAAGGATTTGTTATTCAACCAAAGTCCTGCCAAGGTATGTTTCTCTTCTTTTAATATGCTAAACTACAAATGATGATTTTCCATTTTTCCAGATCAGTTGGGCTTATTTCTTTTTGCTTCTCTTGGTCTAGGATGTCGCATTGGCATCTGTTTCGATGAGGCCAATTCCCTTTGCCCCAGTTCTGGAGAAGCTTTCACTTTCGGATTTGAAATATGGATCGGTGAGGCGGTTTTATATAGAAACATCAGAAGACAATGCCATACCCATCACAGTCCAGGAGAGCATGACAAAAGAAAGCCCTCCTGAACAAGTCCTACGCTTGAAGGGTGCCGATCACTCACCTTTTTTCTCAAAGCCCCAAGCCCTGCACAAGTTATTGGTGGAGATCTCAAAGATTTCTTCTACTTAGAAACACCTTTTCTTTTCTGGCTAGATGGCTTCTAGAGAACGTTTCGTTCTGATTATCCAGCGACACGATAGAAATGCCACCGGAATCATCAGTAATTCATGCAGTTGCATTAGATAGGATGGCAAGTAAGCATGTAAATGCAGATAGGATTAAAGTTATGTGTTATCGGTGCTCGTTTTATTGCACATGAGAGTTATGTTCACATAAGATGTATTTTTGAGGTAATTTTCAAGGTTTGATGCACTTTTATCGCATGAGAGAATCATTGTTAGATGTTTACTTTGAGTGAACATGCAGCAAATCAACATAACATGTATTAACTTTCAAGCCAATACCTTTGCGTATAAGAGAAGGTTCTGGAGAGGCATTAACAAATCACTTCAAAATTTCCAGAATTCAACCATGAAGACATGCTTGAAAGCAATGAGACATTAATCCTTTTAGGTAAAGTGAGTTGGACATGTCCACCCTCACTACCATGGGGGCGCAACACTAAATCATTGATCCCAACCCACGCCACGTGTGATCTCCAACCAATATTGGCATGCCACCTCAGAAAATTGACCACGTCTCTTAAAAACAAAATCTAAAAACACAAACACATACTCTCTCTTTCTTCAACTTAGAAAGAAAAAAGAAATTTACCCCCTCGCCTCCTTGTTTCTTTGGCAGTTGGCTCCAAAAGTTAGGCCCCAAGACGAAGCGAGAACAAAGTACGTTTATCTAAATAAATTTCTCACACACTCTCTCTCTATTACGCTTCAATTTCAGATCCATTTTGTTATATATCGTTATTCTTTTGGGGATCAAAAGAATAGGGATCTTAAAATGTTTTATTGGTCACGATCTGATGCTTTTGTCTATACATGTTGTTCCTTCAAATTCTGAATTCTTCGTTTCTGTTTTCTGCAATTTCATGTATATTTCCTGGTTACATTGGCCAAATTATTCATGTAATGTTGTAATTATCGTCCATGTGATTTCTTAAGCTGGTCCTGGTGCAGTTTCTTATAATGTCCCCATAATCTGTTTCCATTTAGTCCTTGTTCTTAAAGAAAATTGAACCAGCATTGAGCTACATTGTTGTTTATTTTAGCTGGTTTTGTATATATGCTTCACCATGCTGTAAAATTGTAAATTACCCCATTTTAATTTTCAACTACAGGTTTTCTTGTAATGAACTCTTACATGTTGTTGTTTTCCATGTGTTTTCCCTTCCCTCCTTGAAATAACATGTGGGATTTGGATTTGTTGCTGAAAAAATAGGAAGAGAAATAAAAATGGGGCGTGGACGTGGAGTCAGCTGCGGTGGTGGGCAAAGTTCTTTGGGCTATTTGTTTGGAGGTGGAGAGACTGCTAATGTTAACAAGACCCCATCTAAAAGAACTCAAAACCCAGTGAGGGCAGCAGGGGAGGCTCCTTCTCAGAATGAGACTGCTCCTGCTCCTGCTCCAGCTTCAGTTTCGTCACCGATTGATAAGCAGCAGATAGCAGCAGGCCTCCATGGCAAGCCTACAAACAATTACCACCGAGCTGAGGGCCAGAACTGCGGCAACTTCATCACGGTATAAAATCCTTCTTAATCTTAATTGCTCCACTTGGCTTGTGGTTTTTGTCAATGTATATAATAATGCATCAAAAGTTCAGGAGGGATATAATGTTTTTTGCATGCAGGATCGTCCATCTACCAAGGTTCACTCTGCTCCTGGTGGCGGATCATCGCTTGGTTACTTGTTTGGTAGTGGGAACTGAGTAGTCTTGCTTCTATTCTATGGAATTAATGCATCAGCAGCTGAATATTAAGCACGGATGTTACATACTTTTATGATAATATATATTTATCTGTAATATAATTCAGAAATATCCATGTCTATATATATTCCAAAAACTGTGGCCTTCATTAAGTGATATGATTTGTGCTGTTTGCTTATTTAGTGGAAACTTCACACAACAGTTCCCAAGCTTCAATTATATAGGCTTTCTTTTAGGTCTAACTTGGACATGCTCAAATTTTAAGGCTAAATGGATGGATTAGCTCAGTTGATGACGGAGAGTGGGATGATGAGTTAGGATTAAGCAAAGTTTAGAATTTTGATTCCTTCTAATGTAACCAAAGTTGGTTATGATTGCAGGTTCGAACAAACTAAGGTAAATTTGATCAAAGTTAGTTATGATTATAGGTTTGATCAAATTAAAGTTATAATAACCTACCCGAATTCACAACCTAGCAATATAATCGGAACGATTAAACTCGTTAAGTATCTTAAGTTGAGTTCTAGTATTTTCTACTGGCAAGTTGAGATTGAAGTTGTAACACTTTGTAGTTGAGTGTGTGTGTGTCTTTGCCTTCTACCGGCCTCCGAGGCTGCAAACATGGTTCGTTTGGAACAGAGTGGAATCCAACGAGAATTACTTGTTTCAACCGTCGATTGATCCCAGCCGTCCACTGTTCCACGTGTCAGATTGCGCTATTGGTTCTATTCTATACTAATTTTACTCCATATGGTCTTTGGTTGGATGCAGATGCAGTCCTATCCGTCTGTGTAGTAAAACTCTTCTTTTTCTTTTTCGTTTTGGGACATGAAACGCTTTGCAATTTACTTACAATATGTTTTTTTGAAACCCAATTTATATACAAGACCCTGCTTTAAAAACAAGTGAAGGCCAAAAAAAACAAAAGTGAAGTCAAATACAAATAAACTAATAATGGAATTAAACAAGAGGAGGTAGACGTGCGTTAGGTCCGTTAGACATGGCAATAAGTCAATTCCTTGCACTCAAATTCGAATTCTCATTCTCGTAAATTAGATTAATTTTATTTAAACTATAGTTTGTATATTATTAGTATGATTTATTTTTCAACTTTCAAGAAAAAAAGAGAGTATATGGTTTACAAATATAACAATAATGCATTAAGTTCAGCAAATAAAATTCATTTTAATCACATTTAGTTTCTCCAAATTTGTAAATGTCCACAAATCCAAAAAAGAATTCTAAATTACTTTTGCTAAACCTTTCCTATTAAATGAAAAATAGAGAAGAAGAAAAAAAGGATCCAGAATATAAATCAAACTCATAGATGATAATAGCCGTCTATTGTAGCGCATGAAACTCCAACGCACTTGGCTACGGTCCGATAGACTTAACCTCATTAAGCCTCAGCTAGGGTTTCGTCTCTCCCTCTCTCTCTGCTCTGTCTTTGCTGCAAAAGAAAAACCAGTTGCAGCTGCAGAGAGCTTGAACAATGACGACTATTTTGCCAACCTCGGAGGAAGATCCCGCTCTCTCCGTTGTCCGATTCACCTCAGAGCTCTCCTGGGCCGACGCTGGCCCTGAGGTACTCCTCTCTCCTTCTCCGCTCCATGTTCTCTCTGTAATTATCTCAATATGCCTGCTCGAGTTCTCTTCGGTCACAAATTAATCTCTTTTATCTCCAATTCGGTGGTCTAGTGGTTTTTGCTTAGCGTCTTAGATCGAGTAGTTGAACCAAATTTTAGGGTTACTAGTATATAAATCTGTGATTAGAAACTGGATGATTTTTATTATTAAAATTTGTATTTCCGTCCATGGTGCTGGGAATGTGGTATTGAGTAAATCAAGGGGATAAGAATGAGGCTTCCTCTCGTTAGATATGTTATGTTATTTGCTTAATCCTAAAGCAGCTTATGTAATTTGTATATCAATAGTGTGCATATGTATATCACTTGTATGCACGGAAGTTGGTGAATTCCTTGGAGAAATTTATCTTTGCCATGATTATCTGCCAGGTTGCTGAGCCACAAGTCAGTAGATTATGCACGGAAGCCCAAGAATGCATGGTGATGGCCAGGTGGTTCGATTTGGTGTCACTCATGCTAACTTCAGCCGATGTCATATTATCAAAGGTCTCTGAGAAAGGTAAAATCTTATTGTGAATCTTTATGTACTCTTTTTTTTAGAAGTTAAATGGATAAAGAGGCTTAGAAATGCATGACTCTGTATTGTCACGCATTTACCATTTACTAGTTGATGCGAAGAACATGTTGTTGATGGTGCAGAGTTTTTTCCTGCAATCCTTATTGTCTGACTATTATATCAATGTTTACTGCAAGTTCTTTAGCAAATTACTTCAAAATAATGCAAATGTTTTTGGTCAGTGAGTGGGATGCATATTATTGTAGGCATTGCTAATGTTCATTAAAATGTTTCATAATCATTGTCGGACAATATGGACATTAGTAATCACTTCATTCAACGCACAATGATAATTAATTGCTAGCTTAACGGTATCACATTGTTTGTTTTCTTAATGTCTATGTTCGTCAAACTTTTGTTCACATACACAATAATTCTTGTTGTTTTCCTCTTCAGATCTTGAGTGCATATTCACTGTTATCTGCAATGTTGTTACAAAGTCTGAAAGTCCAGATGAAGCTCTCGAGATGGCAAAACTTATATCCGCAAAGATTACTCAGCAACCAAGTGATAAGCCTGCGTTGCGCTTAAAGATGTAAGATACCATTGTGATTGTGACCCCATCTTGCATGCTTTTGAATGTACTTCCGACACTTATACTTTTCTTTACAGCTTGTTCAATCTGTACAACCTACTGGAGAATCCATATAGCCGGTTCTTTGTCTACTTGAGTGCTCTAAATTTGGCAATCAATGGAAAGGTCACTGAACATGTCATCCCTTCATTCAAGAAGATAGAAAGTTTCTTGAAAGAGTGGAATATTGGGGTCTCGGACCAGAGGCAACTATTTCTTACCATCTCAAATGTTTTAAGAGAACACAAAAGGTATGCTATGTAGAAATTGTAAACTTTTTTATGTGTACATGCCCCTGCTCAATCGGTTTTAGGAATAATTGATTACTTTTGTGTGTTGTATTTTCAGCTTGGCAAAGGAGTCTTTCAAATTCCTGAGCAAGTACTTAGCTACTTTTTCTGGTGAAGATGCATATATATTGAGTGAAGCCAAGGAGGAAGCTGTGCGCACAATTGTGGAATTTGTGAAGGCCCCTGACTTGTTTCAGGTATTGTAGGGTCTTGTGGAATTTCAAAGATTATGCATGCTAATTTAGTGGTCTACATTTCTCTTGATGCATGCTCATCCTTGTTTACTTGTGTTACATCCTTTACAAATATATGTTTCTTTCCTTTAAAAATATCTCTTCTTATGAGGTAGATCCAGTTAATTGTGCAGAGACAATTTAGTAGTTTGAATTGGCTCGTATAAAGTAATTATTGATATTAAGGTTTTTCTTGCATTTTGAAGAAGCTCCTTCTAACATTCATTTGGATTCAATAAGTTTCCTCTGAAGTTACTTATGAAATTTGTTATGCTTTTGGACTTTAGTCTGTATTGACCAGTTGGAGTGCTGATCATAACTCCCAAACAACTGGGTTTTTGGCATTTGTCACTGATGACCAAAATCCCCCCCAACAATAGTTGTTTAGGTGCTGATATGTTGGTGTTATTGCTCTGCAGTGTGATTTGCTAGATATGCCTGCTGTAGGGCAATTGGAGAAGGATGCTAAGCATGCGTTGGCATATCAGCTTTTAAAGATCTTTCTGACTCAGAGGCTGGATGCTTACTTGGAGTTTCAGGCTGCAAATTCTACTTTACTGAAAGGCTACGGTAAAATATTAGTTTCTTCTGACCAAGTCTTCTTCAGCATTATAATAGATTTTTTATTGCCGTCTAAATTATGCTTTATTAAATGTTATAGGACTTGTCCATGAAGACTGCATAACAAAGATGAGGTTGATTTCTTTGGTGGATCTTGGCTCTGATGAATCTGGACGAATTCCTTACAGTCTTATCAGAGATACACTTCAGGTTAGATTGGTTTACCTTTCTGGTTCTAAAGGTTTTCCTTTCACGTCTTGGTTAAGTATGTGCTTATGAACTTGTTTTTGGCAGATTAATGATGAGGGCGTCGAACTTTGGGTGGTCAAAGCGATAACTGCTAAGTTAATGGACTGTAAAATGGACCAGATGAATCAAGTGGTGATTGTGAGGTAAGTTTGTGTTTCATACCTTGTGCGCACACACAAACAAACATATATTTTTTTATTCGTTCTTTCATGCTTCTTTGTTCTTGAACTGATTTAGCCATTGATCTGCAGCCGCTGTACTGAGAGAGTATTTGGGCAGCAACAATGGCTTACACTTAGATCAAAGTTAGCAACTTGGAGGGTAAGTAACTGCCTACATCTAGTGCTTCATGCTTTATTTTTCATTCTTGTTTAATAATTGCCAAAGAAACGAGAATTGATTCATTGTACTGTATGAAGACCCACTCTTTTTGTTGCGCTGCCCATAAATCTCATAATTGAATTTGTATATTGACAAAGTTATCATTGGCAGGGTAATGTTGCAAATGTTATCAGCACAATTCGAGCTAACAGGATAGCTGAAGATGGCTCACAGGCAGTGCAAGGCTTAGTTATTCGTTAGAAAATTCTTGGTTATGTGGGTTCATGGCTGACTTATGAAAGCTTGAAGTAGTATTTATGATTCCCAATTATTTTCCCTTTGGACTTTGGATCCAAATGTTTTGGAAATTTTGACAGGAAAAAGGTCTCTTGTTATTTACAAATCTTATGATTATACGCTTGGTAAATGATGGATGACTGCTTATATATCATCAGCAACTTCTGTTGCGTTTGACAGGAAAACTCTCTTGTTCTGAAATTCGAATATGTTGGTGATGAATAATATATTTCTGAGAGCAATTGCAGCCTAACAGGTGATCTTTCTCGACCCCATTAGGATTCATTTTGCAATTGTCAGGAGTGGACAGGAAAACTCGTTTTGAGTTTCTTTCCACAAGATTTGGATCTATGACCTTACTATCCATCCGAATCCATCGTTAGCATCACTGGGATAATATCCCATTGAATAACTATTAGATCTAGATGCAATAAATATGATGATATTGTGTCAAATAATTAAACAAAAGTGGCTGTAATCTGTTGGTTGTGCCTATCATGATTGGGAGGGGAGGTCTAGTGCCAAATGTTTGAATGAAGTTGGAAAGCTGCATAGTGTAAATGCAAAGAAATTGCCTGGATACCATACATAAGCTTATTGCTTTCTGTCAACCCAGTCAACTTTTTGTCTGATTACGTGGTTTACTTTCTTTTGTAGGGTGGGTTGTAGACTAAGTGTCAACACTGTTTTGTGGGGTCTCTTTCTTTGTGGTTCTTGTATCTTGCATCGACTGGGCTGAGGGATCTGGGCAAGTTTGTTGTTTTGTGTTAATTTACTTGGTAATTTGCTCATTGTTTTCTGATGTTTGAATCAAAGACTTGCATGTCAAATTTGTGCAGTTCGTCTAAGCACCCACTTTGCTTAATTCCTTTTTGGGGTAGACGCAGTGGACTTGAGGAGTTAGTTAATCCTTAGTTATATTACTTACGGCTAGAAATGAACCGTAAAAATATATACCATAGTTAATCATAATTGAAGGATTTTTCCTTCAAAATTTGTAAGTCCTTGTTCTAACCACCATTTCTTTTTTCTTTGGGGGCCAAATTCTAACTACCATTCCTAGGCGTAGTTGTGAACTTGTAAGGGAGTCGGTCGTACGCGTGTTTGGATTCTTACACCGGTCTTGAATCTGGAAAAGCTTTTGTGTCGAGTGACTCTCAGCTCTCTATCCATGAAGACCACAAAGCATCCACATCCACATGACAAAACATCTCGTGGCGTAGTCGACGGGTGTGGTAGCTGACTATACAGAATTTGTACAGAAATTAACTAGAGATGTGAAAGGAAAATAAACTAGGACCACAAACACTACAATCAATTGAAATAAAATTGATGGGGCAAAGGAATATCTTGGCGAGATGTTATTGTGGAACTTGGTTGTGTGTGAGAATTGAGTTACTTGACAGCGGAATGGCTGTCTCGTTTGATATTTTCCATGATTTCAGCGAAATGGCACAGAAGACTTTTAGTTTTAGACTTGTCCAAACAAGCTGCGACCCCCTGGCATTTGCACATGCTCGCTTGCTTCTTCATGTTTGAATGTTTCATGATTTCACGGGGAGTATGCAGCCAGGAAAAAAAGGTTAAAGAAAGACAAAAAACAAACAGCATGAACCCTCTCACTAGGGGTGGCCATTTCAACTGAAAAATCCTAGTACTAGGAGCATTTGGCATGAAAATTCTCTTATGTGATGAATATTTCCAGGAGCAATTACCAGGTGATCTTTCTTCACCCTATAGCAATGTTTAGAGTGGATACAACTCACTCATGATTAGTTCTTTCCATGAGATTTTGGATGTAATATTCAAGTATCCATGACCAGTTCCTATTTGCATTGTTCTTATGTAAGGAATGTAACTTAACTCGAGATTTATCTCCAAAGCTAACGGTGCAATTTAAGGAGAACTCCCCCTTATCCTTTTACGCACAATTTATTCTCCAACATAGGACAATTGTATTTGATTCACAAGTCCTAACAAAGTTGCAATTTATTAAAATATTACAATACTAAATCTTCTATAATGATCTTGGGACAAACATCTATAGTAAACGTAACCTGAGTAAACGACTCATTGCCTCTAATTTTTCATTCAATTAATTTGGTTCAAATACAACTGATATGAAACATTGATGTAACATATTTACTATCCCACTGAAATCATAGTCCAGGCCCCTCGATCGTAAGTGCCTATGCTTCTAGCCACATTGCTCATCATCTTCCATTCTGATCGTTAATCTCAGAAAAGATTGTCCCGGATATACGTTGAATAGATTGATCGGTTGCACAAGTCAGCTCACTGCTACTAGCTTTGGCAGCAGTGTCACTGTAAAAGGCAACCTCATTGTCACCCTTAATTCCAATGCTCTTTTGATGAAGCTGCAAGGCAAGCTCAAGCTCCCTCAAAACATCATTCATCGAAGGCCGGTCAACCCCATTATCCTGGATGCAGCTCACAGCGATCTCACCAAACTTATTCAGGCACTCGGCTACAATCATACCCCTCAAACTTGGGTCGATGATTTGATCAAGTTCACCATCGCGATGACATCTCCTGGCCCACTCAGGAAGGCTCATTCGAGTCCCCTCCGCCGTATGAATCAAAGCTGGCTTCCCACACAACACCTCGCACAACACGACACCAAAGGAGTACACGTCAGACTTCTCAGTCAGCCGTTGACATCGATAGTATTCCGGGTCCAAATACCCGAAACTACCTTTCACCGCAGTGCTGATGTGGGTTTTGGACATGGTGGTTGTGCCCATTTTGGACAACCCGAAATCCGAAACCTTTGCCACCCATTTCTCATCCAATAAAATATTTGTGCTCTTCACATCGCGGTGAATAACAGAGCCCTTGGCACCGCTGTGAAGGTAGCACAACCCTTGCGCTGCACCAATACAAATTTGAAGCCGTTGTTCCCACGAAAGAGGTGGGTTATCGGAGCGGTAGAGATGGCCACCGAGAGTCCCACGTGCCATGTAATCGTAGACCAAGATCATCTCGCCTTTGTCGGTGCAGAACCCAATGAGTGAAACCAAATGGCGGTGACGGAGTTGAGAGAGCAGCTCGATTTCTGTCTTAAACTCATGAGCCCCTTGTGATGACTCTGGTTTCAGTCGTTTGATTGCAACAAGGGTGGCGCCACCATCAATACAGCCTTTGTACACGTTACCAAATCCTCCTACTCCAATAATTAAAGTTTTATTGAAGTTTTGGGTGGCAGCTTTGATCTCAGTAAGTGAAAAGGAACGACACAAATCAGACGGTAAAGATGACTCGTAGGTCTTTGTTGACTTAGTCGTCCCTTGGGTGGAGCCAGAGGACTTGACTTTCCATCTTTGTCTGAAGACAAGGAATGTGAAGACAGAAAGCACCAGTACGCCGGAAACTATACCGGCGACGATGGCAAGCATACGTGTCCTTCCCTTGTTTTTGGGTATTTTTGAGCTTGACGTCGTACCCTTTGGTGGGTCGGGATCGGCGAGATTACCACTTTGGTAAATCAGTTTGAAGATTTCGAGACCATTCAGCCATGCATTTTCGTTGGAAGACACTAGTTCTTGTGCGATAGAGAGATTAACTTTGCTCTCGGGTCCGGGGCCAGACATAAACACTCTGTAGTCCATATAGATTGGAGTCTCATTTTCAAAGACAAATGGAAATGTCTCTGGTATGTCACTGTAACTGTATCGTGAAGCGGTTTGATTGGCTATGTAAATATGAAACCACTGATATATTGTAGCGAATTGAAACTGACAAAAATGAAGCCTAACCAGGTAAGAAAACATGGAATCTACAGGGAATTCCCAGGTGAGATTGACGTAGATCTCGTTCATGGTAACGTTTGTTTCCGTCGACCGGGCAGTTTGGTAAACTTGCTTTGGCGCTGTGTACGCTGGTATTTCAGAAAAGTTGAGTTGAATACTCAAGTTTTGTGTCGGAACGGATCTTGTTAAACTTAAATTGTCCAAGTAATTCCGCTCCTCTCTGAAACCATCCCAATTGCGGTACATGCCAGTGTCTTGATTGGAAGAGATTGAGTTTCCACCGACGTTTATTCTGTAGACCATCTCTAGAGCAGTGCTGTTGTCGAGGGAAAAGTAGCTTCCGGTGCCTATAATTTCAATCTGACGGCCACTTTTAGGTAAACCGTAGTAAAGATGGGCGGGCATGGACACAATTTCAATTCCGTTGATAAACGCATACGCATCTGGGATTGTTATGCTCGGAGTGAATGTGATGTCCAAGCTCTCTTCTTTATCCATGTTCAAACAGAACTCTTTGTATATTCTGTCCAACCTAGACGCATCGGCAGTGACCGAAGCATTGAAGTCGTGAAGAAGGTTAAAGCCCCCGGCTTTGACTGAGAAGAGGGCTTTGGATCGGTCAAAGTCAGGGCCATAAGAAACTGGGTTGAAATACAAGCGGATGAACTTCGGGCCGCTAGTGAGTTTAAAACTGTAAGTGAATTCAGAGAGAGAAAGTCGCACTGTGGTGTAAGGCACTTGTTGGACGGTGTTCGAATGAGGTGCTTGTTTGAATATGGATGTGTTACCAACTGCTTGGCGTTCAAGGGGGGAAAATTTTGAGTTGATATCTCCAATCCAATTTCGGCCATCATCTTCACTGATCTTGTTGCCGGAATAGCCACATTTGACGGTGAAATCTTCCACCGGAGTGTAGATAGGTAGCGAATCTCCAGCCGCCACGAGTAGGATGACGATGGTGGACAGAAACAAGGAAAGGTAATTGCTGATTGAGAAGTTGTTCATGATACTATTATATATAGCAAGAGAAAGAGAAGGTTGAGGTGTTAGTGTTGATGGAGATAAAATGGGAAAGCTGCTTGCAGATACGAATGTAAGTGCTTGGGTTCTTGCCCGGTTTTCTGTACTCTGCACTTGCTACGCATTTCTCTTTGATATATTTTTTGATGTCTGATGATTAGTCTAAAGACGCGCAAGTGGACTTGACGATTGATTTGGTCCCCAACAGAAGGATATTCTACCGAAATTTCGAGAGAAACTTTGCGCTTGGAAAATTTGGAGAGAAATATATATATTTTTTTTATCATGTAAACATATGTTGTTCATTTTGACCTTTTGGTAAGGTAGATTAATGTATCTTATGTGCATTATACTTATAATAACAACTTTTTTGATTTGGTCTATATGGGTTATGATTTTTTTATTTTTTTTTATTTTATAGCCATACATGTTTAAAATTCAAATTCAAATTCAAAATTTAAGAGTGACAATGCTTCAAATAAAAAACTTTTAATTTGTTTCCATTATTTACCTTTAAGAACAAAATAATCATGAAAAATAAGAATAAATGCAAATTGGGCCACGATATTGGGTTTGAATTGAAAAGCCCCTAGTTTTAATGATGCTAATGTACCTATCAGAATTTCCCTCTTATATTATCAAAGTAGGTGCACTAATTTATCGTATGAACAAATCGTAATGACAAAATATACGTTAGATTTTTATTTATAATATAAAAATATGTATGATGCACATGTTATGTCATTGTTATTATGAAATAGAGCCATTTATTAGGATTTCGTCATTTATTGAATATTAGTTCATGTTTTTACCGGACTTTAATAAAAATCCCTAACTCGCACTACAAGAAAAATGCCTATTTTGTACACTATTTGCGACGGTAAATGCGGTTCATGCAAATACATGTAATTTTGCGCCGCACCAACATAATTGTGACATCTTAATTAGTAACGTTGCATCTCACGTCGCAAAATAAGTTTGAAAGTGTTAACTTTGCAACGTTACTTGATTGCCATCGTATATCTCCTAATTGAAGTTAGATTTAGGATGGAAGACAAAGCATGAAAACTCAAAATTTTGAGGAGACGCTTTAGTTTCCCGCACAAAATCACAACCCGATATCTTTTGATTACTTTTAGCCCCAAATCAATACAAGTTTCTCATTACTCTTAGCCCCAAATTGATACCCAAAAAGGCCAGAGATCACTACAACAATCGGTTGGTTTCTCGCTCTGTCATTCTCTATCTCTCCTTCCCTCTATCAGTCTCTTTATTGGGCTTCTCTAATTTATTTGTGTTTTGAATTTAAGAATTTATTGCTGTAAAATTTCTAGGGTTTTAGCCAATTCAAAGAGACGATTCGCACCTTATCAACGATTTCTAGATTTTGGGAACCCTTCCTCCTCTGATCAAGGTATGTATCTGGTGTGGCATTTTTCTCAATTTTTTTCATTAGTTTTATGCTTTTCCCAATCATGGTTTATGGAATTCCTTGGTTTTACTCCCTTTCCCTTTTGGTTTATGGATTTTCTATTTCTTTGTGTTTGTCTTTGGGATTGTATCACTCCTTGCCTTTAGTTTATGTGGTGCCCCTGTAGCCTTCTATTGTTCGGTTTTAACTAAATCTCTTTAAAAAAAATTGTTATTTAAGTATTTGGTGTTCAGATGACTAATTGTTGATTTTATTTAGTCCTATTTGATCATATTTTGTTTTTGTATTGTATGAAATTTGGTTTCCCTTGTTCTTTTACACGACCATGAAACTTACCCCCAAATTTTCTATGTTCGTAATTGTGTAAATAGGTTAGGAGTTATCGTAGTAATGAGTCTTTGACTTTGACTACAGTTTTGGTTTGGAGTTGGCATAGCAGCCTTTGAATTTGACCATAATTGTTTTATTTTCTCTGAAAGTGAGATTAGACTTAATAATGGAAGAGTAGACTATATGGTATTGGTTTTTATAAGCCCAATCATATGTTTGTGATGGCTTCACTCTCTTTGTACAATAACAAGATAAAATTAAGTAAATTAAAAGAAAGAATAGTTTTCATTTGGTTTATACAAATGTTGTAAGTCGGTAAAAAAATAAAAATAAATTCACACCATTCTAGTAGTTCTTTGAAAAATTGAAAATTAGAATAGGTTTCATTTAGAACTAAAGCACTTTGGGTTTGTTAAGGTTGTTTGTATTATTACAATTAGTATTTATGATTTTTTTTATTTTATGAGACAAGACATTTAGAATCTTTTTAATATGTCTTTCTTATTGTAGATTCAGAGATTTCAATAAAGAATTGTTCGTGTGAACGATAGCTGTGGTTTTCATTGATATAAAAAGCTTAAATTTTAGAAGTTCAGATTGCTTATCTCCCACAACTTTATTTTTCTACATATATATTATTTTCTAGTATTGATTGGTAGTTCCAGTTCGAGTCAGCCTCAAGTTACTTCATCTAGACAACCTACTTCCTCTGTTCAAAGTGAACAAGCATATGTTGTGAGACGTCAACACGCTCAGCTAGAGACACAACTATCTCAGCAAAATGTTGTTGCTTCTAAGGATGACCCTTTGACAACCCAACCAGATGAGTCAGGTTCTTATGTGCTTGAACTCATTGTCTTCATTTTATTTAATGATATTTTCATTAGTAAAATAATTACTAGGGCAAATGGAATATGAAGATATTAGTAAAGGACGTGGTGCTGCTCGGAGTATTCCTCAATGGGGGACTCGAAACATATTGCATGTTTCGTTTGATCTTGAGTGGAAGCTAGAGTTAAAGCGAATGCATCACTGTTTAGTTCACAGCTTGGAATTACAGCACGAAATGGAAAAAAAGTTCCTCTTATACATGTCCTACATGGAATGACATGCCTAATGATATATTAAACGACATTTGAAAGGATATCACGGTAAGCTATACTTATAAAACCTTGTAATTTGTGATAATGTATGTGTATTGAGTTTGATAGATAATTAAAATGTTATAATTGTAGGATAATACAGATGCCCCTGAGGCATATAGATTCCATTGCCTAAAGGTAATTGGTAATAGCTGGAGGGATTGGAAGTGCCGACTAAAGCAGAAATGGTTTGACAAATATGACACTGATGAACAACGCTTAGCCATCAGTCCAGAAAATATTCGGATGGTCATGGAGCAGTGGAGGACCCTAGTCAAATATTGGGGTGCTAATGATTCTTTCTATAGAATTTGTACTATGGCTGTATGTAACAGATTGGTCAATATTGGTCTTCTTTTTAGTTATATATTTAACGAGATCAAATTTCTTTTCTTACATAAATGAAAGAGAAAACAGAGAAGATTGATCGTCTGAGCATTTATCAAAACACGAATAAAGAAGAAGAAAAATGATGAAGATAGAAGTTTTTGATGAGGACAATGCTGATATCATTGTAAGTTGGAATATAAAGTTGATGAGGACAATGCCAAATGAACCAATTCAACCAATGTTTGCAAGAAAGGGAAGAAGATGAACAAGATGAGTCATTTAGAGAGGAGATATTTACTAAAGTGATGGGAACTGATGCACATGGACATGTTTGCATGTATGGGGCTGGTGTAACTCCATCTCTAGTGTTTGGTCAAAAACGTCGCAATGCCGTCTCTAATGGGTATTTACGATGCTTTTTTGTCTTTTTGTAATGGACTTTGCAAGTCGCTAAATGCCTTTGTCATGGAATCCGTTTATTATGTGAGAACCAAATGAATGATTTTAGGATATTAACTAGAGTGGCTTGTTTTGTAATATGGGTAGATTGTTAGGTGTATTTTAATCCTAGGTGGCTCAATATTTTAAATTTGAGCTTGATCTAGTACTTGAAAAGTCAATAAGCTATTAATACTTTCAAGGGCAAAGCTCTGAGTGACCCTTTATTAATCACAAACCATTACATAAAAAATTAATCTAGTTGGCCATGGAATGCATAATTACAAATTAAGGATGAATGAAATGCAATATGATTTAAAGAGCCATTGCAATATTAATTTTGCATGCAATTATTGGCTCACGCGTACAAGTTGTAAAATATAGTTGCTCATCATCATCTCCCACTGGGATCCCTTATCTCAGAGAAGATGGTGGCGGATATGCATTTAATGGATTCATCGGTCACACAACTTTGCTCACTACTACTAGCGTTGCTTTCAACGCAGTTGTGATGAAGCTGCAATGCAAACTCAAGCCCCCTCACAACATCATTCATCGATGGTCGTTCGATGCCATTATCATACATGCAACTCATTGAAATCTCAACAAACTTATTCAAGCCCTCAGTTTCAATCATCTTACCACTCCTATTAATGATTGGGTCAATAATTTGATCCAGTTTCCCATCATGGTAACACCTCTTAGCCCACTGAGCCAAGTTGATCTGCCCCAGCTCCACTGTATCTTCTGTATGCATCACGGCTGGCCTACCACACAACACCTCACACAACACTACCCCAAATGAATATACATCTGATTTCTCAGTCAGCCGTTGTAGTCGGTAATATTCCGGGTCCAGATACCCGAAACTTCCTTTTACCACCGTGCTGATGTGCGTCTTGGACGTGTCAGCGGTGCCCATTTTTGACAACCCAAAATCCGAAACCTTGGCCACCCATTTCTCGTCCAACAAGATGTTGGTGCTTTTCACGTCACGGTGGATGATGGTGCCCTTGGCCCCACTGTGGAGGTACTGCAGCCCTCGCGCCGCACCTATACAAATATGAAGCCGTTGTTCCCAAGAAAGAAGAGGAGGTGGTAGGTTATCTTTGTGGTGGTAGAGATGGTCAGCTAGAGTCCCCCGTGCCATGTAATCATACACCAAAATCATTTCACCTTTATCACTTGAATATCCGATGAGAGAAACCAAATGGCGATGGCGAAGCTGCGAGAGCATCTCGATCTCCGTCTTGAACTCGTGTGCCCCCTGTGATGACCCGGGTTTCAGCCGTTTGATTGCAACTTGGGTGGCCCCACCATCAATATATCCTTTGTACACGTTTCCAAACCCTCCAACTCCAATAATGAAACAACTGTTAAAGTTTTGGGTGGCGGCTTTGATCTCTGCCAGTGAAAAGTAACGACACGAATAAGGCGGTAAAGAATTGGCACTCGGGGACTTGGCTTTCCTCCAATTTCTCCTGAAAATCAAGAATGCTCCTACGAGGGCAGAAATCAGGACAACTACGCTCGAAACTGCACCAGCAACAATGACATGCATATGCGTCATCTTTGGTCGAGGTACGTGGTGACGTGGGTCTGGGTTGGGTCCGGGTCCGGCGAGATTTCCTCTTGAGTTATTCAGTTTGAAGATTTCAAGCCCATTCAATATTGCGCTGTTGGATGGGCCATACATAGCGATAGAAAGATTTGTCTTCTTCTGGCTGCTTACAGAGCTATCCATGGACACAACGTAGTCTCTGTACAATGGAATTCCAACTCCACCACCCCATTCCGATATGTTGGCATGTTCTTCAGCTCTGTGATCGGCTATGTAAATTTCAAACGATCTAAAATGTTCGACAGGTGGGATCTCACAAAAATGCATCCTAACTAGGTAAGCAAACTCGGAGTCTACAGGGAATTCCCAGCTGAGATTGTAGTTCAAGGTTGAGTCCGCGCTCATTATTGACCGGCCAGTTTGGTAAACTTGTGTTGGCGCTACGTAGCTTGAGTGGACTGTAATATCGGCATGTTCTATCCTGCTGAAAGGTAAACTTGAAGCTTCCAAATAATTTTGCTCCTTTTCCAAGCCATCCCAATTGCGGTACATGAAACTGTCGTTTTGCGTGGAGGAGAGTGGGATTCCACCCACGTTCATTCGATAGGCCGTCTCCAGAGCAGTGCTGTTTCTGAGGCGAAACTCCTTTCCCCCGCCGTTGCTTACATATCTAATTCTCCCATTGGTTGCATTGTAGTAGAGATTGGTAGGCATGGATACGATCTCAATTCCGTTGACAAAAGCGTACGCATCTAGGCTTGATTGGCTTGGAGTAAATGTGATGTTGAGGAGCTTTTTTCCATCAACGTTCAAACAGAACTCTCTGCGCAGAGTCTCCTCGCCATAAGCATCTGCGGTGACTGAAGCATTGAAGTCGTGGAGAAAGGTATAGCCACCGGCTGCGACAGAGAAAAGTGCTTTAGAGCGGTCCAGGTCAGGGGCATATGAAACTGGGTTGAAGTAGAAGCGGATGAACTTTGGGCCGGCGGTAGCAAAGGAAAACCTGTAAGTAAATGCAGAGCGAGAAAGCCGCGCCCAGGTGTAAGGCATTTTAGTGACGGAGGAGGACGGTGGAGCTTTTCTGACGACGGATGCTTGACCAGACTGGTGTTCTTCTAACGGGGAATATTCTGTATACACATCTCCAATCCAATATCGCTGCTCAAGCGAATTGAATTGGGGGCCGGAATAGCCGCATGCAACGGTGATCAAATCGGTCGGAACGTTGACCGATGACCCGTCGTCATTTTGGGCTACCACTAGGGTGACGATCATGTGTAGAAACAGGGATAATAGGTAAAGAGGTTTTAAGGTTGCACAAAGGTGTTTGCTTCTTGTGACGTTCTTCATGAAAATTGAATAAATGTTGATGGAGGATGATGAAATGGGAAAGCTGTTTGATTGCTCGGGTTCTTGCTCTGTTTCGCACTTGATCATTTTCTCAATCAACCCTCTGAATCATTCAAAGTTATATGTCTAATTAATAGTTATGTGATGTCCCACAGCTTGTCCTGAATAAATTTTTGCGTCCTTAATTCAGTGGCTGACAATAGGATTCGTTTTCAAAAAGAAAACTGACACCCTTGGAAAAGGTCTCCTTCCCGGAACTTGTTTCTCTATGATTTTATCATGTTAGTATAATTGGGGTGAGAAATTAATTATTTGGATAAGTTATGTACTCGTAGGTAATATATTACATAAGAAGTTTATTCTTTTCTGTTAATTTAGTCGGCATTCTATGTAATTACTCTTAGCTTAATTTCCCATTACTTTCTCATGTTAAATAGAAAATTGCACATTGAATTTTTAGCATTGTCTAAGTACTCGGTCAAAGTGGACTTGAGGATTTTTTTTGGGTCAAGTCAAGACTTGATGAATTAATTAGTCCTGCAAGCAATTGGCAAAAGTCCTCAGTCAATACTGTAATTAGTGGAAAACTTCATGTCGACAACGACATTTTAAACAATCATCGATCAGCTTCAGTGGAGTAATTGACGGGGTCTAAGACGAATATGCAGAATTTGTTCTGAGACTAACTAGAGATAGTGAAAGAAAAATAAAGGCAAATATAACCGACCCCTCCCAACAATCTGCTAGTCTCTATACAATCATTGTCATTCCATCCCAATCTCTGCTAATCATTTTACTTCTTTAATGCAGATTTTCACATAGCAACTTACCTACAGCTACAGTGAAGGTATGTAAGGAAAGCTTTATTTTTCTTGTTTGTTGTTTGTAGGTAAAATTTGATTGTGTTTTTTTCTTCCCGTTTATTGGTATTGGTTGATGTACATGTACCTTAGGCATAGATAAGGTTTATTTTTTAAGATGTTAACCTGCTGTTATAGTGAAAAAGATTATGAACCAAACTATAAGTCTATAGGACATGTAGAATGTCAATAAAAAGTCAGTCAACTTATTCCCTGAATTAATTGAAATCGTCAATTTAACCATTGCCGTTAATTGTTTAGAATTTCATCCATTTTTCGGTCCCAAAAGTCATATGGATGACACGTGACTCACTATTTGATTTATTATTATTATTATTATAAAAACTAAAATTGTTAGAAAAAAAAAATTAACTTTCTCTCTCCCCTTCTCTTCCCGTCGCGGAGGATTTCAATCTCACAGCAAATCTGGTTCCTATACCTGCATCAACAAGTTCTCAGTAAGTTACTTGTTGAGTTATGAGTATCAAATGCATATCAAGGTTTAGAACCCCATATCCATTTCGTTGTAATTGTCGTTTGCCATTGTTGATTGGTGAAGAAGATTTTCCTATGTGCCGCCATTGTTATTCTATTTTTCTTTTTGTTTGATTGGTTGATTATTTATTTTACTTGAAATTACAAATTACTCTTATAATTAACAGAAAATTTGAAAGAAATTCACAAAACTTAATGTCAAACGCTAAATTGGCTATTTTAATTAATCCGGGTGTTAATTATTTGCTTAATTTCCCATTACTTTCTCATGTTATTAAATAGAAAATTCCACGTTGAATTTTTAGAATTTTGTCTAAGTACTCGGTCAATATCCCCTCTTTTCTTAGGGTAGACGGAGGAATTAATTAGTCCTGCAAGCAATTGGCAAAAGTCCTGGGTCATTACTTATTGTTATTAGTGGAAAAGTCAATGTCGATAACGACATTTTAAGCCATCATCGATCAGCTTCTTAACTAGTAAGTAATGACTATGAATTTCAAAATTTGTAAGGGAGGCGGGTCTTGTTTGCATTCTTAACCCCCGACTCAAATATATATATATATGTAAGATGTTGGGTTATTATAACCTACCTACTTGAGGGGTCTTCTAATCATCATAGGGTTTTAGGGTTTTCTTGGGCTCAATTACTAGTTGGGCCGTAGCCTTTGTATTTATATATTCTATGTCACAAAACAAAGCATGAAAAGAAGAGGATTTAAGAGTTCTTTAAAGGATTTTCAGCCATTTTACCCATGAACTGTGACTCTTGTAGAAATTAACCCCTGAAATAAAATGTCAGTCAATCTAGTATCCGAATTAATTGAAATCACCAATTTAACCCTTACAGTTAATTTTTTAGAATTTCATATATTTTTCCGTCCAAAAACTCATATGGATGACATGTGACTTACTATTTGATTTTATTATTATTATTATTATTATTATAAAAAACTAAAATAGTTATAAAATAAAATAAAAGACGAAGAAAAAAAAACGTGACTTACTCTCTCCCCATCTCTTCCCCTCTCCAGCCTTCTCTTTCTCTCCTTTGGCATTCCAACAAGCTGCCGTCCATGAACTTGAACAACACCTGGATGTCACCGTTGTGGTTGAAAATGCCATGGCACTTGACGACGTTGGGGTTGCCGATGTCGTGGAGGATTTCGATCTCGTGGCGAATCTGGTTCCTATATCTGCATCAACAAGTTCTCAATAAGTTACTTGTTGAGTTATGAGTATCAAATGCATATCAGGGTTTAGAACCTCATATCCATTTCGTTGTAATCGTCATCCAACATTGTTGATTAGTGAAGAAGCTTTTCCTATGTGCTGCCACTGTTATTCTATTTTTCTTTTTGTTTGATTGATTGATTATTTATTTTACTTGAAATTACAAATTTACTCTTATAGTTAACAGAAAATTTGGTTGAAATTCACAAAACTTAACGACAAGGTTAAATTGGCCATTTTAATTAATTCGGATGTTAAATTGATTGATTTTTAATTTAGAGGGATAAGTTCGATTGTGGTCCTAATCCAGGGGAGTGTACAGAAATTTACTCTTCTTTAAATTACTCTTTCAATGTTAAGAGTGCCACGAAATAGTTTGACAGAAACATTGCCCGTAGAAGTAAAATAGCGACTACCTTCACCACATGTATCCTTCCCCAACACCTTACCTATATATCAGGTATACATCGCACCCCGTACCCACCACACCAAGGTACATATACAGATACCCAAATTACAAGTACTACCACGCAAATACCAAACAATCTACAGTCCAGGTACTACCACGCAACCTGCAAAACATAATCACAAACTATGATCTCAAAAGAACATTGCACATATTAGCATAAGGAACCAGTAAGCAAAAACTATCAAAAACCTAAATAATAAAAATACCTGGAAGGCATGGGCTCAGGTGATATCTATAATATTGCACCCTAATTTGAAATAATTTCAACTCTGCATTGAAAAAGCAATAAATCAGCAAAGATTGGATTGAAAAGAGCATGATTCTTGGGATACGTCTGCTGTATTTGCCGTTTATATTCAATTGCACACATTGTAAATTGCTAATTATTAAGATACAAATCAATCTTACCCGATTTAAATCATAAGGGGACATAGTTGGAACAAAAAAAATAATTTTAAACAAAAAAAATATAATTACATCTTAAAATTAAAAAAGAAATGTAATCCTATGCGACATAAATGTGAGAGGACTTAGATAAAAACATAAAATTTGAGAATTAAACTAAACTCTTAATTGGGAATTGGATCGATACCAAATTTTCTCAAAAATAAACTATACATAACCATCAAGGTATCTCTGATAAGACCATACACAATTGTGGCTCTAATAGCAAACCAACACAAAATTTCATTTCATTTTTCAGCTGCTGAAAAGGACACAGCTGTTAACTTGGAGGACTTCAATATGAGCCTGCAGCTCTCACTCCAATTAGCATGACCAAAAACCACAAAGAGGCACCACTATTCATTTAACAAAAATGCTAGTCATACTACATTCAAATTTAATTTTGTAATTTTTGTGTTGAAATTTCTCTGAGTGTTTGCTTGTCTCACGTTGAAATAAAATGGATTGGATTTGGGTCTACGGGGACTTGGCCATGCGGGTTAAACCATGGTTGGGAATCGGTTTCAAACGAACATAAATATAAAGCCCCAACAAACAACTGGGTTTCAAACTCAGAAATTTAGAGTGACCATTAGTACGACAATGTCTCCTTTATGGGAAGATTAGTAGGACAATGACGAGGAGAATGGGAAGATTAAGCCAAGCGACCAATAGCACCGCAGCATCAGCACTTGCCCTCGATCAATTATCAAGAAGAAGCTAAAGCTAAAGCTAAGCTAAGCTAGGTTTTCAAAATCGAATTGGATAAGACAGCTAAAGCCAAAAGCGACACTTGGTAAGTGATAGTCTATGATCCAAGGTTTAATATTATTCAATGGGTTGGTCCATCCACTATCCCTTCCTTGGCTCGTTTTACACGATATATAATATATGATTATGTTATGCAATGTAATTAATTTACGGTGGAATCCATGTTCCGTACAATTATTGGGAGAGAGAGAGAGAGAGAGAGAGGTTGTTGAAGAAGAAACAAAGAAAAACCTATGCAGAAGAATCCGACAGAGAAATCAGAAAGAGATACAGAAATTGACCATGGAAAGAAGTAAAGTAATGATGGCCTTTATTCTGGTAATTCATGATTTGTGGAATAATTATAAAAAACAATGATAAATTTAAGGAAGAATTTTACCGTTATCATTTCAAATTTAGGCCATTTGTGACAAAGTGGGATCTCAAGTCTTTGCATTTAGCATCCGTGTATTCACACGCAGTTAAAAAGATGTTAATCACTTAATGAGGGGATGGGTTGAGGAGGAAGGTGGTTGTTGCTTGATGGGAGTTTTATTTTTTATTTTTTTATTTTAAAGGTATTAAATCAGTTTTTTCTTATCATAATTGTATTATACTAAAAACTCCACCATAATTGTTTTGTCTTCAATTATTATTTTTTGAACTAAAATTGTTTGAACAAAATTGTGTGATGTATTTTTCTTACAAATGTTTTATTCATTTGTTTTTAGAAGCCATAATATAAGAAAACTAAACCTAATTGGTTGCAACTTTTATGATGTGATGATTTTGGCTGTGGCCCCATATACCACGAAAAAAGAAAAAGAAAAAAGTTCAATTATCAGTTTATCAGGTCTCCCACCATCTCACTTTAATTAAGAATATTAAAAGACCATGTGATTCCCCAACTTTTGCACAACGAATAGCATATCGGAGCTTCCACAGTTGGCAATGGCATGCATAAAAATCCAATACATTGATCATCCTCATCGGAATAAACAATTCATGCATCTTGTACACGCCTTGGAATTTTAAGAAATAACAGTCACAAATTGAGTTAGAATTACAAGCTTACAATAATATTAAAACATACCATACAATCCAAATGAAGCTTCTGAGTTTTAGCCAGACATATTGTTCTCTTTAATTTTATTACAAGTGCTGATCATGATCGTCACGCATCATCTTCCACTAGGATCTTTGATCTCGGAAAAAACTGTCCCGGACATTCCTTTAATGGAATTGTTGGTGGTCGAACAACTTTGGTCACTACTGGTGTTGGTCACCCTACTACTGTTCTTCGAATCCGACGACTCTGTCCAGCTGGAACTAAAACCTCCATCGCTCTCGTTCATAATTACAGCCTCCTTCGATTCACCCTTGGTTTCATCATCCTCGTCCATTTTATCTCCGCTCTGCTGAAGTTTTAATGCTTGCACAAGCCCCTCCACCACGTTGTTCATCGACGGACGTTGTCTCCCATTCTCATGCATACAACTCAGCGCAATCTCAACAAACACTTTGAAGCATTCGTCTTCAATTTTACCCTTCAAGCTTGGATCGATGATTTGATCAAGTTCCCCATTCTGATGGCAGGCCTTGAACCAGATAGCCAAACTCATTTCCTTCTTCTCCACTGTACGCATCAAGGCGGGCCTTGCACACAACACCTCACACAACACGACGCCGAATGAGTACACATCCGACTTCTCAGTCAATTGATTTCGAAGCATGTATTCTGGGTCCAAATACCCATAACTACCCTTCACTGCCGTGGTAATGTGGGTCTTCGACATGGTTATCGAGCTCATTTTCGACAACCCGAAATCCGAAACTTTGGCCACCCATTTCTCGTCCAATAAAATGTTCGTGCTTTTTACATCACGGTGGATGATGGTGCCTTCCGTACCACCAGTGTGAAGGTAATGCAAACCACGCGCTGCGCCAATACAAATCTGGAGCCGTTTTTCCCAAGGAAGTGGTTGTGCATTAGGATCGGATTTTGGGGTTCATTAGATGATCATAAAGAGTCTTATTTTCCATGTACTCATACACCCCCTTCTATCTTTACAGAGAGTTGGTGGCGGAGTTGGGAGAGCATATAGATCTCCGCCCTAAACTCCGGGACCCCTTGTTGCGACTCGGGTTTAAGCCGTTTGATCGCAACAAGGGTGCCCTGATCGATGCTCCCTTTGTACACGTGGCCGAACCCACCAACACCGATAATAGAACCCTCGTTGAAGTTTCTGGTGGCGGCTTTGATCTCCGACAATGAAAACTCACGACACAAACCGGAAGGTACAAATGGATCATCATCGGTATCCTTGTCTCTTCTTCTTCGACTGAAAACAAAGAATCCGAGGACACAGAATAATACAAGTATGGCGGAAACTGCACCAGCAACGATGGCAAGCATAGGAGTTGACTTCTTCTTCGACTGTTTTGAGGGGGTTTTCGGCTGCATCGGCTTTGGTGGAGGTGGGTCGGGGTTTGGTCCGGCGAGATTTCCATTTGTATCACTGAGTTTGAAGAGTTCAAGGCCGTTCAAGAGTACATCATTGTATCCAGTCCCCCAATTTCTTGGGTTTGCTTGCAGTGCAAGAAAGAGCTTAACTTTCTTCTGATCAGGGCCTGCCGGCATGAACACGACGTAATCCCTGTAGATTGGTCTCCCATTTCCACCACTCCACACGATTATGTCGGCTTGTGGCTCAGCAGTTTGATTCGCTATGTAGATTATAAACGATCGATCCCCGGTGTCGATAATTTCAGGCTCAAACTCACAGAAATGAAGCCTGAGCAGGTAAAAAAACTTAGGATCTACGGGAAATTCCCAGGTCAGGTTGTAGCTCTTGTTTTGGGTGTGGTTCTTGCCCATGGACCGGCCAGTTTGGTAAACTGCGTCTGGAGCAGAGTACTCTGGTATTTTCACAAAGTTGGGTTTAATGCTAACGTTTTGTGGAAGAACAGTCCACCTGGAACTCAACTCATCCAAGTATTTTTGCTCTTCTACCACACTATCCCAATTGCGGTACATCCCAGTGTCTTGGTCGAATGAGAGTCCGCTTCCGCCCACGTTTATTCGGTACACCGTCTCCATCGCCGTGCTGTTTTCAATAAGATAATTGTTTCCGTTGCCTACAAAATCAGCCCCATATCGGTTTTCAGGAGTGTAGTAAAGATTGGTAGGCATGGACACAATCTCAATCCCATTGATAAAGGCATAAGCATCTGGAATTGCTCTGCTCGGAGTGAACGTGATGGTCAAGCTCTGTCCTTCATCAATGTTCAAACAGAACTCTCTTATTAGAGTCTCAGCCTCACCAGCATCAGCAGTTACAGAAGCATTGAAATCATGGAGAAGGGTAAAGCCACCTGCTTGGACAGAGAAGAGGGCTTTGGACCGGTTAAAGTCGGGGGCATATGAAACTGGGCGGAAGTAGAAGCGAATAAACTTCTGCCCGGTGGAGAGGGGAACTTTGTAAGTAAATTCGGAGCGAGAAAGCCGAGCCATGGTGTAAGGCACTTGGCTAACAGAGGAGGAGGGAGGGGCTTCTCTGACTTGGGAGGAGGTGTTGGTGTTAGCTTGGTTAAACTCAGAGGGTGAGAGTTTTGAGTAGATATCTCCAGTCCAATTCCGGTTGTCATCCATGTTTAATGAGGTTCCGGAAGACCCACAGTTGATGGTGATGTCGTCGACCGGAGTGTAGATAGGTGCAGAGAGTAGGGTGGCGATTTGCAAAAACAGGGGAAGGAGGTAAAGAGGCAGAGGAGGGAGAAGGAGTTTCTTCATGGTTATTGTTTTGGAAAGGTGTTTGCTGCTAATTGGGTTTTTGATGATATCTAAGAGAAGAGAAAGATTAGAGGGTAATTAAGGTGTTGATGAAGAGGATGACGAAACACAACAGAGAGATTGCCGTGTTTAATTTTCAAATGTGAATTTGAAACTTCTGATCAAGAAGTGTGTATTCACATGGAGAATAAGCTACACAAGTGGGTGTTCTCTGAAAGTTCAGAGCTGCTTCTTTTCCATCTTTTTGGTGTAAACTTTTTCTTTGCTTTTTTATTTTTTATTTTTAAAGAAATTAGGTTCGTCAAGAGAGAATAATTCAGACATAAGCTTTCTATTGTTTCAGTGCTACCCTATCTTTGTCATGTGTTGATGGGTCTGGTAGGTAGGCCTATGATTGTCGTTTCAAATGTGTTAGTGGAGGTCTCCTTTTATCATTGAGATGTATTGTTTTCCTAAGAAATTGCGTGGAAATGTAAAAGAAAGTCGTTTCTGTTTTCTTTTCTGAAAAGCACAAATAAAAAGCACAATCACTCTGATTTCTTCCGCAAGGGGACAAAAGCGTCCTATTATTTTTAATCACCTAGTCTTTCTACTTGTCGCTGCATTATTGTTTGCATGCTTGTATTGAATTTCTTGAGCGTAAGCAGGATATGGATCAAAGACTTGCGTTACCAAAAAAACAAAACATCAAAGACTTGCTTTTGGTTATGCTGATTCCATAATAGAAAAAGATATATCACATATGCTTTTCTTTCCTCTTTTAATCTTGGCCGTCTGACTTTGTTAAAGTAAATTCAACGGCTGCCAATATTGACCCCACAGTGTATGTGTGAAGCAATGTGTTATAAATAGTGTTATTGTTTTCCTTTTTAAAGATTATGCTTGATTCAATTGAAATAAGGAGGAGACCATCTTTTTATGTGTGTGTGGGGTTTAGCAAAGATAAGTAGAGGGAGGGAGAGTTATGGATATGTTATGTGTAGGTGTGTGGATCTCTGATTGGAATTTTTTTTGTACAAGTAGGGTAGGGACATATGATCATCAAACATTTTTCCATCCAAAATTGACAATCTGACTACCCTAAGAAAATTGAAGTTCTACTATCTATATACTTTCTAACAATTTCAAGGAAGAGGAATCTACTAAGCATGATCAGTGAGGAATAAATTTTTATTTAGGCATATAATAAAAAAAATAAAAAAAAGAGGAAGTAATTTTTTACAGTAACAAAATTACAATTAGTGTTGGAATCTTTAATCAACATTTCCAATTTGGTATGCAATAAGAAATTGCAAGCCTATATGGAAGTTTTAATTTCGCAGAATATTAAAAACAAGGAGAAAAAAATTACAAATATATATACAATTGCATCATATGGATATACAACTCCACGCAAGCCCTATACCATATATGATTAAGAATATTATTTTGTACAGATAATCATCATCGTCCATTGGGATCGTTGATCTCAGAGAACACAGTCCCAGACATTCCTGTCATGGATTCATTAGTAGAAGAATTGTTCTGATTACTAGTTTTGGTCACCCTGCTCTCCTTCATCTCCGATGAGTCTTCCCAGCTACAACTAATAAACCCTGCATCACTCTCACTCTTTAGCCACACCTCATCTTCACCCTTCATCTTATCGCTCAAATTCGAATCTCCTGCCCCGCTATGTTGCGACTTGGGTTTGTGCCCTGATCGATGCTCCCTTTGTACGCGTGGCCAAACCCACCAACACCGATAATGAAATCCTAGTTGAAGTTTTTGGGGGCAGCTTTGATCTCCGACAATGAAAACTCACGACACAAACCAGACAGTAAAAATGAGTCATAATCGGTGTCCTTGGATCTTCTTCTTCGCCTGAAAACCAAGAATCCGAGGACACAGAATAATACGAGTATGGCGGAAACTGCACCAGCAACGGTGGCAAGCATAGGAGTTGACTTCTTCTTCGACTCTTTTGAGGGGGTTTTCGGCTGCATCGGCTTTGGTGGAGGTGGGTCGGGGTTTGGTCCTGCGAGATTTCCATTTGTATCACTTAGTTTGAAGAGTTCAAGGCCGTTCAAGAGTACATCATTGTATGCAGTCATCCAATCTCTCGGGTTTGCTTGCAGTGCAAGAAAGAGCTTAACTTTCTTCTGATCAGGGCCTGCAGGCATGAACACGACGTAATCCCTGTAGACTGGTCTCCCATTTCCACCACTCCACACGATTATGTCGGCTTGTGGCTCAGCAAGTTGGTTCTCCACATAGATTAGAAACGATCGGTCCCCGGGGTCCATAATTTCAGGCTCAAACTCACAGAAATGTAGCCTTAGCAGGTAAAGAAACTTGGGATCTACGGGAAATTCCCAGGTCAGTTTGTAGCTCTTGTTTCGGGTGTGGTTGCTGCCCATGGACCGGCCCGTTTGGTAAACTACTTGTGGAGCAGAGTACTCTGGTATTTTCACAAAGTTGAGTTGAAGGCTAACGTTTTGTGGAAGAACAGTCCACCTGGAACTCAAATCATTCAAGTACTTTTGCTCGTCTACTACACTGTCCCAATTGCGGTACATCCCAGTGTCTTGGTCGAACGAGAGTGCACTTCCACCGACGTTTATTCGGTACACCATCTCCATCGCCGTGATGTTTTCGATGCGATAATTGACTTCGTTGCCTACATAATCAACTCCATGGCTTTCGGATGTAGTGTAGTAAAGATTGGTGGGCATGGACACAATCTCAATCCCATTGACAAAGGCATAAGCATCTGGGATTGCTCTGCTCGGAGTGAACGTGATGGTCAAGCTCTGTCCTTCATCAATATCCAAACAGAACTCTCTTATTAGCGTCTCAGTGTCACTAGCATCAGCAGTTACAGAAGCATTGAAATCATGGAGAAGGGTAAAGCCAGCTGCTTGGACAGAGAAGAGGGTTTTGGATCGGTCGAAGCCGGGGTCATATGAAACTGGGTAGAAGTATAAACGAATAAACTTCTGCCCGGTGGAGAGGGGAACTTTGTAACTAAATTCGGAAAGAGAAAGTCGGGCTGTGGTGTAGGGTACTTGGCTAACAGAGGAGGAGGGAGGTGCTTCTCTGACTTGGGATGAGGTGTTGGTGTTATCCTGGTGTAATTCAAAGGGGGAGAATTTTGAGTTGACATCTCCAGTCCAATTCCGGTTGTCATATACGTTGGGTGAGGTTCCGGAAGAGCCACAGTTGATGGTGATGTCTTCGACCGGAGTGTAGATAGGTGCAGAGAGTAGGGTGGCGATTTGCAGAAACAGGGGAAGGAGGTAAAGAGGCAGAGGAGGGAGGAGGAGTTTTTTCATGGTTATTGTTTTGGAAAGGTGTTTGCTGCTAATTGGGTTCTTGATGATATCTAAGAGAAGAGGAAGATCAGAGGGTAATTAAGGTGTTGATTAAGAGGAGGAGGATGATGATAAAGTGAGAAACAGGGAAGCTGCTGAAACATAACAGAGATTGCCCTGTTTAATTTTCAAATGGGAATTTGGAAAGTCTTCTTCGGATCAAGTGGTGTTGTATTCACATGGAGAATAAGCTTACAGAAGTGGTGTTCTCTGAAAGTTCAGAGCTTCTTCTTTTCCATCTTCTTGGTGGAGGAAAGTTAAAAGCTTTCAAGCTTTCTTCTTTTTGGTGTATACTTTAAGCTTTCTTTTGCTTTTTAAAAAAAAAAAAAATAAATTAAATATTTGTTCAACATAAAATAATTCTTTTTTTTTCTTTTTTTTTTTGGGTCAAGCAACATAAAATAATTCAGGCATAAGCTTTCTATTGTTTCAGTGCTACCATATCTTCGTCATGTGTTGACGTGTCTGGTAGGTAGGCGTATGGTTGTCGGTCTCTTTTTTTTTTTTTGGTATCATTGAGATGCCTGTTATCTTCCAGTTACAAACAAACAAAAAAAAAAAAAAAAAAAGGAAGGATGCATATTTTTGGAGAAATTGCGTGGAAATGTAAAAGCAAGTTGGTTTTCTTTTCTTTTCTGAAAAGCACAACTTGACCAAAACGTCCAATGATTTTAATCAGCTGAGCTAGTCTTCTGGTTGTCGTTACTTATTGATTGCATGCACAACTTGAGCACAAGTGGGATATGGATCAAAGACTTACTTTTTCTTTTTTCATCAAGCGTCAAAGACTTGCTTTCTTTTGCTTTTGACTGCACGCAAACGCAATTGTTTAATGCAATATAATTTAATTTGTTAATGAAATTTGTGTGCAACTACTCTTTAATTTGTGATTGTCAATTTTTTTTCTTATTAAACACAGATTGCTTATTTGAGGTATCAAAAGACCTTATAGGGGCACAAGGAGCTTATTTTTGTACCAAACATACTAATATTTAACTTTATCAAATAGAAACATTTAAATTTTTATGAATTTGATTTCTGATTGTTATTACATGTTTATTGATGGCGACTTTTAGTCATAAAAAAAATTAAGTTATGACAAATTTTTATTTTTAGTATTTTCGTATTAGATTATGTGAGACCCCAATTTAAGTTTCGTACAGGGTCCTCAAAATCTCAGGGACAGCCCTGACCATGATATACAAGTTTTTCTATCTACTAAGGCAAGCAACAACAGCACATTAATTATTTAATTAATTAAGACATGGTCCACAACCAAATCAAGAAGAGTCAACCAGTCGAGAAGTGTCGTCCATCCCCACTTAATTAATTACATCTAGAAATGAAACTAGTGTAATATTGCATGACACTTACAAGAAGCAGAATGTTGGCGAGATCCTAGCTTAATTAGGATTTTTATTTCCTAGTTCATTAGGATTATATTTCCTTCTTTTTGTACAGATATTTTATAATTATTATTTTATCTTGTTACCTAATTTGATCCTACTAGGGTTACATCCTTGTACTATAAATACCTCCTTTTGAAGAATGAAATACAACCTGAATAATATTCTACCCATATTGTTTGACTTGGCATCAAAGCCAACTTTTTTGGTGACCTGTGTGTTGTGCCCACCCGTATTCTGGCATCATATTTTTTTCGCTACATGTGCCGTGTGTGCCCTCCTGGGTTTGTGTGTTGTGTTGTAGTCTACTGTGTTCGTGTCATTATTGTCTTCGTGCATCTGCCGTATTTGTGCTTTTACTATGTTCCGTTGTGTACTCTACCTTGTTCGTGCCTCTATTGTATTCATGCCTGTCTTCGTGCATCTGCCATATTTGTGCCTCTACTGTGTTCAGTTATATACTCTGCCGTGATCTGTTGATTTTCTGTTGCAATCATGGGTAATAACTCCATTGTTGTTGCTGCCTCTGCAAATTTGTGTGTTTTTGACTTTATTCCAAGTACTAGCTCCAATACCTGGATAATTGACACTGGTGCTTCTAATCATATGACTTATGATGCTAATTTTTTTGATGAGTTGTTTAGTAACACCCGTGACCCATACATAACTAGTGCTAATGGCTTGCCTTCTCCGATTACAGGCGAGGGCACAATCTCTCTCACTCCTCTATGTCCTTGTCTCGTGCGTTACTAGTTCCTAATATCCATTGTAACTTGATATCTATTGGTCGATTATTTGATATTCAAGTGGGTGATGCAGTGTTGGAAGCCAATTTGATTCCCTTGGATTTGGTCGACCTCGATATTATCTTGGGAATGGATTGGTTGGAGAAGCATCATGTATCTGTAGATTTTTTCTGAAAGGAGGTCGTACTTTGAAGTCTGGGACAACGTGAAGTTACTTTCCGTGGAGAGCGTAGAGTTCTCCCATCATGTCTAATCTCAACCATAACGGCGAGGAGGTTACTCAAGAAGGGAAGTGAAGGATACTTAGCCCATACCATCAATACTCATGAGGTCACCCTAAATCTAGAGGACATTCCTCTTGTTTGAGAATCCCCGGATGTCTTTCTGGATGATCTTCCTAGTTTACCTCCCCAAAGAGAAACTGCGTTCACCATTGAACTCCTTCCAAGCACGAATCCCATCTATCAAGCACCGTACATAATGGCACTAGCTGAATTGCAGGAGTTGAAAACTCAATTACAAGAATTGATTGATTTTGGGTTTATTCGATCGAGTGTTCCTCTTGTGCACAGGTGTGAAAAAGAAGGATGGCACTATGAGGTTGTGTATCGATTACAGACAACTGAATAAGGTGACAGTGCATAACTGATATCCTTTGCCTCGAATTGATGACTTGTTCGACAGGTAAGGGATGCCAAGTATTTCTCCAAGATTGATCTTAGATCAGGATACCACCAACTCAAAGTTAGAGAAGAAGATATTCCTAAGATTCATCTGATGTCGGAAATACCATAGGATTTGTCATGGATTCTAAGGAATTCGGAACGGGTCCTATCAATATATGAGAAATTATAAAATACTACGATAGTATGGTCACGTGGTATATCTTGTACACGTGTTACAAATGGGGTGGAGGATATAGTTTATTTTTTCCTCTTTTAGAGAATAATATAAATAAATATTCACTTATATTATAACATGCAGTTGTACTACCGTACGTAATATTATGACTCATTACATTAAAAAAGGAATATAATCATACGTACCAAGATAGTCAAAGGAATTACATCAACAAACAATAATGCTAGGACTACCACCAATTTGGGGTTACATATTTGGACTACTACTAGAAATATAGCCACCACCCACTGATATTTTAGATACAAAAGCATAAAAGTGGCTTTTGAATTTTTTTTGGAAACTAATAATCCCACCATGCCTATTAATGGTATTGGAGATAGATATTGGTGTGTAATACAAATAAAATGACTTTCATACTTTTCCTAAACTTTTGGATCTCTTTATCAGTCCCAACACTACTAGAAAATCTGCCACTACCCATTGAGTATTTAGATACAAATTCATAAAAGTGGCTTTTAAAATTTTTTTTTGAAAACTTATAATCCCACCATGCCTATTACAGGTTTTAGGGATAGACATTGGTGTGTAATACAAATAAAGTAATTTTAATTTTTTTTCCCTTAATATTTGGGCCTCTTTTATCAGTCTCCAACACTCATTGGAAAATTATAAATAAAAAAAATCATGTATAAATTCTTATAAAATAAAAAGAAAAAAATCCATTACAAATTGTATGCTATTTGACACAAACTCAGTCAAACATTGGTGGGGCTCTATGCCTCCGCACACTAATATGAGAATAGATAAAAACTCATTGTCTAAATAGTATAACCTACCAGTGAGGCTTTGACATGTATCATGCTTTTCCCCCAAAATTTCAAAATCCCTCTCGTTTTAAGCTATATAATCATCTTCAGCCACATATAGGATAAGCGGCATGGTTCTTTGGTTGGAGTTTGAGCTTTTTCTATCACTTTTTATCTTCCCGTTCATTGTGGATGTGAGGCTTCTCTCCTGATGTATTTTGTTCTCGGTTTTGTAGACCAAAGCAAAATACTCATCTTCCTCCTTTGTCTTGCTAGATTTTGATTTCCAAACTCTGTTGAGTTCTCTATTTTTTCCCCTTATCTTTCATACTCTCTCTCTCTAATCAGACATTTCTCAAGCCTCTCTCTCTCTCTCTCTCTCTCTCTCTCTCTCTCTCTCTCTCTCATGGTTTTCCCTTTTGTTTATTTATTTATTTATAATGATCTAGCTTGCTGCTGCCAATTGATCTAACAACATGGGTTATTTTGGTAAGGTTTGGTACTTTCTTCCACCTGCTTTGTATAAGAATTATTATTTATTATATATGCGTTCCTTATGAACTGTTTTTTGAACTATATGAAGGAGATTTGGTCGATTCCTCCTAAAGGTTGCTTACAAAATGAATGGTTATGGTGTCGAAATGTAATCATGTTTACGAAGCACCTTGTATGCTTGGACATAACAAGTTGAAAGGAAAAAAGGTAAAAAGAAAAACCACTGGACTGCACCAATAACCAATTAAAAATAAAAAAACAAAAAAAAAAACTGATATTCAATTGCTAAAAAGAAAATTGTAAGGGGACAATTATCAGATGTTAAAAGATCATTATAAAGGGACTAACGTCTCTTAATTATATTGTTTATCTATTTTGTACAATGGGATGGACTGACCACTCAAATGGCCTCTTTAGAGCAATACCCACCCCAATCTAGGACAGAGTTAATTGTGGATGCATAAGGGGACTCTCAATTGTATCTAAAATTAGCAATAAACACAAATTCAAAGCAGTGGCTAGTCTTTATTTTTTACCAAATCAAGATCAACTATAAATATAAGGCGCATATACTCTTGATCAAGAGATGATAGTCTCATTATTTCTTAATCAAATTAGGCCATGGCCACTTAATTATATACACACAAGTAAAACTTAATTATAATGTAACAATATTGCAGGTCACTAACACAAACCAGAATACGAACACATTGCGGCCAGTCGAAGGTAGGTACGAAACATGTTTAGATCTAACGACAGTAATGGTTATTGCCGTTACAGTTGAAATCGCCAAGATTTCTAGTGGGAAGGCAGACTTTATATCTCTTGTCGACGGAGCGTCGTCCACAACCAAACATGTTGGCATTCAAGTAGTCTCGAGTACTAAGCATATGGCCTCCCGGAAGCTGGGTCATCACCATAAGCACCACCAAGAATATTACAGCAACGGAATGACATTGACGTTGAGCCATCTTCGATACACACCAGCTCGATCCTTTGTTATTAGTTTGATTTTTTTCCTGTCTCTTAATATATATATATATGTATATATATACAGGTTGCCGTATGCTCATCTGATCGAGAGCTAGCTAGCTCAGTGCTTATGAAAATTGAGTGGTGCTGGTGCTGTGAGAAATTTCAAAATCTTATCATTGCAGATAACTTCACGAGACAAATACCCACTTGGATCCGATAATGCATGCCAGCGTCTATATAAAGCCAAATCGATAGTGATTGGTTGGTCCATCCACGGCCGTGATCAGTCCCTGTTGGCCCCTCCTTTTACTTGTTAGTTTTCTCGTAGTCCTGCGGAGGCCACAGCCTTCTCACCCTTCTTATCACATGTCGCCATCCTGCCCTAGTAGCTATTCTCAATTGCCGACATTATACGTAAAGCATTTAAGCTAGTTAATTTGATGTTAATAAATAAAGGCTTAAATGTCAAAATGGTCCCTGTGTTTTACCCATTTGGTCAATTTAGTCCTTGTGTTTTTAATTTAGCTAATTTAGTCCCTGTATTTACATCTGTTAGCCAATGTATGACAATCTGTCAAATAAATGTTAAAATAGACATGTGCATAGCACATGAGTGGACATGTGCATAGCAAATAAATGTAGGACTTTTTTAAGTGAATGATTTTCATAAAATTGACAAATTCTTAAATATTTTCATAAAGTTGATAAAGTCACAAGTAAATTGGCAAGACTTTTGCTCTTAATAATTAGCCTAAAAAGTATGGAAAATTCACTCATTTAACCACACTTTTAAATACTTTTTAAAAGTCACAATTGAATATCACTTGACTTTTATAAACTCTTTAAAAATCTAAATTGAATATCTCCACACTTTTAAACTCTTAATAAATAAAACAAGAAAATATATGCGACCGTTGTGACGCTCACACTCAACAACTCTCATTTCGCTAGCTAGGCTTTAGCTCATCATCACCTCCCTTCTGAATCGTTGATTTCAGAAAAGATTGTCCCAGACGTGCCTTTAATGGATTCGGTCGTAGCATTACTTTGCTCACTACCACTAAACCCTTCTTTGCCCTTGAGGAAGGCACCCTCATCTTCACCCTTCCTATCTACAAAATCGTTGTCGAGATCCTTCTCAGCGCAATTTTGAAGCTCCAAGGCAAACTCAAGCCCCCTCACAACATCATCCATGGATGGCCTTTCAGCCCCATTATCATGTATGCAACTTACCGCGATCTCAACGAATTTATTAAAGCACTCTACTGCAATCTTACCACTCAAGTTTGGATCAATGATTTGATAAAGTGTCCCATTGCGATGACAAATTCTAGTCCACTCAGCCAAGCTCATTTGCTTCTTCTCCACGGTACGAATCAAAGCTGGCCTCGCACACAATACCTCACACAATACAACTCCAAATGAGTACACGTCAGACTTCTCAGTCAGCTGTTGACGCCGATAATATTCGGGATCTAAATACCCGAAACTGCCCTTCACCACCGTACTGATATGAGTCTTGGACATAGTGATTGTGCCTATTTTCGACAGCCCAAAATCCGAAACCTTAGCCACCCATTTCTCATCCAACAAGATGTTCGTGCTCTTCACGTCTCGGTGAATGATAGTGTACTTGGTACCTGTGTGAAGATAGTGCAACCCACGCCCTGCGCCGATACAAATCTCCAGCCTTTGCTCCCAGGAAAGAGAAGGGTTATCAGTGTTGTAGAGATGATCACTGAGAGACCCACGATCCATAAACTCATACACTAAGATCATCTCACCTTGGTCAGCACAGTACCCGATCAGAGACACCAAATGGCGGTGCCGGAGTTGGGATAGCATCTCAATCTCTGTCTTGAACTCATGGGCCCCCTGTGATGACTCGGGTTTCAGCCGTTTGATTGCGACGGGAGTGGCCCCACCATCAACGTACCCTTTATACACGTTGCCGAACCCGCCGCGCCCAATGATGCAAATATCGCTGAAGTTTCTGGTGGCGGCTTTGATCTCCGCCAGGGAAAAGTAATCACACAGTTTGGACGGTAATGATGAGCCGCCATGAGTATGGCTTGAGTTGGTCCCTCTGCGGCTGTAGCACTCGGACTCCTTGACTTTCCGTTGTCGCCTGAACACCAAATACACGAGTACAGAGAGCACTACAAGTATGCTGGAAACGACTACACCGCCAATAATGGCAAGCATAGTAGTCCGGGTTGACTTGTTGGGTTTTTCTGGGAGTGAGGGCTTCGCCTTTTGTCCGGTCACAGGAGGATCGGGATTGGGTCCGGCGAGATTTCCCATTGTGTCATTCAATTTGAAGATTTCGAGCCCATTCAAAAGTGCATCGTTGTATCTTGTCTTCGAATCATCCGGGTTTGCTTGCAGTGCAAGAGAGAGATTTACTTTCTTCTGGCCTCGGCCAGGGCCTGCTTCAAGTCCGACAACCAAGTAGTCCTTGTACACTGGTCTGCCGTTTCCATTACTCCAGAGTATTATGTCTGCATTTTCTTGAGCTCTTTGATTGGCCATATAGATTAGAAAATTTCTGTCTCCGGCCCGTGTGATTTGAGATTCGAACTCACAAAAATGAAGCCTAACCAAGTAAGAAAACTTTGGATCTACAAGAAATTCCCAAGTGAGATTGTAACTCTTGTTTATGGTTTTGTTGAGGCCCATCGATCGGGCCGTCTCGTAAACTTCTGCTGGCGCAGTGTACTCTGCTATATTGATAAAGTTGAGTTGAATGCTAAAATTTTGTGGGGCAACGCTCTGTTGTAAACTTAACTTCTCCAAGTAACTTAGCTCATCCACATAACCATGCCAATTTCGGTACATGCCAGTGTCTTTATCGAAAAAGACCGAGTCTCCACCAATGTTGAATCGGTAAACCATCTCCATAGCAGTGCTGTTTTCGATGCTGGAATAGCTTTCACTGCCTACAATTTGAATCCGATTATCTTCAGGTGCAGCGTAGTAAAGGTTGGTAGGCATGGACACAATTTCAATTCCGTTGATAAACGCATACGCATCTGGGATTGCTCTGCTTGGACTGAACGTGATGTTCAAGCTCTCTTCTTCTTCCTCCTCCCCAATGTTCATACAGAATTCTCTGTATACCGTCCCCTCCGGCCCAGAAGCAGGCCCAGAAGCAGCAGCAGTGACTGAAGCATCGAAGTCGTGGAGAAGGGTAAACCCACCGGCTTTGACAGAGAAGAGGGCTTTGGAGAAATCAAAGTCGGGGTATGAAGCTGGGTTGAAATACAGACGGATGAACTTTTGGCCTGGGGTAAGGTTAAGAAATCTGTAGGTAAATTCAGAGTGAGAAAGCCTCGCGGTGGTGTAAGGCACTTGTTGGACGGTGTACGAATGAGGTGCTTCTTCGAATATGGATGTGTTGCCTTGGGGTTCAAGGGGTGAAAATTTTGAGTTGATATCTCCACTCCAACTTCGGTTATCATATGCATTGAATATGTTGCCGGAAGAGCCACAATTGACGGTGATATCTTCGACTGGCTTATAGATAGATGGCGAATCGCCGGCAACGAATATGTTGACAACGATCATGTGCAGAAACAAGGAAAAGTAGAGATGAGTGCTGAGAATTGGTTTCATCATGGTAATTGTATCAGGGTGTTTGTTTGATGCTTGGGTTATTATATGCATGTTCATGATACATGTATATATATACACATAGGGTGAGTTAAAGATATGTGTGGGTGTGTGGATCTCTGATTGGAATTTCTATTGCACAAGTGGGGACATACACATATGATCATCAAAGACTTTTCCAAGTCAAGCTTTTGGTTGCATCTAATCTAAATTCAAGATTCTTGATCAACATCAGTCAATTTAATAGAGACTTAGATAACAACTTAACTTCGTTTTTGGGTTGGCCATGGACTTGAAGAATTAACAAGTCTTTGGATTACAATTTGCACAAGATAATAAGAGAACAGATTGGGGACTGTAATGCACACGTTGTCTTATTTTCAAGCATGTGCCCATCCGAAGCGTGCCTAGTTAGTATTCTTGAGGCATGATTTTGTCCAAATTAATCGGTTTGAAAAGTACCAATTAAGCACTTGTGTATGACAAAGAAACAGAAAAGCATTCGCATACGGATCTACAAGGATGGTATTCCCATATATATACTTGGAAATAACCCCAAATGACACTACTACGTTTCACCATTTGCGCGACGAAAGATTGCGCGACGAAGAATAATTCGTCGCGCAAAACATACTGGCGCGACGAAAGAAAATATTCGTCGCGCAATCCACTGAAAATTTGCGCGACCAAATTTTTTGTCGCAGGAAATGTCTTTGCGCGACGAAAAAAATTGTCGTCGGGCAAACAGAGTTAAAAAAAGCGGGGGAATTTTTTTGGCGCGAAACATTTGCGCGACGAGACATATCGTCGCTTAAGACAATCTTGCGCGACGGTATATTAATTCGTTGCGCAAAAAGGGACAGAACCCAATGGGTCCCCTTATTTGGCGGTAAAAACTTGTGCGACGAAATTCTTCGTCGCACAAGACAGCTTAGCGCGACGGGAAGATTGTTCGTCGCGTAAGATAACGAGGGATATTTTATTTTTGGCGCCAAAATTACCTGATTGGGATATTTTTGTTTGCGCGACGTACGTACTGTTCGTCGCGTAAAGTTCCAAGTTTGCGCGACGAATATATTGTTTTGCGCGACGGAATTTTGTTTTTGCGTGACAATATTGCGCGACGAAAGGTTGCGAGACGGAAAATACCAGCGTCGCGCAAAAGTTAGATGTCGGCAGGTGATAGCGAGACGAAAAAAAGGGTTTGCGCGACGGACGTTTGGTTTTTTGCGACGGAAGTTTGCGCGACGAACTTATATTCGTCGCGCAAAGTCCTTCTTCTTCATATTAGAATTCTGCCATTGCAGAGGCAGAATGCAAAAACAAAGCATTCTGCCTCTGCCTCTCTCTCAACCTCTCTGCCGCTGCTGGGACTTCAATACATTGATTGGGTAAGTATTTTTCGTCATTAGTTTAAAAGTATTAATTTAAGTTCGTACTAAGGTTTTTTATTTTGTTTTCGTTAGGGATATTTGTAATTAGCGATTGGTGGAGAACGATTGAGAATGTATTTTATTCGTTTTATATATTAATAATGTTAATTTGTTATGTTTAAAATTTCTTGTGAAGTTATATTTATATTATGTTGTTAAATTGTGTGTAACGTAGCACAATCTGTTGTGATGTACGAAGTTAATTGAAATTAACTTCGCGCTTTTATTTTTATGTTTAGTAACACTTAGTTTCCCGTTCGAGATTAGTTGGATTTCGTGCATGGATGCGTAATGCATGACTGCGGTCCAATTAATTCTTGAATTGTCCCATTATTTGGACAGTTTGGTAATGCATAGTGTTGTCACGTAATCTATGGCTACAGGATTAGGTTTCGATTGTGAATATTTCGATGTCATCTCGGTACGTTCTTCGGGTGGTACGTAGGTATTTATACCTATGGCCACCTCAAGAACTGTAGGGAGATGCTGGCGAAATTCATCTACGTCGAAATCTAATCTCATGTAGTCGTAGGTTACGTGGCAGGAGTATGCATTCCCGAATGGGATAGGACCCTTACCGGAGGCATAAGGTGACATTATAACTTCGTATGAAGTTGTTGTGATTGTTGTGTTGTGATTCTGGTTTCAGGAATTATGGACAGAAGGTGGATACAGAACCCGAACAGATGCGCAGACGAATACTTGGATGGAATCGAGGATTTTATTGAGTTTGCACGTAGACACAACCGGGGTGCAACTAGAATTCGTTGTCCTTTTAGGAGGTGCAACAACACGTTATGGGAGACAATTGAAAATGTTGGATTTCATTTAGTAAGGAATGGAATGATTGAGACATATAGCATTTGGAACCTTCACGGGGAACAATTAGAGCATGCTTCGTCTTCAAATGCCACAAGAGTGGACAATGTTCAACCTATTGTGGATGCTAATGATCAAGTCATGGATATTATACAGGATGTTTTTCCATTTGCATCGACCAACATGAATCAAGAAGAGCAAGATGATGTGCCTACACCAATAGACAGTGCGGAGTTTGAACAATATGAAAAATTGTTAAAAAATGCCAACCAAGAGTTATACCGGGGTGCGAGAGCTTTTCCGTTCTCACGGCCATTGTGGAGCTAATGCACGGAAAAATAAAGTATCGTATGTCGAACCTGTGTTTCGATTACTTTTTGGGGGTTTTCAAGAGAATGCTTCCGACGGACAATTGTTTGCCGAAAGACCATAAACAGGCGCAGAAGGTGTTGAATGGTCTTGGATTGGGTTATGAAAAAATTCATGCTTGCAAAAACAATTGCATGTTATTCTACAAAGAGCATGAATCGTTGGATACATGTCCTATATGCAATGAGTCGAGGTTCAAGATGACATCTCAGAATAGGACGACTAAGATCCCACAAAAAGTCATGCGTTATTTGCCCCTAAAACCTAGGTTGCAGCGATTGTATATGTCGACGCATACTGCCACAGACATGAGATGGCATAAGGAAAAACGGGTAGACGATGATGTCATGCGGCATCCTGCAAATGGGGAGGCATGGAAAGAGTTCGATCGAACGTTCCCCGAGTTTGCTGCTGATCCCCGAAATGTTAGATTGGGACTTGCCACTGACGGATTCAATCCGTATGGGGTTCTAAACCAACACCACAGCACTTGGCCGATTTTCGTATTCCCATATAATTTGCCGCCTTGGAAATGCATGAAAAAAGAATACATGATGATGACTGTTTTGATAACTGAGGATCCTGGGAGGTCAATCGATGTTTACTTAAGGCCGCTGGTTGATGAGCTGAAGGATTTATGGACAAACGGTGTTCGCACGTACGATAAATCAACTGGGAAGATGTTCACTTTGCGGGCAGCAGTTATGTGGACTGTGAATGATTTCCCAGCATATGCAATGGTTTCTGGGTGGAGCACAAAAGGTTATATGGCATGTCCTGTATGCAAGGAAGATGTAACTTCTGGTTGGCACGCTGGAAAAGTTTGTTACCTTGGTCATCGGAGATGGTTGCCATGGGACCATGAGTGGAGGGAAAAAGATAAAGAGTTCGACGGGAACACAGAGCGTCGCCTTAGACCCAGAGAATGGTCCGGTGATGAGATATTGGACCAGCTTAACCGGTTGGATTTTGCTTCCTTCGGGAAAACAGTTAGTCGTATCAGACCTTCTACACATATGAACTGGACGCACAAGCCTATGTTTTTTGAGCTCCCATATTGGTCGAAACTAAATTGAGGCACAATCTAGATGTGATGCATGTTGAGAAAAATGTATTCGACACATTGGTGGGCACGATTCTAGATATCGAGGGGAAGACAAAGGACACGATCAAAGCTCGTCTTGATTTGGAAAGAATGGGCATACGAAGGGGTTTATGGATGAATAGGGACAATGATAAAGCTAGAAGGGATCTTGCATTCTTTTCTATGAAACCGAATGACAAGAAAGAGTTTCTAAAGTTTGTATCGTCAGTAAAGTTTCCCGATGGGTATGCTTCTAATATCGCACGTTGTGTGAATGTTGACGGGGGTAAATTTACTGGACTTAAGAGCCATGACTGCCATGTGTTTATGCAACGCCTACTTCCTGTTGGTATTCGGCACCTATTGCCGGAAGATGTAGTGAAGCCAATCATTTTGTTGTCCAGATTTTTTTCCCAACTGACGGCAAAAACTTTGCGAAAAACGGACATGTTTCAGTTGCGCCATGACATTGTCCAAGTCCTATGCAAGTTTGAGATGATATTTCCTCCAACTTTCTTCACAAGTATGATGCACATGATGGTTCACTTGCCAGAAGAAGCATTGCTTGCTGGTCTTGTCAACTATCGCTGGATGTATCCAATAGAAAGGTATATAATCCTTATTGTTTGTGTATGCATCATTATCACATGCTTGCTAATTTGTATCATATCGTTTTATTTTGGCAGGCTTCTCGGAGAGCTGAAAAAAAGTGTACGCAACAGGGCGAAGCCCGAAGGATCAATCGTAGAGGCTTGGGTTCAATATGAGTCGCTTACTTTCTGCGGAATGTATTTAAAAGATGTGGAGACGGTTTTCAATCGTCCTCAGCGCAATCATGACGAAGGTATGAGAAATGAAAAACTTTCTGTTTTTGCCCAAAGCGCACGACCCTTTGGAGATCTTGGACGCAGAGAGTCGTTTTCTAGAAATGACATGGAGGTAGCGCATTGGTTCGTACTGAACAATTGTGATGAGATCATGGGATACTTATATGAGCATGAAGAGATGATGAAGCGAGAACATCCATCACATTTGGTTGCCCAGAAACACCGTGAATTGTTTCCACAATGGTTTTTGGATTCTGTAAGTTATCAGTGTTTGTTATTTGAGAAATATAAATTGTAGTTTTTAATTTTGTCAGACTAACATATGAATGGTTTTGTATAATATTAGGTGAATAAGTTCGGCCCGATTCGCGCTGAATTGTTCTCGGGTTATAATGTCAACGGCGTCAAATTTTTGGGCGAAGCACGAGATGACAAGTTGTGTACGCAAAATAGCGGTGTCCATGTCCCAGGTGGAGGCGAAAGTACGGACATTGATTTCTATGGAAAACTCACAACTGTCGTGCAATTGCTTTACAAAGATCGATACCAAGTGATCATGTTTAAGTGTCGATGGTTTGACACCAACCCAAATAGGCCGGGAAGTGTTAAAATCGATCATGGCTTACTATCTGTGAACATGAACAGAACTTGGTATGATGACGACCCTTATATTTTGGCAAACATGGCAACACAAATTGTGTATCTAGATGACCTTAAAGCCGGAAGCGGTTGGAACGTTGTTCAAAAGATGGATCACAGGAACGTGTATGCTATTTCAGAACTAGACCAAACTGACAACGACGTCGACAATGTGGCTGACCAACGTTTAGAATCTTCAATGGAAAATGATGCGGAAACACTTCGAGATACTAATGTTATACAAGAGCCCATTTCAAATACAAGGAGTGTCTTCAATCGAAATACCGATTCAGTCAATTACAATTGACCTCGGTGATCTTCCGCGATACGATGTTGCAGTTGGCCCAAGCAACGACGATGATGTAGTTATAGAGGAGGCGGAGGAGGAGGAGGAAGAGGATTGGGAGACCGAAAGTGATGATAGCGACGATAACGAAAGTTATTATAGTTCAGATGATGAATGATGAATTTTTTTTGTAATTTTATTATGTTAGTGGACATATTTTGTGTAATGCAAATGTTTTCATATATGTACTTGTTATATCCAAACATTATATATGTGCAGAAATGAAACATTATTAAAATAAATGTAGTTATAAACCATTGGTAAATAAATATATCCAAGTAATTTGTATCATAAAGTTTAAATTTATTTTGACAAAAAACTTTTAAAAATGAAAACCATATAACCGAAAAATGAATACAAAGAAAATAAGATTATCAACAATCCTTCAATTCTCAAATCAAAAGAAAATAGAATAAATCATACTTTCATATAATTAATTATATGTAATGATGAATAATTCAGCTTAATAATATGTGAATGAAAATAACCTTGCGCGACGAAGGCATAATTGTCGCGCACATTTTGCGCGACGGAAAATGTACACGTCGCGCATACTCTATTATTTGCGCGACAAATAATTTCGTCGCGCAAGTACTTTTGCGCGACGAAAAAAAGACCTTGTCGCGCAAACATATACATATATATATTTATGATATATACACACGTATATATTTGAAATTGACGATCGAAGTAGTTCACTGTATTCACATAGGGTTAAACAGTGTAGCTGTAAAAAATCATCAAAATCAGAGTCAAAATAACTGTTAAATCATGACTTTTCGTTTATAACCGTCGAAACGTTTTGTCCCGTTACTTGATCTCTGAATGTTTTTTTTTTTCTCATTTTCGACGTATACGATCTCGAAGTATAAACAAACATATTTGACGGCTGGATTACTGAAACTAGTTTCCTAGAATGCGTATTCCATCAAAACACAATATTCATAAAAAATGAATAATTTCTTTATACATTCATTCAGTATAACATAAGATTATGTGATGTCCTGTACTGTAAATATCTGAAATTGAAGATCGAATTACATCTCTGTATTCATATAGGGTCAAGAACCGCAGCTGTAAAAAATTTTCAAGATCGGAGTTAAAATCACCGTTGAATCGGGACAATTTGTTTAGAACCGTCGAAAAGTTTTGTCCCGTTACTCAATCTCTGAATGTTCATTCATTATGATTTTTGACGTATACGATCTTGAACTATAAAAAAAGAAGATTGCCGGTTGGATCATTGAAACTAGTTCAGGAGTTCGGGTTTAGGGCTTAGGGTATAGGTTTTAGGGTTTAGGGTACAAGGGTATGGGTTTGCGCGACGAAATCACCTTGAATTCGTCGCGCAAAAGATTAGCGACGAATGGACATTGAATTCGTCGCGCAAAACGATTAAAAAAAATTGCAGCCCTTCTCCGCTCCAACACTTGGCGAAATTTTTTTTGGCAAAAGCTAGATTGCGCGACGAAAGCAAGTGACTTCGTCGTGCAAAACGATTAAAAAAAATTGCAGCCCTTCACCGCTCCAACACTTAGCGAATTTTTTTTTGGAAAAAGCTAGATTGCGCGACGAACTCAAGTGCCTTCGTCGTGCAAAATTATGAAAAAAAATTGCAGCCCTTCTCCGCTCCAACACTTAGCGAATTTTTTTTTGGCAATAGCTAGATTGCGCGACGAAAGCAAGTGACTTCGTCGCGTAAAACGATTAAAAATATTGCAGCCCTTCTCCGCTCTTACACTTAGCGAAATTTTTTTTGGCAAAAGCTAGATTGCGCGACGAACTCAAGTGCCTTCGTCGCGCAAAATGATGAAAAACAATTGTAGCCCTTCTCCGCTTCAACACTTAGCGAATTTTTTTTTGGCAATAGCTAGATTGCGCGACGAAAGCAAGTGACTTCGTCGCGCAAAACGATTAAAAAATATTCCAGCCCTTCTCCGCTCCAACACTTAGCGAAATTTTTTTTGGCAAAAGCTAGATTGCGCGACAAACTCAAGTGCCTTCGTCGCGCAAAATGAAAAAATTTGCAGCCCTTCTTTCCAACATTTGGGCGGCTGGACAAACTTGCGCGACGACACTAGTTTTTTCGTCGCGCAAAGGTGATATTTTCACAACTTTGCGCGAAGAAAGTATGTTTTTAGGTCGCGCAAAGGTCATATTTTCAGAACCTTGCACGACGGGAAGTCATGTTTGCCTCGCGCATAAGTTATTTTAATGAATTTTGCGCGACGGATTTGGTTATTCGTCGCGCAAAGTCGAATAAGTTTTCTGAAAATCGCGATCTTCTCCTTCTTCCCCAGTTTCTCAAACGGAACCCTAAAACCTCCCTCTCTCTCCGCCGTGACCTCAGCCCCTACTCCGCCCCAATTCAGACCCTGCCGCCACAACCGTCGAACCCTGGAGCTTCTCCGCCGTCGCCTTCCATCCTGCCGCCGTGATTTCCTCCGTTTAGGCCGAATCTTCGCCGCCGTTGTTCTCTCTCCTCCGGGCACCAAATCCGGCAATTGAGGTATGCTTTCTGGACTATTTTTGATGCTTTAGCTGATGGTTGGGTAGGATTTGATTGATTGTGTGCATAGGGTAGTGAATTTGAAACCCTAGGTTTCGGCCGGTTTTGAAATTGAAATTCCGGCCACTTCCGGCCGTTTTTCGGGGTAGGTCCGAGAACAAAAGTGCCTCCAATTGATGTTTTGAACCTACGGTAGGAACCTTGGCCCTTAATTTTTAGGATTTCCCGGTGATTGTTATCGCTTAGGGCACCCACGCGCTGCCGGCGCGTGTGGTGGCGCGTGGGATACTGTGGCGTTGGGATTTTTGTCCCAGTGCAAACATTTCGTTGTCACGAGCGCGTAGGTGTGCTCGGATTGGAATTTGGTTATCGTTTGAGTCTCGAACGGTTCGAACCTATTGTGCGATTTTCGGGTTTGATATGTTCGGACCGTTGGATCGAGCTGAAACTCACGTATGTGGTACCATGTATTTATAGGATCATTTAGGATTCGACGGATCGTGGATCAGAGTCCCGGATACTCCGAAATCGCAAACCCTAGGTCAAACTATAATTTTAATTAGTTAGTTCAATTTTTTAATGACATTTGATTAATGAAATTGTGCAGATGTCAGACTTGATTAGACGTCGTAGGGCGGTGACGACTACACCGAGTTCGGAGCCCCCGGCTCAGCCGGTATCAGCTGCCACTGCTCCAGCCTCTTAGCGCTAGGCGGCAACACCGGCCCGCTACCACCATCGACACCACATCGACTGACTGTACTGGTGCCTCGGGGGCACCTCCAGGTAATACCCTTCCGCTTTCGTTTTTTTGTTTTTAACATTTTTTTAATCGGGAATTTTATGGTTCAATTTGTTATTTATGTAACAGTATTGTCATATCCCTTTGTAGCCAAGAGGAACACCCGAGGGCCGTGTCGGCAGCTGAAGACGGCGAAGGTCACCCGGGTGACCAACAGTCGTATCAGCATCGGATATGACGAGCGCCATCGGGCTGCACCGACGGCGGACTTGCATAGCTCCTTGGCCCACAACATTGGCCACGTCGTGCGGACCCATTGCCCGATGCAATGGAAGTCTTGGAAGGTCATGCCTGACGAGATCAAGATGCAAGTTCGCGGCCAGTTGTCGGTATGTTTCCTATCTTTTAATTATTTTTCTTTCAAACTTTATATATTTCTATTACTTAATGTATGTAATGAATTTATTGCAGACGAACTACCACTTAGAGGACATCAACGAGGAGACCTTGGCGTACGTCAACAGACTCTTCGGTGAGAGGTACAAGCAGTGGAAGAGCGACTTGCACCACCATTTTCAGGCGTTTGATGATCCGCAAGTCGCTCTTCAGGAGGGTTGCCCGAAGGAGCTTGAGGGGCGGGAGGATAGTTGGGCGTGGCTCTGCGCTCATTTTCAGGCGCCCGATTATGTGGTATTTTTTTTAATAATATTTGTTTAATTATTACATATTTCTTATTAATGTTTATTTTATTTTTTATATCTCATTATTATTTAATTTATTTATATTTCAACTATTACGTTTTATTTTTTGTATAACAGAATAAAGCCCAAGTGAATAAGGGCAATAGGAAGAAGAAGACTCTTCTCCACCATTCCGGCTCCAGGCCCTTCTCATATAGGATGGATGCACGGCGTCGGGTAAGAATAATATAATTTATATTTAATTTTTAATACGTCATTATTATTAATTTATTTTGTTCATACTAATATTTTCCTTCTCTTGTTCAATTAAGGAGGGGTCGAAATTCCCAGAGATCGACGTCTTTGGTGACGTTATGTTCGACCTGGGAATGAGTTGGCCGAGTCCCTTCATGTAAGTATTATTTATTTTTAATTCTTATGTTACGCTTTCAATTTATATGCATTTTTGAATTTATATTTTATGTAATGTTAAACAGACGACGATGGTGGAGAGGAGCCAGTTGGTTCTTCAAGAGTCCGCCTCCCAACTTCCTCCCGAGACTCCGATCGAGTCTGTGGATCCTCCGCATGATGCTGGATTTCAGATTTTGAAGCAGACGTTGGATCAGACTCTCGGGAGGAGGCCAGGAACGTATTGTAGGGGGATGGGGAATGCCCGACAGAGGGAACCTCGACCGCGGTCATCGTCGCAGGCAAACAGTCAGGTGACTGTTTTGACATCGCGGGTTGCCGAGCTTGAGGGTCAGATGTCGGTGATTTTGCAGTCCCTCGCGGTCCGGCATTCCAATCCCGAATTTTGGTGCGTCGACCTCCGAGCCCGTCCACCCCGAGCATCCCCAGCACACCACGGCCCCTGCAGACGCCCATACCTCCGAGCCGCATGTGGCAGATGACCAAGTAGATTTTGGAACATTATTTGATTAGTTTTTTATTTTTATAATTACTTTTACAATATTTCTCTTGTATACATTTCTTTTATTTTATATAATAAATGTTTTCTTTGCGATTAATCTTTTTATTGTAATTTCATTTTAATTATTAAAAAAAACCAAATTTATTTTTTTACAAAATTAAAAATCAAATAATAATAATTTTTTTAATAATATATATTGCTTTTGCGCGACGAAAAGTAATTCGTCGCGCAAAAACATTTAAATAACCCGTTT